GGAGGCGACAAAACAGCCAGCCGTAGGCACGAGCCGGGCAGAGCCTCACAGCAAACACCTCACAGAGGAGACGACAGAGCAAGCAGCTGCAGGCGCGAGCCGGGCAGAGCCTCACACCAAACGCCTCGCAGAAGAGACGACAAAACAACCAGCCGTAGGCATGAGCCGGGCAGAGCCTCACACCAAACACCTCACAGAGGAGACGACAAAACGGCCAGCCGTAGGCACGAGCCGGGCAGAGCCTCACACCAAACACCCCACAGAGGAGACGACAAAACAACCAGCCGCAGGCACGAGCCGGGCAGAGCCTCACAGCAAACACCTCACAGAGGAGACGACAGAGCGAGCAGCTGTAGGCGTGAGCCGGGCAGAGCCTCACACCAAACACCTCGCAGAGGAGATCACAGAACAGCCAGCCGGGGGCACGAGCTGGGCAGAGCTTCACACCAGACACCCCACAGAGGAGACGACAAAACAACCAGCCGCGTGCACGAGCCGGGCAGTTCCTCACACCAAACACCTTACAGAGGAGACGACAAAGCGACCAGCTGTAGGCATGAGCCGGGCAGAGCCTCACACCAAACACCTCACAGAGGAGACGACAAAACAACCAGCCACAGGCACGAGCCGGGGGGGCAGAGCCTCACACCAAACACCCCACAGAGGAGACGACAAAACAACCAGCCGCAGGCACGAGCTGGGCAGAGCCTCACACCAAACACCTCACAGAGGAGACGACAAAACAGCCAGCCGTAGGCACGAGCCGGGCAGAGGCCCGCACCAAGCACCCCACAGAGGAGACGACAAAACAAACAGCCGCAGGCACGAGCCGGGCAGAGCTTCACACCAAACACCCCACAGAGGAGACGACAAAACAGCCAGCCGTAGGCACGAGCCGGGCAGAGCCTCCCACCGGCCAAACACCTCGCAGAGGAGACGACAAAACAACCAGCCGGAGTCACGAGCCGGGCAGAGCTTCGCACCAAACACCTTGCAGAGGAGAAGAGAAAACAACCAGCCGCAGGCACGAGCCGGGCAGAGCCTCGCACCAAACGCCCCACAGAGGAGACGGCGAAGCAATCAGCTGAGGGCGTGAGTCGTCACGTACCGGCTCGACGACTTGGCCGCGATTTTTTTCAAAGTTTCGCGCGGAGGCATGCGCTTGCTGGCGAGGGCGGTCGAAGTGCCAGCGCTCTTCGAGGTGTCTCGAATGCAAAGGGTAAGGGATGTCGGCTGCAGCGGTTTGAACACGACCCACACCAGCAACGTTTTGCCAATAGCCTGCGTGCCTCGCACGGTAGAGGTGTTGCGCATGAAATTCAACGAAGCGGAGCCGGCAGCTGTAGTCAAAACGCGCTCGAAAAAGTAGAAGACGCGGCAGGCGTAAACGTAGAGTGCTGCAGCAAAGGGCACAGGTGGATTACCCGCAAATTGCTCGTCGCGTCGAAGATACGCTTGCAAAAGGAAGCGAGGGCTCGGCAATACGAGCGTGGGTTGCTTCAACAAGGAACGACATCCAGACACATGAAACCGCAGAAACTAGAGCATGTTCTGCGCAGGCAGTTTGAGGAGGCCCAGCTCCGACTTGAACTCAATTTTCGTGCAACACGGGAGAAAGTATGAACAGACTGCTGATGGTGCTCGAAGTTGAAACGGCTAAAGTATGTAATGATAACGAAGAAACATTTTAAGTATAAATTTGCATCTTCTGGGAGACTCGGACGCGCATTACTTGAGATGTGCCTTGGGTTCTTTGGTTTCGAGACGACGAGAGTTCGAGTTTGAAACTCGGACTCTCGAAAAAGTAGCTTTTTATCACCTTCAATTTAAATTCATTTTCTGACCGAGAGCTTTTCTGCTGAAGATCAGAATAGTTTGACTCCCACTCCAATTTTGTGTGTCACCTACAACTTGTAGGATTGTGCTATATCATCAAGTAGGTGCTTAATGTGTATTGAAGTGCTTTCTGAAAGTTTTAGAATACTAAGTGATATCAACTTTTTTAGAAGTGTTGGGACATTTTATGTCCAAGATTCGTATCTCAGCACTGAGCTTCAGCGCTCCTGAAAATTATAGTTATACATAGTTGATAGCTTAACACTGGATCACTCTGCATTGCGTCACTTATAGTGTAGACTTGCAATATGTACTAGCTTGGAGCGTCCGATAACATCCCTCCCACTAGGATCCCCCTCCTCCCCAAAGTAAGAAACTAAGCAGGGCAAAGATGTAAGCGATAAGCGTTTTCAAATTTCGAAAATTTTCCACGTTTTGCCATCGTTTTGGGATTGGATCTCGTGCGTTTGAAGTCAAGGGCTAAGATCCCAAAGCTTTTCGACTTTCAGCCCTTTCGCTGAAATTAAATGCCTTGGCTTCGCGTTTTTCAAATTTCGAAAATTCTCCACGTTTTGTTGTCGTTTTGGGATTGAATTTTGTGCGTTTGAAGCGCTAAAGTCCCTAAGTTTTTGACTTTCAGCCCTTTCCCTGAGGTTCAGTCTCTTGGCTTTGCATTTTTCCAATTTCGAAAATTTTCCGCATTTTGCCGCCGTTTTGGGATTGAATTCTGTGCGTTTGAAGTACTAAGATCCCAAAATTTTTGATTTTAAGCCCTCTCCCTGAGATTCAACCTCTTGGCTTCGCGTTTTTCCAATTTCAATAATTTTCCACGTTTTTCGTCGTTTTGGGAGTGAATCCCGTGGGTCTGAAGCGCTAAGGCCCCAAAGCTTTTGACTTTAAGCCCTTTCCCCCGAAATTCAATGCCTTGGCTTCGCGTTTTTCAAATTTCGAAAATTTTCCACATTTTGTCGTCGTTTTGAGATTGAGTCGCATGAGTTTGAAGCGTTAAGATCCCAAAGTTTTTGACTTTAAGCCCTTTCAACTTTTGACTTTAAGTCCTTTCCCCCGAAATTCAATTCCATGGCTTCATGGTTTCGCGGTTTCCTGGTCTCTTGGTTTCCTGGTCTCTTGGTTTCAGGGTTTCATGGGTTCGTGGGTTCGTTCGTGGGTTCATAGGTTTGGGGTTTGTTTGTTTTTGTGTCGGAGGTTTTGGGTTCGGGTGTTGGAGGTTTTGGTTTTGGGTGTTGGAGGTTGAGGTTTCCGAAGGGAAGTGTTTGCAAAGTTTTATTGCTCTTAATATTGGTTAGAGTTCTTAGTTTTGCATAGTTCATCAATCCAGTTGTTTCATGCCCGTTATTCTCCATTTTTTGGTCGTTCTTTGAAGTGGGTAACCCTACGACATGCTCCTCTCATATTCGGGCGCCAGTGCGTAGAAGAAGCTTGCACGACTGCAAACGCAGCTGGCTGCGGAGAGCAAGCAGCGAGCAAAAGAGGAGAGAAGCCTGCGACAGGAGAAGAATAAAGCTACCGAAACTGCACGAAGAGAACTGTTATGGTACGCGACGGGACCAGTCAAGGCGCAAGCCAACGAGGATCCGTTGGTAAACCTGATGTTTGTCGAAGTCTTATCCCTCGTGATAGGAGGGCTTGGCGTATGGTCGAGAAACAGCACTAGAGCGGCGTATTCATGATGTCGAAAGCAATATAATGCTGTTCGGTATGGTATTGTACTTACGGCTCCTCTTGCTCGTTTTCTTCATCGGTTTCATGAAGTTGTTGAAGAATACATGTTGATTCGAAGTTGCCGCTGCGACTTTCGCGCGACGCACAAGAGCGTCATGGTCTGGAGGTACGCGCAGAGGACACGGGGAGGGTGCTGTGTGAGCACTTGCACACTTGATGAACGCTGAAGTGGCTGCGAACGAGACGTACCAGCAAGCCCAAGGGAAAACTCCTTCCACCACAAGAAGGACGCTTACTAGAGATACAATCATGACAGTAGCGAAACTGATCGCAAAATAATGAGTCCTGCTGGTGGTAGAGACTAGAAGTTATGATCTTTAAGGATGTGCTGGATCTTGATAGCAGCGAGCGCCCGCAGCAATAGCACGGCCAAGCGTCAGCGTTAGAGTGGTGAAGTTCGTAGATGAAGGCACGAAGCCGAAGACATTGTGGCTCATACACTCTTCTACAACAGGCTGGGCCCGTAGTGCCGTCTTTATTTTTCCTTGGGATATTTTCTTGCTTCTTCGTGTTGCTTTGATGATCTCTCTTGTTTTGATTACCTGCCCGCCCTTTGCCCTGGTCTCGCTGCGCCGCTTCCTTGCGTCGTGGCCAGCGAGATATGCTCATAGACAAACCAATCATATTCGATCATCGTGGTGTAGGTGTCCTACAGTCGCAAATAAAGGATGGAAACGAGATCATGATGATGTACACTTTTTGCTTTGCACACTTACCGACGCGTGCACCAAGTGACCAGAAAATAACTACGACACGAACACGATGTAAATCCCGCTTGTTGCATGACTGCTACAGCTTTAGGGCCTTTTCTCGCTTGCTCCTGGTGCATGGAGTCTGGGTGTCGTTGTGGGTTGCAGACGGTATTCTCTGGTATGTTCGGCATGCTGTCCGCACAACCCAGCTTTGCTTCGAACGCACTTCATCAGAATGCCTCCGCTGCAGCATTGGGAGGATGCGGAATCGATCGAATGAAGAGACAGCTGCTGTCGCAGAGCTACGATTGCGGCCCAATTTCGAATCCGGGAAATGCTCCATCAAATAAAAAAATGGTTTCCGACTTACTACAGTGTGCTGTGAAGCCGTGCGTGTGCCAGATGAAACACTATTAATTTAAGGATGTGTTGATCAACTAGAATAACAATGATCAAACGAATTCTATCGAACCGCCCGACCGTTTTCTAGAGCGGACGAGGAAGTCATGCGGCATTTTCTCTCGGCACCTAGCCGACGATCGAAGGCGCCGACTCTGGAGCAGAAAAGACGTCAAAACTCACTGGATATTTGCCAGTACGATGATATTTTCGTTTCTGCGCCGACACTTTTTTTATGAGATAATTGGATGCGTCTTACCGATGATGTGATTGCGGCGGGCGACGAGCAGAAGGGCAGCGAAGACTGAACACCTCTTTTTTCTAGAATGCTACCGCCGTTTAACCTCTGTGTGCATCTGCTTGTAAGTTGGCTAGTCTTCGATACAGGTCGTGATCCTGCCCGACAAATTATTTGTAGTACCATGCATCGGTTGTAATATTAATTTTCGTTGTGATGTATCCAGGCTGATTTCACCATAATTATTACTACCATTCTCGATTTTAGGTATCTTTCAAACGTTTTGTTAATCTTGATCTTTTTATTGATGGTTATCATTCGTGACATTCCAAATTGTGCAAGTGGATGTAAACGTAACAATTTCGAAATTAATATGATCAATATTGTTAGATACAGATGATTGAGTTTGTAGCTTCCTTGAAATTTTTTAATTTGTTCACTCTTTCTGAGCAGTTTTTAATTTCACAGTCAGTGGTTTAACTAAGTGCATCCATTTTGATTTTCAGCATAGTGACTTTTACCATCTACAAAATTGGCCAGTGTTATATACAGGTATCCTAATCATGATCTGGCTTGGCATGTACTAATTTGAGATGGTCGCATCTTGATCGTCGCTTGTCTCAGACTGACACTACCAAATACTAATGAGGATGTTTTCCTAGCAATATACTCTATTTGATTTTTACTACCACATTTTTGTTGGTTACTTCTTATTAGATTCCAAAGTCTATGATTAAATCTTTTGATTTTGTTTCATTTTATTCTGTTTTTGTAAATAGGTAGGCGTACCCAAATACTCTTGATGTTGGAAGCCAAAGTAAATTTGGCAGCTTATTTCGAATGACGTTCGTATGTATGAGCTTTATGATGTTCGTATGCATGATGAATATTTATGCTCTTTTTTAGATACAGACTGACAGAAGGCGCTAGATGACCGCTAAAAGATCATCAACAACCTCCGCCTTGGTTTTCCACGTCGACTTTCCCGTGATGCTCTTCACGTGCAGGAGATTCGCAAGCGTCATGAGGACCTTGCAGGGAACATCTCCGCATCCGGGTTTCTGCTCCTTGATCTGAATTGAGATGGATTGGCTGTGATACAGAGAAAGACGCGAAAAAAAACGCGGACGGTCAAGAGTTTAGGTTTACGGGTCGAGGAGAGTTATTTCATAGGCATATGTTTAGGGGTCGAAGAGAATAGGAAGAGAAGCAAGTACCTCCCTCAAGGCAGCGCGCAAGGCGCTTTTTTTTTTCGTGTTGAAATGCTTCAGGACAATGTTCTTGACCCTCACTTGCTGGTTGTCAAACCAGCTGCGATCTCCCATCGCTTGAGCTTTTTTGTTGATTAGAGATGGGTAGTGTAGATAAGAAAAATATTGATATTAGTGTAAGCCTACTACGTTGTAGACAGTGTTAGGTCACTTCTCTTCTGGCTCTTATTTTTTATTAGAAAAAGACATCTAGTATAAGAGAGCCAGGGGGGCTAAGGCTAGGCTAGCTACTTCGTGTAAGTCTTCGCGTAGGTGGTGAGTAATTAGTACTGCTCTAACATTTACTCACAAGCTACCTCGTGCATTTACTCTGCCTAGCATGAGGTGATACAGTATCAGGGCAAGGGATTATCTGGGAATGGGAATCGAGCGAATTATCGCTCATAAAGAAAGAATGATAGAAGATGACAAGTGAAATTTTACAAGAAGTATTCACAGACACGGCCTTGCTAATGATTAACAGTTAAAAGCCACATTGTGTTTAATATATTAGTCAGATATGTAGATTAGATAAGTGATAGACCACCACTAGCGGTGTTAGTACACCAAGATTGATTTTAATGGCCCTTCGTTTTGTTTTTGAGAGATGGGAGCACCCGTGATTTTTTAAATATTGGTCAGCACCCCATTAGGCGAAAAAATTGTCGTGGCCATAAGATGTCGTGTTGGGTCTTGTTGTTCTTACGGATCTTCTGATCCATGCTTTTGTTCACCTTCCGAAGCTTTTGTTCCACGTTTTTGTTGATATTATTCGACTCCATTTGGTTGATATTCGACTCCATCTGTCTGATTTTCGACTCCATCTGTTGCAGTTTTTCATTCATTCGTTCCTCAAGGCGCAGGATTAGAGATGGCCCGAGCCTGACTGTGATTCAGACTTCATACTACTAAAAAAGGAGGTGGGCGGGAGGTTCTGCAAAAGCAGTGATAGGCCTAGTAGAATAAGCGGGTCCTAAACTAAGTAGATGCGCCTGCCGTGGTCAAGTTCGTAATCAATGTGTGTGAGATTTTTATGTAGTGCAGCTTTGCATTTGTGTTTTTTCCTAGGTATGCCTAGAGGTTGCGCTACAGCTATCTTTACTTGAGATTGGGAAAGTAGTTACAGCATGACTTAACTTTTCCAGTCTATCATCTCGCTGTTCCGCCCAGGCGGTTGCCAGCGATACCGCCGAAGCGGCTGTGGTGAGTGCTGGGGTGCCTAATGTTGCCGTTGCTGCGACGGCGACAGTGCCGCACACAACTGTTTGGGCTTTGTGGAAAGCCGATGCTGACATTTTTTCAAGGAAAGCTAACAGGCTATTTATTTTTATTATAAGTCGCTGGACCTACTACACCTCTGATTATTATTTGCAAAAAGCGCAAAAGCTAAATCACGATCTGCTTTTCTTCTTTTTTTGGAATCCTAGAGAGGAATCCTATGATTTTGAGTTGTTTCTGAGAAAATGGGTACTTCCTCGCATACAACAATAGATCCTGCTGCAGTAGATTGATAGAGATAGTAGATTTAGGAGATTATAATTACGAGAATGCAGGCAAGATTAAGTGAAAAATATCAATTGAAAGTGTGGGGTCTTGCATTCGATGCTTCCAGCGAGGACCAGGCGGACACCGACGTCACGAGCAGAGCACCAAGCTGAGGGTAAAGGCCAGGGATTCACGCGGGCTACAGATGGTTATCAAATGAAATGACAGGCTCCTGAGAAACCTCTGGCATGCACACGGCACCAGGTGGCGCCGTGTCAACGCAAGAAGCATCTTAAGTTGTCAATTCATCTGGATCCCTGCCGTCGCCCGTGGTCATCCCTGGCCTTACATGTCATCGCTTGGTCGCTCGCAGTTGACGCCGATTATGATCGTCTGATCTACCCTGGAAAACAAAAGCAACTAGCGAGTTAAATTAACGAGAAAAATGAAGTTCAAGTTTTAGCTTGATTTCGAATTTTGAATGCAAGTAACGTGGTTTCACTCGTGAGAATCTCCTACTCTGGTCCTGATTCAGATACGCAATCTCTCTCGCTGCTCGTAGATACAGATACAAGTGAGTCTCTCGTCGTCTCCGCAAGCTTTGTGAATATAGAAAGCAATATCTCTCCTCGTCGATCATAGAGATGAGCCCGTAAATATAATTCACTTCTCTCTAGATTGAGTATCCAGATACCGTCGCAATTACAGATGCAAACTCATGTTCTCTCTCGTCATCACATCACGCAGTTAACTTTCTCCTTATAATTCTTTCTCTCTTTCTTTCAATCATGACCTTATTTTTCTTTCAGAAATTACCTCTACAGATGTAACATACTCTTACTCTTTCTCACTCCTGCTCCCAAGGCAATGCCAGATCAGAAACTCAAGGCGAAACGCAACTCAAAGGACATTTGTTTTATGGGAAGATAAGTACTTGGATGCGTCTTACCGATGATGTGATTGCGGCGAGCGACGAGCAGAAGGGCAGTGAAGGCTGAACACCTCTTTTTTCTAGAATGCTACCGCCGTTTAACCTCTGTGTGCATCTGCTTGTAAGTTGGCTAGTCTTCAATACAGGTTGTGATCCTCCCCGACAAATTATTTGTAGTACCATCGGTTGTAATATTAATGTTGGTTGTGATGCTTCCAGCTTAATTTTCACCATAATTATTACTACCATTCTCGATTTTAGGTATCTTTCAAACGTTTTGTTAATCTTGATGTTTTTATTGATGGTTATCATTCGTGACATTCCAAATTGTGTAAGTAGATGTAAACGTAATAATTTCCAAATTAATATGATCAATAACAATATTGTTAGATACAGATGATTAAGTTTGTAGCTTCCTTGTAATTTTTTAATTTGTTCACAGTTTCTGAGCAGTTTTTAATTTCGCAGTCAGTGGTTTAACTAAGTGCATCCATTTTGATTTTCAGCGTAGTGACTTTTACCATCTGCGAAATTGGCCAGTGTTATATACAGGTATCCTAATCAAGATCTGGCTTAGCATGTAATAATTTGAGATGGTCGCATCTTGCTCGTCGCTTGTCTCAGACACTGCCAAATACTAATGAGGATGTTTTCCTAGCAATATACTCTATTTGATTTTTACTACCACATTTTTGTTGGTTACTTCTTATTAGATTCCAAAGTCTACGATTAAATCTTTTGATTTTGTTTCATTCTATTCTCTTTTTGTACATAGGTAGGCGGTACCCAACTGCTCTTGATGTTGGAATCCAAAGTAAATTTAACAGCTTATTTCGAATGACGTTCGTATGTATGAGCTTTAATTATGATGTTCGTATGCATGATGAATGTTTATGCTCTTTTTTAGATACAGACTGACAGAAGACGCTAAATGACCTCTAAAATATCTTCAACAACCTCCGCCTTGGTTTTCCACGTCGACTTCCCCGTGATGCTCTTCACGTGAAGACGATTCGCAAGCTCGATGAGGACCGTGTAGGGAACATCTCCGCGGAATCCGGGTTTCTGCTCCTTGATCTGAATTGAAAGGGATTGGCTGTGATACAGAGAAAAACGCGAAAAAAAGCGCGGACGGTTAAGAGCTTAGGTTTACGGGTCGAGGAGAGTTATTTCATAGGCATATGTTTAGGGGTCGAAGAGAATAGGAAGAGAAGCAAGTACCTTCCTCAAGGCAGCGCGCACGGCGCTTTTTTTTTTCGTGTTGAAATGCTTCAGGACAATGTTCTTGACCCTCACTTGTTGGTTGTCAAACCAGCTGTGATCTCCCATCGCTTGGGCTTTTTTGTTCATTAGAGATGGGTTGTGTTGTAGATATGAAGAAAAGTATTTGTATCTATTAGTGTAAGATTGCTACGTGGTCGTAGATAGGGTTAGGTAACACTATCTACGACGTAGGACGCTTACACCAGTGTTTTTCTTATCAACACATCCATAAAGCCAGGAAATGACCGCGCGTCTGTTTCTGCATTGTTTTTTGTACTTTTTTCTCCATTATTTTTGCGTTTTCGCTTAGCTGCGTCTTCATCTCCTCCCGCAGTTCGTGACGCAGCGCGTCAATTTTCCGATCCGTGTATGAGATCGCAATTCTTGCTTTAGAGCTCATTACCATCCATCTTGAGTTGCATCCTGATTCTTTTTCCTCCTCATGGGACAGCCTCAGGATGCGTCCGGAGATGGATCGGGGAAAGCCGTAACTGATGCGGCAAGCGTTGTGCTCACGGCTGGGACCCCTCCGAGAAGGGCTTGCCCAGCCACACCGACTGCGGCGCATGCGACACTCTTCACGTTTTCCATGATGAAGATTCCTTCTCCTCGCAACTGGACAACTGGACAGACAACGAAGATGCGGAACGCAATACTAGGACTCGCAAAGCAGGTGAGAATAAGTAACCAAAATGAAGCAGACGGAGGTATGATAAAATCCGGAAGACGCGGGAAGCGAAAATTGGAAGAAGTCCCTGTCATGTGAGGAGGTTAGTTAATCAGTGGGTTCATGCTTTTTCCAGCTTCTATGGTGCGTCAGTAGGTCTATTGCTCTGCGCGTCACGACTCAGATCTTTCTACAGACCAGCTATCCTCTCTTAATGGGTACTCGCATTCAAAAACTTGATATTTGGCTAGTTAAACTTAAAGTAGTAATAGATAGACAAGATGAGATTGAGATGAACAAGCATATTTATACATAGCGAAATCGAAAACAGCTATTCAAGATGTGACGAGCACTCGATGCTTCCAGCGAGGACCAGGCGGACACCGACGTCACGAGAAGGGCACCAAGCTGAGGGTAAAGGCCAGCGATTCACGCGGGCTACAGATGGTTATCAAATGAAGTGACAGGCTCCTGAGAAACCTCTGGCATGCACACGGCACCAGGTGGCGCCGTGTCAACGCAAGAAGCATCTCAAGTTGTCAATTCATTGGGCTACCTTCGGTAGCCCATCACGTTAAGGTAGCCCATGTTGTTCAGCCCTGGATTTTTATACCACTCTTTGGTCGCTCGCAGGTGATGCCGGTCACCGCCTGGCCTGCCCTGGAAATCTCGCATTTCTACGACTAGCAAGTTAAATTAACGAGAAAAAAGAATTCTTATGTTTATTTAGGCTTTTGAATGCGAGTACCGCTTTCCCCGCGAGACATTTCTACACCTACCCTCATCGATACAGATACCAATGTTGCGTCTCAGAAACAGACAGCAGTGTGTCCCTCCGAAAATTTCGTACAGATATAGGAATAAATCTCTCTCGTGCTCGTCGATAGAGATGTACCGCCCAAGCCATTGCTTTCTCATTTACTCGTAGGCTGATTATGCAGAACAGACATCCTTCGCTCTTCATTCTCGCTGGTACAGATATTGATGTTCTCTCTACTAATCACAAGTCATGCAATTTACTTTCTCATTAATTCACAATCATGGCTTTTCTCTATGATCAGAAATTATCTCCACAGATGTATTCCCTCTTCCACCTCGTCCTCTCAATCGAATGTCAGCGCAAACACAGATGAAAGACACTGGCAGCGCAAAGAACACGTGAGCAGCCTGGCTGTCTTGTGGTATGTGTTGTTTTTTTGTCTTTTAGAAAGAATGCATGTTGACAGAAATTTTTACTCTATTCTTGTAAATTGAATGAGTAGACGTGGTTACAGATACTGCGGAGATCATGTCAAGCAGCGAACAAGCCCGATAATTTGCGTCCCTGGTAAAGGTAATGGACGTCATGAACAACCATCCTCACATTGGTCCGACTAGTGTATTTCAATTTGATGTAGATACGTAGAAGCGAAGTTCATATTGCTTCGCCTGTCCTTGTCGCGTCACAGAGAGGTGTCGCTTGCGAAAAGCCACGATGCCGCACTTCCTGAGAAAGACGAACTCCTGGGAGCGCCTCGTACAGTGGCGCTGGTTTATCGCGAGGAGCATATGGTAGCAAGCCGACTGCAAATGCTGGGGACGTCGCAAGGAGAAAGCATTGACAGGTGGAGCAGGTAAAGCAGCCCAGGAATCAGCATGCTGTACTTAGTGTGGGTTGTAGTTGGAAGTTGTAGGAATAATTGTAACAGTGAAGAAACTCCTTGCCTAGTTGTATCACTTAGATTCAGGTTCTTGAACATGAGGAAGCACAGGCTCCTGCAGTGTACATCAGCGCCAACAAATCGCACAGTTGTATTGGTCATGCGGTGCGTCTTAGTGATGTTTACGTCTAGTAAGGTTGACAATGTTAATGTGGTCTTGTAGTCAGGAAGCATTAGCTTATGCTGGTATTACCTGTGCAAAATCCGAAACCATTACCTGCGAATCGTTTAAAGTCGTGATAGACTTGAAAATAGACGAATTTCAACAAAATTGAAAAATTTTGATTTTATTTCATTTTAATTGAATTTAAATTATATCCAGAGATAGTTCACAGCTACCATCAACAAGATTAATGAGACATCAGAAAGTTGAATTCTTATATTTTTCATGGACAGAGTGAGACAGACGACTCTCGTGATCTTCTGAGTAGACTTTTACTATGATTTTTTTAGGAGAAGGGTTGGGTTTTTGATATCCAGAATTTTTTACGAAAAAGTTTTTGATAATAAATATTCATGATTTTTTTTTGGACTGAAATTACAACATTTTGGAATATCGACGCACATACGAAAAATAAATTGATTCTCGAAATGCTTCACAATGTGACTTTGTAGGAATGAGAATAAGGATATACTTAAGAAATAAGCTATACTCAACTGTGTAGTATTGTTATTTTCATCCATTTATATAAAAGTAGGTCTTCTTCTGTTTTCGCTCCTTTTCTAAAACAACACTTAGGAACAGCTGAGAGCTGAAAGCTTCACAGCATCCCCAACGAGATCGTTAAATCAATGCCTTACACTCTGTGGCTTATTTAAAGTTATTTTCATCCATTATAAGAAGAACTGCTAAGCTTCTTCCACTATAGTACTTCTTTGCATGACAGCTACAGACTCCAAAGTATTACTTTCATCCAGTAAATTCAACTTCAAGCCAAAAAAACCTAAAATTTTGATTTTATGCATTTTTATTTAAATTTAAACCATATTAAAGCATTTGAAGTACCCCCTTGACTCTAGCATGTGTCCAAAGGGTTCCACTAATGGAAAAAGCGAAATTTTAAAAGTTTGATGATTTTGGTGTCCTTGGTTCAGGTCGAACTGTCGTGGCTGCCACTTGCCCAGCCTACGAGTCGACTGCAAGACGCCCGGTAGTGCCCCGCCTGAGCCCCAAGCGGAAAGCGCACCGCCGGGCGTGTTGTGGTCGATTCAGACCAGTGCCGCGAAAGTGTAGTGCGAAACCCAGTATATACTACTACTTCCTCAGCACCATCGGCGGCGATTGTGCCAACAACAAAATCACAACAAGCGCCAAAAATAGGAGGCAGTCCAGATGAGTGTTCCAGTCTCGTCGCATCGTATTTTTTACAATCAACTCTGTTTGCGCTTGTCTCTTTACAATCCTCGAGGCGTGCGAAAATCAGAAAAACTGCTCTTCTCCAAAAAACGCCAGAAATAAGACATTCTCAGCGTCTTCTTTCACTTTCGGTGCTGGATTCTATATCTACTTACACAACCTTTTCCCATACGTCTCCTGTATGTGGATCACAAATTCGCGGCAGCTCGATGAACTCGTCTTTGTTCGATCCGATTAGGAGGTAGTCGTGCTGATAGAAGAAGCACTGCTAGTGCTGTTACTGACGGTCCCAACCAAGCCTTTGTGCAACTCGAAATAGCGCACCATGATGAGAGAAGATATAAAGGAGTCACAATGATCATGACGGTTGAGTAGAAAAACAGTCGTGGCAGTCGTATCTGCGTAGTCCTTTCTACTTCTGGCATCGTCAAAGACTCGCTCTTCGCGTTGAGAAGATATATCGAGGGAGAGGCAAATGGATTTTCGAAAAAACTGCTATCTCCAAAGAGGCTTTTCCGTTTCATTAGATTAGGGTAGAAATCGGTCCTAGATACCAGAATATCACAAGGGAGTTCACTATTTTCTCAACCCCCCTTCTAATCGACATTTAGAAACAAGATAGAAGGACAAGCACGAGACCAATACCGGAATATAGAAATAAGACGTTCTTTCGAACATAAAAACATAAAGATGGCTGCTCTGGAGCTTCAAGAGAGCAGACCTATGGAGGAGGAGATGAATGAAACTCCTCCTAGTCGAAATTTCCAAGAAACGGACGTCCTCCAGCAGAGTTCCTCAGGCGAAAAGAAGGTCGAGAAATTCATCAACATCCTCAACTGTGCAGGCAATATACTCGCCAAAATCCCTGTGAGAAACGTATGTCGCAGAACTGAGGATATGAAAGTTGAAGAAGATATTCAAGATCAGAAAGAGAGCTCATCATCTTGCACCGGTACTAGTGCTCGTCAGGACAATTTCAGAGGCGATAGCGATAGGGTACTAGTAGCAAGCTCTGCAGTCAATTCGATTCTTAGTCGTTGCGGATTGCCTTCAATTAAGGACGAATGCCTGCAGATGAAGGAGGATCGTCGGTTGTCGGTGTCATCAGTGTCGACAGATGCGACTACCACGGCTGCAAGTGGCAACAATGATAAGCAAGATGCGATGAATGAGGAGGGCAACCACGAAGAGACAAAGGAGTTGTCAGCAGCTGATATCTGGATGCCTGCTTTGCGTGCGGTATTCAAGCGCTTTTTGTTGTGTGAATGTGCTGACGTGAATCGCGAGGTTTTGAATCTAGTACAAGACGAACTCACTCCCGACGTCACCAACTGGGTCGGTTATTCTCGGCGAACGATCTTTGAGAGCACTGCATTGGTAAAACGTGTGACGATTTCTACTCTGAGCGCGCGTCCGAGTCCGGCACAGAGACCAGCGATGCTGGCGGAACAGGGGAAGACTAGAGCTGGTGACGCGTCCTCGTCTAGGAGACAGCAGGTGAATGATCAGGAGGTAGTGGCTGCAGACATCGCTGGTGAAGGAGGGAACGCTGCTGACGCTCACCGGAACAACGATGCTGATGAAAAACAGGAACAAGACGAAAATCCGCTTCAGAATCAGAGTGAGACGAGTAGCGGCGTCGCAGATTCAGACGACGACTTTTTTTCTGCGCTCCTTCGAGACGAATCCAGTTCTAGTTCACAGGAGAAAAAGAACACGATCAGTTCTAGTGGTAGTGCTAATCAAAATATATCTTCTTCATCCTCAACAAAAACCACCGCATCATCTTCGCGTATGACCCTAGATAGCAATGGGTGTACACAGGAGGAGATCACGAACTGCAAATTACGCATCTACATCGAAAAGAGCAATCGCGCAGCTTGGCTAGAGTTCGCCTACGAGGTGGATGGTTGGCCGATGAAGAAAGAGAGGCCTTTGGCTTACAACAACAACGATATTCGAGCAGTGCGGATTGTGAAGATTATGGTGGAAGGACTGAATCAGGATCGATTGCGACAAATTTTTGAAGTTTTTTATTGACTTGTTGATCAACACCTTCTAGCTCCGGTCTGAAAAGAGTTTGATCTTCTCTTTGAGAATTTTTTGCTCCTGAACCTGATTTATTATTTGAACTCATTCCTGGTCTAAACAAAGCACCTCTTCTGCGACCGCTTTGGAGTTGGATTTGGTCACAGCACTCGGCTTCATGGGTCAGACGTGTCGTCCTCGGAAATTCGTCTTCTTTTTTTCCTGTGGGACTGACCGCGACGCTTTTCTCTCCACGCTGCAGTCTTTGCGGAGCTTTCGTTTCGGTCAAGAAGACGGCGTCCTAGTCGAACATCAATATCACGAGTGGAAGCTAAATGTGAATCAGAACGACGAAAGTCTCAGTGTCTGGGACCGTCGTGACGAACTATGCCGCATCGTCAAGAGCGAAGAAATTCATACACGGATGAAAGAGCTGGTATTGGAACGATCGAGCATTTTGCGGGAAGAGGAAATGTTTTTTTCGAAAAATTTAGTAGAAGGAGCAGAGCTGCTAGATCATGATCAGGAACTCAAGCATGAAACTGACGACATCGGAAAAGATAGGTTACACGAAGAGGCGATGTCCTTGTGGCGCAAGTTTGATCTTTTCGAAGGTCTACTAGCCAATTTACGGAATGTGGACTTGATGCCGGCTGAGGAATTCGGCTGCATGGCTGTTGATGGCGCCGAAGACGAAGGAGAAGCAGAAATGATAGTGGAAAACTTCTATGCAATCGTACCAATTATTGATGGAGGTAGTGTTTGAAAAAATGACTATTCAATTTTGCAAGTGAAATGTAAGGCTGTAGTTCATGTTTGTTTTTTGGGTAGTGAATTTCTTACCCTTACGTGTAGTTTTGGCAATCATTTTTGCAATGTCGTACTTGATAAGCTGAAGCTACTGGTGGGCATGGGCTAGACGTACATTATAAGAACTTTTTTTTGAGAGTCCAACTATGCCGCCATATGATGCATGTAAGATTAAGATGCGAGCTTTTTTTCTACGGATAGGAGTATGAATATGATCTTGATCTTTTTCAACGAATATGAATGAAGTAAGTACTTGCTTGATAGTAGAACAAGATAGCTGTAAGAAGTCTAAGAAAGAAAGTCGTAACAAAGAATATCGCGTTCAGTGCAAGTCAGAAATACCTTTGGTAATGGTAGCATTATACTTGTGGAAATTCGGATATATACCAAGTTCTTTTATCTATCGGATTGAGTAGACGGTCGAGGATAGGAGTTACAGGTCGTTGAATCAATGATATTCGTGAGCTACAGCATGTTGATTTCTCTCATCGAGAAGATGTTTGCTCATTTTTGTCTTTTTGCAGTACTAGTTTTAGTTATACTGGACTAGTAGTTCTTGGCCTCTAAGTATATTCGAAGAATGTAGTTGCAATCGAGCAGGTGATAAATGAGTTCATGGGTAGCTAAGCTGGGTCAGGGTCTCGTTGGGTCTGATTCTACAAAGAAAATAGAGTTAGACGTATTTTTGTGTGGCTCAGCTAGCTGTTATTTGCGAATTGTGTACTTATGTGTGAAAGCTAAAAGGATGAACAGAGAAACTTGCAGCTCAGATAGGTCCATCTGGTTAGTTGGCAACAAGGGTAAACAAAGAAGCTGGAGGCAGTTTCGCGTTTCTCTTGGCCGGCATCTGATTATGGTTGAGGTGGTGGCATTTTTACTTTACACGCCATTCCTCAATTGCATCGATTCTCGTCTTTCTCATTCTCTTTGCTTCATACAATCAACTTCATGCTCATGTTCTTGTTGTTTATTCTCCAGAAAAGTAGGCATAGAATCGTTTGTCGCTTTCATGTGACTCTTTCAGATGGGAAGAAACTATGTACTTAGACTAATAGCAGCTGCATCCCCGAAGGCTAGTCATGTCTAAGTTACGCCCCGCGTCGAGCTACAAGCGGCAGACGAGGCATACGCTGCGGATCTGGGTGCAATTGCCACAGCATTTGGAAAAGGCGCATGAGAATAGGTTGACTCTGGGAAAACAAGGGGAATTCCAAACCCGAAGAATCATCTTCCTGATGGAAGATGTCGCAACTGCACTAGTTTGTCATGCGAATCAGAGGGAGCCGACGATGTGATCAACAACTACAGGAAGAAATTTGATAAGGTGCCGACTAGACTTCCCAGCTAAAGACTGTGAAAATTTCACCAAACAAGAATATCATGCCATGCACATTTAGATAGCGCACTGCGATACAGACTGCTTTCATAGTCCTCCGATAAGATGCTTCTGTAAACGATGAGGTGCTCCACAATTTCCTTCATGGACGAAATGTTCAAGTAGTTTCGAAGTCGGTCTGTTCTATGTCTTTGCACGTCGGTCTTTGTGGGTCGATCTTCTTGGTAGTCGCGAAAACGTACTTTTTTTTTCGGCAAAGCGTCGTTCGCGTTTGTTACAAAAAGGGTCGAGACAAAAAGGAAAGGCACGAGACTAAAGGCAGTTTTTTCGCATCCTGGTCGTTTCGTCTAAAAATCGACATCCTCCATCATCCCAGCATCCCAACATACAGCATATCGGACCCCGCCCTCCTCAGTACGTTTTACAAACAAAACGGTAGACCTCTGAGTTTGGATACTCAGTCGTCTTGTCGATTGTTTTTTGTGGGTTATTTTGATAGGCCACACGAAATAGAATATGTTGGTTACCTGGTGGCCTTAAGAGAGCAATTGTAATCCCTCTCAAAAACCTACTAGTTTAATCCCTTCTAAAAGAGCAGTTTGTCGTCGTGTATAAGTTTGTGTTTAAATAAGGTTCTTTTCACAAAAGTAATTGAAACTTAGCGCGCTGCGATATATAAGACATCTCGCAACCACGCCTCACGCTCGGCGCATTCCTTCCTCCATAATCTATCAAGAGTTAGAGATCCTTCATCTTCTTACTTTTCACTCTGTTCCACTCAATTTCACTTTTAGCGTGATCAAACCATGGGGCTGCCGCTGCTTATTTGTGGGGCTGTGCTCCAATTGGTGCACATCGTGAAGAGGAGCATGCATCAGGTGGAGCCGCCGACAGCCGGGACCACTCAGCTGCCGATGCTCAGCGCGATCGATACTGCAAATGTTGTTGCTGATGGGAATGTAACGGCTGCCGCTGTGGTTACTAGAACTGCGAGCGCAAGCTGCAGGGGTGAAAACGCGTCAACATCTGCAACGGCTGCGTCTCCATGCAATGCTAGCGGAAATGGCGCATGTTTGTCGCTGTTGGAGCGTGGTGACAGCGCTGGTGCTGCGTCTGCGATGCATGGTACGAACGGAGCGGCGAACAGAACTTCCAGTTTTAATTCTGCTGCAGGTATCAAGCCTAATCTGATGATCACTGAAGCTGACAACGTCGAGGTGGATCATGCCGTGCAGGTAACGAGTAACTACAATATTGCGAGCAAGAATACTAGTGATAATAGCACTGGTCGCACGGTGGATGTGATTGCGGAAGTAATCATGCCTGGCCCTCAGTTGGAAAGCGATGCTATTGCAGCAAACTGGACGGACAAGAACCACAACGAAGCCTGGGATTCTGAGGTAGAGAAGGCAGATCCTTTGACTGAAGAACAGCGTGAATTCTTTACGGAGGCTTTGAATATGGAGGCCAAGATGAATCCGGAGGCCTCGAAGCCGATGGCCACCCTGTTTGTGTCGACGACGGCAACCGAGGAAACGCAGGAGACGAAACCAGAAGCCAATATTTCCATGAATTTGGGAGGAAACTTAACGGCCTCTAGCGCAGCAGCAGCAAACCCAGTGCTGCAGAAAGCACTCGGGACAGACCCGAATGGCGTGATGAGCGTGGCTCTGTCGGTATTTGAGGAAATAGATATGTCACTGTTGTGCAGAAGTCTACGTAGTGATTTGGAGGAACATGAAATCTCTTTGTTTTTCTCCAATTGAAGAAAATTACCTTAAATATTATACTTAGTTCATCAACTACTTCCACATCCACCCACGTATAAAAACATGATCATCACAAGTACGACTTTCAACAATCATGTCACTATATCGGAAGAAGTCAACAACCTGATATCGTCACCTCTTTCTTAGTTGACGACGACGACCGCGACTGTGACAACGTCCATGGCCACTGAGACCTCGACGACGGTTAGGACGACAACGGTGATCGCAACGCCTGTGCCGCAAGAAGAAGAGGCCACTCGTACCTTCACTGGGACGAACGGCTCTGCAGTGAACTTCACGACAAGCGCCCAAGTCAGGGAGGCAATCGAAAAGGCAACTGCCGAAACCTATGTCGATTTGGGAGTCTCTCATGTGCAACCAATTACTTTCAGCACAGTGGATTTGGCCGCCGCTTCACCGAGCATGCTCATGCTACAAGAGGAAGAGAAGAGTACTATTTATTTTATCTACAAAGATTGCGATTTGGCGTCGCTCCCAAGAGATAAACCTCCTCGAACATGAGGGCGTTATACTTTGTGAATCTCCACTAGTGAAAGTGAACGATCTCTAGCTTTCAACGGAGCTAATCTCTAGCTTTTGTGACAACTACAACTTCCACACAGCCGCATCAGCTAATCTCTAGCATGTGACAACTACAACTTCCACACAGCCGCATCGACCGGATCGACGAGCAGGAGCATAGCGACGGCTTGCGCGCTTTGTTTGATAGCCGTTCTGGGTTCGTTTTTTTTTCATTTCGCTCTTGGGAAGTGCGAGGCAAGCAACCGAACGGGCGCGAAGCGTGAGGACATGATGACGCCGTCAAAGGGGTTGGCCAGTGCCGTCAGCGAGTGCGCTGTAGTGGATGACATGCAACAACATGAAAACTCAGAACGAGCAGACGAAGATCAACATCTCGTGTCTTCTGATGAAGAGGGTCGTGTTGTTGATGAAGAGGCGGATGAAGAAGAGAATCCAAACGCTCTTACCCCTGCTGACAAACATGCGGATGGTAAAGAGGACAACGAAAGCGTTTTTGAACAAGAGTCCTCGGAACACTCGTCGGCTGGCGAGGGAATGGCGAAGGATTATCTTCAAGCGGGAGGCGATAACGACAGCGATTCTGATGGAGAATTCCGTCAGGCTGGACAAGACGGGGAAGAAGCTGCTGCTGGTGCAAGTCAAGCGGAGGAAGATGCATACGCTATGGACCACGCCGAATCTTCTCCGATGAACAATAAGATCTACGATAGCAATCACGACGAAGATGAAGTGGAGTCTGCTTCTCCTGGGGATTCTCCATCGCCTACGGATTCTCTCTCTCCTGTGGATGAAGAACAAGAGATATACGAGGCTTGGGCGCCCCACCTGTTTGAAATGGATGAAGGCTCAAGTTCAACTACTACGGGCGAAGTGAATGCTTTGCCTTCTTGTAGAGCCTCCAAAGACGGGAGTAAATCTACTTGCGAAACCACAGCCGCGGCATCGTCGCCTTGTCCTACTACAGATGACGAAGAGCCACAGTCTCTGGTGCCGCCGTATCCTGCAGATGGAGTGCTGCCTGTGGGCTCTTTTCTGCCCTTCCAGCAGGACGCGCCACTGGCTACAGCCACCGGGGGAGGCGCAGAAGCAGACGGCCGGGCCCAGGAGGTCGCTGCGCAGGTGGTTCACAGCATGTTCTTCAAAAAAGCGCGACAAGGCTCATCGTCTAGTAGTGTACTAACTAAACCCATCTTGGACGCGCCTCCTGCCCTGAGGACTGGGACTTTGGCGGTTCCTTTCTCTCTGGTCTCACCTGCGCAGCTGGAAGACTTGCTCAATGCTGTCGGGCGCATATTTCTAGCCGAGGGCATTGTCGTGAAGCCTGTGCACTCCCTGCCAACGAAGGTCTTCGGGAGCCTTCACGGACAGTTGGTCGATCTGCTTACTTTTTTCCAGAGTTTCGGGTTTCCGCACTTGAGCCTTGAGTTAGGCGACCTAAGCTACACACACTACGTCTTCCTTGGCGACTACGTGGATCGTGGAGCGCAGAGTCTAGAACTTCTCACTTTGTTATTCGCGTTGAAGTTGCAGGCGCCAGAACGGGTCACGTTGCTGCGCGGACACCACGAAAACAGACACGTGAATGCGCATCTCGGGTTTCGCCAGGAGTGCGAAGCGCGTTTGCCCCCTGGCGATGGGGCTCGGCTCTACGACATGATCAACCGTACATTTGAGTTGATGCCACTCGCATGTCAACTCCGGAGTGGCTTTCTCTGCTTGCCAAATGGGTTGCCAAGACTCCTTGACCATGAACTACGAGAACACAGAACTTCTGCTGCTGGTTTGCGAAGCTTGACGCATTTGGAATCTCTGATGGGGACGAAGCCTGTCATCGTCCCGCGCCCACAAGCTCTGCACTCAGGCGACGACTTGAGCGAAAGCGAATTGTTTCTCGTCCGCTACTTCTATCCGCATTTATCCGAGGTGTCTGGCAGTAGTGAGAAGAGCGGGTCCACAGAGGAATTTCTTCGAGAGAGTGGTGGGCTCTGTGCGGTGATCACCAGCAGGCGGATACCCGAAGGCGGTGCTGCGCTAGCTCCCCTTTCTATTGCTGAAGCAGAAGATGGCAGGGGAACACAGAGGGACCAGTCATCTTCTGAAGGAGACAGGCAAGAAGAGAAGGCAGACCCCAGTCGTCTAAATGAAATCAGCTTGGTGAGCTGTGCTGATGTCGGTGGACTGACGCGAAATCGAGCGGCTATGCTCCAAATAGTCTGCGATAGCAAGATGAACACTCATCGAGTCGTCATAAGGCGCGTTGCGAGTGGCCCCTCGTCAGTCGCATGGGAGCTTTTTGTAGAGCTATTTTGTGGCGGATCTGTTGCTCTAGGTCTAGGTGTCAGCGAAAATCCTGAAGGGGAGGAGGAGAATGGAGTGAGTAGAACAGCAGAATCGCATAAGGAAATGCGACACCTTGTGTGCGCAGTCCCGGAGACCTGCGCTCAGTTCTCTCGATGGCCAGCGCAGCCCATGGCGCTGACTCCTCGTCGAGTAGTGCACAGCGCACATTCTTCTTCAGAAGACACATTGTGTGTAGAGTTGCTCTATCCGATAGATGGTTCTGCGCCATTCACTAGAACAGACAGGCTGAAGCCTGCCGCTGTGATGGCACTAGATACGGCGGACCGGGTGGATATTGCCAGCCTGAATCCCCTACTTTTGCGGACGCATAGCACTGGCATGCCACGAGGAGCAGAAGATGCTGGCACAGGTCCGCTTCAACCACGAGTGTGGGGGAAGGCTCTTTCAGTGTTTGACTCGCTCGTCTCGTACAACGGCGAGTCCCTCCTATCTGTGAGTGAGCACGCAGTGGTGGATTGGCTTACAGAGAGGACACAAGGAGATACGTCGTTGGGCGCGACGGCAGCGGTGCGATCGGGAACGCTAGCGCGCTGGGTCCGAAGCTTTCTCGTATTCCACAGGAGTAGCACAGAGGCAACAAATTCGCAGATCACTGCAGCCGACTTCTTGTGGGGCATAGTCGCGAGCAGCGGCTCCGTCTCCCTGAGCGAGGAATCCTTGGCGACACGCTTTAGCAACTACGCAGTGTTCGCGCGTGCGGCAGTCGTACTGCAACTCCGCGCCGACGAGGGTGTATCAGACTGGGACGATGGTGGCGCACTTTTAGAACATAGCGCGACACGCTACGGAAGTGCAGATGCTCTTGACTTTTTCCGTGACATATTTTCCCATTTTTTGTGAACGATGGATAAGTAGTAAGTACTCAAACTCAAGACTCGCATCATCAAAAGACATCGACTTGTTTTTTCATCAAAAATCTCGACACCAAACACAATGTTGCGTAACGATGTCATCAAAAGATGAAACTGTGAACTTTTCTTTTTGCTCTGGGCGCGAATGATGTAAAGTTCTTTGTTGATGTAAAGAAAGGGTTCTAAAGTTAATGTAAATAGTTTGGACAGAACTGCAAGATAAGTAAAAGGCTAGCTACGATGAAAAAGAAAGTTAGAGTAAATAGTTGGAAGTCAGGTTTTCTCATGCACAGTTGAACTCTTAACTTTATGGAAGTTCAAGTGATTCCTTTCACGTGAGCCCTTATTGAGCTTTTTTTTTCTCTCCTCTCTCGTTGGTTCGCAAGTGAACTATCTACTCTTCTGCTGGTCTTGTCACATCGATTCATCTCGCGTGTAGGTGCCATGTGCCTATTATGGATGCACAGAATAAGCAAGTTATGTATATCAAGCTTCTAGCTGTTGTCAATTCTAGAAAGGAAGTTATGAATTTTGTATGTAATCAAAAGATGAAACTGTGAACTTTTCTTTTTGCTCTGGGCGCGAATGATGTAAAGTTCTTTGTTGATGTAAAGAAAGGGTTCTAAAGTTAATGTAAAGTTTGGACAGAACTACAAGATAAGTAAAAGGCTAGCTACGATGAAAAAGAAAGTTAGAGTAACTAGTTGGAAGTCAGGTTTTCTCATGCACAGTTGAACTCTTAATTTTTTGGAATAGAAAGTGATTCCTTTCACGTCAGCCCTTATTGAACTTTTCTTTTCTCTCCTCTCTCGTTGGTTCGCAAGTGAACTATCTACTCTTCTGCTGGTCTTGTCACATCGATTCATCTCGCGTGTAGGTGCCATATGCCCATTAATGGTGCACAGAATAGAGTAGTTAAATGTATATCAATCTTCTATTCTAGGGAGAATGTTATGACTTCTAGCACGCAAGTGAACTGTTGCTATCAATCGTGTTGCTGGTGGCAGCGTGAATGTCTATGAGGATGAACGCCTTCTACTCAGGTTGTCAGAGAGCCAATAGGTAAGCTCAAAGAAACCAAATTTTGAAAAATGAAAATCATGTCGAAATAGCATATAAAAATAAGATGAAACGGAAAAGCAGGTGCTCACCAACAGTGTCGTGTTCTAGTTATTGTGATTTTGTCGCGGACTTCGCAAGTTTGATCGAAGTGAAGCGCTTTTTGTTGAGCTCATCTTTTTTGAATTTCATACAGCTTTGCACGATGTATGATCATGGAAAGTCAGATTTCTATGCTCTTCTGTTTTATTTTCCTGCGAAAATAGCAGAGATAAAACTAATATAATGCGACAGAATAGAATAAGAACACGCCATGCATTCTACATTATATAACGGACTAGTAAAAACTGGCATATCCTGACTTGATCAAGATGAGAGGTTTTTCATGAACAAATTAGATTATCCTCCTCATGAGAAGAATAAAAAATGACGGCAGATCATGCTCTTGCTAGAGAACAGACAGGTTCTACGGCCTCGACTGGGTCTACGGCTGGGACTGGCTTCATGTCTATCTTGGCGAAGCGGGTGACAACTTTTGCCGAGAGTGTTGAACAACTTGAAGTCCTCTGGCAAGGGATTCTTCGACTACCTTTTTCCGAAAGCGGGGATTCACGATGTTTAAGGTTGACTACTTCGTTGTGACAGAACTACTTTTTTTTGCTATAATTTTCAATTCGCTCTCACCTCACAGTACTAAGGTTTTTTAGTATGTACGTAATAATTTTTCAGTACGTAGTACGTTGTCACAGTACTGATTTTTTTCAGTACTACTTTCTTTCAGATGTCCAAGAAGTATGTACGTACTTACACTGACTTTGCTTGCATATAGAGGAGATCGAAAATCAACACGCATGATCATGGTCTGAAGTACCTCACGAGTGCCTACTAATATGACAACTATCGAAATCTATCTAAGTAAGTGGGAATTTTATGTCAGTACTAGACAAAGACATAACTAATCTAAGGCCTTTTGTGGCGGCGGCGTGGAGGCACCCTAGTATCCTACTAAGTAGAAGGCGCTTTAGAACACGCTGCAAAAACCCTATGCGCGAAATGATAGAAAGATACGAAAAAGCAACGTCATGGTAAGAGGACTTAGTACTTGAGAATATCAAAGTATAGCTTACTTTAGTATATCTACCAGCTTCGTTTAATTTTGTTTTACTTCCGCTCAATCATCTTCTTCATGAGAAATTACTGACGGGCTGCGTGCTTCGCCTCCTGCTGCGATTGGAACACCTGTACCTGTTGGCACAAGCAGCAATGGCACCACAATCAATGCCACTGGTACAGCAATCGCCAGTGGGCATCCTACTTCTACTGTCAGCGCTGGAACAAGTAGTATCACTTCTAGCAGCCTTGGTGCCGACGCCGCGCTTTTGAGCAGCGACACTCTTCTCCGACTAGGATTCAAGTGCTTGCTCGCATTGGCAAATGTTGCTACTGCTTCGGACTTTGCGAGTTCAGGTCTTCTGTTAAGGCTATAATAAATCATTATCATATTTTTCGTTGTTCACAACCCAAAGAACCTAATCTAACCATCTAATGCATCTCTAACCTTAGGCTAAGCTTTTCTAACCTATCCTAACCTAACCTAGTAGCGGAGGGTCCACCAGCACAACCTAATCGAATCAACTCTAGGAGAAAGCAAAAGCTGACTTGTACATATAACTCTTCAAGGAGTGGACATCAACGTGAAAGAATTTTTTTTATGAGTACTTACATGATCAAGAGGACGAGACTAAAGTTGAACAATCTAAGTCTACTGGCCACATCTTCTAGTGCCAGTGACGATGCGACGAGGTCTCGAAGGATCAGCAGAAGGGGTGCTGGCTCCAAAGGAACAGGCGAAGGTGAACGCGGATCCAATTATGGAAGAAAAAGCCGTATTCTCTTGTGGAATTATAAGAAGTGAGCAAGAACCACGATTCATCTTCGCACTCCTGTATTTTTCCAGGAGCACTGAAAAAGAACCCTTATAAACTGTTCTATTATAAGGTATTTTTCCAGGAGCACTGAAAAAGAACACATTATAAGGTAGCTTTCATGAAGATACTCCTGTGGTATTCCACTGAGGAACTTTTTCTTCTAATATCTTTGTCTCTTGGGAGACATTGTTCGCTGGGTTTCGCGGATGTCTATCGCGCAGGGATGCGCACATCGCACCGTTGCCGTTCTACGTGCGATACTCTTGAAAAATAGAAATACTAGTGCATCTACTGGTACAAGTACTACATCGACTGGTTCTACTAAACAAGAGCCAGGAGGAGGAGGAGCAGGAGGGGCTACAACTACAACATCTTCGGGTTCAACGCCTTCGGATCGAATTTCTGTGGTATCCGTAGAATTCCTACTGTGTTGTATACACGCAAGGACTCCGCACTTAGCATCTTTGGTGTTGGAAACGAAAGGATCGCAGCCGGGTGTGGAACAGTACTACAGCTTTTATCCAAGCTATTAGTGTAACAATTTACAGGCTATTGCGTGTTAATATTAGTCGCGTCGTATAAAAAAGTTAGCCACCAATAAACTCGAAAGTCAGCAAATGCAGCAAGAAACTCGAAAAATAGAAATTGTTGTCAGAAGTATGAAAAGTTTCACTACTTACTCAACTTAAGGGAAGTGCCTCTCCTTCTAAACTACACGTCAACTCTTTGTTTGTAGAGATCGCCATCATCTCTTCCTGTGGTATCTATAAGTGTTTTTAATGTGACTGCAGGTCTGCGTCGCTTCCTGTGGTGTGCTCTGTTCCCGAATTAAGCGGAGTGGACTATTTCAGTTTCCTTTACTTAGCCGGCGTGAATATGCTCATGCTACATCGTTTTGCTGCTGCCCAGCGGTTTTTCATTGCCTTGCTGATGGCGCCCACGACCAGCTTGAATCGAATGCAGATGGATAGCGTTCACTGGGTCGCCTTGATCGGGTTGGCAACGCTGAGTGGCGCACCTCCATCGGCCAAATGGGCAGCGACCTCTCTTCTGGGCGAACCCTGCTCTTCAACATCAAGATCTGCGAGTGCGAAAGCAGTGTCCTCGAGAAGTGCGCAGATGCTGTTCGATGTCACGGGAGCAGGTGCAGGCGTCATCCAGAGCCCTAACCGGATGTCCATAACAGGTGGAAGGGATGGAGGTGGAGGAAACTACAGAAGACAGTCGCGCGAGCCGCGGGAATTGCAGATGAGCCCGCATCTGATGCCGCCAAGTGGGGGGCCCCACTTCGGACATGAGGACTTCGATTACGGCAGTTTAGACTCGATGGACGGAGACCAAGATAGGATTAAGGCTTCCCGCCCAACTTCATCTCAAGAAGCATCTTGGAAGCTGCGGCTTCAAGGGGAAAAGTGGTCAAAGATGCTCTCCCAGATGAATATTAAATAAGGGAGGGTCCTCTAATAGGCGAAATCTTCTGGCCCAGCATCACTACAGTACTAATGCTGGTGCAGGAGCTTCTAGCAGTAGCTCTTCGTTCGTGAACGCAATGGGCCATCAAATGATGGATTTGAGCCATGCAACATCCAAGTGGCACGCAGGATACTCAAGCAGGCACAAGCAAATCGCGATGGACGTGCTAGTGAGAATGAACGGTCGCGACGCGCACTTGCTACAGTTAAGGCTACCTCCGAGACAGCATACTGGCTGCTTGACACCATCTTCATCCTTGGCTATTAATTTTCCTAAGAGGAAAAAGAAGTCTACTTATCCAAGGACGCTATTACTCTGCTCATAGAGGAAGTAGATGCGACTGAGGTTGTACTTCTAATACACCTTGGTCGCTTGGCGCAGATGCTGCTTCCCCCACAGACACCCAATGCCGTACAACGTTACGCCCGAAGCAGGCCATGGCTTTGCGATTTAGAGCAATCTTTGTGCTGGCCATGGGAGGTGGAGCGTGCTGCGACGCGGCTCTTGACAGCTGTAGTTATGATGACGTGATTTTTTGGAGTTAGTACGTAGTGATTCATCAATGTCGACTACTTAAAACATCTTGGTATACGCAAGATACATCTCATGTACTTACAACATCCTGAGATTGTATACAAGATAGTTAGATGATACCTAGAAAGACTCGTCTCTCATGTACTCACAATATCTCGTTATATGCAGGTAGAGGCCACTTCTTGAGGCGGTGGAGGGCAGACACTCAGTCTGACTCTGCTAGAATAAGAAAGTAGCACAAATAAAACTAGCTTCACCGAAAGAAAAAGACGCGCTTCTATCTCGAAAAAAACTAGTATCTACGTTGCAATCACCATCATGCAGCAGAACGTAAAATCACAAGAGAAATTGAAATTGTCACTAACGTCGATGCATGGAAACTATGACCGAGTATCTTCCTATGTCTGTGTCAGTCACTGTCTCCGTCAACACTGTCTAATGCAAGAAGTGGTTGCGGGAAGCGAGCAGAGCAAGATGTACAAGCTCCAGCACAGCGAGAGCACGCTTTAGCCTATGCTGGAATTCTGTGTGATCTCGAAAGTTCGACCTTGGCGTATCCAGCCTTGGAGCGAAGTTTACTACAGTTAAGGCGACATCAATTTCTCCGAACTTCTATCAGCAGAGTGATCGTTTCTCGAAGATTTCATTCTCCCTCACCTTCATGTCGTGGTGTGCTGAGATGTAAAACCTGCTCTAGTGAATTAGACTGTCATCATTGTTCCTACTAGTTTCTACGTGTTGTTTTCCTGATCTGATTGGAGAAGGATCACTTTTCCTGCTCGAAAACGAAATAGAACGTTTAAATCAATGGGAGTACGACGTATTATGTAAGCAAGCTCTAATGCAGGACCTTCTACTGCGAGTAGTAGAGCGCAGTCGCATGCTTGTCGTGTTGGCTTCGGCGCGAACGCACAAGAGTATGAGCATTGGAATGCTTGCGCGAAGACAAGCAATAGTCGGCAAAAGGCAACTTCTAGTTCAAACTACCAATGCTCAAATCACGGTTGAGGGCGCGCGTGCAAGTGGTGCAGCAGGTGGAACAGTCCTCGGGGAAGTCGCAGAATACGGTGAGTCATCCTCCATATTGTTAAGGCTCAAGTTCTACAACAAGTACATTAGATAATCACGAATAATTAGGGTTTACAACTGTAAAATAATATTCAAATTTATTCTTCCCGCCACCGGACCCGGTGGGGTACGGACAGGCTAGGAGGCCTACAAGTAGAAACGGGACGAGTGCGTGGACTCTTCCCACAGGCACTGAATTTCTCTCCATTGCAGTTTTCTTCTTGGCTATTACTGAGAATAGTACGAGTAAGTAAAGATGGAGTATTTCCTTCATCCTGGATTCTGAAGTAAGCAGTATGACCTGATATTATACATAGGTAAAGGCGAGCTGTTTTCTAGTAGTGGAGTGATTCTCTCACTCGTTTTTGTTTTTCTAGTTAGAGCTCTACCGGAATTTAGTGCGTTGACCGCTAATTGATGGCGCGGCGCAAGGCAATGGAGAAGCTGGCGGAAGCGTGCCGACTAGCGCAGACAGCGACGCAATGGAGATCGTAAATCCTGTGTCAGGAATCCCTACATCTGCGGTTAAGAGTTCAGTTGTAAATTTAGTCCATTTTTTTTTGGGAGAAGTTAAGTACACGAGTGTACAGAAAGATTTTAGGAATTTTACTACGTAGTATAAGTTCAGATTTTGTTGAGTAGACGTAGAGAAATCAGCTCAGTACGAGTAGAGAAAGATAAAAAACTGCAGCTTTGCTTCTCATTCTCAAGATCGGAATTATAATGGGTTGATATCCTAATGTGCTTGTGAGCTTTCTAAGTTTCTCAACATCGGATTTATCGATGAATATCCTCTGTATGTATCCAGGAGCTACTTTTGAGACTAGTTCTAAGGCAGAGGTAGAGGAGCATCGGCCGTCAATAGCGGGTTTCCTCGAAACAGGCAGTCCTGGAAAACAGCAGACGAAAGAATTGACTGCTCCTCCGGATACGGAAGATGCTCATATTTAAGGCTAATGCAAACGTAGGAGACTGTGTAAGTTGTACTCCAAGACTTCCGACAAGGCTACTTATGACCTTGAAAGGATTTTCTAAGCAGAATCTATCGTGAGAGGTAGACGTAGATCATGATGAATGAGTATCTTCTAGAAACTACTGAAATTTAGTCAACAAGTAGTAGAATGGTGGAGTTACTACAATTACTGGAAAGGTCTACTTCTACTATGCAATCTCCAAATTACGAGAAATACTGGAAAGTTCCACTAGTACAAATACGCGAGAATGTACTACAGATGCAACTAGCCTCCACAAGCTTCGCCCGGCTTCAAGTTAGTTTAGCACTTTTCTGCGGCCTCCCACGGGCTACAGCCGCTAGAGTAGAGACAGCCCGCGGGTGAGCTGATGCACCTTACGAATTGACTACGACAGGAGCCGAGTGCCGGCGGTGGCCGACTCAGATGCGTCGACTCATGTGCAGGGCATTGCGCTGCCTTCGGTTTTTTTTTTAGATTGCCGGGCGGGTCATGCAAATTCTTAAGAATTTGCAAGACCCCCACGGCAGTCCAACAAAAAAACCAGAAGAGAGCCACCAGACACGCACAAGAATCCGCAAGCCCCAACGCACGCAAGCGCCTCGCGGTGGCGCCAGGCAAGAACGAGGGGCGACCTTGATGGGCCAAACAAGACAAAGCAACGCAGGGCCGCGCTGCTTGGGTCTCTCTACGCGCTTACACCTGGCGGGGCTTCTTTGTTTCGTCAGATGTCTCTCGTCAGAAACAGGCGGGCGCACTTCGCGGGGTCGTGCGGCGTCGCGCTTCGGGCTGTGGCTGAAGCCTCTCGGCTGGCTGACGTCTTTCACCAAGCTGGAGACTAAGGCCCTCCATCAGGCTGATGCCGTTCGTCAGAACAACGCTCTGCGCCAGGCTGGCGGCGTTCGTCGGGCAGGCCGGCGCCCCTCGGCAGGCGTCTTGGGTCAGGCTGAGGCTTTTCGTCAGGGTCGGGCGACGTCTCTCGTCAGGCTGAAGCGCTTCGCCTGGCTGACATTCCTCGCCGGGCCGAGACTCACGCCTTTGGTCAGGTTGATGGCTTGCTTCAGCTCGGCGCCGTTCGTCAGGCTGATGCACTCGCCAGCCAGGTGAGGCCTCTCGCCAGGCCGGCGCAATGCTTCGCCAGGCGTCTGCCTTGCGTCGGAGGGAACAGGCTGAGCGGGGCCTTTCTTCGGGCTGCGGATGTCTTTCCTTCGTAAGATTGACCCCGTTCTTTCGTCGGACTGACGTGCTTCGCCAGATTGACCGCGTTCGCCGGACTGACGTCCTTCGCGAAAGGTCTTCGCTATCTTCAAGGGCCTCGCGCCACAGGGAGGCCTCGCGTCAGTTTTTCTGGCGGAGGTCGTTCGTCAGATGTCTGCTGTCGCGGGTCTCACTCTTGTCGTGTCGGAGGTCTTGGGCCCAAAGGTCGTCTTTGGTCCACGCACAGGTCGCCGGTGGTCCACAGGTCGCCTGTGGCCCAAAGGTCGTCTTCGGTCCAAAGGTCGGCTTTGGTCCAGAGGTCGTCTGTGGTCCAGAGGTCGCTTTTGGTCCAGCGGCCGTCTTTGGTCCAAAGGTCGCCTTACTTTGGTCCAAAGGTCGCCCTACTTTGGTCCAAAGGTCGCCCTACTTTGGTCCAGAGGTCGAAGGGTCGCCTTACTTTGGTCCAAAAGTCGCCCTACTTTGGTCCAGAGGTCGGCGCACTTTGGTCCAAAGGTCGGCTTACTTTGGTCCAAAGGTCGGCTTACTTTGGTCCAAAGGTCGCCTTACTTTGGTCCAAAGGTCGCCTTACTTTGGTCCAAAGGTCGCCCTACTTTGGTCCAGAGGTCGCCGGGTCGCCTTACTTTGGTCCAAAAGTCGCCCTACTTTGGTCCAGAGGTCGGCGCACTTTGGTCCAAAGGTCGGCTTACTTTGGTCCAAAGGTCGGCTTACTTTGGTCCAAAGGTCGCCTTACTTTGGTCCAAAGGTCGCCTTACTTTGGTCCAAAGGTCGCCCTACTTTGGTCCAGAGGTCGCCGCACTTTGGTCCAGAGGTCGCCTGTGGTCCCGCGGTCGTCTTCGGTCCCAAGGTCGTCTTTGGTTTCAAGGTCGTCTTTGGTCCCAGTGTCGTCTTAAGTCCCAAGGTCTCCTGTGGTCCAGAGGTCGCCTGTGGTCCAAAGGTCGCCCCTGGGTCAAAGATCGCCTTTGGGCCAAAGATCGTCTTTGGGTCAAAGATCGCCTGTGCTCCAAAGGTCGTCTTTGGTCCAAAGGTCGCCTTTAGTCCGAAGATCGCCCTTGGTCCAACGGTCGCCCTTCGTCCAAAGCTCGTCTTTGGTCCAAAGATCGGCTTTGGTCCATGTGTCTTTGGTCCAAGGTCTTTGCCCTTTCGGTGGGCGGTCTTTCGTTGGCTGTCTCTCTTTGGACTTTTCTCCCCAGCTTGCGCCCCCACCCCCGTCGGCCATTTTTCTGCCTTCTTTTCTGGTGGTCTGCCACGGGGCCGCAACGTAAATCCCAACAAGGAAACGGCCGGAGGCTATCGGGCTTGAGACTGAGGGGAAAGGGCAGGAGACTATGGGCAATAGCTTCGCGAAAGAAGCTGACTAATCTCCGGTGGGTTAGGCGGGGAGTTTTATGGCGGCGATCAATGGCGAGATTAATAATATAGATTAATAATATAGATTAATAATATAGATTAATAATGTAGATTAATAATGTAGATTAATAATGTAGATTAATAATGTAGATTAATAATGTAGATTAATAATGTAGATTAATAATATAGATTAATAATATAGATTAATAATATAGATTAATAATGTAGATTAATAATATAGATTAATAATATAGATTAATAATATAGATTAATAATATAGATTAATAATATAGATTAATACTAATAGATTAATAATAATAGATTAATAATAATAGATTAATAATAATAGATTAATAATAATAGATTAATAATAATAGATTAATAATAATAGATTAATAATATACATTAATAATATAGATTTTTTTTTTGTTATGTTTTTTATCTATCAACTTATAATAATTTTTGTAGCAATGTATCCACCCTCACTTCTAAGACCTGTTGGTCGACGGCGAAGACTCTATCGGAGCAGGAAGTCTGCCTCACGACACTTTGCCGTTGCAGTCTCCAGAATCGTCGGTGCTTGAACGTGGAGACGGTAAACCGCGAAAACGAGGTCGTGAGGAAGATTATGGCTTCAGCTAAATTATACCTTATCCTTATCCAGCATCTTCAAACAGTAAGTACAGCCCCCATCTTATCCATCTTAACATCTTGAGATAGTACTAATTTTACATATCTACCTTCAGAGGGTACTAACATTTTGGAGCTGTCTCATGAAGAGTCATCCCTGTTCAAATTAGATTTGGAGCTCTGCGCTACCCTTAGGACTAGGAGGAAGTAGAGAACAGGAGCTCCAAGATTTGATGAATCTCTAAGAAGATGATAGCAATCACGACGAGCAGGAAGAGTCTCGGAACGATCTCCCAGGTGGCAGCTCCTCCTCCGGAGAGGCCGACTTACTCGAAGATTTCGCTGTTGTAGGTAGTCATTGATGACGTTTTGTCCTTGAAGATTCTTAATAGATCATGGTACAGAAATAAAATGTAATAAGAAAGTTGTTGTCTACGGCTGTGTAATAAGAAAGTTGTTGTCTACGGCTGCGTTAATCCGCTTGAGCATGCAGGTAAAACTGTGGATGGCGGATCAGATCCTTAATCCTTATTTAGAACAGGGTCTAGTGAAGGTCTAGTACTAGTAATTTGCAATGTTGAATTACATGATGGAGAGCATAACGATGACAGATGCATCTGCGTGTCTTGTCTTAAACCAGATTATCCTGAAGGCAGTGCGCAATTGATCAACGAAGCCCGAACGCGATCGAGGGCTAAAAGACAGCAGAAACGCAATCCTGGCTCTCCACCCTTGCGAGTACTTTCTACTTCAACGATATCGAATTGCCTTTTTTTTCACCTCCACCATTACCGTTTCAAGCAGAGTCTCTTTTTTTCGTAAGCAACAGAGTCCAACATTATTATACTAGTTCTTTCAGACAACTCAATTGTATCTATAGTTTTACCTTCAAAAATTACCACTCTACTAGCAGGGAGGTGGAAGTGCGTCCTCATCGATTGCGAGGCAACAAGCTAAGGAAGGACATCGCGGCTCTGCAGCCCTTCAGTACGCGGGACCGCGCACTCTGTCTCGCCCCTTGGCAGAAGTTTGTCGGAGAATAGCCGCTGGCGATAGTACCTGTCCAGGAGGCGTCGTTGACGCTGTGGCGGATGCAACTTCGTCGTCAAGTGCAACTTCTTCTAGCAGTAGCAGTTCGTCGTTGCCGCCAGTTGCCGCCAGTTCAGGAGGCCACAGTAGCTGCAGTTCTGCAGGACTTCCCAAACCAGAAGATGCAGTTCTGCAGAAACTGAGAGCCAAGTACGCGCAGCAAGCGGAGACACTGCTGGCTGCACTCGCTGTGAACGGAATTTCGATAGAAGATCAGTTGTCATTCGTCGGCGACTTACGGCGGCTGGAAGGCAGTGCCGCACCGCAGCTGTTGCAGGAGCTTCGTGTGGAGCGCGTAGGACCCTGGGTCCGACTCCTGCATGCGAGAGCGCCACCAGCGAGAGCGACTTCCGCAGCAGGAAGGAGCAGTCAACATGCTATCGCCGACGAACAACATGGTATCCTCGCACTAGACGAGGAAGCGCATAGAGGAGTCTTGCAGGAACGCGATCGCGTAGTAGTTTTGGCGGGTATGTTGCGGGACCGCTTGCTGTCGGCCCAAGCACAGGCGAACGAAATGCAGTGCGAATAACATTGGCCTTATAATTGGTGCACGCATTCGAAATGCGCCTCACTATACCAAGTAATCACACAAATGCAGAGGTAGAAGTAAATCCACACGCATATTAGAAGTTATTATCTTCTCACATTCATTCACTTGTAATCAGCTGCCATCTTCATATCAAGGGAAAAATAGAGCACTAATTGAATCCAAAAACACCCATTTCTTAGCACTAGGACAACAAACTTTTCTGTGGTCCAGAGCAAGCATACGTATTAAAGAGACGTTATTTAATAGTCTGAATGATTCGCCACAAATGAGTGGCCGCTGTACTTCTGGAGAATGGCGTACTGGAGAATCGCTGAGTATGTCGTATTGGAGCTACTTGCTACGCGACATCAACGGCTCCTAGAGTCCGACAACGCCATCAAATTCGTGTTCAACTGACGACTATACCGGAAAGGAGCCTTCCAATCTTTCATATGACCATCTACGAAAACTTGGTTTTCCTAGTTACTTGTAGTTTCCAGGACAACAAACAATGAACATTCTACCTATGATGCAATAATCTTCGAGGAGCCCGTATCATAATCACAATCTTGATAAAAAAGCGAGAGAACTACTTGTAGTACACGAAAAGTAGAAATATCTGCTAGGTGGTGAAATATCTGCTAGGTGGTAGTAGAGACAAAAAATCGAGTGGTGCGAGAGAACACATAAGAAACATGACGATACAACCGCTGTCTTCTCGTAAAAGAAGACGACTGCAGCAAGTGCAAGTAGCACCATGACCACGTAATAAATCACTTTCGTCCGCGACAGGCGATACTCCTCGACAATGTCTAGAAGTAGCTGGTTGCCGTTGACGTGGCGCAAGCGCACGCAGCCACAACCTAAGGAAACAAGTACGTCTCGAACGCCAGTCCAGGATAGAACAGCTACGAAGCCGGATCGCCTGAACTCAGGGAAACCGCAAGAAAAAGACACGTCGTCCTCGCGAAGACTGCAAGAAAAAGACACGTCGTCCTCACGAAGACCGCAACAAGAAGACACGCCGTCCTCCCGGAGACCGCAACAAAGACCGCAAAATGAGACCACATCAGACGTCAAGAGAGCTGACGAAAGTTGGAGCTACACGTGGACGCTAGTTTCCCAGGAAAGGAACGGTGAGTCAACGGTATTGAAGCTTTTCGTGGAACAGGAGCTAGAAGGGAACGAGAGGGAACCGTCTCAAATCCTAGGTCTCAAATTTACGTTTTTTCTCGAGAAAGGTGGTGCAAACGTAGAAGAAACAAAATTGCTAACGCTTGACCAGTTGTTCTCGCTTCCTGAGGAGCGAGGCAGGGCGACTGCACAAAAAGACCACAGCCTCGAACAGGGAGCAGCAGTGTTATTCAAAGCGAATTTACCTGCTTTTCTTTCAGCTGCTTGTCCATATTCCCAAGTAGACTCAGAAAGTAGCTCCTTGCCGTTACAAGTGGGTATTCGCGTCAAGATGGCGGATAACATGGAGGGCTCCTACACCCACATAAGTGCGCCTACGCCTCGTCTAGACGCTTCAACACTTGTTCTGGACACTCCGACAGTTCTTGAGCAAAAAGCGGGAACAGGAAAAGCAGACGACGACCATTCAAAGCCGTGCTTGGGGAGTAGTCAGACTAAAACCGGCTGTTCGACTCACGATGTTTCGAATGCATCGGCAGTTGTATTTGAAAACGTCAAACTGCAGTTCGATCTGGAACTTCTAAACAATACAGAAGCAGGTTCTGGCTGTGGTAGGATGCTGTCGCACTGTGAAAATGAAGATGATTCGTCCTTATCGTCGACATCGAAGATGACGTCCGCAGCGTTAGCGAAGATTTTCTCTCCTGACCCAGACACGAGAATCACAGGTACGAATCACATACAAGGACACCGCATAGTGTGCCTAGAACAGCAAACACGGTGCCTTCATTTTTCGCCCAAAGATCTACTGGTACTTCAGCAGAATGCAGATTTGGCAAAGTTCACGAAAAATGGTTCGACAAGGCGGGTCGCTGCCAGTTCGACAAAGCTACTTCTTAGGCGGTGGAAGCAACAAGCAGAAAAAATGATACGCTGTGGCGGGTGGGGCAGGACTGGGCAAAAAGAGTCCTCTTGTAGTCCGTCCAAATTGTGGCACATGACACACCAAGTATGTGAAATTTCAGTAGTAGAGTGTGCAGTCAGCCGAAAGGGAAAGGGTAAAGGAGGCGACGTTCTTGCTTGTCTACCACCACCACATGCTACTGCTTTTGAGTGTACTCTGGAAGATGAAGATGGTGAGACGGTCAGAGATTCGACGTCGATTAGCACCCACGGACCTCCTACTAGCTGTGAAAGTGATGAGGGTGATCATGTGCTGTCCACTTGTACTGAGTTCAAGGAGGACACGTCCTCCACCTTCTTGGAAGTTGAAGGAAATGACGTAGTTACACCCTTCTGTGACGTTAATACCTCAAAAAACGACCTCACACAAGAAGAACATCAGCTGCCTCTTCGCATGCGCTTGGACAGGGAGATCGCACGCGCGGATCGACTTCTTAGAGAGTTGGATGAGCATATCGACGATTGTGAATTATCTGGCATTCTACTGAGCGCGAGAGGAAGCGAAAGGTCGAGCGCCGTATCATCTTTCGAAGGGAGGAGACGCTCAAGGCTTGGAACTGCAGCCTTGGAAAGTGCAGCCGTGCTTTTGAAAACACACACAACTACTTCTAAAAATACTAGTAGCAACAAGCAAGCGGGAGATTTAGAAGTAGATCATCGTCGTGCTGCAGTGTCTTCTTCATGTACTGGTCGAACACAAGAAGTAGCTAGCAACTCGAAGACCGAAGGAACCCTTTCAGGCTCTTATGGACGTTTTTTAGTTCCACCACTCAAACTCCTCCAGGGGCCGCGAGGAACATCAGGGGCAGTGGGTCAAAGCAAACAGGATCTTTCTTGCGATTCAGGTCGCATGGTAACGAGTACGAGATCGGGAGGCTCCTCGATGCGAAGTAGCAGAGGTGGAACTTCCTCTTCATCCCTGGCATCGCCCTCCGAAAGAAGTTGTCAAACAAATACCAGATCCCTTTTTACCCCAGAAGAGGAACATGAAGCCTTGCTCTCGTCAGCCAGAGGGAGGCTTGGAGGTACAACTTCTACCTGCCATTTTCCAGGTCTTCAGGGGGCTGATGTATTGTTCTGTGATTCATCATCTACTACTTCTTGCACTTTCGAAGACGAACAAGATCTTCAAGGACATGGTGATATGTCCTCTCAGCAGGAGCAAAATAGAATGGCTCTCGACCACGATGATGACAACCTGCAGGAAGAAATAGAACAGCTAGACGTCGAAAACCTGTCTAGGAGAACTAGGGTCTTGTCCCTGGCTTCAGACTTCTGAATGGCATAGTTTCAAGCAGAGTGGGCGTCATGCTAGATCAATTTTCATGAGACATAAATGAACACCATACAACACATCTAATGATTTAGGTGGTCATACCACTGGGGAGCTCTAAAGCTAAAGATTCCAATCAAAGTTCCTTGGTTGAATGGAGGAGGCACGAATTGTCCCGAGAACTACCAAATGTGCGAATTCTAAGGCCAAACACTTTGCGTTCCTTTATTAAAGGTTCGGACATCTACGTACTCTGAGAAACCTTGTAAACGGAGAAGTCGGTAGTTGTACGTGATGTGTCTTCATTCACTCCATGTGAATGTACAATAATACATGGATTTTTCCTGTCATATTTTCTCAGGCAGAAGTAGAAGCAAGTACAGATTGTTGAGCTCTCCCTACTGAGGCGCCTGTGCTGCTGCTCAGTGGCTATATCATTTTCAACGTCCTCTGTAGTCCACCTGTCGGAGAAGAATCCCTATACATGGTTTAGTTCGAAGTTGTGGGTGCTTTTAACTGCGTAAATAATCAGTTGCGCCGTTTCATTGAAGATTAAGAATATCATGTGATTGTCGTTGTATACCAGAAGGTTACTAGATCCATATCCAAGAATTTTCCATTACCAAGAACAAATACTAATTTGAAAAAGATGTCAACGTCATCGAATGCGGCGTCGCCAGGGCAAGAAGCGGCAGTCGTAATACCCTATACTGCCATGATCATGTACAATGCGCAGAATAACGGCCACACAACCTATCACATTCGCGTTATGTCACCGGTCGGCCAATCATGGGAACTCGTGAAGAGGTCCAATACTGCTCATACTGGTGACAATTTCCGTGATGTTAAATTTTTTAATATTCATTAATTGCTCATAGCAATACTTGAAACTACCGTGATTTCTTTGAATGGTTCCGGTATTTGGTAACCTGAATTTGATCACAAGGATTCTCCTCTTGTTTTCCCTTATGAGCAAAATCAGGCTACTGAATACCAGAACAATACATTCTTGCTTTTATATGTTGTTCTTGCAGCACAAGTATGGACGATGTTCATGTTGGGCAGTTGTACAACGAAAAGAAGAAGAGGTATCAAAACAGGTATTCGCACTTTCACGAACTTCATGAGTTCCTGAAACAGAAGTATCCGACACAACTGCCAGCCTTTCCCGGGAAGCGACTTTTTGGCAACAATGATCCGACTTTTGTCCAGCAGCGACAAGCGCAGTTGCAGCAATATTTGAGTATGGCTTTGTTGACAAGATAGTAAGTACAAGGAATTCTTTTGTTTCTCCAGCAGAATCAATCGTTTCTTATAATTCTAAGGCTACTTATATATGGGATTGATTATTTACAGTTTAATTGAGTCAAGATTTGAAGACAGCCGTTTTTGGATGTAGTGTTTACAGGACTTGCCGATGGAGAGTCCAACTGCAACTCCAACTACTAAATTATGATGAAGAAAGGACTGCGTCTTATAATGTGATGAATCAACGAACCAAGTAGACACTAGAGTTTTTGACGATAAAAGAGCTCTAACCTAGACGCGGTCCTTCTGCTGGAGCCAACATGTCGGACTCGCGTGGTCGCACACTTTCTCGGGATCGAACCAAGGACTCCGCAGTTATGAATCCTAGCAGCAGTTCATCAATCTAGTAACAAGTAAACTTAGTGACTGAGATAGGGCTTTATGCTAGGGAGTACTCTACAGAGTACAAGCGTTCTCCTTTACTGAAGCTTGAAGTCCACTATAGAAGACGTCCGTTTGTAGATGTGTAACCCTTGATGTCCACCCCCATACTAGAGTCCGGCCAATACGCGGCTTTACATCATTAGTATAACTTCCACGAAGAACAACAGTGTAAGTATTACATTAACTCTTCATGCATTATACCTTTCATACTCCCTTAGAAGGCCATGCTAGAAGAAGCCCTTTTGTAGATGTGCAATCCTTGATGTCCATCCAATTACACCTTCGTGACAATGAATTAGTTCAACAGGGTCAGTGAGTGTAGTTGTACTCCATGATTTCATTTCACTTTCATATTCCAGTCCGCCCAACACCCCACCTGGAGACCTGGTTGGAGGAGTCCCGGAATTTCCATTAGAGGAATGGCCAGAAAATCCGATTGATGGATTGCCGAATGTTGCGGCGCCTCCAGCACCTCCACAACAGTTAAGGCTTCCCCTGATCCCCAGTGTTTTGAGCCAACTACAGATCAGTACTATTGAGCTAGTACATCTTGGAAAATCTGTTGTCCAAAACGGAGAGAAGAGGGAACGTCACAATGGATAAGGGTTAATAGGGGAAGGTCTAAAACACAAACCAGGCGCCGATGACGGAGCGCTTACGGAGCCAACCAGCACCGAGTCTCTTGCCAGTACAACATCAGTAGCAGCGGCCGCTCCTGGAACTCCAAGTGTTATGAGACTCAATCTCTATAGTGGCGTTTTTTTGGTTCTTGGGTAGGATGACATAGCGGTCTTTGAAAGAAGCTCTGCAATCCATGTATTAGTACTATTCAGGACTCCACCAGAAGAACTCGTTCGAAAAAGAAATGTAGTGAACGAAAAAGGGCACGTATGACGTTCTGGAAATTAGTAAGCACGTGAAGTTCACGTTTCTAGTTCCTTAGTTCTTTCATCTTTCTAACCACAACGCACCAGCACCAGCTCCAGCCTCGCCTGTACCTGTGCAGCTCATGAATGCTGACGACCCATCAAGCTGGGGACACGTCGAGAGCAACACAGGCCAAGGCGCCATGGAAGAGCAACTCGAAACGCTAGTCGGTCACGCCGCACTACATTTTCTAGATCTTGGACAGGTACTTTATGTTTAAATTTTGCACTCGTCGTGTTGGCGGATTTACTATCGGTAGCTACTGGTTTGTACAAGAACTGCATAAACCAGAACAAGAACAACATAGATTTAGTTACAACTGACTCTGCACTGGTGGTGTATGTGTAACTTCTGATGAATTACAGCTCTTTCTCTGCAAAAACAAAAACATCAGATGTCTGCACCAGTATACAAATATTTTTTCTGTTGTAACTAATATCATCTCGCCCTTCATCTTCTAGGCACCAGCTTGTGTAGACCAGATGGAGATAGACTTTCGGCGGAAGCGGTACGAGGAGCTTGCCAACGTTTTTCGGCAACAGACTGTAAATGTTAAGGCTGGTTCATACTATCGAACATGAACGTTAATCCACCTAAACCTGTGTTGATGACTCCTGTAGAGAATTTATTATATCCAGGACAGGCACTTCCTTTCTGCCAGATTACAGCAGGCTCTTCTAGGATATGACTATCTGAATAAGTGAACCTACATAATAATTGAAAGACCGAAGGAGCGAATTATCAGCCGCGATGGTGAGTTCCCGACGACCTCTTCTAACATATGGAGCCCCAATCTGACGAAAGACGTAACGGATCCTGCCTTATCCGAGTTTATGCGTGCGCTGCAACCGGATTCGAGCATCATAGATCCTGAGAAACTCGTTGTCGGATTCCCAGCGAGCGACGAAGTTGCGCCTCCAGTAGAAGCCTCATGATTATCTGACGTTTCACAGCCACAGGTTATACTGCTTTTTCAGACGAACACTTACACGCGTTTACGTTCTTCTGGGGCAGAAGATACTACATACAGTCTTAGTTTTTCTTTTTATCAGAGAAATTTGTGTTTGAATACAATAACGCGGAATCTGTTATAGATGTCGCTGAATTTTGTGGTGCTTTCTTCAGTTATGAAAAATTCTAATGTCCTCTTCTCTAATGTCCTCTTCTCTAATGTCCTCTTCCTCTAGTACCCCTTTCCTTTACTTCGCAATGACTCGTCCCTACACAACTTTTAGAGGACTCCAACGGTTTGGTGGATGAAATAGACTCCCAGCTACGCGTTATAAAAGCGCCAGACTCGGGGATGAAAAATCGTGCTTTGCCGTGCTTGGTTGTGGATTCTCTTGGTGTTGTTCTGAGGAGCTAGGACGATCTTGTACCACCGTGATGAAGCCCAATTATTTACTGAATGATAATTCCTTGTTTCAAATTCAAGATGATCAGCTCGGGATCAGAGATCTTGGCATAGAGGAGGACGATAGACGCAACCTCAATGTTTTGTCCTGGGCAACTCAAGATCGGGAAAGATTCTGGTCATCAAAGGACTCAGACATACGACTTGACATACGACTTTTTCATCAGGGGAGGAGAATCAGAGAGAGGGACCTGTCATCCAACTTTCGTGACCATCTAGCTGCTTTATGTGATTCTGATGTCAGGTCAGGGCACTCCCACTAATACTTATCAGTCTTTCCACCTCTCCTCCTTCCAACCACTACTCAGTTTTAGTCCCAGTCTTGACTCTACGTTGATCTAAGAATTTCCATCAATTTCCTATCTTCTTAAGCGTAATATTAAGAACTACGCTAAGGCAGCACAAATGGCAGGAAAATACAAGATTGTTTTCGTCCGCCACGGCGAATCCCAGTGGAATTTGAAGAATCTTTTCTGCGGTTGGTATGATGCAGACCTGTCGGAAGCAGGTACAGTAGATGTATGATGTTCAATTTTTTTAAAGATGCTAACTTAACAAACTACAGCTACACTAGTCTTTGTTTCATCGTTTTTCGAGCACTGCTGTGAAAATAGAAGGTGCCTGTCTTATGTCCTACTAGTCAGGATCGATTGCGATTCCGCTTATCAATTTCAATCTTCGTGAAATGTATATGCTTCCCTCCCACTTGAATCAAGGTGTGAAGGAGGCAGAAAAGGGAGGTGAAGCGGTCAAGGAGAGTGGCATTGTTTTCGATCAGGCATATTCGTCAGTGCTGCTGCGCGCCAACCGCACATTGGAGCTTATCTTATGTCAGAAATAGATCATTGCGACAACTCCTGAGATTCGTTATTTGCGAACCACTTCTACTGAAGAGGGATAAAAAAATCGGAATTACTGGAAGAGCGACGACAACTTGTTGATGCAATCTTTGTGTGATGTTGAAAATCAGAATCTTCGTCCGTCGTGTCATTAGTTACTTTCCGTTCCTCTTTACTCTCCGTTCTTCTCTAACTTCTCTCGCTGGTGCTGGTCAATCCTCTGTGCCGATCGAGAAATCGTGGAGATTGAACGAGCGACACTACGGAAATTTGACGGGTCTGGACAAGGCGGAGACAGTCGAAAAATATGGCGCCGATCAGGTGCAGGTCTGGCGCCGCAGCTTCGATACGCCACCACCAGCAATGGAAAAAACCAATGAGTAAAATAAAAATTGTTGTGACAACTCGTATGTCAATTATATATACGTTCGTTAATGAAAGCTTAATACTTGATCACGTCTTCTTTGAATTTGATTTGTTGGAAACCCTTCTTCGGTCCTAGTGCTGTTCGTTTCAGTTTCCCTCGTCATACTCCCTTTCTCCAGCAGGTACTACGAGGTGATCAGGAATGACCCGCGGTACGCGGACCTGAAGGAAGACGAGTTTCCATCCTGTGAGAGCTTGGAACTGACGATCAAACGCACTTATGGCTCTCAGGCTTAGTTCGTCTCTCCAAACGAGTGCTCTCCGCACGTGGTCAGTGACCAAATATTAATAGTTTCGCTCTTACCCGTACGTAGTCTGTCAGGGACCAAATATTAATAGTTTCGCTCTTATAGAAGAAGTTTCATCTGAGAACTACATGAAGGTTGACTTCTGTGATACACTTACTTTGAAAACTATTTTTTCGTCTGAAAGACTTTTCGGTACTAGACTGAGTAATAGAGCCACCACCTAAAACGACGCTTAGTAAAGATGTTGGACCACCGATTAATAGAGCTCACTCTAAGGTCCTATGCCCTTTTGGAACGATGTCATCGTCCCTGCCTTGAAAGCCGGCAAGACACCTCTCGTAGCCGCTCACGGCAACTCGCTTCGCGGCATCGTTTGTCATCTGGACAAAATGAGTTTATGAAAGTATTCATACTCTATTAAATATTATGATCATGTCTAATGTCTAATTATGGTGTTGAACAAGGTGTTGTTGGAGCTGCATGGTGTAATTCTTCAGCTTGAGCTGCTAGTATTTGAGTAGGGTAGGTTTTTCCGTGCTAGTATTGTGCTATGGACTTTTTTCTATTGTACTAATATGGATGTACTAATATGGAATGAATAAAGTATTGTACTAATAAATATGGAATGAAGGTTTTTCCGTGCTATTGTACTGTGGAATGAAATCGACAACGACACAGATTTCTCCTTCTCTAATCACGAACGAGGAGATCATGGAGTTGAATCTGCCTACTGGAATCCCCTTCGTCTACGAACTGGACGAAAACTTCCAGCCGGTCGTTAGCATGAAGTTTCTGGGAGACGAGGAGACGGTTGCAGCGGCAATCGAGAAAGTGAAAAATCAGACCAAAAAGAAGTAAGAATTATCGAGAAGACTAGTAGTGTTGGAAAAATACAAATAGCAATACTTCTTCAGCTGCTAGTTGTACTAGATGAAAAATACAAATTTCCTTCTTCAGGGGATCATGAAGAGAAAAGACTAGTCCTGAGAAGAAGCAGTGAAGAAAAGAACTGGAAGTAGAAGCCTTGGTCTCCAGAATCGATACGGCATCTCGATCCCCTCTGGAGTTAAACGAATAGCGGCACTGCGAGAACGAGACAGCTGACGCAAGAAAATTACTAGAGTAGAGAGGAAAGCGTAGTTGAAACTAGATTCCTGCTGAGTTTTATGTTGTCTACTCATGCAGACTGGCTAGACGAGACATGGTTACGTACTAAATTTTTTAAAACCCGACTGATTTATCTTTGACCTCAAAAATCCCACATGAAAAAACGCACACTCACTTAAGGCATCACCCCCCCACAACTGCTCGAGCTTGAGATATTTTCCTCTATTTTCCGTCCCTCGTGCTCTGGCACAGTTCTTCAAAGCAGATTTTTAGAACTTCAAAGCACGCAGATGTCTTCGTCGTCTCCATCAAAATCCTATCTCCAAGGGAGAAATAGGAAAGACATGGATCTCCACGAGCACTAGGACATCCGACTGTTCTGATTGTTTGGTACCACGACCACTAAGGACATCCAACAGTTTAGGACCACGACCTGAGATTCACACCTGAGATTCAGGACCACGACCACCAAATTGGTTGATGGCATCAAAAAAGAATGGTGGAGGCCGGAGTGAGACACATTTGGACTCATAAGACTAAGACCTGAAGTCTGGGCTTATATGTACTAAAACTGTTTCAACACGACCATGAGGAGCTGCAGTGCTTCCTAAACGGTTTCCAGTGCTTCCGAAAGGTTGTCAGCACGTAAGTATTTCGAAAAGACAAAAAAAGTCGTGGATTTGAGAGACCCTGAGTTTTGTTTGAGAACCCATATCAACCTCCGCAGCTATTACACTTTCTCTTCACGACCCCTATGGACCCCTCATCCTGGAGGAGACATGAAAATGGCAAGCACCACTTCTGTGAAAAACGGCGTGAATAAAAACGGCATGTCTGCTCTACTAGTTCTTATATGTGGTTGTAGACATGATCAGACACAAGAAAGATAAGTAGTAGTACATTCTTTTTCTTGATGAGCAAAATAGTGATTTGGGGTACTGTAGAGCATGATACTAGATATGTTGATGATTACTCAGTGATGTCAAGGGAACTTGTTCTTGCAAAAACTGGTAGATGTGATTTGATCTAGTATCTGGGATGTTTCTGTTGTTGTAATCAAAGTTCTTCGACGATGAAAAATTCCTTGATGAAAAATTCCTTGATGAAAAATTCCTTGATGAAAAATTCCTTGATGAACAAATTCCTGTGATAACAAAATTAGACTTATAGACTTACTCTTTTCAGAGCAAGAACTACGGTAGAACTAATGAGGGTCCTGGTCCTCCTCTTGTTCATAGGCGTCGATGGCGAAGACGACGGACCCCCTCTTCGGTAGTGGTCTGTGACATTGCGTTTGTTCGTAGGCGATCGGCCACGTTACTACCGAAAAGCAGAGGCGTTTTGATGAGGCCCTGGTGAAGATAGCTTTGCTGCTGTGTAAGAAGTAAACAAGCCAGCTATTTTGCGAGATGAAGCATGTTCGTGGACGAGTCTTGGCTCGCGGACCCTTCTTATGGTCCCTTTCCTACAACAACTTTCAGATCATCCCCTGGCATAAACATCTTCTCTGCTACTTTGTATGGCACGCTCTCACACGAGCCTCTACCTGCTGTACCTGGTCTACCTGCTGTAGACCTTAGCCAATATGTGTCTAATAAGTGGTTACGGTTACCTTAGCAGATGACACAGTGAATCGTGAAGCTTCTATCTCGAATGATGCTAGCGTTGCTCTATCTCCTCTATCTCTTCTACTTTTGAGCCCCTACGACGTCTTCTAATGATGCTAGCGTTGCTGTTGTGCTCACGAGGCACTGTCGGTCTCACACAACCTGAGGATCATAGGAGTCACACTAGCGTGAGAGACTCGGGTACGAACAAGAGGAACAGCGAACAAGACATCACGTTCTTAGATTAAGGCGACAAGATATTACCTTCTTCGATTAGGTCCAGCGACGCTCAAAGCACCTTAAAGTAAAGCAACCGGCTAGCTTTCCCTCTGATCTTAGGCGTATCCCTTCACGCAATAGATTCAGGCGACCAAGACAGCATCCTCCTACTGCATGGCCTGTCCCTCCTTTTTGATCCTACTACTGTCATGAACATGAAGACCATCAAGATGACCATCAACGCCTACAGCACAGCATGATCAATGTGCTTGAGGAACGAGCCATGTAGTAGGATCACCCATTGTTGGTACTTAACTCACCAAGAAAGGGGAACACTCTTCCTGACTCACTAAAAGAGGTAAATTTTCCAAAGGGGAATGCGAAGAAGAAGCTAACTCGAAGAAGCTAACTCGAAGAAGCTGACAGCTCTAATCCGAAGAGGAAGCTAACTCCGCCCCGATGCCGTTAAGAACGCAAGTTAGATTTTCATAGAAGTTGTACACTTCTTACAACACACTCCTCCACCCGTGATCTTCTATCTATTGTATGGTAACAGGAACTCAAGAACTGCACACGCAGCTTTCTAGTCGGAAGGATGATATTCTTGCATGCCGATGCCGAAGATTGATCTCTCAATGGCTGAGGCATGAGTAGAGAGTATATTGATGTTGTATGAACTCCTGCAATTTTCGTGGAGCTACTTTCTTATTGTTTTCGAGGAGCTACTGACTCCTGCACTGACTCCTCAAGTAAAGAAAGTCAAGGGATCGAAATACACAGTAGTAGACACTGATGCTATAATCACCAAAAAGAAGTACTCGGGAGATGGCTCCAAAAAGAAGGACTTGACGCTGTATCTTGGTTATCAGGTAATTCTCTAAACCAAAACCGGGCAAGTCGAGCACCAAACCCACCAGTACGAGAAGTAGATGAAGCAGATCGACTGGTGGATTCATTGCCACAAAATTCCCTGCGGTCTTCTAGTGCCAGAAAATTTTTATGACCGGTTTATTCAATTGACTCCTTCCTACATAGAAGAATCAACAAGTACCGGTCTCGTTTGAGGACCCAGGTTAGAAACACGGCATCGCCATTACTTACAGTTATATCAGAAATAAAGGACGCTTAGTTAGTTTTTTTCGATAGAAGTATACTTCTTGATAGCAGAGTAGTTTATAGCACGCATGGTGCATGGAGTAGCATGGAGCGCAGAGCTTTAAGGGGCGCAAGAAGCTCCCCCTTTAGCTCCATGCTACTCCATGCGATCCATGCACTCCATGCCATGAAAGCTGTGAAACTTTATAAATTGCTCTGCGAATAAATATCTTTTTTTGGCCCGCCAAACAATAGGCTAGTAGAACTAGTTGGGGCACGATGAACATGAAGATAATGATGATGATGATGATGATGATGACTGCACAGGAAGAGAAGGATAGATAAATCTCTTCCAACAACAATGACCTCCTGCCAGGCACATCAATCTATCAATCAAACGATGCGGATCTTTCTAATAGTGGAGAGACCCTTGAGTGTCCCACGCCTTGACTTCACGAAATTACATCCACCTCAAAAGGATGACGTAGACCTTGAAGCTTTTGATCCACCAGCGGGAGGAAGTGGTTAAGATGCCTTTTTCATCTTCTTGTACTCACTATCAGGGACCACGACGGACAACTAAACTCCCTTATATGATGTATAAGAAAATGGAGATTAAGCTTAAGCTCAACAATGTATAGAATGGAGATTTCATCTTCTTGTACTCACTAATGGCCTCGAACGTTCACCCCCTCATAGGTGAGCCCACTCCTATCCTATCCTATCCTAAGGGTCGCGTTGATATAATGTAACTGTCGGCTTGTTACCTCCTAAACCCTAACCCTAAACCCTAAACCCACCCTAAAACCCTCTAAATTGGTGGCGAAGGCGTGGCCGTTGCGAATCCTGGAAGCCTTATGATGCACAAAGAGTGTCCATTTAGCAATATCAGCTACTAAATGTGTTACATCGCCGATTTTACTCAATGTGCTACATGTTGTAGAGGGCGCTACCAGCCAGAGGATTCACGGAGGGATCCAAGGGTAATTTCTGCGGATCCGGTGCTAAATGCGCAGGGCTGAGGGGCGAACCCCTCTAAATCCACATCGAAACCGATGACGAGGATATATTTATAGATCATAACTAACTTTCAAGTCCTCTTCGGTGATACAGTCTCTACTCGAGTCGCAACAGAAGACCAAGGCAGCTGAAAGTTGCTACGTGGTTCATAAATGAATATAGGGTGGATTCGCATCACCCTTAAATAAAAGATTTTTGAATTTATATCAACAAAGAAATTCGGATACTACCTATTAAGCTTTGTATGCTCCCGCCATTTGGCAACCTGAATTTGATCATAATTAAGGGAAAACAAGAAGAGGACCCTTGTGATCAAATTCAGGCTACCAAATACCGGAACCGTTCAAGCTTGCTCTAAGGCCGAGACGCCGAAGCAACCGGGTACGGCGAAAAAAGACAAAGCCAAAGGAGCCTCACCTAGAGCAGCCACACTTAAAGGGACTACATCAGGCATTAAGGAAAGTCCAGAAGGTCGCCGATTCACAATAATTATCTGTGTAATAAGATCAGTAGCCCTCTTTGCCTACGAGCGTTCGTAGTAGACCCACACCTAACCTAATCTAACATCGCTACATGCATCAAGATGATGACTGTCTGTGGTATCTACGTGGCAGATAACCTGCGCACTTAAATATAGAAGTCGTCAGGGAAATCTTAGGCAGATCGCCGAGGCGATTCCATATCATCATAGACATCGTGGCAGACAACCTGCACCCTTATACATGGGACCCCACGAGATATTAACCTCCTGTTGTAAAAAGGAAAGGTGAATATCAGTAGATGATGATTAAAGTTAACGCTTCTTTCGCTTTCGCGTCGCGCACCCCCAGCCCTCTTCTAATCCAGCGTCGACCACCACCGCAGCCGGTTCTACCGCGTCGTGTTGTGTTAAGCACTCTGGGACCCTAGAAGTGACCTAGATCCTGTAAATGATCCACCTCTGACGCTTAAAGGTAGGAGTGATAGGAGGAACTTAATATACTTGATATGTCATTGTCAATGTCTACTAACTCGACGTCCAGGAGCGAGAAGTTATCTAGGACGATATATAACTACATGCATAGGGAGCAGACCTAACAAAACACAACGTGTGAAGGCATAGCAAACTTTGTATCTTTGAAAGGCATCCTATCCTACCCTAACCTACACCTACAAACATTGTATTCTTCAGCACTTCTATATTCTTCAGCACTTCTACTCGATTGAGGAGATCTAAGGCCCGGGGAGACGCAGAAGCTTCCTTTCTAGAGAATTCTTGCGCGGAGACTGGAACGTGTAAAACGCAGCAAGACGTTGCGGTGGTCCAAAATGCTTTTTCCTTCTTCAATGACGATGAAGATGGAGCAAAGCAAGGTAGCACAACTAGTCCTACTTTATTTAGTAAGCCAGTTGTATTAAGCCAGTTGGAAGTAGAAGTTGACCTCTGCATGCGCATCTGCATGGCTTCTTCAAGTAGGAAAGCCATGGATATGCGAGCTAGAGACGCCAACTCCTCTTAGCCGCTAACTGTGCCTACCAGAGCTACAGACAGTACTTCCAGAGTGGCTACATCCAGGACTTCCAAAGTGCAGGATCATGATGAAGTCCAAGGTAGTGCCAGTGGTGGACATTTAGTGGGCAGGCGGGCAGATGACACGCACCAAGGAGGGCGCTATTCGACGACAGCGGCACATCTCCTATCAGCACAAGCTTTGGTAACCTATCTACAAAGTGCGGCATTCGCAGTTCAGTCACTCTTCCGCTCAGTTTTACGACGAGAAAGTAATTTTCTTTATTACCGGTTGCGGTTTATTTGGGTTTTAATGATCTTCATCTCTCTTGATCATTGCATCTGCTCGTTTGTTGTGCAGGGAAACTTGCATATCCAGCAGAGTGGCAACCATTAGAGTGGCACATACGGGACCACTCTAAGAAATGTTGGTGACGGCGTGCTAGGTGGCCATTCATTCGAAGCACCCGAAACGACTTTGCTGCTATTATGATTGGTGTTATCATGGTTGCTGCGAGCTCTCGTCCTATGTTCATCTTCGACTTCGTATATCCGATATTTGAAGATGAAATACACATCACCCGGAGTCGAGCCAGGTGCCGGGGGGTTCGATGTGCAGGATTCACAACCTAAAACCTACTCAAAAATGTACCAAGTATCTATCTATACTTACACGTAGAAGTAGACAACTTCTGTGGTTGGATATGTATGTAAGTATGAAGTAGCACACACCGACACCTGATGAATAAAGTGGAACAAGATTATCGTCGCTAATAGACATCGCCGTCGCCCCAGCACTCGCTCTGGTGGCCATCGCCTGGGTTGTAGCAACGTGGGACAAAAGGAGATATGAGCCGAGTCATTATCGCACTGCAATAGTTTGTTACTACCCAACACGACTACTCGTCTTGAAAATACTAATAATTGTGACTTCTTCTATAATACGAGTCACTCAGTGGGGAGAATCTTCGACTTGCACTTTGACTCAGAAAAAAGAACTTCATATGCTCGTTCAAGATGAGGAACATATTTACCGAATTCATAGCTGGTCGTGGTAGACGAACTAGAATCTTCTACTAGTAGACAAGTTCTTTCCCTCCACCTCGATCCCTGTTTCAGCCTTTACGGGCAGCACGAGTGGAGAAAGCGCTAGATGATAGTGCAACAAGACAAGATGCGTTAGCCCAGAAGCTTAATGCGATCGACCGAAAAAGTTATGATTCTTTTTCTGATATGTGTAGGTACTTCCTTCCTTCGTGAAAAATAGGGTGGTTGCTCTCAGTGTATCACTACAGGAGGAACTACGACTGTTTTTTTCTCTAATAACTGCTTGAGAAGGACAAGCGAGGGATAGGAACCGACCACAAGGAGGCAAAAAGCACAGACCACAGGGTTGCAGAAAGCGAAGACGAAACCGACGATGGAAAGTGTGGAACTACCATGAAGATGAAAGATGCTAAACCAATATTGACGAGCAAGAAATAAGAAGTCAACTTAGACAGGAGAATCGTCAAAGGTTATTCTTCTTGGTCGCGCGACGACTTGATCAATAACTTTTTCACACTTCTCTACTTGTTACAACAGTGCCCCAATATGCAAGAGTTTTTATGAGACTGTTTTCAGACTAAGAGGAGATTGAAGGTGCATTCATTGTAGCTGTAGGGCCAAACTTGTGAAATTAAACCTCAATTTTTTTAGGGTGACTTTCTCTAGCAAAATTGAAATTGAACATTTAATTTTTAGGGTGACTTTCTCTAGTTGTAATTTTCGTTGTTGTGTGCACAGAAACGTGCATAATTGATGCTTTTTCGCATCACCGATCTTGATCTTGTATCGGTAGTTTCTTCTTGATGTAAAGATTGGAGGATGATTCGCAACATGAGCATCTGCTCTTTGGAAATAGAAATACGAACATCTGTCCTAGGCGAAAATCAATGTGCAACACACCGCATGCACACCTCGCTCTAGACAACACCTCTTGCTCTTGAGCTGCAGGTAAATGAATTTATGAATTGTGACAGCAAGCACAAACTATGTCGTGACGAATCAGAAATTTGATGACGTTGTCGTGGGTACTTATGATCCTGGTTCCAAGTCATCGATCCTTGTTCAAATTGAAGAATGTGTACAATGCTGCTGCGAGCAAAATCTTGAGGTTTCGGTTTCTTTGTCCTTTCTCAAATTTTAAGTTTCATCCAACTGATGTAAAACGTTGCAGCGACTATTCTTGTGTTAATTTTTACTGGGTTGATGTCATCCGGTTGTACTGAATTAAGAATCGTCCTTATATATAAATTTTGATGTTTCAAGAGAACATCTTCTGATGTCATACAATATCGACAAGATGTAAATAGAAGAAAATGATGAAGTTAAAGTTATTGTCTTGCTCGTCCTCTTGTCGTGAACTTTACGACGGGAAGCGATTCGTCGAGTGAGCCTCAACGAGTCACTACCGGTGGTGGCCATCGAAGAAAGACGCAGGAAGCGATCGAGCGACTTAGGAAAATAGATTTGATGAACAAAGCGACCGAAGCTAGCAACTACATGAGCAGAAACTGATGGAGCATCTTGTTCAAAGAACAACTTTCTAGTCGGAGGAGCTCGACAAAAGAAGTCAACATCTCTATTAACCTACGACCAGCACTATCAACCTACGATCCGGTAGACCGTCAACAACACTATTGACCTACGACCAGCACTACTAGACAGAAACTTCTACAACCACTACTAGCACGTACAACTAGATACTTCTCGGCGACAACTACGCTACGAGCCTCCAGTAGCTGTGCACGATGGACAAGGGCGCGATGTCAGTGTCTGACCGTTCAGAGAACGGATCAGATGTTGCACTAGGATGGGTACTTCTACAGTCGTCTGATTCATATGATGTCTTGAAAACTTAATAGAATTATACTTGCTAGTCGAGTAAAAAGATCGATGAACCACACGATCAGGCAAAAATGTCATCTTGTAAGGATGATTACACGAACTAAAAAAAAACTGTCCTCGTACTATAATCTAGGTCTTAGAAATATTGATTTCCAACAAGAAGCATCAAACATGTTATGAAGATCATCGAACTCCTTTCAAGTCTGGTGGTCTGTTCAACACCGACCAGGCTGTGAGTTGCGATTGGAATTCTAAGAGCCCGCCCCTGTGCCTGGTGCGGCTGACCTGGTGGCGCAGCATTGTTGTAGGTCATTTTCTTTGTACTAAATCAAATGTTCAAATGTTCTTTTTCTCAAATTTCAGATATCCTGGTTCTGCAGCGTGCCGTCGCACGAGTTATTTTGCGAAGTTGATGAGGATTACATAAAAGACAACTTCAACCTCTACGGGTTGCGAAATAGGCTGCAGGTATAATGGATCAGGGTGGTTGTATCTATACTTCTGATTCTGTACAGACAGGAGTATAAAGATTTGTAGAGGAGTAATATAACTTAGATGAAATAGATACGAAAACTCTGTAGCTCAAGATAGATCTCATCTCTCGACAGGAGTATAAAAATTTAGATGAAGTACCAGATAAGAAAACTCTTAACGTCCGTCTCTCAACAACACTGTAACTGTTCCTTAAAGTTTCCTCCTACAGTAGATGAGAAAACTCTGTAGCTCAGCATCCGTCTGCTCTCATCACTCTTCCAAGTAGGTGACAACTTCTATGATGAAATCCACCATCACATCACATCACACCCTCAGTATTACGATCATGCGTTAGAAATGGTATTGATGCCGGAAGCACCCGATGAGGATGAGCTCCAAGATGCCGACTTCCTAGAAGTATACAGAGATGCCCAGGATCTCTATGGACTCGTCCATGCTAGGTATTTTTACGTTTATTGATGATTCTTGTAGTTCTACTTGAAAGAACTCGTTCTCGCGATGGAATACCGATCATCAGCTGTTCCTTTATTGACTATGTCACTCATCTTCTGCAGTGATGATTCCTTTCCTGTATGATATTCCTTCTTCAATCATCATCACAAGGACAATAATCACAAGGATACTGCTTTCCCTCTTCACCAGATATATCCTTTCACCACGGGGTCTCGAAGCCATGCGAGAGGGCTTTGTCAACAGCGTCTTCGGCACTTGCCCGCGCGTCAAGTGTCACCAGCAGAGCGTCTTGCCAGTTGGCACCAGCGACGAACTACGAGTGTCTAGGGTAAAGAGCTACTGTCCTAGATGTGAGCAGCTCTACGCAACCAGATCGACGTACTCAGACATAGATTTAAGGCCATTCATCTATAATTCATCTTTCAAAGTTTGGACTCAGACATAGATTTAGGGCTTCATTTATTAATTCATCTTTCAAAGTCTTTGGAGGGACGCTTTTAGGGACGTTTTCTTCACGGGGAAAACGATCTCAGGATGGACTTCGAGATGGGTTACAGGTTATGAGCTCTAATAGATGGAGCCTATTTCGGAACCAGTTTTCCGCACGTTTTCTGTCTCAGTTTTCCGGAACTAGTGCCGTTGCGCAGAGCAGAGCCGTATGTTCCCAGGCTATTCGGGTTCAAGATTAGACAGCCACCAGGGCTCATCTATCGAACGGTGGAGGCGGCGGAAAAGGTATTTCTTAACCCTAAGGACTCTGTAAAATTACAAATCAAGGTACTCTGTCGTCACAAGAACAACTCCACGAGAATGATGATGAATATATAATCATCATCGATGAATTACTTATAATGACCACGACTACAGAAAAGACTTAATGATCCGCATTTAGTCTCAGACTCCATGATAATATCGTTGTAGTCTCTTTCCTCCCCCAGGCCGAAAACGAGTGGCTCGAGCGGAACGGGTACTCTCTAGAAAGCGTAGCCGAATTTAGAGCGCTTCCTGCACCACCCACGACGACTAAAGCAGCGGACCCCTGAGAACTATGACTTCTCTACTTTGATGATGTTGACTTGACAACAACTTGATAGAATTCCAGGTTGTTGTACATAGAAGAACGTTGCCCTTAGTGATGTCATGTCCCCTGTATGATTCCTCGCCCCAGGAAATCCACAACACATTCTTCTTCTTTGACGACGATAAATTTACATCCATATTTATACAATAGTTTACAACACTTCTTACACTTACATGATCAACAGTAATAAAACAACATTTATACAATTATAGGTTACTACTTCTACTTCTACAAGAACTACAGCAAACTATCTGTAGTACAAGGTCGGTGTGAGTGTGTATCGGCACACAGACAGCGGCAAACGACCGGTCATGATAGTATTGGAAGTGGTCTATGATGCATACATGCGCGAAATCGTTGTTCAGCCAGTGGAGCAACCTCCTAGAGCTATCTAGTAGCAGAATGCATCCTATAGTCTGTACCGTGAATGACCGAGCATCAACGATCCTGATACCTTAGAGTCAGTGATCACTGGTGGATCATTGTGTGACATTGGACGGGGTGAGATCATGAACAACAGATCTGATGTCGTTATCTCAACGGCGATTGAGGCATTGTCCACGTCGATCATGTGCTGGAATCGAGCGAGTGACTTGATTGAGTGCTGAACTGTGCTGGAGGGATCCTATTATAGCGTAAGTTGGCGCAGCTAAGTACTTATGCAAAAGTTCAGAAAGTGTGACTTCTGTTGCAAGTTATGTAGTAAGAAAAATCACATTTCAACTTCATCGGATAATAACCATAACTAACGAAGAAATGAACCTCATTGGGAGACCACGCACCGTCTTCACAAGCGCAACGGTTCAGCTTGTGCATGGACGGTTTGAGCGTTTGGCCCGCCGAATAGCAATGAGCGGCTTGATGACCCGTGGGGAAGCCGAACGGTGCATTCGGAGCGGGGATGTGCTTGTGGATGGGCGTGCAGTGTCGCAAAACTGCGTGGTCGCTGACGGAGCAACAGTCGTGGTGCGCGACACGCTGGTGCCTGCACCGGGAACGATGCCGCGTGTCTGGGCGGTGAGGAAACCAGAGGGACTGGCATGCAAGTTTCGCAAGACCACGGCAAGAGAATCTATCGTCTCTGATGGAGAAACAGCAGGACAGGAAGCTGGCCGCTGCCCTTCGACTGGAAGTACGTCCCGAGCAGCTGCTGAAGCTGCGGAGAGTGAGCGCTATGGCCCACCATGCCTCTCAGACCTGTTCCACAACTATCGGATATTCGATGTGCAGAGGCGTGGACCCGGAGCTGTTGATAATTAAGGCGAAAAGTAAGATTTAGATCACATCATGGTAGATTTAGATTACTTCCGCCAGCAGAGATACTGATACAAGCAGTTCAATTTATTGACATTGATGTTACTTCGATGTTGAAGTCTGAAACAGTTTCAGTTCTATTTCGTTAATCAAAACCATGAAAATGTTGGACTTGTTGGAATTTCCAAATAATAACCACGATCATGATGGCGGAACAACAACAGAGACCACCTCATCATCTAATAGAAGGAACAGCACGATGACCGCCTGCTGCCGCACTACAGTATCGTGAATCCCCTAAAGACCGATCACGAAGGACTCCTTGTGCTCACTAATTGTGGTCGATTTCGAGAGGTACTGAAAAATCCGGACCTCTGTCCTGTGGAAACGGTTTATGACTGTCGCTTGCAAACCACCGATGACGGCAGCCCGGCTCCGGCAGCGCCCGGTTTTATTATGTCAGAAGTAGCATCAGATGCTAACCATCATGTGAGTGTGATATTTTTGAGGGATTTTTATGTGACATTATTTCAGTCTGAAGACACTTCTCATATTTTATAGCTTGTCCTTTCAAATGCGAGGGAGAAGCAATAGCACATATTGAGGCATTTTTACCTAAAGGTTTCCGAAAGACCGCCGCGTTTGAAATATGATCAATATGACAGTCACCTCGAGTCTGATCAAGAGACATATTATATCTGTTCATCTAATACCTCTCCCCCAACCGGGTCTTACGCCTCGGGTGACGGGTGGGACCCAGCGAGAGAGCCAGCCTTTCTCGCTGGAACTTCCGGTTCCTCAAAAACCATGACAACGGGAGGAAAATACAGACGGCGTCGGAGTCGGTCAGCGATTCCTGTGTCGATGTATCCCGAAATTTTGCGGTCGTGGGCAACCAAAGGTGTGCGCGTTCGTGGAATCGACTATGGCCGGGTGCACGCCAACTTGACGCGTCGGAACGCGGAGGAGGGTAGCACCTGGATCCGTGTGCGCATGCTAGAAAGGCCCTACACGTGTCCAGAACTGTTGCTTATGCGACGAATTAGAATTTCTTTAGAGCTTGGTGCAGTATAACTAACTCCATACTGGCGGAGTCGTAGCTAGCTGTTCTACTCTTCGCAAAACGCGAAATTTAGCACGAACGTTGACATGGGAATAGGTATTGAATAAACCTTCTCATTCCGACAAGGCAAAACTCTCTAATTTCCTGTACGAAGAACTTGGTGTGCGAGTACCGGTAGTGCGTCGTATAACGTGGGGAAAGCTGAGGCTAAACCATGTGCCAGAACAAACTGTTTTTCCAGTGTCATTAGGAGAACCAGAAGGAGCGTGGCTTGTTCCCTTCATCCCCGCTCGTCCACGGACCACAGAACTCCTCAGATGTGGGGATCCCGAAGATGCAGATGGTATAAACGTCGAAGTGTAAGTCAACAACGCAGCAGTCGGACGCGTTGTAACTACAACCAGGGTCCTCTGGGTGAAGATGGACAACGTCAATGATATTTATACTAAGTAAATGCGTTATAATACGTAAATGCGTACTGCCATTTCGCGATCTTACTGTGTTTCTGCTGTATTGCGCGTAGTCTACATTTAGAAACTAGAATCGATGACAAGTTAGTATGTGGCCAGACAGAGTATAAAGTGGGTGGTGAAGTGTTCGAAAAAAGTGCGGCTGAAAAGATGAAAAAAGTGATCAATATCAGAGCACAAAAAGAGAGATGCAGAGTATTATACGAGGGCAACAAAAAAATTGAAAGTTGAAGCATTTGGGCTAAAAATGGAAGACAAAAAGTGACTCAAATGGAGACTGAGATGAAGAGAAGCGATCACTTGCAAATTGAAGGTAGAGAGGTTGGGAAATTGATGGTCTTCAAAAAACCGTGCGCAGGAGAAGTATGCTTACCATTATAACTACTCCGACGAGTCATGAAAAATAGCTCTAAATTCTACGGATCATGCCCACTTTATATAGGTAAAGGCGTTTTTTCGGAATTTTTTGTTGCCTAATCATGAAGATTGTCTGTGGCTTCATTGGATGAATTTTCACTACTCGTTACCCGAGGGCTCAGAGGTGAATGGGAAGTGTTTGGACGAGAGAGAGAGAGAGAGAGAGGGCGAGACTGCTAGTGACGGCCGCGCCGCGGAATGGGTTGGCCTCGGGAGCAGGTGAGCGGGCCTGTTTTGCTGAAGCTGACCAAAAGGAGAGAGCCTCTGGTCGTGCTCCGTTGGTGCGCGCAGCGGCCGTCCCTGCCGTTGCACCGGACTGGGGATTGCGAATGCGGGAGCCTCTGGAGCTGCGGCGCAACGGTTTGAAGCTGTTAGGGGCCGAAATCGGGCACCGCGTGCGCGATTTCAGACGCTAGTGACCGGCTTGTTTCATGGGTGGCTTTCAGTACGTAACAGGGGACGCGGGTACCGTCGGGAACGCATTGACCTGCCGGCCTTCTGGCCTGGAGCCGGAGCTCCCGCCCACTGATTTGCGAGCCTTGGGAGCCTTGAGAAAAGCCAGGGCTTCCCCCGGACTCGCAAACCCTCGGAAACCATGAGGCAGCCAGAGCCTGCCCACTTGCCACCCTTGTCGCTTGTGTCGCTCTCTGAGCTGTATGGCGCCCTCCAAGTTGTTTGGGCAACTCGGAGGCGGCAAAAATTAACGGGGCAAAACGTCGGGCACGAGAGGAGCCAGCGAAGCCGTGCAGCCTTGATAGGTGACAGGCTGCGCGTGAACGTCATGCGGACGGTGTGGAGCTTTACTCGCGGCGCGTCTGGCGGTATTCGCGCGCCTCTGTTTGCTCTCGCACTCGCTGAGGCCATTCCAGGGACAAGACGCGCACCGCGTGCGCGATTTAGGCCGCTAGCGTCCTCCTCGCCTGCTGTCGAGCGTTTTGCTGTCGCTTACCTCGGAGAAAGGCTTGTCGCCGCGTGCGTATCCCTATGCTGCGCTGGCGCCTCTTGAGTGGTCCTGCTGGTCTGCAAGGCATCTGAACGGCATGGCACCCCTTTGAGAGGAGCAGCAGGCGCAGGCGCCCCCCTTAACACCTTGACAGGGACCCGCCTTGGCGTTGGTGTGTAACACTGACGGGGCGCATCCTGAGGCGTGAGCGTTTTAAATTGATAAGCGGCCAAAGCCCTGAGCTGCAAACCCTTGGAGAGTGGCGACGCGTTCGCTGGCACGGCTTCAAACCTTTGGGACTCTGCGCAGGGCGGAGGCCTTGAGATTCTTGCTTCCATCCTCGCCTTGAACTCTGCAGCCTCTGACATCCGTCGCTGTCTCTGCTGAGATTCTCCCTTGTGTGTCTGCCTTAAAGCCCTGACGTGTGACCTCGCTTTTTGCCGATTATTAAGAAAGAAGGAATTGGCAAGTCATTGCCATTCTCATTCTTTCTACTTATGTTAGTGCCTCTACCTTTCTCCAGATGACACCATCTGTGATCATAACGCATAATCCGGGTGGTACCTAGTGACAGCTATAGTCCCGATATTCTCTCGTCTGGGTCTGTCCCACTGCACTCAGAAGACCTGTCGCGACCAGTCTTCCGCGTCGTTGCTTGTGAGAGGGTACCTATGATCGGTCTTTTCTTGTCTCAACGCCGTGACATTATTGAATCGGCCTCCCCTGTCTTTCGTTGGGCGAAGATACTGCTCTTGTCTAAGTGCGGTTTTTCTTCTTACTGGACTGACTTTTTGCTGCGTCAGTCGGTCCAATAACTTGTACGTGCTCCATCGGTTGCTGATGGGTATTTTTATCAGTTGCAGATGGGAACCGTTGTCGTTGACATCGCAGTTCTGTTCTATTTTCAAAGAAAGAAGATTACAATGTTGCGGAGTCTGAATCTCCCAAATATATTAGCCACAGACTAAACCCTTTGCAGCTGTCTCGCGAATTTCGTCTGATCAAAGTAGATCTACATTGTATTTGATTTTCATTTTTAAAAGTAACAAGACTCCTCGTGGGGGAAGAGGCTACCTCCATTGAAGATCCCCATCCGTCATGACTTTTAGTTTCGTTTAAGTACAATTTTCGTTGTTTGTGAGAGCACCCACGCTTTGACAAAATATATATAATAATGACCAGCACCAGCTTGCCAATGCGAAAGCTCGTCCGCACGGGCGGACTAGTGTTATGGTCTCCTTTGATTCACATCCTAGAGCCCCTATCCCACTACCTTTATTTCTCACAAGGACCATCGCACGACTACCAAATTCCTCGCTTCACAAGAAAATACTTCTGCTACCTAGGACCACTACGACTACCCCCTACTGCCATTAATGCCACTACCTCCGAGGTGAAGACAGGGCAACCCCCTCCGAGATCAACGCGTGATTAAGTAAATCCACTCTAACAGCTGCGACTGGGGCGATTATTTTCGGTCCTTTGGGCGTAGGCGCTCTCGAGAGAAAAAGTAAGGAGGTTGAGCAGAGGCAAGAAATCGAGCGTATCGTTGATACGAATGGCGTCACCGCTTTTGATTAAGGCCACGGTAGATATAATTAGAAGTCTACGCTTGCGCTCCTTTGCCTTTGGTGAAATCTCGTCAAACATCGAGTTCGAATGGAGCTTCTCTTTTTGGGAGAGATAAATACTGGAAAGACCATAAAGAAGGTGTTGCAGCAGGCGAAAGATGAAGATAGACGGTTTTATGTATACTTACCCATACCTCTAACTTAACGATGATGACCTGGATGACGAGGTCGAGGACCCTTCGAGCGCTTTGTGGACGATGGCGCGGTCGGGGATGGGAGACTTTTTTTGGGACGGGTTTGGGTCCGCGTACAAGCAGTTCAGTTCAGCCACGTCCTGGAACAGTGCGGGTACTGGCGACAACAACTTCATCTCCTCCAAAGATCAGGACGACACTTCGTCTCATAAGAAGCTGGAGTCATCAGTCTCCACCCTTCAAACGGCTAACGCTGTTTTGACGGAAAACAACTACACCACTCCTAGCTCGAGCGCTTTGGAGCTGATACCACTCAAGAGAATTCGAAATTTTGCCGAGGGGCTGTATGGAATAACACCATGCCAAAAGCGAACATAGAAAAGCGGTTTTTTTAGCCAAAAAACGCACATGAAGCCTCGGGATCAGTTGGGCAATATTCGTCTCAAAATGGAAAATTTTCATTCTGAGACGAATAAAGTGCAAAAGCTTTTCTATGTTCGCTTTTGGCATAGTGTTACTCCATACGTGGACGGGGGTTGATGCGCTTACTGGATTCCTGCGCTCCGACGAAGTGGCCAGTCTCGTTGAGCTTAAATTGGCGGACACCACAGGCGATATTAATCCTCTGAGGCAGAAGTTCATCAGAGATGTCATCTTCGGTGGCAATGAGCTCTCCAAGAAATCCTGGGACGGTATCGTTAAGAATCATAAGCCGCAGCTCCCTGAAGATCCTGAATCATTAACTTTTGAAAGTTCTCAAGAAACTTGGCCCAAGTGGTTCGAAAGGAGGTCTGGGACCAATTAGCTTGGGTAGGATTCTTATGGTGCTTCGGGTGATCAATGTGATTTTTTACCTTGTCACTTCGGGCCATTTTGGCTCAAGATTGGCAACCTTCTAGCCAGGATCTGAAAGCGGCTCCGGCTTGATTGCATTTGATACGAGATTCGAAACAAAACAGCGCAACTTGAGCCACCTGGAGACAGCCCCAGCTATCCCTTTTTCTTAGCGTGTGCTCTTTCTTCTTTAGTAGTGACCTCGGTCCCGGGAAGCTGCAGTAGGTCTTCTTTCATTTTGGTGGAGAACCTGGGCGCTTATCTTTCTGAGTTTCATATCCCCGACCCCCTAGAACTAGGAACAGGCTAGAGCCGAAAACTGTGCCGCAAAGCCAAGAAAACGAAGGGGAGCAACTTTTCCACGACGCTCAAGGAGGAGCGACAGAGCGCCCCGAAGCTCAACACTCACGGTGGGCAACAGCCGACCCGCACTTCCTCGTCCGCAGCGTCTTCCGGGCATATTTTTTGACGTGACGGGGCGCCGGTTTCGTCGCGGTGGAAATCGTTTTGAGCATTCGCAAGAGCTACCCACTGCTGCGGAGACAGATCGAGCCTCCGGAGTCGGGTGTCGGCGCAGCGAGTGCCGGGGCGGCAGGAGAAGCAACCGGGCACGCCGTCAAAGCGGTTGGGAGTTTCTCTCAGAGATTCTATGCCACGTTGACCAAGGAGGAGCCGCAGGGGCAACCCTTGCGCAGGCAAGCTGCGGCAGCTGCCTTTGAGCAGACACCGGAGGAGGGAGAGCACTCCAGCGAGCGTTACAAGCGTGACACCCGCCCGCTTCATCTCCCACCGCGAGGGAGATCCAGCCGAATCCTCGAGCCGAAGCGTGACGGATGAAGGCAAGTGCCTCGCGTCTTGGTGGGCATCATGAACAGCACCAAGAAGAGCAGGCTGAGGACTTGCAACCGCAGCGCAAAGAAGCACGACACGGACAACCGGCGCAAAGCCTCTGGCCATCCTCTTTTAAATCGCCTCGCGACTTGTTTCCGATGCTGACCGGGGACGCTGGTATGGGTCTTCCTTTGGCGGGCTGGTGCCTTTTAGTAATTCTGCCCGTTATTCTCTCTACTTATATTTTCTCTATAAAATGCAGAGGCCGCCACCACTGGGGTGGAGAGCCCAGAGCCCCGCGGACTCGTTTCTTCCCCACGCCCGAAAATGGCGGCAGCCCTTGCTTTTGTTCACTTGGTAGACTGAAAACCGTCCAGCCCACTGAAAACTCTCCGCCACCTTGTTTCCAAAGTCTCTCGTCGTCGAGTCAACCCGGTCGAGCGAGGTCACCTCTCCGGAGGCGCTGGCGGTGCTTAAGAGCCAGAGCGGCAAGGCGCTGGACGATGAGAGCGGTGGCAGCCTCGACGGAGTCACCGCTGCAGGCGTGCTCAGACAGAATAAGCGCAGGCGCCGCAGGAGGGGCTGAGCCTGAGGCTGGTAGCTAAGGGCACCAGAACCCAAAGACGCCGAAGGCGATGCCTCCACTTCAAGAGGCCAGAATGGTGCGAACTTCTGCGCGGGTGCATCACTTGGCGCTTCTCTTGGGTTAGCGGCGCTGGCTCGCCTCGGGTTTGGCTGCTCTTCTTCACATGTTTGACGACATGAAGACGAGAGCAAAAGCGCGGCCACTTTTTGGCCCCGGTGGGCTCGCTGTATTTTGCCACTATAAAGCGCACGGCCTTTCGCTTCGCCGCATAAGATGGCGCGAAAGTGGGCGCGTTTTTTATACAGGCAGAATGGTTATAAAGTAAAAAGCAGAGCCATCCTATAGCTTTTTTTTTTGGCAGGTAAATCGATGCCGTCTTATGCTGATTCGAAGCGCGCAAAGACGCACTTCGTCGCGAGTCTGTAGGCGACACGCAAGAGCGAAGGTGCGCGCAGTTTTCGCGTGAATAATCCGCGAAAAATGTAGGGGACGCGCAACGAGGACGCGCCCCGGAACGTAGTGCGCCCGCAGCACGCAAGGGCATTGAGATCCGCACGCGCTTGCAGTCATCACCGTGGCGAGTGGAGGCACGCCCAGGCAGGGGGCCCCCGCTCTTATTTCTGCTTGGCCATCTGTGGCCAATGGGTCCCGAGGCATAGGAGCCCCGCCTACTGTCTTGCCACAGTGGAGGCGGCCGAGCGATGTAGGGAGGGACGGCGAGACGCCTGGCAGAGCAGAGGCGCGCGGTAGAGTGTCGGCGCTTTCCGACCACGTGAAAACGCGGGCGCCGCATCCTGCGGCGGATTTCTGCCGATCTGCTTCCCCCCCACTCAAATGGAGGAACCTCCTCAGCCTTCATAGCTTTCGCCGCTGTGGAGAGCGCCTCCTCATTTTGTAGTGGGAATGTTGTGAAGCTGTAAGCCTTAAACCCCAAAAGGCACCAGCTCGCCAGTAAGGGTCCCTCTGATTTCGCTACAGGCATGGGCAAACGAGCTGAAGCAGCGCCCCCTGAGCAGGAACTGAAAGCGCCGGGCCTACCTGTTTTGCCATGAAGATGGTGAAGAACATCGCCCCGAGAGTGGTCTTCTTTATCAGTTCCCAACAGCCCGCGAAACGCTACAGAGAGCCGCAGAACAAGAGCCGCGCCGCTACCATGTCTACCATCTGCTGGGAATGATGGACGCCGGGCAGTAGCATGGAAAACAGTCCAAGAAGCAAGAGCAAGGAAACGGATTCGAGCAGGATCAGCCGCGCACGCACCTGGAGGAGTACTTCAAGGAGATGCAGCAGAAGCAGAAACGAGACAGCGACAACACGGAAAAAGCACCATGAAGAACCCGCCCTCGGTTGGCTTCCAGTTGCCTCCGAAGTGGACCGCTGAAATCGTTCGGGGGCTCGAAGCGTCGGGCGCTTTGCCTGATATTGTTCGCGCCATCCATCGACAGCACCGGAAAAGCAGGCGGAGCTGTTTGGGCTGGTGTAAATTAAGCTACGCGGACCGCTCGGGCTTAGCTCTGGAGCACATCAAGGAAAAAGCTCTGAAAGCTCTGTGGCGCGTTTATGGTTCTGGTAGTGTTCGCGCGGAGAAAGGAGTTGCGTGCCGGTTCGTTGGTCGCAGATTGGCTTCGAGGAGGCCCGCGCGACTCGTCTGCAGCAGTTGACGGAGATGGGCGGCAACGAGATGGCAGCAGCTTGCGTTCGCTGGTGCAGCTACTGGCCCCAGCAATGAAAGACGCAGGAAAAGGCAGCAGTGGAGCCTTCGCAAAACCTCAGCTGCCGCAGCTTAAGTCCAAGGCGGTCAGATGACAGGCGGAGGCAGTATTGGAGACGGTGGAAAACCGTCGGCCGCTGAAACAGTACCAGGCGGCAGAGATGTCGCGACATGCTTGGAACGGGATGCAGCTCGGGGACGTCGCCAACGGGAACGGCATAAAAAAGCGCATCACAAGAACGCCTGCGATATTCGACGCGGTACGAGATTCCGAGGGGCTTTACCACGCTGCGGCCAAGTGACTTCGTCGACCAGCTTCGGCTAGAATTCAGCACCACCCACCAAGTTGCGGCCTCCACGCTGGAAGGGCTCTCGAGCGCAGTCAAGTTCACGACCGCAGGGAAGGGGCAGGGCGCTGCCCTTGTTGCCTTCGTAAGTTCTTACCGTGTCCCTTTCGGATTGCTCATGGAGGAACGCAGAGAAGCCGGCGGCGCGTTTCTCACCTTGTCAGACGTCGCTGGGAGCGACATGGAGCGCAAGAACATGGCGAACAACTTGAAGCACCGCAGCGGCCTGCCGATTTGGATCGTGACCAAGATCGGCGATCAGTCACTTCGGGGACCGCGGAGGCACGCCCGAGAAGCAGCCCCTGCAAGAAATTCTATCTCAGACAGCAACCACCGGCCAAGCAGAGCAAGCGAAACAGCAGCAGCAGCAGCGCCCCGCCGGCATTCCGCCGGCAGCACCGCTGCGGACACTGACAGGAAACCGAACCGAAGAGAGCAAGTAAGTTGGGAGCGATGACCCCGCAGGCAGCGCTAGAAGAGCAGAACAGGCACACGACAACGCAGATGCAAACGACGACCCGGCCACAAGGAGCGAGACCCAAAGGAGCGAGCAGCGTGCGGGGGCGGGGGAGCCACAGATACATCCACCACGCAAAGTCCAACAAGCGCGCGAACGCCATCGAGCGGCGCGCCGGGGCCTCGCTTGCAGCCGGCTTCTGCAGCTATTGCCAGAAGCACCACAAGACCACCGGAGACCCCGTCGAAATTCTCTGCCCGGACAAGATTCTTGCTGGGCGAGGATTCACGCGAAGGGAATGCGCCCCGTATGCGCACGGCGTAGACTTAACCGAGATCGATGCCAGCGCGCCGCTTCGGTGCAATGAACAGCGAGCAGCAGGACCAAGAGCAGCAACAGGAGCCAGCACAAGGGCACGCAGAGAGCTGAAGAGCAGAAAACAACAGAGCAGCAACAACAAGCCAGCGAGCGTTATGACGAACCACATGCAAGAGGCTGGCAAACGGTTGTAGCAGGTGCAGAAGAAAAGCGGAATGTGAGCGGAAAGCTTTCAGGCGATGAACAGTCTGAAGGCGCTTGCGGCGGTCTTTTTGCATATCACGGAGGACGAGCTGAAAAAGTACGCAGGTGGAACGGCGACTGATAGCCGCCACGGGTGGCGTCGTGTCTTCTTCGAACCTCGTGGGCCGCTTGTCTTCATGTCGTTAAAAGTTTGCACAGCATACGCAGAGCAGCACGGAGTGTTCGCGGAAGTAGATTCGCCCTTGGGTTCGCTAAGGTTCTCGCGTGCGTTGGCGCTTGGAGGGGTTCGCTTGTGAGATTCGCAACGCGGAAACCGAAGAAAGAGCTCAGAACGAAGACGCAGGGCCGCCGGCTGTGGGTTCTTTTAAACAGCTGAAGGAAACGAAAGGGCCGCTGACCTTGTTGGGCGTAGTCCACGCTGAGGGAGCTCCGGCCGACGCCTTCTTCGATGGTTTCTGCCTGGTAGGAGCTGAGGAAGAGGGTCAGAAACAGAATCGGACCGATGCGGCTTCCTGTGAACAACTTCAAAAGCGCAGTCCTGACGCAATTCGAAACCTTCGCGAAGTTGGCAGGGATGTAGTTCAGCTAGGAGCCGCAGCGCACCAATTTCCGTACGCTCGTCGGCTTGTCGAACTCCCCATCGCAGTCGCCGAAAACAAGGAGGAGCAGCAGGCTACGCGGGTTCCCTTTGCGGTAGTCCCGTGGTAGGTTGTGCGTTGGTGAAGACATGGCGTCTGGCTTTCGTTATTTCGATGAGGTGTTCGGAGTCAAGTACGAGCCGAAGGCGCTGAACCTCACGAGACTCAGCACCCCAATCCCGAGAGGAGTGGGAAACTGCGAGGCCGTCGGGACCATGAAGGTAGGAGGAGGAGAAAGCAGACGAGCAACAAGAAACGCAGGAGCAGGAGCAGCAAGAGCAGGAGCAAGGAGAGCAGCTAGAGCAGGAGGAACAAGCCGAAGAAGAAGAAACCGGCAACGAGACGGCTGAGGGCGCTGCATCAGACTCGGAGGAGGCGCCGCAAGGCGTCTGACTAAGCTCCAAGAAGAAGAGGAAAAAGCTGAGCCAGAAGGGCTGCCAGCAGGCTGCAAAGAAGGCGAAAAGGAAAACAGTGGAGGGAACTGCAAAGCAGGATAGGACACAATGGACGAAGAGGCGAGAACTGAAACCGACAGCGAAGAAGGCCGACAAGAAAAGAGCCGAACAAGAAGCATGAAGCTTCAACCTATGGCTTAAGCTTCTGTTTATGAACGTGGGAGGATAGTGAAACGATCTTGGCGCCTATTCTCCTTGTTTGGGCCGTGAGTGCGAAGACCCTCTAGAAGCTCACAATCTTTTTGCTGTTTGTCCAGTTTGGACTCTGTAGCTGATCCGGTTTGGATTTTCAGGAGCGTAGCTTGTTTTCGGTGGTTGTCCTGTTGGAGGACTTCACTTTGTAGCCTGTCTTGCCCATTCGTAGCTGTGTTTTCCACTCAGTCTCAGTTGTTAGTTTCTGTTTTCGTCTTTGCGCCGCTCTGGCCTTTCTGGTGCTTCTCGTCTTCCGTTGGGTCCGAGGCGCTGCTGGCGCTTTGGGAGGTCTTGGCCACGCGTCTGTCACTAGTGTCCACGCCAACCACGTTCGCGCAAAAGTGCCTCGCTGTGGCCCGCTTTCTTCTAGCAAGTTTTAGCTTTACCTTGACTCTCTTCCTCTATTTCTTCCCCTTCTCAAAACCCAAAATGCAGCGCCCCCTTCCCCGTTCATAAATATGAAAGTTCAACCTATGGCTTAAATTTCTGTTTATGAACGCGGAAGGATAGTGAAATGGTTTTAACGCCGTTCTTCCTTGTTTGGGCCGTGAGTGCGGAGACCCTTTAGAAGCTCGCAATCTTTTTGCTGTTTGTCCAGTTTGGACTCTGTAGCTGATCCGGTTTGGATTTTCAGGAGCGTAGCCTGTTTTGGTGGTTGTTAAGGATTCCTTTGTTTTGAAAAATCCCACCCACCCGCTCCTGCGCCGCCTAAGAGGCGCGTCTCTGAGAGGCTCGCTAGTCATGGTCTTCTGACCGTGACTACCCTCCTTAGACGTACCTCGGGGCCGGTTTTAACATTGAGCGTCGAGTCTCTCAGAGCTTTGCCTCTTAGGCGGCGAGTTAGTTATTGCTTTAAATCGAAAAGTTTGGCTATGTCATGTTCGAACTATCCAAGCCAATGATTCGAAAAAATGGAAGGAAGGCGCTCAAGATCTCGAATTGCTGTCGTTTCTCTTCGTTTACGAGAGTCTTCTGGAAATGGTAGCCAATGTGTGCAATGTGTCCCACGTCCGCGTCGTTCTTTGTTTATTTTCTTTCTTTCGAAAAGAGAGGCAGAGGACTGGGCAACGAGGGCACTTCTTCAGAATAAGTCGGATCTTCTTGCCGTCAGAACTCTTTCTGCGATGAGATCAAAATGATAGGAGATCCTCTTGGTGTGCTCCCTCCCTCTTGCTCTTCCCCCTTTGGAAAATTATCTTAGTTTTGAACTTTCTTCGTTGGATCATAATGGTGCTAGATTCCGTGAAAGAAGAGCGCTCCTTTGCTGCAAAGTATGCTGATAGAGTTTCCGAAGATGTTGAGTCCGCAAATGCTAGGCGTGTCGCCCAAATTATTGAAGATGAAAGGCCTAAAATCATTCTTGACGGTCTTCCTCATGCGCATTCTCTTGCGCGCGGTGATGAGAAGATAGAGCCACTTCTTTCACTTTCCGACTGTCCTCCGGCGTGAGTTTTAGATACGAAGTTTATAGATATCGAAGATCGTCGAGCGATTGGCTGGAAAAGCATTGTTTTGCTGAAGCTTCTCAATCAAGCGCTTTATCTCGAGGATTCCACTGCGTGCGTGGCTGCTAGCTCTTAAGGGGGGCGCGTGTGTTGGCAAGTTGTGGCGTCCTTCTTTTTGGGAAAGCGTGAAGCCTAAGGACGACGACGAAAATTTTGACCATTTGAATCGCAAGTGTTCCATAAGTTCGCAAATCTTTTCCAAGCCCCCGCTTCGTGCTGATGGGGAAGTTCTTCAGTTGATTTGGTCTACTACAATTAACGAACGAGATGAAGGCTTTTTGGCTGGTCCGTTTGATTTTAGTCAGCTACCCCAGTCCGTTCAGCATGTTGCTCCCAGGTTCGCGATTTGGCAGAAGACTCGTCGTCGTATGATAGATGGCGCCCGCTTGTTTAATTGTTCAGCCAAGCTAGATAAGCGGGCGCCGCTACCTTCACCTTTACAGGTGTTGGCAGCGGCGACTGTAACCGCAAGGGTTCAGTCGTGCCCCGGGTTAGATAAGAGAGTCGCTGCATGTTTCTCGTTTCAATCCAGGAAGCGCAAGCCAGACTTTGTTCCTGCTGATTCTTTTGAGGCTTTGCCCAAGTTGCTTCTTGAAGCGGGGGAAGGGCTAGAAGGTTGCTTTAGTTGTAGTGATGCAGTTGAAGGGATTGCTATTGATGAAAAAGGCGCTTATAAGACGTTAGGAATTTTGCGTGGTCAAGAGTTCGCAAGCTTTCTAGTCGTGTGGGATCCCACCGGCAAGAAATACGCTGCGTTCGAAGGGAAGGCTCTTCTTTTTGGGAATATGCATTCGGTAGCTTGTTGGTGTAGGGTAGCGCTTTTGATTAGTGCAGTTTTGAGGCGCGCCCTTTCGATTCTTTCCTCCGTTTTCATTGACGACTGCCATGCTTTTGCTCGAGCTAATATGGGCCAAGCTTCTGCCGATAGAGTTTGCCGTCTTTTGGACGTTCTCGGTTGGGAGTACAAGCTAGAAAAAGTGGAAGCTAGTGACTCAGCTGTATTGTTGCTTGGTTTGATTTGTCAGCCCAGAGGTAAGCCTTCAGTGGTAGTAGCTCCGGAGAGAGCTCAAGCTTATGCTGCTGAAATTAGAAAAATTATCGATAGTGAGAAGTTGACGCCGAGCGACGCCTCTCGGATCTATGGAAAGCTTTCGCTCGCTTTTTGCGCGGTGTGTGGGCGCATGCCTCATCCGATGACGCGGCCTATTTTAGCTAGAGTGTTTTCCTCTTGCTCTGTTCACTTTTTTGCGTCGAGTCTTGAAGGCATCCCCTAGTGCTTGTGCTGAGTTGGTTGCTTCTCTTCCTGCTAGGTCTTTAATTTTTCTCCCTACTAGGTATCTAATTTATTCTGATGCAAGTTGGCAGAGGGAGAAGGGCTACATTGCGGCGCGCTTGGTAGATTGTTGGCAAGTTATTTAACAAAGAGACCAGGCCCCTTGGCGCGGTGTCTTATTGGAAGACTCCTGCTTTTCAGTCTGAGACTTTTGACGATGCTGCTTTATATCCTATTAACTTTCTCGAAGGTTGTGCTGCCGTTGTCGCTTTCGGGGTTTGGTCTGATCTTCTTGCGGGTTCTCGTGTTGATTGTTTCATCGATAACTGTTGTGCCGGAGGGCTTTTGATTAGGATGAACAGTGGGCGTAGTCATCTCGCTGCTCTTGCTTTTGAATTTTGGAAGCATGCGCCTCGGTTTCATATTTCCCCACAAATTTCCCGTGTCCCATCCGCAGTGAACATAGCTGACCTCCCTACAAAAAGTGGCTTTTTGTGCGAAAGTTTTAAGGTTAAGCTTTGACGCGCACGAAGTTCAGTTGAGTGAAGAGATAACGGATAGCATAGAGTTTACAAATTGCGGAAGTTAGAAGTCGAGAGTCGCGAAATCTTACTAGATCGCTCGTCTGCTAGTGAAGAAAAGTAGAAAATGGCTGAGGAAGGAGTTCTGGCGCTGCGCAATGCGTTCAATTTGATCGCACAAGAGCAGACGCACGATCGTCCAGATGTAGGGAAGGCGCGTCTTGTTCGTAATTGCTGCCGCGATTTTGGCGATCTTGTTTGCGGAGTTACTGAAGGTGACGCTTCGAATTTGGAGAAGCTCAACGTGGGAGCGTACTACTGTGCTGCCCTTGTAGTCATGCGTAATAGTGTCAGGAAGTTGCGAGTTTTCTAAGTTTGCTAAGAGGAGGAAATCGCGTGAGCGTCTTCCATTGTTGTGCACATGTTTACTCTCATGCTGTTTTATCTCTTGTCAGGTCTTTACACGAGCGAAAACTTCAGAAGCAACCTTTTGAGGAAACGATGGAGAGAGCTGCACGAGATGCGGCTGGAATCGCCTTGCTTGGTGGTTACCGCCCGCCTGTAGCTGCTGTTGCGCCAGTTGCTGCGGTGCCCGAGATCCCTGCAGCTGACGGAGTTCCCGGCATCCCTGCAGTGCCTGCAGTTGCTGGCGTTGCAGCCCAGCCTGCTCATATCGATGGCGCCACGTTGCAACGCGCTCACAAGATCCCTACGGACTTGACTCACGTATCGGCTAAGTGTTTGCCTCATCTTTATCCTTGCTGTTCAGTCTTGAAGTTGTATTGTTTTAATCCTTGGGAACATCCATCTTCTCATCCCTTCGCTTTGTTTTCGATAATTCAGCTTCTTTCTCTTCTGATTTTTAGGCTTTCACCAAGAAGATTGCACGAGAGGCGGACGAAGAAGTTTTGGCTGAGGCCATGAATGATGTGCATCAAAATCGCACGATTCGCATTGGCGGCATGGCAGCCGATGGCGGTGCTGAGTATGCGGCTCGTATCTCCGATTTTTTCGCCAGTGGCGCATTCCAGGAGGTGCTGGAAGTCAAGATCGAGAGGCAAGGCGTGATAGTTTATTTTATTTAGATAAACTAACCAGCTTCGGACTTTTGTGTCAATAACTATAACCCAGGCAAATTTTTATGACTTTTTTACTCAGGGCCAAGTATGTGAGGGGCCAAGCGCTTCTTCTTCATGGTGGATTGGAGATAGAGAGGCGGATCGAGAATGACTATTTTTTTGCTGAACGTTTGACCCAGAGGCAGTTTTTCCCCATTTCTTTTCGCGACTGCCACCCTCTTCCTTCTGGAGTATTTTGCATGGCCATTGGCAGCTATCTCTCAGGTTGGCTACTACGTACAAGAGCCGAGAGCTGGGCAACAAGATGAGGGAGCTGGATAAAAAGGCTGCTGCTTTTGATGCGCGCGCTGTGCGACAACAGTGGTCGCCACAGAAGCCATGTGGTCCGTATGGTGATGGGTTGAAAGGTAAAGGGAAAGGTAAGGGTGGTAGGAAGTGTTTCACTTGGATTCGTCAAGGGCCTGGCCGTGGTTTGAATTCATTGTGGGAATCCTTCGTGCTCTTTTGGACATTCTTTACCTAGTACTCGCTCTGAAGCTCAAGATATAAAGAATTTTGCTCGTTCGTTGAATGATTGGAGCCTCGACCTTGATTATGATAGTGAGTATTCTCGTGTCGCTCCTGCTCTGTCGGGGTCGTCAAGTACCACTGTCGCAAGCAACGCGAGCACTACTTCGCCCGCTAGTTCTGCAGTTGTAGCAGAGTCTTCGGGATAGGGTTCAAGGGCTAGCTAGCTAGATTGATTTGTGTTGTGCTTGGGTGGACTGTCTCTCGATCGAGTTATGTGATGTTGCAGCGCATTGATAGAAGTCTTAGCGTTTTAGTAAAAGGGTTAGCATGTGTCTCGAATCACACAAAATTTTTATTTCCATAGTCATACTTAGAAGATTTTCATACTGATTAAGGGCGTGACTGAGTAAAGAACTGCATTAGACTGTGGAACATGTTCCAGGCGTCACAGGCTAAGAAGGAGCCTCTGGCATCTGTGCAACCTGTGGCCAAATCTTCCTCTTTAACGGATTCGAGTAGGTGGACTCTCGACAGTACCAGGAAGCTAGTCCCAGTTCGGGACATCTGTGCGCCGGATTCTAGTGGGAGCTTTTCCTCTTCCTCCTCTTCTAGTATCGTCCCGCTCGTTGGCTCTAGTAGTTCTTCCGCTAGTGCTTCGAAGTACAAACGAAGTAGGCCGTTGCTGTTTAAGTCGCTGGCTAGTGAGAAGGACGCCAGTGATTTACCTGGTAGTGCGTCCGCCTCTGTTTTCGCTAATGCCAGCACCAAGAACGGCGTGCTGCTGCTGTTTGAGCGTTTTTTAAGAACAGAAGTACGCCATGGGGCAAAAGGCATTAGTTTTCGATCAAGATTTAGGTCCATCCCAGAAGATGCGCGCGCTAGCTAGCCAGGGCCCGACAGTTGCTAAGAGGGCAGTAGTTGTGAGTGCTAGTTTTATCAAGGGTGAGGCACTATCAGACGAATCTTGAAAAACTTACTTGAGTCACCTGAGACAGTTTATGGACTACAGTGCGGCGATGTGTGAGAAGCTTTCCCCTCCTACGAAAGGGAAGGTCGAAGGCTATTTAGCTACTCAAGGTTGTGCGTCTTCGATGAATGTAGCCCGTTCAGCATTGCGAGAGTCTTGCTCAATGATTGGGGTGGCTTGGCCCGAAGTAGATAGTTCTGCAATCTCCAAAGGTATTAGGAGGCATCAGGCTCCCTCGAGGAGCAAGGCGCCGGTCTCTCTTAGTTGCTTGAGTCTTCTCCTTCAGGACAGTACGACAACGAATCAGTTCAAATTTTGAGTAGTCATCTCATGGATTTTTCTTTTGAGAGTTGGCGACGAAGCTGTGCATTTAAAGAAAATGCTTTCTGACGACGACAAGAAATGTGTTACGAAGATAGTTGCAGCATCATAGTGCAGGCTGGGGCAACATAGAAGGCCGCGCAGTCACTACTAGACTAAGGAGTAGAAAGAATAAGTCGGAAGGGGACTGCGTTGCTCGCTCGTGCACTTGCGGCGATGCCAAAGGTGTGAGCTCGTCCGCGACTGCGTCTCCTTTCTCCTGGGCAAAGAGTTTTTGTCTTTTCTGCTCATTTTATCTCTGTTTCCTCAACAAAGTTGAACTTGGGCAGAGGATTTTTCCGCCTCTCACTTATCTGATAGCTTTGAAAGAACTATAGAGGAGTTTGCGGAAATGTAATCAACTTGGTGATTGGGGAACGCATAGTCTTAGAAGAGGTGGCGCAGCAGCAGTAGCTGCTGCGGGTGGTAGTATTTCGCAAGTTCTCACTTCCGGTAGGTGGAATAATAAGCAGCAAGCTTGGAGACGTTACGTTGATGAAAAAGCGCTTGAATGCGAAGGAACGCTTCGCGCAGCGAAGTTAGAGCTAAAGAATTGCGATGGAGTTGATGGGTTTCGTTCTGACGGAGATAGCGAAGCTGACAGCGATGATTTCCTTCATGCTGATTTATAGACTTGATAAGGATTGCACTTGGTGTAGCATGAAGTAAAGCGGTTCTTGTCGGCGGCTTTTGCAGACTCCAGTGCTTAGCGCAAGACGCTGAAGTGTTCCTTATGTTCCTTGGCCGTCGAAGAAAGGGCTATGTCATAGCGAGGCATAGAGAGCATCGCCGCTTGTCGTGCAGGCTCTCACAACAGGTCGGTCTTGGCCGCGCGTCTGTCCCTAGTGTCCACGCCAGCCACGTTTGCGCAAAAGTGCCTCGCTGTGGCCCCGCTTTCTTCTAGCAAGTGCATACTTGTCTTTTAGCTTTACCTTGACTCTCTTCCTCTATTTCTACCCCTTCTCAAAACCCAAAATGCAGCGCCCCCTTCCCCGTTCATAAACGACAGAAACCGAACAGACAGAGCAGGCCCCGGAGGAAGCTACCAGGGACGACTCTCAGGCTGTGCAAAGGATTCGAATACCTTCAAAGGACGTAGCGCGCTTGCTTGTGCATTGCATATCGACCGACTTCATGAAGCCCAGGGTCAGACTTGGGGAGACGTATCTTTTGACAGCGAGGCGCGCAAGGATGTGGAGCCGATCCATCTGAGCCCGGTGTCGATTCTGCTCCGCAAAGAAGTAGGGCGAGGGCGTTCCGATTGTTTTGCAACCAACCTTCGCACGGTTCCAGACCCAGCAGAAGCCTCAGCATCGAGCGACCAGTAGGCCGAGAAATTTGCGATCGGTCTTTGTCCCAGGCCCAGCATGAAGAAGCCGCGGGCGCGGTGCTTGGTGTTGGAAAGCTCTTCGGAAACAAGTCGGCGCCGCTATTGGTCGAGCAGCAAGGAAGCAGGAGGCAGGTGCTCTATATGAATACGCGCCGCGCTGCTGGGCACGAAGATGAGCCAGAACAACCACAACGAGGGCGGAGCAAGTTCATGGCCGCGAAGTCCAAGAAGGAGGCACGGAAGAACCTTGACCCAGCCGAAGAAGAGGCAGCAATCTGCGAAAGCAAAGTGGGAAGGAGGTCCCGGAAAAATTCCGAGAGACAGCGGGGAGCGAGTGGCGCAAGGGATTCTGAGGGGCACAAGAATAAAAGCGGAAGGGCGTCTTGTTGCCTCTTCGCACTAAGATTATCGACAAGGCTACGAGAGGCGCCAAGGACTTGCATGACAACGGGGCAGAATCTCCATCGCTGTTGAAAGGGGTCCGCGCTTCGCACAAGATCAAGACCTCAGCGCAATGCCATTAAATGGAAGTCGTGGCAGCTTTACAGATTGGATTCTTTGGATTCGTTGCGGGTCAGTTTTCTGATTGGCGGACACATCCTCGAAGACAAGATCCGGCCCCATGACGTGAAGAACGAAGCGCCGCCGCCGATGACTTACTTCGCCAGTTTTTTTAGCCGACAAAACAGGGAACGTCGTTCGCAGAGTCGTCGCCGACCACCGAAAACACAGCGAGCAGGCCGAGGGCTATCGTATGGAATGGAAGTGCCAAACTTGCTGAGCGGGAAGGCGAAGTGGTTCGTCGTCTTAGATTTGGCGACGGGCTATAGTCGGATGCCGTTGGACCCAGAGGCCGCGAAGTACCTGCCACATTCAACGCCTGGAGGGGTCGCTCTTCAACTTTATCTTCCCCGCGCGTTTGTCATTGGGGCCGAAGTGTGGGCCAGCGTTCTTTCAGAGCCACACGCAGCGAGTTTTCGAAGCTCTTCACTGGTGCAGTTTTTTCGCTGATGGTCTTTGCTTCTCCGCGTCTTCGGATGCAGAGGCTTCGCAGCGTTTGGGCGCGTTGTTCGACAGGTGTCGGCAGGCGGGCCTCTGTTTAAGCTTGCGCGCGTCCGTGTTTGCAGCACGTTCCGCCGAAGTATTGGGCGCTGGTGTTTCAGCTCAAGGACGAACCCCGACCCCGAAGGAGCGCGAGGCCCTACAGAAGTGGGCGCATCCGAAGACCGCCGAAAGATTGAAGTCTTTGGCCTGCTTCGCGGACTACCATAGGGAGCCCACTCCTCGCCTACCACAGGCTGGCGAGCCGCTGTGGAAGTATATCGACACGAAAACGCCTGCCAAGCATTTCGAAATAACCGACGAAGAAGCGCGGCGACAGGTGGAGGAACTACGGCATGCACCTGCTGCGGAGGCTTACTTGGTTGACCTAGATGCGGGGGCGGCTTTGAACTGGCGCGAGACTGGCAGGAGACTGGCAGGCCTGTTGAGGTTTTCTGCGATGCGTCAGAGATTTCGGAGACCTTCGCTGTTTGTCAGAGGAAGGAGGCGCACGGGCGTCCTTTTCTGGTCTGTTTGTTTCAATCAAGGGCCACGCCTTTGTTTAGCGAGCAGGCAGGGGCGAACCTGGTCGACAATGGCGAAGGAGTGGAACGCGGTGAGGCTCTTCTGTGGAGAAGGCTCGCCAGAATTTGGCCGCTCCTTCGAGGTTCTCCGTCACTTCGACCACAAGAACAACGAAGCAGCGGAAGTGGGGGCCTTTTTATTTTGCCAACCAACGCGTCGCAGAGACGAAGGCCTGCAGATGGGTTGGGGAGCTTTATGACAACTTCGCCCGCGGAGCGTTATGCGCTGTTCTCTCTCTGGTCAACGCAGCGCCCTCGCGAATGCAGTCGGCCGCACTTGGTGGGGTGATGCTGATGACGATGCAGCAGCCACTGGGGGCCAAGGGGGTGGCACTGGTGGACTCGTAGGGGAGTTTGTTCGTTTTCTCGTCGGTCGAGAATCTGGGACAACGCTCAGGACAGCAAGAAACAGGACCAGAGCAAGCGAAAGCAACGAAGCTCGCGAGGATGGCTCCGGGCTCGGCGGTGCGTGTGCTTGAGGTGATGGAGGCGCTTTCCAACGTGCTGGAGAAGTTAGAAGGGGCATTCTTCGCGGCATATTTCAAATATTTGAACAACTGCGCTTCTTTGCTCTCGGAGTTTCGTGCGCAACGTGCCGCACCAGTCGCAGTCCTCGAATTGAGTAGAGTGGAGCTGTACTACTCGACTTCGACACGCTCAGCGGCTTGAGCTTGGCGCCCCGAAGTGAAAGGCCGGCTGAAGAAGTTGCTTTGGCAGATGGTCAGCCGCGTAGGATGCGGAAACAAAGCACCGCGGGACCGATCTGGAGGCGCGTAGAGCTTTGGCCCAGGCTTTTCGGGGGTGGTTCGCTGGCAAGTCTCTCAGCAACGCATGAGAGCAGCTTCTGCGCCTTCAGCTTTATCCCGGAAGACTTTTCGGAATTCGAAGAAACGAACGAGGAACAGCAGCAAGGCATCCCGAGAACGATCTGAGACCTTGCCCCGACGAAGATAACGATCGACGACCCAGAGGCGACTTGTGGCACGCCGTTACGATACGACTGGAAAGACATGCAGCCAGGGGCGGTTACTCTGATCGCGACCATTAGCGTGGGTGCATGTGCCGCCAAGTCTCCGCAATGACAAGGCAACGACCCGAAAGAGCAACAAGACAGCGCGCCGAAGGATAGCAACGGCAAGGACGACAACGAAGAGCAGCAGGCCGAAGCGAGGGATCTCGGGGACCAGGCTCCAGAACTAGAAAACGAACAAGAAAACGAAGACGCAGAAGCAGAAAAAACAGCAGAGCCGAGAGCGATTGCGCAAGATTTCGCAACGAGGTGCCTCAGCGGAGACAGCGCCGACGACATCAGGAGCGAAGATCTCCGCGCAGCTTTGTGGCGTGAGAACGTGTTGACAGGACTGGCAGCCTTTCGCAGGTGGATTGCTGCGCCGGGCTGGTTTTCAGTTTGGCCAGCAAGTTGGGGCACAGTTCGCGCTGTCTTCTTCTACCAGTACCAAGCTGGGCCGAAAATGGAAGCTCGTCAGGATTCGACGCGGCAGGCTGATGGAGCTGCTCAAAGAAGCTCCCGGACCGTCTGGCACCGTCCCCGAGGATGCGGAGGTCTGCGGTGCTCTTTTGATGGGCGAGCGGCGTTTCTTACGTTACAGTGCATTGTAGGCGGCGCCGCTTCATTTCCACGACTGGAGGTTGCACAGGACGAGCAGCGGCGCGACGAGTACTATGGGCCTTTCTTGCAAGCACTTGCGGAACGAGACGAGAAAGCCAGCGACGACAATAGGCAAGAAGCGCGGCGCAGCATCGTAGGCATGAGAGCGGAGGCAACGAAGCTGGTCAGAACCAGAAGGACCGAACGGGGCGAGTTCAGATTTGACGACGCTGGCGGCTTGCTTCAGAATGTCCGCGGAATCTGGTGCATCATTGTGCTGGAGGTTTTGCGACTGAAGTTCCTCAAGGAAAGCCACGGCCAGCACCACAGAAAATTCAGCGCAACTTTAGGACAAACTCGGCAACGGCGAAAAACGTGCTTGGCGGTTTGGCATCGAGGAAGATTGCGAAGATTTCTGCGACGTTCGCTGCCTAGTGTGCGGAGTTGAGCGAGCCAACGCGAAAACCGGCCCAGTCTTCTACCAGGACACCGCCCGGCGTTTTGGTGATAAGTTCGCCATCGGTCACCGTGGTCCCTGTGCAGAATCGAAGCGCGGAAGCGCGTACGACTTTACAGCCGTCGGCTTTGCCACTGGATATGGATGGCCGTTCGCAGTTCCCACCACCGGCCTGAAATATGTCATCGCCTGCCTCGATGAAGTTTTCAAGGGTCAAGGGTTCCCAAGCGAAATTCGCTGCGACAACGGACTCGGGGGACTGTGTGGGCCCGTTTCGAAGTTTTGTCGCAGATACCGAACTCAACTCGATTCCAACCAGCTTCGCGAGAGAATCCACGCGCGAGGCGGGTGGCCAATCGATTTCCCCCACAAAGAGGCGCGCGCTTTTCTAGCTACTCGGATGAGATTCAGCAGCAAGACGAACACCTGGGACAGCGAACGGGATGGCTCACAATGGCGCCGGGGGGTGACTTCATGACCTGCATGGGGCTACAAAAACAAATCTGCCTAGAATTCCGCTTCAACGAGAAACCGCGCCTGCAGCTATCTGCAGTTGCGAAACGATCTGAAGACGACGAAGACCCGACCGAAGGAACGCGGGACCGACTAGACCACGACACTCACACGAGCCGCGGAGGAGATGATAGCGAAGCGCAAGGCATGACGCGAGCGGGCTTTCTTCCTCAACGACGAAGCCAAGCGCAGGCAGCAAGCAGACGGGGGACGAGCGGCGGAGATTTCAAGGAAGCCGCAGCCGGTGCGGTTTATTATAAGCATGCACGGGCAGAAGTTAAGCGAGAGGGCATGCTCATGGGTGTGGATGTCGCTTGCTTGTACATGGTCAGGCAGAAGCTGGGCGCGATCTCGTGTTTTCTGGCCGACTGGCGTGACTGTCTACCGGCGATCACATTCGTGCAGCCAGTTCGTCGGAAGTTCCTGAGCGGTGCCGGACTACACTAAGCGCCGACGAGTGTTGTCTGGTGGACATCGGGAGGCGCTTCGGGGCTACAGCCGGGAGGGTCGGCGCGGGTGTCTTTGTGAAGAGCTATGACGCATTTCGGCTCACTACGATACGCACACGAGCGAGACGGCTTGGAATATGTAGGAAACAAGGAGCAACCGGAGGGGTTTCGTTTAGGTCTTCGGGAAACTGCGCTGGGGGCGGTTTGTGGTTAAGAATCATAGCCCGCAGCTCTCTGAAGATCTTAATTTATTAACTTTGGAAAGTTCTCAAACTTGGCCCAAGTGGTTCGGGAGGAGGTTGGAGGCCAATTAGTTTTAGTTGGATCCTTATGGTGGTCCGGATGATCAAGGTGATCCTTTTTAAGGAATCGCGTGGGGGTCATGCAAGTTCGTCCAAATTTGTACGACCTCCCTGAAGAATTTGAGGAAGCTTGACGGTTTTGATCGATCTGCATGGAGTTCCGCCCTTCAAGTTGACTAGTTTTCTTCTCTTCTTTTTCCCTTTTAGCCATTTGGAAGCGAGGGGCGGTGGCTTTTTATTTCTCCTTGTCATTTCGAGCCGTTTTGGCTCAAAATTCGAAACCTTCTAGCCAGGATTTGAAAGCGGCTTCAGCCTGATTGCATTTGGTATGAGATTCGAAACAAAACGACGCAACTTGAGTCACCTCAAGACACCCCCAGCTGTCCTTTTTTCTTAGCGTGTGTTCTTCCTTCTTTAGTAGTGACTTCGGTCCCGGGAAGCTGCAGTAACTCTTCTTTCAATGGTCACGATGAAGCGCCGATTACCAAATACAGAATCAACATGGCCAAACTCGACCAGCTGTACTACGACAACGACAAGGGACAGGGAGACGGCCAACACAGCACTAGAAGAGACGCTGCAACATTTGTCGCTGGCCCTGGGGCGGTCGAGGTGAAGGACGTCATCAAAGTCGGCAAGTCCAAAATTCACGAGGACATCGAGAAACGCATCTTCCAGGGAGTGGCGAAGACCCAAATACAAACCACGAAGAGTCAGCTCATGGTCAGACCGATGTGGACTCGTCGTTCCTTCCAGAAGGAGATGTGGCTAATGTTCACCCGGAGGGAGCGGGGAATGGATTACCATTACTTTGCACCAGTACAACAACAACAACAAGTGGTCACGAAGAACAGCAATGAGCCTTCAGGCGAGGAGAAGGACTTGCTCCTAAAAAACCCCGCCGATAAGACGCCGGTGAATAGGGATGTCCTGGATAAGGTGGTGAAAGGTATGGACAAAAAGCTAGCTCAGCGTCAAGAGGCACTCTTTTGCTCTCTGGTACTGAATGGTGCCGTCGAGCTATCCACCACGCGGTACGAGAAGGCCTGGACATGGCCGACTGCAGCTACTGCAGAGCCCCAGCATGTCCTGCCACACCACGTGTCAGGTAAAGCCTGATGGGATCCGCTAATCTACTTCTAGAAGCTGGCATCAACAGCTGCCGACTTGATACTCCTTTGCCCCCACATACTTCTGATCTGCTGTGGTTGGGTTTTGGAAATCAATCTTCTTCTTCAATTTTTTCTAGGATTAAAACTAGTAGAGGCGAAGAGCGTCCCCTTCTACTTCTCACAATGCTGAAGATGAAGAGCTATATCTTCCACATCTAGGACTACTGAACAAGAGCAGAGGAGGAGCAGGAGCTTCTACTTCTACCCCTTGTGAGGTGGTGGATAATCTTCATTTTACTACTTCTCACGATCATGCTCCTGAAGAAAGTGAGCCCCTTTCAGTGTTGTAACCTTGCTGCTGCACACCTTCTTCTTCTAGTACTACTAAAGACCACGAGGAAAGTCTTCTACTTCTGCCACTGCCGAAGGGGAAGAGCATCCTCTGGCACTTCTTCTAGCACTACTGAAGACGGGAGCGCAGCGGCAGCGTCCTCTTCTTAAATAATTTTTCAAGAGCTGGTAGCTGTTGTCGTGGAACGTTTTCTACTTCTTCTAGCACCACGGAAGATGGGGAGCGTCCTCCGATACTTTTTCAAGAAGGTACTGCTATCCGATGTGGAGCATCTTCTGCGTCTTCTAGCACCACCGAAGACAAACGTCTTCCACTTCTACCCCTTCTGAGGTGGTGGATAATCTTCATTTTACTACTTCTCACGATCATGCTCCTGAAGAAAGTGAGCCCCTTTCAGTGTTGTAACCTTGCTGCTGCACACCTTCTCCTTCTAGTACTACTAAAGACCACGAGGAAAGTCTTCTACTTCTGCCACTGCCGGAGGCGAAGAGCATCTTCTGGCACTTCTTCTAGCACTACTGAAGACGGGAGCGCGGCGTCCTCTTCGTATATAATTTTTCAAGAGCTGGCAGCTGTTGTCGTGGAACGTTTTCTACTTCTTCTAGCACCACGGAAGATGGGGAGCGTCCTCCGATACTTTTTCAAGAATGTACTGCTACCCGATGTGGAGCATCTTCTGCGTCTTCTAGCACCACCGAAGACAAACGTCGTCATTCTCACATCCCAGCAGTGTCTGATTAGCGGCATTCGGGAAGAACAGCAGCATGACTCGCATGACCCACATCCTTTGCCCCCACATACTTCTGATCTGCTGTGGTTGGGTTTTGGAAATCAATCTTCTTCTTCTTCTATTTTTTCACGGATTAAAACTAATAGCGTCTCCATCTTCTACTTCTCACAATGCTAAAGATGAGAAACTATATCTTCCACATCTAGGACTACTGAACAAGAGCAGAGGAGGAGCAGGAGCTTCTACTTCTACCCCTTGTGAGGTGGTGGATAAAAATCTTCATTTTACTACTTCTCACGATCATGCTCCTGAAGAAAGTGAGCCCCTTTCAGTGTTGTAACCTTGCTGCTGCACACCTTCTTCTTCTAGTACTACTAAAGACCACGAGGAAAGTCTTCTACTTCTGCCACTGCCGGAGGCGAAGAGCATCCTCTGGCACTTCTTCTAGCACTACTGAAGACGGGAGCGCGGCGTCCTCTTCGTATATAATTTTTCAAGAGCTGGCAGCTGTTGTCGTGGAACGTTTTCTACTTCTTCTAGCACCACGGAAGATGGGGAGCGTCCTCCGATACTTTTTCAAGAATGTACTGCTACCCGATGTGGAGCATCTTCTGCGTCTTCTAGCACCACCGAAGACAAACGTCGTCATTTTCACATCCCAACAGTGTCTGATTAGCGGCATTCGGCAAGAACAGCAGCATGACTCGCATGACCCACATCCAAAAAACAGGTGGAAGCAGAAGGTAAACCGCAGGTGGAAGCAAAACCTAGATTGATTGGTCCTCTGTCTCCATCCTAAAAATCGTCTTTCATTGTCTGGAACCTCGATTCACCGATGCCACTTATCTTGATAGCTGAAGATTCTTCCACCGTGACTGCATTGAATGACGTCCAGTAGACTTTCAAATTGATGCAATCATGCTGAGCCGCGTAGAGGGTTTCGAGTTTCTCTGAGATGCAAATCACACAACTGACTTTGCGGCTCATGATCACATGGTAGTCTTTGTTCTGGTCTCATCAGACTCGAAACACGCCTTGTTTTGAGGACCCCTTCCTTTGTTCTTTGTATCACTCTGACTGACAGGAATGCGGAAGTGCTCCGCTTCGATCGGTGCTCAGGCTCTTTTTTTGTGGCTTTTTTCAAATTCAAGTTCTGGGAAAAATTGCTAATAGATTATTTTGGTATACTAGGCTAATCAGGTTGCTTCCAGTTCAAGGAATGGACGCTCATTGTCGTGAAAGGTCTTGGTAGTAGAGTACCTTGTTCGAGTTTTTTGTTTTTTTTATGAATGTTATACTAACTATGCGGACTTTCAACTGAGGACATAAAGTGAATATGGAAGAAGTTTTGTCCAACCTGGGCCTTCTGTGCTCAAAGAGTAAAAAACCTTTTCCATCACGTTGTATTGCGGACAAAAATTACGTTGAGTCGAAACTTTCAGGGCAAGATGAAAAAGATGAGAATCTTCCCGAGCATCTTCTTCGCGGCTGTGATCGAAGAACGAGCACAACAAGCTACGATCATGACCCCCTCAAATCCAAATCCGAATCCAACGAAGATCCCGGTGTGCGGGTCTGGCGCGTGAGCGAGTCCAGCTGGTTTTACCTAGCGGAAAGGCACAGCGTACCTGCTCCCTTGCGCTTCACGAAGGAGGAAATTGAGGAGTTCTGGACTGCGTATTGTCCGAAGGAGCGGCAAACGATCACAGCATACGGCAAGCAAATGCAGCTCGGTCGCGGTATTCGCGTCTTCTATTGGTTGCCCGATGCAGGTGTGTCTACGGGGGAAACTACCAGGAGTGGGACTGGAGAGAGGCATGCTTCTCGAGCAGAGAAGAACGATAATTTTCCTGGAGGAAGTTCGTTGTTTTCGCTGCGAATTGGAGGAAATCGTGTGGAGCCAAGAGATCTTCCAGAAGGTGGAAGACGTATAAAGATGTTGGCTTACAATTGTGCACTTGTGAACTTCTATGACTCGGGAGTGGATTCGATTGGTTGGCACTCAGATCGCTCTACCGGTCTGCGGACAGAGGTTCCCATTGTGACCGTAAGCCTAGGACCCGGCGAGCGCGAATTTTCTTGGAAGCCAGCAAAAAGGGCTGCATCGAGCAAAATCCCGAGGACGGTGCAGATGACGCGCGAAAGGAGCCCCAGGCGCGCAGACCAAAGCTTCAGCAGCGACTACAACGGGTCCTGGTCCACGAAGACGTGTGAAGAACCTCTACAGTCATGCTGCACGGTTGTCGATCATGTTACTGAAAATGATCTTCAGCAAAAGGGCACAGTGCTACTGCGCGATGGAAGCGTGTCGGTGATGGGAGGCCTTTTTCAGGAGGAGGCTCTTCATTGCATACCCAAACGCAAAGGCGTAACGGAATGCCGCATCAGCATTACACTGCGTTCGCAAATGATGGCGCACGACTCTAAGATTGCGTATAAGTAGAAGAATCTGAATCTTGCACCGCGCCGGTGTCTAAAAAAGGAGGTACCTTTGTCATTGACACCAAGGACAAAACAAAGAAACTAATGTGGATGTTTGCAGGAAAGGGGTCTTTGCCTTTGGCATGTGCAGCAGGGAATTGAGAATATTTATCTCGCTGTGCCATGATATTGACTTCTCCTGATTGATTCAGTTCGACTGCGATCACTCCGTTAGAGTTTCATCTCTTGCAGTCGATTCAGTTCGACTTAGAGGCCAGCTTAGTTGTTGAGCATTGGACACTTTCAGACCTCGTCCCTACAGTCATCGGGAAAGTTGACAACATACAGGGACGCATGCATGCGTTAGTACTCCTTTGCATGGTCCTCGTTTGCCTACAGCTGCGAGTCCACACTCTTCTCTCTTTCAGGCAAATCAGTTGTAATTAGATCGCTTTCTTGTGCCCACTCACCAGGCTTAGCAATTCTAGGGCCGTCCTTGTGGATACACTGCTGGAAGTGTATTGTCCCGCTGGTAGACTAGGAGAAGCCCTCGGGATAGAAGTTACTTCTAGGGCTTCATAGGTTTTTATCCGAACAAGATGCATAAAACTCCAGACAGTGATGAGAACTAGGAACTTCGCTTTACTCCTGTTGCCACACACTAGTAGTTTTTAGAGGCATTGGCACAATCAGATCACTGAGATTCTTCTGCGGGGTTCCGTTATTCCAGCACATTTTTTTTTTTTCACTGATTCCAATGCTACAACCAGCTACATCGCGAAGAAGATCTGAAAAAAGTACATGGTCCTACTCGGCAGATATCAGTGCTTTTTGGTCCATCGTTCGCATCCTTGAGAATGGTCAGAGGTAAGAAGACGAAGTCCTCCTCCCCTCCGCAAGGTGCCCCAGCGGTTCCACCACCTACATCCCTCCAGCAGCCACCTGCGCCACCCACATTACATGCCGCTCACGCGGTACCCAAGATGACGCAACCGCCAAGCAAAGGATCATCTGCGATGATGATGACGCAACCAACAACATCATCTTCTACAACATTAACGACGCAACCACCGGCAGCGACATCCACATTGCAGCCATCAACAGCAGCGCTACCTGCGGAAACGACCGGATCGACGATGACACGCGACAAGGTCAAGACTGCAGACGATGTCCTCTGGCTTCGTGAGAAACTGAGAAACGCCAAATGGTGTCGTTGGAAATTTCAGGTTTCTACTGCTCAACTAGATGGAGGAAAAAAACCGAAACCCGCAAAGAATAAGCCACCACTGCAGATGGCCTCTTATTGGCGGTACTTCTACATACCAAAAGTGTATTTTAAGCAACAAGAAGCCCCCTCGAGTACTTCTGGCATTCCGGAAACTGGAAATGAAGTCTCCGAGGGACCACCTTTGATGATCAAACAGCCATTGGGTTTTGCGATAAGAAAGCGATCCACTACAGCGCCAGCTCTGAGAGACGACGTGCCCCCAAAGTGCTTAGACGTAGATCCGGTTCTGCGCGAGCGAAGCCATTACTTAAGCAATAATGGAAAAAACTAATAAACATAAAGTACAAGTACTAGTACAAACGAAAAAACTAATATAAAGTAGAAGTACAAACGACGTGGATTTCTCTATAATTATAAGTCATTACTTGTTGTAGTACTTTTTCAGTACATGATGTACATGTGCTAGGTCGTAGACTTCCAGAGCAGACATACATAGAAGTGAGTTTTTGGCTCATGTACGAGGTATACCTCCTCCAGAGACATATGAATTATACTTCTCTCTTTTCATACTATTACACGATCGTGAAGAGCGACGACTGCTTGACAGCTGACGGCCTATCCTATCGGGTGAAAAAGGATTTGGACGCCTTTGATCCGGAGGACACCCTGCAGCCTTGGGGCAGCGTAGTCTGCGGTCCCATCGTGGATGACCGCTGGATCGAAGTTGAAGGATGGTTCCTGCCAGTAGCTGTTATGATAGATGCCAGTAGCTGTTATGATAGAGCCGTAAGCACACACATTGAGAGGACTACATCAAATGTAGTGCTGAATACTCGAAGATGGACACGGCAGACGTAGATATGCTGAATACTCGAAGATGGACACGGCAGATATACAACAGATTTCCAATACCGTACAAAGTTAGAAAATATGAGCAGTCGTGTCTGATGAATGGTTCCGGTAAGTAGTATCACAGGAGGTGGCCAGTCGTCTAATGTTCTGAAAAGCATAGTGGACACACGCATTGTATGGAGTCTTGTTGTGCGGCCCTCGACGCTGCGTGAGCTCCTGGCGCAGATGGAACCTTAAGGGTTGAAGCATTTAAGTTCATTTTTTAGTAGCCTTCTTCACTTGAGATAGCTTCACTTGAGATGGCTAAGTACTAAAAAGTGAAGTTTTCTTGTTTTAACGTTCTTAGATTGCTACTAAAAAATGAACTTCTTGAACTCTTGTTTCACCCTATCCCTACTCTAAGAACCGCAGGATGTCGCTGGAGTGATTGATCATTTGTATGTGCCGGAAGTGTATCCAGTGTCTAGGGAGCTGCAGATCGAGACCTTGGCAGGAGTAGAGCTCGGCTTCAAAGCCAAGTCTGGCCCCTCTGTCGCACCAGTCATGTGGCGAGAAGGCGAGAAGAAAATGAAGACTCATCAAGGCGAACTCTTGTTTCACCCTATGACTCATGGTGGCCTGACGACTCATAGGGTGAAACAGTGTCAAACTCATCCTCCTAGTAGTCTTCAGAAGAAAAACGTAAACCAAGACTCTCCTACAACGAGCAACTCGTCCGTGGGCATACAAGAACCTCCTATTAAGGCTAGACTCTCACTATCTGGCGGGAGGTATGATCCTGACTGGGTTTTCCTTGGAAGTCAAATGATCCTAACAAGTGGGTTCCCTGTATTTAAGTAAAAGGGAACCTTAACTAGGGAAGAAAGAGTATTAACCCCCTAATCTTAGAAATCACGGGGAACTGATTAACCTTTGAGGGAAACTACAAAGGAAATCCTGTTCTTCAATCCATTCAATCATCAACAAGAATAGTGAGAGTCTGGTGTCTAGCGTTAATAATCCTAGTAAGACAAGAACTGGTACTTCTGGACAGCAAGCTACTAGAAGTAGTCGTGCTGCAAGTGCTGGCTCAGCGTGGAACAAGCTCATGGGAGAACAGGAGATGACGGAAGAAGACCAGATCGCTAGGGCGATTCAGGAGAGCCTGTCGGATCCGATTCCGTCTGGCTCTGCTGCTAACAGTAGTTAAGGCTCCTTTCGCCAATGATCCATCTACTTCGGAAGGACTAGTATCCTGAGACAAAACTGTTTTAAAGCAGGCGAACAAAAGTAGGTCCTATTCTGTTTTTTTCTGCTTATTTGAGGATGGATTTATAAAAGGTCTAAATTGGTAGTGGTACTGCGACAAGTCACAACGTTTTTGTGTCTCCGAACGGTCGGAAAGTCAAGGTAGATCAGCCAGTGGACGCAGCACGACCTTCCGAACCTTTGTTTCCTGAGTCCGAGATCGACACCCGTGTCAATTAAGGCGACCGCTGAAGCATCCGCAGCTCCATCCCTGGCTTCTTTTTCAAGGAGAAAAAGGGCTCAGGGATGGACTCAAGGATGCGACGCGGTAGCTCTAAGTCCAGGTGGAGGTGCGTCGCCGGATGTTGGACTGGGAAAAGACGAATCTTTACGACGCCAAGATTGGAGGGCAGCTTCCAATGAGCACTGTTTTGGGGTATTACGGAGCCGAGTATGCAGAGGAATACATGCAAGAGGGGAAGGAGCAAGCTCCCAAAGTTAAGGCTTCGTCCCCTAACCCATCTTATGATGTATCCTAGCGGGATGAACCTTTTAAAAGGGAAAAGGGTCCTGGAATGAATCTCAAGATGGATAACGGTGAGCTCTAACAAAGGCGCAACGCTGCAGTCGGAAGTATTGAAAAAATACGTGAACGAGCGACTCGCTCAAAGTATCAAGGAAAAAGGGTTTCTCACGCCTAGTGTGTTTATGAGCAGTGATAGTTGAGTTTCAGTTTTTGTTTTAGAGATTAGAAGCAAGATTATGATTACTACTTTCATCAATAAAATGTTGATGTTCTTTTTTACGTAGGAAACTAGTACATTCTGAGGCTTTTATCCCTCACTGGTGTGATTTGTTATTATATTGCCACGAAAGTGAATGATGTTTCTCAAATTTGTAGATGCATTTGCATACTTACTACACTTTTCTGTGTCTTTTTCTTTCTATCTGTTTTCGTCTACCTCTTCAGACTCGTGTTCTCCTTCTCCTCCTCTTTCCTTCTCTCTTTCATACCCCTGCAACCTTCTCCCTCTCCTCTTTTCGCCCTTTCATACCCCTGCAAGCTGAGCTGGAGACGTTGAAATGGAAGTTTAACAAGCGGCACATTGGCGTTATCCTGAAGGAGCCACACGTTGGGAATTTGCTCAAGGGATTGCTGCGTCTTTCTTTCAACGTGGAGTGCACGATTCAGTTTGCCTTTGCGGCGGTTCCTTTCTTGACGTTAGCCGATTTACGAACAGCCTTGGTGAAAAACAAAGACATCGGGTCTTTGACAGCATTAGAGGCGCTTGGGAAGTTGGAGCGACACCCACAATGCCGCACGAATTTCCAGCTCGCTGATATCATTAATACAACGAGCCAGAAGATTGGAGCAAAGAAGGAAAAAAATCAGGGATCAAAAGCAGCTTCTTCGACTGAAAATGATAACAAGAAAGATGTTGACATTAAGGGTAGGCTATAAAGGTGCTTTTCTTACCGCTTTTTATGCCTCTCTCCCTTAGGATGAGAAAGGCATAACAAGCGGGGTAAGCGAGCACCAAAAGCCTACCTCTAAAAAGAACAAGAAAGATGTTGACACAAGAACAACTACAACTACTTCTACTGAGCAACCACGAACAGGATCCGGATATAACGCACCGAATATGACGTCGGAAAATCTGATTCTGCAATTGTTCGATACTATCCCAGAAGAATGGGACATCCGCGACAAGTCCTGGAGGCCCAATGAGGAATTAGTGGAACTTGCAAAGAAGAACACGATCGCTCGGTTTGGAAACACCGCTCCTCCGGTTAAGGCTGCTTGAAAGTTGACCTATCATCTAAAAGCATCTCCATGAGCATTTCTCCAAGTAGGAAATCCATAGTTAGAGGATATGCGACCTACTAGAAGGAAAATGCCAACTTTCAACCCCTAATCGGAGGGGTCAACAGGCTGGTGCTGCGAAAAAGGGTACTAAAAAGTGGGAGAATCCCTACGAAAATGTGCCGGTCGACCGCATTCTCGAAGTAGATCCGGACTTTTTCCTAGCAGGAAAGAATTGGTCGATCGAGTATGGGCTCTCTGTAATTGCCTCGGAACACGAGTTGCCTCACTGGCGATATCTAGGAGTCTTTGTCCAGCGCGAACGCTTTCTATCTGGCGTGATGCACCGAATCCGCGCATTGCGGTCTAGAGTATTGCGACGCACTCAGCGTGAGACACAACGAACAGAAAAATGGCTTTTAAAAAGTAGAGGGCCAGAATTGGGATATGCGGAACAGCCTAAAATAACGTCGTTAGCAGCAGCGAAAGAAGCCGTTCGAGTACGAGACGGCCTACAAGGACATCAACGAGGACAACACGCAAGTTCTTCTCACGGCAAGAAATCTACATCTAGTACGTCGTTCCTACCGTATCGATGGGAAGCCATGCTTTCGCTCTTCCAGGACACGACTATGAAGAAGCGATGGTCTGGTGACATGTCGTCGCGATGGAGGTTGGTGTACCGATTATGCTGCCAGGAATTAGGTTGGACTTTCAAACGCTTAGCCGACGTTCACATTGGAGACGACCAAAATGAGGAGTCTAGGAAAAGCAAAAATTCAAAACTTTCTGTTGAAGCAGGTGCTCGTGACCAAGACGTAGTAGACCTAGACCAACCAGGGCAACCATATGACACCAGTGCAGTGGGAGGTGGAAGAAAGGGAGACTTGGAGAATGAAGATCCAGATGAAGCTTCAACCGATGAAGATGATTGGTGGACAACCAGCAGTGATTCTTCCGAAGATGACGAAGTAGACCAAGCTTTCTCACTAGCACAAGATCCTGATCCAAAAAATGCGAATGCAAATAATGCCGGTAAAAAGAAAATGAAGTCGAAGTCGTCAGCTGCTGAACAGGTAGGCGGGTCTCCTGAAATGTCTTCTGCAGCAGGCAACGAAAAGTCAAAGTCTTCTCCGAGTAGCAAAAAAGAGTCAAAAGAGCATGGAAGAGCCACGACTAAAGGGAAGATTCGAAACACGAAGATCAAAGCTTTGCGTAACGTTGATGTGCTGGAGGAAACTTTGGAGAGCTTCCTGAAAGGCACAATAGCCCCACTGCTTTTCTCGGCTCTGACAACGAGTTTGAATGCGCCAATCTACGAGAAGAGCAGGCCAGAACCGGAAGCTTTCACAACAATGCATCGCAGAAAGCAAGAGGATATCAGGTATTGAGTTTTATACTGTTAAGGGTAGTTCTAGTCTGTACTTTCCAGCGGATGACTTTTTGTATTCTAACAAGAGACTCGACTCCATGTGGAATCTTGTCACATCGATTCATCCTGCCGGTAGGTGCAGCAAACCTATTTAGGATGCACAGAATAGAATGGATGACTTTTTGTATTCTAACAAGAGACTCGGCTCCTAGGTATATGTCATTATTCTAACAAGAGACTCGACTCCATGAGTTGATGCCGGCGAAGACTGCAAATACAATCACAGTTAGGAGTCATCCAATGAATTTGGGTGTAAATAATCATAAGATAGAATTATATTTCTATAATTCCGTGGTTTGATCGACGTACTTTATTTCTTCATGCTCCATCGATCTTAGCGTTTACAACGAACTTCATTCATTCCTGTAATTCTCGGCTCTTTCGTTCCCACGCTTACCAGTTATTTCTTCATGCTGTATGACTACCAGTTATTTCTTCATGCTGTAATATCAGTAGATACAATTACAACTACTCACTCTGTTAACATGCTTCAGACAAATTTTGCAGAGTGAGCGAATCCGGATGCGGCGTGACAAGATCGCGCGGATAGAGCATCTGCAGAACAAGAACGATGGTATTACGAAGATCATTTTGGGACATTTAGGGACGTTTCCAGGAGTAGAGCGCAACCTGTGGCGAGTTCTGGCGAACATCGAACAAGAGATCTGCCTTGCGCTAAATTTAGAAAAGCCGTCAGAGATGCCCCTCACGTTGCCACAACTGCTACTAGCGAACCGGGAAATCCTTCGCCGAGGCACCCTCCTGGGCGGTTTGATTCCCGACATGAGAGAACATCTTCCTCTTCAGAGTACGAGTCGTGCTACTTCTGCTTTCAATCTTCCTCTTCAGAGTACGAGTCGTGCTCCTTCTGCTTTCAATCTTCCTCTTCAGGGTACGAGTCGTGCTCCTTCTGTTAAGGGTAGGTTAAAGGTGCTTTTCTTACCGCTTTTTATGCCTCTCCTAAGGGAGAAAGGCATAAAAAGCGGGGTAAGCGAGCACCAAAAACCTACCTTTAATTCTGCTTTCACTGCCGGACTCGGGTACTCCCAGGATCATGTTCCTGGTTTACCCAATGGCGGTGTAACCGGTGGAGCAAATCCAGCCGAGGACATCACTGGGAATCATATTCAGCAATCTGGCACTTCAGCTAATGTTCTTAAGGTCAACATTTAGTGTCCATCTTTCTCGGCATCCTGCTACCCTTTTCCCTTGTATTCTCATGAAATACAAGGCGCAAGGGGCCAAGATCAGGGGGCCGAGGTGCAATGATCTAGCATACTCTAATGACGTGGTCGAAGTAAGTGCAACCGCTGCGGCAAACCACGCCAGAAAGAAGGTCTCGATTTCTGAAGAAGCATTGTTGGACCATTTTCTACAGCTTGTTCGAGAAGGCTGCGAAGCGGTGCTTCAAGGTGGAATGGATGTTGAAGGCAGCGACTTATTTGGTCAAGAAGATTTTGACATTGATGCTAATGCAGGAAACTTGTTAGGAGAGGTCGAAGATCTCGATGAGGTGCCTGACCTTGACCTTGACGAGGACGATGAAGTATTGTCGAGCGAAGAGACGTCGGAGGAGGAAGAAGATTCAGACCTAGACAAGGATCCGGAGGTCGACAAGCGAATTTTAGCGGCTCGCCGCGCCCGACGCGCGAAAAAGCGACAGGAACGACTGGCCGCGAAGAGAGCAGCAAAATCGAAAGTGCAAAATGTAGAAGTAGAGGTCAAAACATTTTTGAAGACTGGCCAGAAAAATAGTACCTCTAAAACACATTTGCTGGATGGTGGATCGCAACAAGCTATGGAAGAAGAAATATATATCGATCCTATGGAAGGTGGAAATGCGTCGACTGGTTTGAAAAAACAGCCACTCAAGAAAAAGCAGTCTTTTCTCGATGGACGCACACTTTTTACCATTCTCTCCGAAGCAGAAACAGATCTCTTGACTGCTTACGGCTTGTTTGACTGGTCGCAATTTGGCTTTGGCACTTTCTCCGAGTTTCTGAAGAAACACGCCCAACGACTATTACAAAGTTTGCCTGTTGCTTTGGGCTCAGAGCCGCGTATCAGCGGTGAGATGGCGGAGACGGCGCGAGCTTTCCTTCGAAACGCAGTTGTAAAGAGTCGTGAGCTCGGAGATGAAAATGTGTCGTCAAATATGTCGTCAAAAGATAAAAATACGGCATCCTCCACAACAAGGACGAAGATGTTCCGAAACTTGAGGAAGCAAGCAACCCAATTACTGTTTTCGCTCTACGGGTTTCAGCGGAACGCGTTTGAATCTACTGCGGTAGATATCGCCAGCGCTGTCGACCAATGCTTCGTGGGTGATCGACTTGCTTCAGAATTTGACGAAGAGGCGAAAACTTCAAGCTCCACTACCTTGAAGGTGTTACCAGATGATAACCTCGCAGTTGCACTGGCGGACTACGCAACCTCCAAGGACACGATGGCTCAGTCTGGACAGGGGATGGCGTTTGAGTCCTCAGGTGGAGCTACAGGCTCTGCTCATGTGGCCAAGATGGAGGAGCAATTATCGCGCGACATCCGACGCGCTGTCTGGGACGTGCCATTACTGGTAGACGTGGAAACGCACGCCTTCTGTCCATTATGGGCAGAACGGTTTGCGCCGGTTTTCGGCTCCTTTGCCGAGTTTCTGGAGCGAGATAAAAAATCTTCACTTCTGGGAGCCTCATTGTCCAAGTCTGGCAGTCGTGCTTATCATGAAAGTGGAGGGTCCACCTCTGTAGGCGATCATGAGTCAGCGCTTCCGCCACTGCTTCACCTGTCACGGGGTAAGGTTGTTCGCATTCTCACATCTGGAGAAGCGACCGCAGCTGCATTTTCAGCAGCAATGTCAAAGTTGGATCTTCGTCGCGCATGCGCTATCGTCCTCACTCGCCTTACCATCGATCGAGAGCATTTCCCGATGGAGCAGTTTCAAGAACTCTCGAAGAAAGCCTTTGAACAAGCTGTCAGTGGTCATCTTCCGACTGATGGAGATGGAAGTAAGAATCTTGATCTTCACTCAACTTCGACCAATGCCTCCACCACTTCACTTCCTGAGTTCCTAGTGCTTGAAGCCACACGCACACTCGCAAATACGGATGCGCAACAGCTGCTCTCGTCGCCAGTCTTAGATGTCTTTGGAAAAGCGTACGTAGCACTACGGCGTCCACGAGGCCTCCTGTTGCAGGCCACGCGACGTGTAGGACTTGAGTGGGCACTCGCGACGCGATCTTTGGGCATGCGCTACGGTGTGACAGAATGGACCGCTGCGTCTCTAGATAACGAGCCTTATCGTGGAAGCACACTGCCGTTCATCTTTAGCGAAACGCCTGTTGCTGCTGCTCCGGATGTTGGTGCTGTCAGAGTAAACGTCGATAGGGCGGAGAGAGATGTAACAGCTTCCGCGAATAAAGCAACGCCTACAAGAACGGCTTCTTCGGACCAAGCAAGTGGTGTTATGAGCGAGGAGGTAAGGAAAGTAAAGCTACATGTCGTAGCCGGTGCTGATAGCGTGAAAATGGACGATGCTGACACCCTGAAACGGGACGGCAAGGACGTTAGTACCGCTGGCGACGAGAAAACGCAGACAGCTACTCCTCCTTCGTTCTCCAACGCCGATGGAAAAGATGGCCGCTCTTCACAGGATGAAAGTTTGAATATCAAGCTTTGCCAAGAGATAGCCCACTTAAAAGGTGTGGATTTGGCCGACGTAGATCCCATGTCGCGTACGTGGCTGCGCGACCCTGCTGATGAACGCATTCGCAGTCTGCAGCAGACGGTGCAGGGTGCGGTCGTTCGCCTCGCTGCAGACCTGTACTCGGGCGAGAGCCACTTTTTGCTTGAACTCTTGCAGAATGCGGACGACTGCGTGTATGCACCAGGCGTAGTTCCAGCACTGATCCTCACTGTTGTTGGCGGGGGACACTCGCAGGCCAAGAACTACCAAGAAGTAGTCCAAGGTTCAAATGATGCAGATGCGTGGTCGTCATGGTCTACGAGACAGGCTTTGCTCGTGAGCGAACATTGTGAGTTCGGATTTCGGGAGAAGGATGTCAGAGCGCTGTGCGACATTGCACAGTCCACCAAGAAAAGCAAGAAATTTATAGGCCATAAAGGTGTCGGCTTCAAGTCCGTTTTCAAGGTGACCAGCACACCAGTGATCCACTCCGGCGCATACTCCTTCCATTTTGATTCGGAGGCCTTGAATGGATTGGGGTATCTAGTACCCTTTCCATTACCCCCAATCTGTACAGAGCGGATGCGTGAAAGCGTGCTCTTTCGCGAGCGCAACTTTTCTGCTGTCGTCTCAGAGGTTTCAAGAAATGTCGCTGTGTTGAATGCCTGCGGAAGTCGAAGTGAGATTAACGGTGAGATTAACGAAGAAGACCAGAAACTACTCCGCGACGATCATGGAATAGATAGTGAAACGAGGGTACGACCAGTTGTGTCAGGTGTAGAAGCACCCGCTCCACTACGACCTAAAGGCACTCGCATTGTGCTACCTCTGAAAGTCAATACAGACGCGAGTCAACTAGCAGAGCGTATGCGCGAAGACCTGCAGCCACGACTCTTGCTCTTCCTCCGGAATCTGCAGCGTCTAGTCCTCCACCGCTGTGGGGGATTTCGCGTACTCATGAACAGAAGCGAAGTGACCTATGGAGCTGTAACAGACAAGGACCCGCTCTTACAGAAGGGCACGACGCGTGAAACGGGACAAATAAACGCCTCTACTTCGATGCTTCTCCAGTTAGAAACGGTCTGCCTTGCTATTGGTGACAAGCCGACTCGCTCGGACCGTGAGCGGTGGTTTGTGGCTAGTGAGACACTAGTATCACCAGTAGATCGTGGTGGAGCGGAAGCTGAACTCAAAATCGCGATCCCATTCCCCGACTACGACGCTTTCTTGCAGGACTACGTCGAAGAACAATCGAAGCCTAGTCCCGAAACGCTAGCCAAAGAGAGCACTTCTTCGAAAAAATCTACTTCATCAACATCTCGAGGAGGAACAACTCGTACGAGGCCAAAGCTGAAGGTTGCTGCTTCAACACAACTGCAGTCTAGTACCTCAAAAAAGGGTGAAGATGAAGCTGCCGACAGGAAGCGCACCAACTACACGAACACAATCGACGAGGCTAAAGAATCTTCTGGTGCAACTGGAACTGAAACTATGAGCAAGGAAAACCCTCAAAGGAAGCTCTCAAAGGCAGAGGAACGAGCGTTGATGTCGAAGCACGTATTGAGCGAGCAGCAACAAGTCTTCGCTTGGCTTCCGACGCGGTCCTATGGTTTTCGTTTCATAGTACAATGCGATTGGGTAGTAGCTACCAGTCGCGAAGCCGTCATCGAGACGGATGCTTTCAACCAGTACGCGCGCGAGCACGTTGGCCGAGCTTTCGCCAAGGCGGTGGCAGCCTACGTGAAGTTCGTTACGGAATCTGCGCCAAAGGAAAGCGCCGTGCAGCTGAGCCTGAGCGTGGCGGAGGTAAATAACAAAGAGAAGGAAAAGAAGGAGCACAATGCTAGTGATAGCGACTACGCTGAAGCGGAAGATATGAAAAAGAAATACGACGCTGTCAAGAAAGGTGAAGATCGAAGTTCAGTTGGAGGGGACTCATCTACATCAACATCCTTGAAGCAAGACCCTGTTCAGCAGGAGACCCTGAGTCTATGCCAGCGTCTGATGTTGACGCAGTTGTACCAGGTGATCCCATTACCTGGCAGTGCCGCCGAATTTTTCGCACGTACGCCCGACAGCATCCTCGAAGAGCTGCGGAAGACCAAACTAGTGCCCGTTCGCGACATACAAAACCACCAGTGCCGTGTCCTGTTCGCTGAGCCGCGCCGTGTGGTAAAGCCGCAGTTTGCCAGTGCAAGTGTCGAGCAGGCGTTGAAACAAGCACGGGAGTTCTTTAATACTGCTGCTCGAGATGCTGAAAGTCAAAGACGAACGCCAGGAGCTGCATCTCAGGCGGAGGACGTGATCGCGGCCCATCTCGAGGAAGTTCTAAACTCGATGGGCCTGTATCTCGAAGTAGATCCAGAACTGCTCCCGTCTAACCTCGCGGCGTGTCTGGATTTGCCGCTCGTGGACGCCAATCTAGCCTTGAAGCTGCTTCAACGAATATCTGCTTCAACTACGAACCAATCTACTACAATCGCACAGATCCACCTCCTTCTCTTAATCATAGCGCACGACGAGAACGCAGTACAGATTTCTAAGCTGAAATCCATGGCCATTATACCTTGTGAACAGACTACTTCTAGTGGTGGTGGTCAGACTTCTAGTACCTCCGTAACAGCTACTTCTAGTGGTGGTGGTGGACAAAGTACGTCTACAAACGTGTGTACGTCTACAAACGTAGTTGGCGGTAGCACAAGTGGTACAACTCGTGTGGAACTGTTGTCACCAGGGACCGCCCAGATCTACGATAGCGAGTTTACAGTCTCTTTGGACGGCGTGAGAACGCTGCATCACGAGTTTCGTGCTAGAGTCCGGTCCGATACCCGATTACAAGTGCTACTGACTCGTATAGGGATTTTGGGCATAGGAAGCGCTCAGTTTTTGGAGTCTCACGTCCTCCCTGTGCTCACGAGCGACCGAAAACCACCTAGCCTGGAACAGCTGCTAGCTTGTACGTTGTATCTCAAACAGATGCTGACTACATCAACTTCTTCTAGTGGTAGTGCCTCATCTTCGGGTGCGGGGAATGCAACAGGGTCGACGTCCTCTGACCATGATCCTTCGAGTTCCAGAGCAGTTGTAGCAGGAGGTGCGCAGCCTCTCAAAGATTCAGCGAGGGAGAAAATACTGCAACTTCTGCGTGTCCGTTGCATTTGGGTGCTCACCGTCACTCAGACCGGCACACAGACATCAAGGCAGGACGATGATGCCCTACGATTGCTTGGAGGCTTAGATCATGCTGATGAGGATGAAGGTGGAGAGCCAGGTTCTACTCATGAAGATAGTACAACAGGTTTCCCTCTCGGTGGATCGCCTTCTTTCCCTACTTCTGGCAGTGCTGGTGGAGCAGCAGGGATAGACGAATTGTACGGAGGACACGGTAAGAACCCTCTTCACAAAAACGCCGTGATCAAGCAGTACTCCCGTGACGATCCGCTGCTTGCTTCTCTCCTCAGCCGCGCAGAGCTGAAGAAAGTACACTCGTCGCAGTTATTTGGACGCGAGGTCGAGGCTGTTCAGGCGGAACCCGTTCGTCTGCTGGCACTTGATGACGTGATGCTGTCTCCTAGCCTCTTCCTGCAGTGGACCAGCGTCGCGCATGAGTGCTATACGCGCTACGACCATCTTGTTCAAGCTCAGAAAAGAGGTCCGGTGGATGAAAATGAGTTCCACGAAGACGTCCAATTACTTCAAGGTGGTCACCATAGCGCCGCTTCGGATACGAACTATTACAACGCTTTTGCGACCACCACGACTACGTCGAACAAACGATCCGGTTCACAGAAGAAAAAAGGAAACTACGGAAAACTCAGTTCAGAAATGTTGAACACTTCTTCCTTTGCGCCACCAGAAAGAACGACACCTTCAGCTTCTACCACCGTTGCTGGGAAGACTTCTCTGTCACAAATTGACCCCAGCTGGAGTACTTTCTGGCTGGAGTCCGTTGGTGTGTGGCCGACCTTTACTTTTGGAGGCGCTTCGGGATCTTTGACGGTTGGCCATTCACACGATTTCGAGCGTTTACTCTCTTGCATTCAGGAGATGCCTCCAGGTATGGCGAAAACCGCAGCCGTTGCGATTTTCGCTTTCGACATGCTGCTTCCGTTTTTGAACCGTTTTTACTACAAAATGATGCAACAAACACGTGTACGTGAGCCTCCGTTTCTGACGCAGCTGCAAACGTCGCGATGGTTGCTAACGTGCACTGGAGAGCTCGTCTCGCGAAACGATCTCTGGCTCGCAAACGGTGTGTCCCTCGAAAAATACCATCTCAAAGCGCTCTTTTACTATGGCGAATCTTACCTGGATCGCAGCTTCGACGTACACCAGGGTGGCTTCTTTCGCAATACAACTCAAGATGGACAAGGCAACGCGGTCGCGCATTCTCCTTCACGAACAGGTCATCAGCAGCACACTCAAACGAAACAAAACCACTCATCCCATGTCCTGCAGTCATCTCCTGTCGCCGCTATACTGTCAACCTATCGCGCAAAACTGGTCTTTTTTCAACCCTACGATTGCTATTCCTCTCAATCGGTGGAGCGTAGGAGAAGCACAGAGACACAGTTTGCCGGTAACAGGGATATCGAGCTTCCCTACATACTCCACCCATTATTGGCCGAGAAAATGAAGCGTGCAGGACTCTCCAAATCCGAGGCTGATCCGACAACCTCGGAACACGGACAACATTCATTATCATCAAGTAGCAGAGGTACTGCTTCAGCGTCAACCTCATCTTCGCACCACATCAAGCAGACCGATTTAGTTTCGTGGCTTGGCATTCCTACGGAGCCAACCGCGGCGATCCTGATCCGTCTAGTCCAGAACCTCGCTCTGCGGTCTAACCTCGTAGATCGTGCGTGGAACGTCTCTGGCGCTATTCAACGCACTCGGGAGGACGAGGAACGCGCGATTGACACTGCAGCTATTGCTGTTGGAGGCATACGCTTTGACGAAAGACTGTTTAGCACTATTAAGTGTTGCGGAAATCCATCTTCCCAGACATCTTGGTCTCGTTTCTGAAGGGAAATGAGTACGGAGATGCTCACCAGGATGGATTTCTGCGAGCTCTAAAAATGCCGCCAGTATTAGTTGCACCAGTACTTCTACATCCACATCTTCGTCTTCGTCCACGAAAAATTATCATGTTGTCAACGTCTTACGCGAAGCGGACGCTACTGAAAACCAATTTCTCGTCAAGCTGAGTGTGTATGACATGACAGCAGTTTACCTCAAACTGTGGCAGAAGTTTCAGCAGGAGCAGATTGATCGAGCTAGAGTACAAGAAGAGCAGCAGGGAACGGAAGAGGAGCCAAGAGGAAGCGACGACTGCTCTCAGTCCTGTTCGATTTCCGATTTTCTGGCTCATTCTCCTTGGATTTTCGTACCGGATCACCCAGCACGAGGAGCCGCGCCCCGTTTCGAGCGTAAGCCATTCAATGTGCTGGAAAACCAGCAAGAGCCGTTGTGCGGGCGTTTCTACTTCGCAGCCGACATTTTTCTGAGTGAGCGTACACAACAATTGTCGGCGATCTTCGATACGTGGAGCAAAGACATGACTGATTTGGTTCAGCGCATTCTTTTGTTTTCTTGCCGTCGACGCATACTGTCCCACTACTATTGGGGACCTAGGTCTTGTATCCCACTGGGCCTCCAATACGCTCCCGGACCCTCGCAGACGACATTACATGAATTTTTCGCATCCACCATACGCGAGAGCATTCCTGGTGTAGATCTCTGTCAAGCGGTTCGTGCGTTTGCGCAAATGATCAAGAAATTGAGCAGAGACACCAAGCAGGATCTTCACAGCCACAAGGAGCAGGAGGTGGAAAACATTTCGACAAGGACAACGGCATCAAACAAGACTACAAGTGTTGCTGACATCAAAGCTGAAGATGACAGTCTTCATTAAGGCTTGCCGCAATCCATCTTCGGAAGCATCCTGAGTAAGCTTTTCAAGGAGAAAATGGGAGCAGAATGATTCTTAGGATGGATTAGGATGAGCTCTAACTTCACAGGCGTCGTTTCGGAACTTTAGAAGGTGTCATTGCCCTTGAGAAAGCAAGACGAGAGGAACTCTGTCATCTACCGCAACGGGGGTTAGGTGCTGGAGGCGCATATGAGGCTGCGATGATGCAAGGGGAGGAACAATACCGACTGGCGCAAGCGCACTTTCAATTGCATCGATTAAGGCTAGTTTTTCACTATCACATGTGACCTACTATGCTGAGTGGAGAAGTCCCCCTCCATTTGTAAATACAGGGGAAATAAAAGGGGCGGAAAAGGTAAAGGGGAACCCACTCCTCGACCTAGCATTTTACTTTAGTGAAAAACTAGCGCTAAATCGAGAAAGCAATACAGTCATGGAACGTATGGTGGGTCAAATGGCAGAAAAAATCTTAGCAGAAATCACCGCTATGGCTGACGAGGCAGAGGACCGGCTAATTGTTGCGGCCAGGACGAGTCGGCCGCCCCCAGGATTATCTCCACGGACAGTAGGAGAAGATGCAAGTGGAGACGAAAATGTAGTTGAGCAGTTATCTGCGTCTGCAGGGGAAGAAGAAGATGATACAGATGAAAAAGTGGCTACTCCTGAAGAACAAGAATTATACTCGGCACAAGACATCGCAGATGACGAGAGACTGGTAAAGTTGGCGCGTCAAGTAACCTCCCAGTCGGCCAAACTGATCGCCCTAGGTGAAGAGGAGGAGCGCGACCGCGTTAGACGGAAAATGTCAAAGGGCTCTAACACGAATGCATTTGGTGCTGCGGCTAAAGAGACTCCTAACTTCATTTTGGACGGCGAGGACGAGACTACATTTGCCTTCTTGCGACGCCGTTCATCCACCTTGCGCGAGTTCCTTGACATCCTAGAGGATGTAGCCATAGTTCCGACTGTTTCCGGAGATTGGATTTCACTGCGCAGTGCAGTCCATATTTCCTCCAAAATGTACGAAAATTTGCACCACACGAGTCAACAGACTTACCTGCTGGAAGACGCGAACGCAGAGACCCGTGACCTGGTGCATCGAACTTCACCAGTCGCTCGTCTCCTTGTGCGTGTGTTGCCGAGCCCGACTTTCAATCCCGTAGTCGTACCAAACGCTTGGTGGCTGCTAGGACTTCGCACGCCTACGGGACGCTTTGAAAGGTTGAGGCTGATGCCGAAAGTAGACGAAAGCAATCTTTCGGATGTTAACCAGAAAAAAATCGTGGGCGTAGAGCGTAACTTGTTCCGAACGAATCCTGAGGTTCACTATATTAGGCTCATCTTCCTCGCCTTGGTACGGCATACGCTGTCTCAGGTGGTGGCGCAAGCCGAGGTACTTGGAGACGAGAAAGAGGAAGAAGCAAAAATCGCAGAAGATTTAACGTTTCGCTCAATCGCCGATCGTCTCTGGCATGAGGTCCAAGACTCCGTCCAGTGGATGCGCGTGGATCCGAGCGCCTCTTTCGTTTTTTTAGAGCAAGTTTTGTTCCTGCAACGTGAACAGGTGGAGAATTTCTGCAAGGAACAGCCAGATTGCAACTTGCGGCCACACGTGGAACTCACTGAAAACGCGTACGATGTAGGCGTCTGCGCAAGTTACGATCCGCCCAGATGCTGGCAGGACGGCTCACGACTGCAACTTCTTTCCACAACGTCCTCAACTACAAGGACTTCCTCAAGAACAAGAGGCAGTCCTGCTACTGGAGTAGATGCCACAACTAGAGAGGTTCCTGTGGAAGCCGTACAACTCAGCTGCTACATGCGTGAAGCACAGCGGTCTACCACGAGAACTCTTAGCAACGCGGTAGTTGGTTCTAAACAAGACGAGGAACTTGATGACAAGGATCTGGATCATCTTCAAGAACAACATCCTAAAAGTCGTACTCGTAGTACTAGTAGCAACTCAACCTCCACCTTAGTCGCTCTACCACTGAGCTATCGTCCCCACGAGCATAGCTTGCACCACGCACCCTACGTGGGATGGAGTCAGACGAACCACGTTGGTAGAAATGGCGACTCAACTACATCTATTCATGCTGTATCATCTACTCCCCATCCCCAAGAACAAGATATCTTTGCCGACAAGTGCCTGGATGTGATATTCATGAACTGGAGAACAGCTCTGCGGCAAGACGTCGCACTCCCCATTCTTAAAGCAATGCTCACGAAGGTTGCGGATCGTTATCGGCGTGGGAAAGCTAGCGAGAAGGTGGAACAGTCGAAGACTACGGAGCAGAAGGCCACAGAAGAAGATACTGTTACTGATATCTTCTCGAAACCTAAAAAGCCAGTTCTTGACGCAGAAGGCACGACACCAGAAGCAGGAGAGCATGACGAGAATGTCTTCGAGGACGGGCATCAATCCGATCAGGCTAACGGAGAGGAAAGTGAACATCAAGTTGAAGTTGACCCTTCGCAGAAAGCTGACGCGTTCTTTGCTGCGTTCGCCACGAATTTGGCTGAGAAATTTCTTCCTAATTTGGTTTCCGTGACATCGGTTCTCCCGAGTGTGTTTCCTGGCCAGAGTCGCAGCCTGCCTCCGGAGACCAATAAGGCTCTTTTCGAGCAGATGCTGCCTGAGGTCGAGGCCTTAGTCTCCGTGCGGTGTGCCGCCAACTTCAACGGCACTCTAGTCAAGAAGGAGCGTGAAGCTGAACAGCGTGCCTTGCTAGATGAAGCAGAAGAACAAGCTGCTGCAATTGACAAGAACAGTAAGCGTGCCTTGCTAGAAGCAGAAGAACAAGCTGCTGCAATTGACAAGAACAGTAAGCGTGCCTTGCTAGAAGCAGAAGAACAAGCTGCTGCAATTGACAAGAACAGTAAGCGTGCCTTGCTAGAAGCAGAAGAACAAGCTGCTGCAACTGACAAGAACAACAACAACAAGAAAGGTATTAAGGCTTCCCCTAATCCATCTCGTGAAGCATCCTAGGGAAGCTTTTGAAGGGGAAAAAGCTCCTACGATGATCTTCAGGATGGATTAGGGTGAGCTCTAAAGGTAGTGCCGATCATGGTTATGGTGACCTAAAAGACGAGGACGACGCTGTGGTTGCTGCTAAAAATACTGCTGTTTACCACGCCAGTCGGGCCAAAAGCCTCGTGAGCGTACATGCGGGACTAGAAACGGCATTCCCACTGGCTAAGCACGTCGTTCTAGACAGACGCAACGCCTTTTGGCAGGTGCATCTGGATGAAGAGGAGAGGCTAGCGCGCAAAAAAGCGCGATCAGTACAAAATGCAAGCAAAGACGGAGTTTCACCTCCATCTGGAAAAGTGGGAGATAACGTTGATGACGACGATCTGTCGGAGCCGCACAATGTAGATGACGAGGTCGACGTCAAAGATGACGACCCAGGAGCTGGAGAGTGGACAGCTCTTTTCGCTCGCATTGCTAAGGAAGAGTCAGATCGCCTCCAAGCGGAGGAACATGACGAAGCTGAGAGAAAGCGCGAGCGAGAGGAAAGAGCCGCAAAGAGGCGTGAGGCCTTGCAGAAATTAGCGGACGAAGAAGCTGCGAACGAGCTCGCACAAGCTGCGGATAAGGTAGTGGAGTTGCAGCGACAGAAAAAGCTCGATCGACAGCGTGAACAAGAGGAAGAGCGCGCACGAATAGCGGTTGAAGAGACGAGTATTGGTGAGGCGGCTAATATTATGGCTAGAAGAGATCCATCTTCACAGGCATCCTGAGACCGTTTTCAAGGGGGAAATACGTCAAAGATGACTTCCAAGATGGATTTCTCTTAGTTCTAATAATAGCACAACTGTGGGAGGACCGGGAGGAACACGAACAGGGACAGCACCAGCAGGTGCAGCAGGATTGTCGGCCGCTTCTACCACTGCTTCTCATGAAGGAAACACTAAAAGTGCCTTCTTTACGCCAGCCTTTGATGCTGTTGGTGTGGTGGATACTGAATCTCCAAAAAAAGCCGATGTTGTTGATACCTCACAAGCACGCTCTTCAGAAAGTAACGACGCATCAGCAGGAGGAACGGGTATGCGGCTCGTGGAGACAGAAGAGCGACCTCCTGACACGGTTTTCGTGGTTGCAAATCCTAACAGAAATACAGCAAATCCAAAATCTGGTGATGGTGAAGCTGTGCATCGGAAAGACGTTTTGCCGGGACAGAAGTTGGTCATCATTCACGAGGACACTTCTACTCCAGAAGAGAGGATGTTGAAGCGTGGAGAACAGTTGAGTAACGCTGCAAATGGTGCGAAATCACCTCTATCGTCGGATCACCAAGGAAATGCCAAAGGAGACGAAGCCGCTACCGAAACCACAGGAGAACAGAACGTCGAGCCTAGCGAGAACGACTCAGACGGGCCATATGAAGCATCGATGCCAGTCGGAGTGCAACCTGGTGTTGTTCATGTCCAGCATGTGAATGTAAAGTTGAACTCGCCGATGCCGAAACGTGCAAGCGACAAGAGCCCGAATGGTGCAAGCGACAAGAGTCCGACAGGTGACCTGGAGACAACTGTTGATGGTACCACAGACGCCGCTGCTGGCACGGGGAACAAGGACGAAGATGGTGAAGCAAATGAACCGATGTCGGAGAGTGCATCACTGTATGCTCAAGCTAGACGTTTGCTGGAAAAGGCGAAGCAGACGAATAGGGAGCCTCGTATTCACGGGCACGGAGGGCAACATGGAGGGCACGGAACCGGCACTGGAGGAGCATCGACAGGAGCTTCGACAGGAGGAGCGTCAACATCTTTTTCAGGAACAACTCTTTCTTCTGCTTCATCCAGCACTAGTGGTCCTGGTCAACAAACTAAAAATTCGAGCACTTTGACCCAAATGAAGGACAAAATAGGTGGCTTATTCGGACCTTTGTTAGCTGGAGGAAATGTATCCCAGCAGGGACAGAGTGCCGCTGGAGGTGCGTTGCAAACCTTGTTGCAACAGGATCCAGACGCTGCGGCCGCCGCCATAGAAAAGCGACTAGGTGAGCTCGTTGTAGACCCGAAAGTTAGCAGCTCCTCCATTACGACTGCTCCATTTTCACAACAAGGAAAGAACGCAAATAGTATCAATTTAAGGCTTGGGAGTTGACATCTCTATGCGCGTCTCTATGGCTATCTCAAGTAAGAAAGCCCTAGATATGCGAGCTAGAGACGCCAACTTTCAACTTCTAATCAATGGAGGTACTAGCACTAGTGATTCACGAGGTGGCACTCAGCAACAAGGAGTACTATCTACTAGTGCTTCTGCGCGGCGGCCGATGCAGCCTCAAGCGGCATTGGACTTCCTTCAGGCTATTGTCGCTTCTGATCGCGATGAAGGCGCGATGACATTACTCAGGGAAAGAATCGGGCGGATCGGGGAATCCTTAGCTGCGTCATACTTTTAAGGCAATCTTCATTGAAGTTCAAGGCACTCAAGAGAGCATATTCCACGTAGAGATCATTCTAATACTTCGAGGACTCAGGTTACCGCGTTGTCTGGGTCAATCAAGACGGCGAGACAAGATTGCCCTTCGATTTGGTGTTGACTCCTCAGCAGACCTCAGAAGTAGCAGCTGCCTCAACTTCAACATCACAGTCTGAGCTAGAATCTTTACTTGTGGACCACGGCAAGAAAGCAACAAGCAGTAAGAAGGCTACAAGCAAGAAGACAAGCAGAAATGACCCACATCAAGATGACTCACACAAGAAGATTGTAGCTGCGACTTCGAAAAATTCGATCTTCGTCGAGGTAAAAACCAGCATTCGTCGAGAAAAGACAGCATTCGAAGTGTCACCGCAAGAGGTCATTACAGCGATGGAATTAGGGAATCGATACTGGTTCTGTCGAGTGGAGGACCTCTCAGCCGAATTTCATACCATACACACGTTGAACACAGCGCTAGCAGACATGCATCGTACGGGAGAAGGACGATTATTCTTGGTGGCGTAAATAAGTTGTAGTCGTAAAGGGGAAGGACGATAAGATTAAGATTTTTTTGACAGCCATTGAGTCACACGGAAAATAAAGGGTAAAATCAGGCGATAAAAACTGTGCCATCATCGGAGCAAAATATGACGACTTCTGAGCTGAGAGCAAGCTGCTCTTTCCTGATGTTATGAATTTCTCAGCACAAACAGTGAGACCACTCGTGGATTTTGAATTCAAGAAGTATCGCGATAAGTATTGAGAACTTCGAAAATAAATGGTATTAGACTTTTCTTGAAGGAGATCCAATTTCTCAATTCCAAGAAGGCTGAAAATAAATGAAGCAGTACTAAAAACCTGATTATCAAATGGTGATTGAACTTCCCTAGATTATCCCAGGCGCTTCCATACTAAGGATGCGTCACTCTGACAAACATCCTTCTCATTCCCTCTTCTTAGGCCTTAGGGCTCATTCTAGAAACTCTCCGATCTAGGCCTCCGATAGACTGCTTCGAAAGCTTGTTGATTCTGATATTATGTAAGTACATCTTCATCTTCATTTTTTCGCGTGTTCAACATCCATTCCCATAACAAAAAAGGTGTCTTTAGGGTTACCTTTGCACGAAGATCTATGTCTGTTCCGAAACTCTGAAAAAGCATGATCTTTTCTGAAAGCGAGATCATCCTCAAGTTCTTCAGTGTCATAATTGAATGAAGGCATTATAAGTGTCAGATGCTCTGAAACTTGTTTGTTGGTATTGATGCGCTCCGGGCAACGCGTACGATCTCTGCTCTGAAACTTAGAAGGCGAGTTCTTTCATTACATTCATGGACGCGGCGAAGATCATGATCAAGAAGATCCTGCGTGTGATTGTGGCTTTTCGAGTCTTGATCTATCCTTTGACTCTTGGATCAACTTTTTCAGGAGAAAGTAAGAATATTGAGCTCCACCACAAATATTGAGCTCAGCTCTGGAACAAGCTGGAAGATCGCTTTGTTCTGCTTCGTTTATGACATATCGACATTGTCTTTCAATTTTTGCCTCTATTTAATTCTTTTCTAAGTATCAGGGCATGAAGAATAGTACCTCCAGCACAATGATCAGTGTACTAAGATACAAGCACTGAGTCAGCTATGATGAAATTAACTACATACACGTCGAGGTGGTAGATCATTGTTCCTCAATAATGAGCGTAGCTAAGAATTCGTAACCGTAAGTAGAAGAAAGAAGTACTAACTCATCAAACGCTTCTGCGAGGGCCGCTTTGCTCAAACGAGATCAGCAGTAACTAATAACGGGGAGACGAAGTCGCGCCCATGTAATGTAATGTGATGTAACGCTATATCCTCTTCCTGCGACAAAATGAAGCGACGTCAGAACCAAGATGTCTCAGATTCGGACGGATCCGATGATGAGATTGATCTGCAAGCCCTTTTAGCCAAGCAGATGGAAGCCCGACTACAATACGTTTCTGATGATAAGGATGCTGTGGAAGCTACAAGTGGCAGGAGCGAGGATGCTACTCGTCGTGGTGGTCTTGAAGCGAGAAAAACGTCATCGACTTCGTCTAAGAGTGGTGCTGACAAGAGCAAGACGCAAGCAAAAGAGAGGACTACAACAAACGGTATTAATGTGGTAAAAAGTGCTTCCGACGACGTTCATCTTGAAAATGGCGAACATCAGAACGACGACGCCGTTCCCGGACAACAGCCTCCAGTTGTAGCATCAGCCGAACCAAGCGCGCGCGCGGCTCGCAAGCGAAGGAAAAAGGCGAAGGAAGGTGGAACTTCTGGAGCTTCTGTAAACGTTGATCAAAAAGTGAAAAAACCGAAGGCCAAGAACGACATCGATGAACTCTTTGCACCTGCAGCACGTGTGGTGGCGGAAAAAAATCCATCTTCTAACAACACAGCAGTGGTAGAAGCGGAGGCCTCATCATCTTCGGGCAGAGAAGTTGTTCCAACTGCTCAACATCATGCTGGAGCAACACAGCAGACCCCAACTAGGACGTCCAAAGCATGGCCATCTTCATCATTGGAACGGGCACCCCAATCGATGGACCCAGCACTCGCAAAGAAAATGCGCCGAGCCTGGCTTCGTGGCGACATGTCGAAGTGCTTTTCCGCACCCTTGGAGCAGACCAGTTCGGGTTCGTCTCAGAAAAAAGCCGATGCTACAACTTCAACGAGCAGTATTAGTAGTCTCTCTAGTACCAAAAAGGCAAGTGCAGGAGGTGGATCATCTTCTTCATCTCTGTTAGTAGCCGGAGACGGTGATGCAACCACTACTGAAGGTGAAGTCGTGGAGGATGAGAGGAGTTTCTTCAATTCCTGTCTGAACGAGCTCCGCACCTTCGTCTACCCAAAAGTGGCTAAAAAGAAGAGACGCCAATTCGAGCAGGCACGCCTTGAGGCCCTAGGAGGGAAGGTTTACAAGCACAAAGACGACGGATCCACCATGCCCTTGACCAAGTATCTCGCAGATTCCAAGAACCGCGAAGTAAAGATCAAGAAACTGCAAGAGCGGGACAAGCAGATGGGCGTCGAGACTTCTGCGGTAGGCTTCAAATGGCGAGACACGGCTTTGGGAGCCAAGAAGAAGGAGCTAGCGCAAAAGCGCGAAAGAAAGCAAGCGGGCGCATTGGTAAATGCGGAAGCCAAGGGGATCTCGAGAAAACCAAACACTCGAGGACAAAGTTCGGGTGGTGCAGATCGTGCTAAAAATGGAGGAATCACCTTGAAGGGGGGAAACAAGCTCGGACCTGGGGGACTCGTACTCTCCAAAGCATATCTGAAGAAACTAGGGAAAGCGTGACGATCCTACATTTACATATCAACGACTACACCGACACGACAGGTTCGAAATTGAATGCTTCCGATTGATAATGCAAGTTTCCATGACCATGTTCATGTTCATCCCTTGTTCTTTATCAGTTTGAGTTATCTAAATCTATCTTGACCATCTTTCTTCCCTGCAAGCAAATCCTGCAAAGAATATGACTTTGTCTGCTTTCCTGGTGGACATCAAGAAGGAAAAAGACAAGTAGTAAAAGCACTTGTTCGACGTCGAGCTTCACAGCAGAGTGGGAGAGATACTTACTACTTATCATGGAAAACGCTGCAGCCAGAGCGACCTGTACGAAAATCAACTCAGAAGCCCTTTTACATCATTTCTCTATCTCTGGAAGTATGAAAATCCTGTGTCGGTCTGCTCTGTGAACGTCCAGTCTAATGGAAACTATCTGTATCTTCCGGTTCTTCAGATGATCGGTTCTTTTGCAGAGTGGTCTCTGATGCTAAATCACAACTACTTGTCAACATCTAAATCAACGCACAGACGCAATCTGTGACAGGTCTCATGGTATGTATGGACCACATCCAGGACAAGTCCTTCTATGGTACGAAAGAATGCCAGAAGTTAGACCGTATGGTTCTGATTCAGAGTTCTATTTTTGTTCGGACGTTCTCCATACGACAAGTGCAGCATTCTCCTATGGTACGAAAGATTGAAGAACATATTCAGGCATATGCATATTAGAGTAAGCAACGTCATCTTCGACTAATGACACAGCCACAGGAAAAAAAAAGGCAACATGATATTATAGAAGCAGAGTCACTTGTAGTTTCTGTTGAGCAGTACTGAACAGAATTACATTCATATTCCCGAAGAGCTACAGCACATCACGACGCTTTCCAATGAACAGGATAGGCATATAGACACTCAAGACGTTCATCAATCTTTTCAAAAAGCGAATGTGAAAGTATGTAAAATACGAGAACAAAAAAGGTTAAGCCGCCGCGTTTGAACTTAAAAGCTAGTACTATTTGAAGGTCGGACCGTGATTTCAAAACAGAACAAGAATTATAGAAAAGTTTCAGTACTATTTTCCCGCGTGATGTACAATTAACCTGGTACTTAATATTTCACATTGATTGTTACAATTTTCTTCACACAGTGACAGTCACAGACCCATCTCAAAAAATGACTCGACCACGAAAGTCCTCGAAGGCGATGGATCCCGCGACAGCGGAGGCTCTTCTCCGTCATATTGAGTTGGCTCTTCTGATCGAACCCAAGAAAGGTCGAGAGCAGTCCTGCGACTCGGAGACAGAAGACCCTGCAAATCCTTCTCCTGAAAGTACGTCTGACGGTGCGGTGCACGAGCAGGCGTCTTACTCTCATGGTGCGCTACACAATGCCAAGGCGTCGAACCGCCAAGCACCTGCTCAACAAGAGTGGACACCTCTGCCTCTCGGGTACACTCCCGATGGGAAGCTGATCGCGCGCGTTCCTCCCGGAGTCCGCTACAAGCTCCAAGTGAAGAATAACCACCTGGATCAGAATCAGAGATTCGTCCTGAAGCCATACATTTTGAACGCAAAGACCCGAGAAAAGATCTACTTCCTGTTCTACGATGACCACATGCCGCGAGACAAAAATGCACGAGAAGATACCGCGTTCAAGCCGCTATGGCCGAACAAGCGCACAACCTTTGAAGGGTTCCAAGTGGAGTATACCAAAAAAGATTACACGCTCAAAAAAAGCTGGCATCCTTTTGAGGCACGCCGCGACCACGGAGCGATTCAGTCTGACGACCACGACCTCGACCATTCTACTGATAGTACTGAATCCACTTCCACGACCTCGCATTGTCCCGAAGAGATTCACGTCGAGGTTTATCGTAATGCGGGAGACTGGACATGTAATCGCGGCGGCGGTCACTGCGAATGTCGACGAAAGAAACCTGCTGGCGGCAGTGTCACCGTGCCAGGGAAGTTGGACAATTCATTCGTTGATTGTCCTGGAGCAGCCAAGCGTTGGGAAAGTGCGCAAGGGAAATTTATCGGCACGTTAACTCTCTCTTTGGCGATTCGACAGTAAAATTCTGATACAACTAGTAAAAAGTAATAATCTCGAGAAGACATCATAGTGCTAAGAACAAGCTATACTAGCACTAGCTAAGGACTTCTCTCATCCGCTGCCTGTGGCATACTACGGGTACGAGGACAACATGATCGACAAGGACAACAAGAACAGTTATATATAACGAATGGCTCCCGACGACATGTTGATGAAGCGCGACAAGAATTCACGAATCGTTCTTCAGTGACATCCTATCTTCAGAAACGAAGTGGCGGTTGGGATTCGAGCAGAAAGTTGCTACTTCATCATCCGGGATGATATCTTCGATGCTATTGATTTATCTTGTAGTTACCCATTGCCACCTACGATACTGATCATACAGTTACTTTCGACGAAAGCGGACCTATTAACGAATGTAGATTATCTTGAAGACCAGCTGTGCCGCTAGGACATGCTGAAGATATGGCTCTATCATATATTGATTGTGATTTATTCAATCTCTTTTCTTCCGGAAATAAAGGCTACTAAGATTTTTTGAAGCACAAGAACAAGTACATGTATTTCTGAAGCGTGAACAATTTTAGACTCGCACAAGGACACTCATTTTTGAATGAAGGTTGAACAATAAACTTCGTAGCACAAGAACAATGTAGTTGTCGTTCTGCATCTACCTACAGCACTCATTAGTTCGCGCTATCAATCATTGGGAATAATGTTTCGCAGGAAAAGAAAAGTCTTAGGACAAGGCACCTCTCAATAGGAACATGTTGAATAATTCTAGGCATGTGACTCATCTGCAACCGAGAAGGTTGCTCTTGATTGCCGCTTCATCTGGTACGACAAAATACAATTACTTAGTACAAACATGTTAATATAATGTCATAGTGAATTTGGAAAGAAGAATCCAGTAGAGATAGAGGCAGAATATCTCTACATCACGACTGAAGATGTGATATTAACTGCTCTTATGGTATACATGAGACAACTTTTACGAACAATATAAACTAACAGTACAACAACAAGGTCGGATTAGAAAGACAGTCCTGGATTCTCGAAACGCATCTTCGTCATGGGTTTAAGGATCCTTTTTGTGCAGACTGGAATCGTACAAGTCCAGAGCAGTAGTTTTGAAATATTAGAAGTAATGAACACAGGGATTCGCATTCGACTTAATATTGTTGGGTAACCACGTTGGTTTGGGTCAGCATTCCGTTACCCCCAGAATGGGTAAGCTACTACGACTAAATCGCCCACGTGGCTGCCGGCTTACTATGACTGTTTATCCTGCGAAGAAGCAGAAGGTATAAAAACATACTAGTCGTACCAGACGTGAAGGCAGGGACTCCTCGCCTAGCCGCGTCATCCGAAGTGGACTGCGACGCCGAGCAGATCCATATTATAATTCTCGTGACGTCGGTGCACCTGGCACCCTGACTCGATCGAGCTCCCTGAATCTGAATCTGTGAGAGAAGATGAAGACTCTCAACAAAATCATCCTAGCCCCTCCACCAGTGTATTAAAATCCTAACCCCTCCACAGTTGTGTCCGCAATCGAGTTGTATCCCCTCACTAGGCCGCTTACGCTTCCTATTACTATCCCTCGGGATCCTTTCAGGAGCTGCTTCATCTTGTCGGTGGTGAAGGACAGGGTATTGTATTTTTAGATATTCAATTCTTATTGTCCTTATTCGTCTATCATGTTGTGGAAGTTGTTTTGGGGATGCTTGTCCATTGTTCGTTGTTCCCGATGTTGGGCATGTAACTCAGATCACTCGATTCGGTTCGAGTCATCGACTGCGCCCGCTCCTCACGGAGTTTCGGCTAGCAATTGGCTTTCTACCCATTGACTAGCGTCACGGTTCCTCTTACTATCCCTCGGGATCCTCTCAGGAGCTGCTGTCAAGAAACGCTGGTGCTGCATGCTTGTCATTGTACGTTGCCATGGATTATTTTGATTCTATCAAATAGACAATCTTTTTGAAAAAAACTCTAAGTTCAGCAACAGTATGATCTGCGTCCCTTAGTCTACTTGACGCTTTTGGTAATATGACGCATTTTCTATAACGTAGGACGTGCTACTTGCCGCATCATCACACCTATCTTTCTTTCGGATCACGATCAGATTATCAAACGTGAGCCGTGGTCTCCGAAATTGAATTTTCAGGAAAGCGTCTTTACTAGCTGCCTATGGATCCTAATCCAGCCTCCCCGATGAGCGGCGAAGCCGCACGGTGTCCTAACAAAAGCAGGAAGGTATCTCCTTCATACTCATGCTGCCTTTTTTTTTCGCTTTGTTTGATGAAAGTCCTCAAATTCCTAAAATTTTTGATTTTCCTCTGGAGGAGCTTCCTGGACACTCTCTAGGGCACAGGGAGGACCCAAATGGTTATCATATATTTAAATTTCTGAAAATATTCATAAAATCAAAAAATTTTGAGTTTTTCATGGATTATTCTGATTTTTGCATTTTGAAATTTTAGAAAAAAGAAAACGCAGCCTGGGCCTTAGATTGCATGCCTGCTAAAGATTTTCGTGTATTATTTTTGGGTCTGCAATTCCCTTAAAGTACTAGTATTCCACGATCAGATCTAATATTTTTCATGATGCTTTCACGTTTTAGATCAGAAGATTTTAGTGGATACAATCTAGAAAAATGATGAAGTCATTTTGAAAAATTAGATGTACTGTAGATACATGGCCATGAAAATGTTCATAAATTAATTTTTTATCTCATCATTAAAATTCTAAATCATAACAAATCCTGAATATATTCAAAATTATCTTTTAAAAAATCATAGTGAAAAATCTATTCAGAAAAAGCCAAAATTGCTTTCATATCAAAGTTCAATTTTTTTTTCATTCTCAATTCATTGTGAACGCGCTAGCTTATAATTATCTCTTGATTAGATTTGAATTGAATTAAGTATAAAATCACATAAAATCAAAAATTCTGGATTTTCAACTTGAAACTGAAATGTCCAATTTTTTTGAAATTCGTCTTTTTGTCCTGTGAAGGTAGGTCACTCGATATGTCAATTCTCAATCTTTCCCCCAATCTTCACTTGAGCAATTTACTTAGGAATACGAGCGGAACGTGATGGAAACAGTGCCAGGGCATGGGCAGTGTCTGATGGAGCAGCAACGGCAAGAACCGCATAGCGAAGAGGCCGATGAGGAGACACTACAGCGGATGAAGCGTGAGAAGACGCTACAGCGGATGAAGCGTGAGAAGGGGCTACAGCGGATAAAGCGTGAGAAGGGGCTACAGCGGATAAAGCGTGAGAAGGTACGGAGTGGACACACAGCTCCTCTGGGAGCACACATAAAAGAAGTGTGCTTGGAGACACAGCTGCACTGGGAGCACACAGAGCACCAAGGCAACCGTCGGACCATTGGACCATCTGCAGAGCGGAGGCTAAAATAGTCAATACTCTTACATCAAGGCGAACATCAACTTATAACTTTTATAATCTGGAGCACAAAACAGTCGCGGTTCTACAACAACTTCTTCTACTGCTGGACGTAAAGAGCATTGAACCGATTGATCGTGTTTGAAGACCTTTCTACTTGACTTGGAAGAAGAGTGAATGTCTCATCGTCAAGTATCGGGGTATCAACACGAGGCTCACGCCCGCGCTCTTCAAGATAAATTACATTCTCTTCTGCAGGACATGGTGACGGAAATTCCTCGAAGGAGTAGAGCCTCCTCGAATAGAGCGCTTAGATGATAAGGCTCTTAGATTATAAGGCTCTTAGATTATAAGGCTCTCAGATTATGGCTCACGATGGTTCATCGTTCTAGAGAGCCGACTTACCAGCCACAGGGTCCTCTTTGAGTAAGTAAGGCGGAGATGCTCATATTTCAGATTTATTAAGGAAGGCTCACGATAATTCATCGTCTTCGATTAAGGCTCTCGTCTTTTATTTCCTTCTCTAGCTGCCGAATCGATTCGAGTCATCGTATTTCCTGCTGCAGGTGCGAAGAGACTGCGCAGTGCAGCGTCAGGGAGTGTAGTACTAGTCTCAAGTAGTCAGACTACTTCTCTACCATCTTTCAGACCAGCAGATGATGAAGCTATAATTGATAAGATTGCTCTCGATCGTCATCGTCTCGAAAGTGACGCTTGATGTTCTCGCTTCTCTCGGCGACGCCGATAAGAGATTAAGAGTCTACTTCTAAGTGGCTGCTCTAGCTTCATACGACTGTTTATACTCACAACTTAAGGATACTGACATGATAGACGCTGTCTATTTTCTACACCCCTAAATGATTGTTTACGTCTTTATTCTGATACCCACACATACTCTCACTCACGTCCTCCCCCGCCGAGCGTTGTAACTTTTAGTTCCTTTGCTCGATTCCTCTCCATGATTGTAAAGTGCACTATAAAAAGGCACATTATATATTTTAAACGTTTTTTTCGCCCTAAAGTCACAGCTTTCAAACCAATAGCTCTCGGCAAAATATGGCTAAAAGCTCAAACCTATTGGTACTCGCTTCGCGAGTAGTTAAGTCTTGTTTAGCTGACTTGTTCGTAACACAAAGTGCTTGGCGCAAACTTCGTATCCAAAACATCAATACTCCTTATGAAAAACATCACATCGTATTACATCCATCATCACTTCTCTCGAAAAACACGAATATTACTCTCTACTATACGACGCAAATGTCAAAAAACATTTCTGTCGAAAAATAACAGGAGTATATACTCGCTACGACAAAAAATGCTTTCTGTGACACTGCCACCCTTCTCGTGTGACACGAGAGCTCCTAGAAGAGAGAGGCAGTGCCTCTTCTGTTTGTCTCTCCACATCTCCCCTCTGTCATCTCCTCTTCTGTTTGTCTCTCCACATCTCCCCTCTGACGTCTCCTCTTCTGTTTGTCTCTCCACATCTGCCTCTGTCTCTCCAAGGTTTCCGCTTCCAAAGGCAGATGTTTATCTCTGTGGAAAAGTCAAGCTCGATTTGATTTCTGAAGACTTCGCTCAACTTTGACCAAGAAGATGTTTGTCTCTGTTTTTCAAGTAAAAGTGTCTCAACAAGAGGTCCGCGACCAGCCCCAGGAGAAGATATTTACATGCCAGGGGTCTTCTTTGGCGTGTCAAGAAAACAAGTACGCTCTTATTATTTGCTCCTCCAGGATGATGCTGATCGCCCATGAAGATACTATTTTTAGTCGCTAGATGAAAGTCAAGATACAGAAGGACTTGCTGGTGGCGAACATCTGTTTTGACTGAAGAGAGGATGGTATCTGATCTCTGTCCCGAGTCTGTCTGTGTGTCTGCATGATGTGAAGAGCTAAAAGTGGACTTTCTTGGAGGGAGTCATCTATCCGTAATGTATTGTCTCAGCTGCAAGCTTTAACCTTCTGTAGAGTGAGTAGGAGAAGCAGAGACAGTGAACAAAATCTGTCGGAGACAGATGGCAAGAGCAAATGCTGAAGTGACTTCGCGAGAAAGACATGTAAGCGCGAACTTCCAAGAGAAGGACGCTAAGTCTCATAGCCTAGACGTACCGCGAATCTCTTCCTGACATCAAATACTCACTCCAGCCTCTCTCAATTTTTTCCCGCTTTCACCCTCCACAATTTTTAGTTTTCGTTCTCGCAACGATATTCTAAATTGTACTCACAGTTATCAACTTCTCAACATTGTCCTAATTACTTCAAGTCTAATCTTGACACTTCCTCTTACCCATTCAAAACCATAGTGCTCCTAATCCTATCAAGGTGTAAGAATAGGTGTTGTGCTCGCAGTCGATGTTGTAGACGAGCTTTTTATATTAATTGTACGCAAATACTTATACTGTAAGGTGTTGAACTCTCAATCTCAAGAAGAATAGTATTCAGCGGATAATCTTTCCGATCTGGGACTGACAAACCTCCTATTGCATCTTCTTGCGGCAAAGTACGACGACTCAAAGCACACAAAGTAAATTAGCCGGCTAATTTCCCTCGATAGTTCGGAGGTCGTTCGTAACCTCATTCGCAACAAATAACGAAAGATGGCCATTACCTTGAAGATAGGCAGTGGACAGGAGGTCCCGCCCAAGGCGACACGTGGCGCTCGAGATTCATTGCTATCATCTTCAGCAACTTGGATCATGTTATTCTTTGAATTTGCAGCGATATTTGGCGGGTACGTGAGTCTCATTTCTCTCGCAATGTTGGACTGTGTGATTCTCATTAATACAGTAATGCTTGGGTGTGTGATGCTCATCCTGATAGTCATTAACATGCTGATGAAGAGCGCCGCCTATTTGTCCACAGTCAATGACGGTCTTGTTCGACGTTTTTGCAATGGTCTTGTGGTCAAACAATTCACGACGAGCAACAGGAGCCAAGAGATTCGGCGCAGTGGAGATATCGCGCTGCTAGCTAAACAGCGGACGACGAGGAAGAGATCTGAAGCTGAACTTCCCCCAATTATTTTATCGACGGCCAGCAGCTTGCTGTCAAAGGGTCGTACCTATGGTTTCGTATTCGCACTGGTTACGCTCGTCTCTCTCACATCTGAGGCGATTCAGATTACTGACAATGCTTCGAAATACTACCAAGAAAAGGACACGACCTACGATAAAGATGCAGAAGAAGTGGCTCGCTCCACTGATTCACGGGCGATCACGACTAATTTTCTTCAACGCGCAAGCGAGCGAGAAGTAGTAAAGTTCTCGCAGGTCGTGAATGAGAATGACGGCGAACTCGAAGGCACACCTGGTAAGCATTTGCAGCTGGGGCATCAAGGGCAAACTGAGCCAGCACACCAGCATCCAGTTTCACCCTGGACCCACTTCTGGTCGCAAATTTGGGGAACGGACAACCAGAACCAAGGGCAAAGGCCAGGCGCGGACAGCCTCGTCTTCTACAACCCAATGGCCAATGGTGCTAGTGAACGGGGTTCGCTATTTCTCCAAATGATGCGCCGGGACGTCCGATCTAGTACCGGCGGCGACGGATGGCTTGTCGGCACGCAGCCGGGTGACATCGCAAAAGAGTTGCCGGTGCTACCGCTATCGGATGAGGAGGGGGCAAAGATGTTGAAAACGACACGAGGAGAAAGCGCGGCGGACCCTGCTTCCGTAGACTATGAAAACATGTTCAATAGTCTTCGCCTCGACGACCCATCCCACAGCGGCGGGATCCTTCACTGTGAACAAAAGAACTCCGATGCTGGAGAAGATGATCGCAAACAAGCCACACAAGAACCAAGAAAGAAACGCGACGCGCAAAAAGAGTGGTGCGACAAGGAGAAAGCCTCCTTACAACCTTTTGCAGACCTGTCTGAGATGATTACGGGCGATCGTGCGAGACTCGAAAGAGCCAAAGCGGCAGCCAAAGCAGCGGCGGGGCCTCCGCCTAACGGGAAGGATTCCCAAGATGATCAAGATGGAGTACCTCCGCAAGTTTGCCATACATCGAAAGGAGTATTCGACGACGGAGGCGGCAACGAGAGAAGCTACGCAAGAGAAGAGACGTGCGAGCCTCTTAACACCGACACAAGTGTTGTTGGCCGCGCTGAGGACGTCCAGTCGCTGTTGGCGAAAGAAGACGAAGGGACGAATGCCGGGAGTTCACCCATCGCGCAAACCTCGCTGTATCGCCAGGCGATCGAGAAGCTAGGGGGAGGACTTGATAAAACGGGCACCAATTATCAGCAAACGAATACGGCGTTGCAAGAATTGACGGGCTCGGAGCTCAAAGACCTCGCTCCCATCCTCCAAAGGCTTCTCATTCTCGTCTTTACCTCGGCAAGATGGGTTTGGAGTGTGCTGAAGCCACTGAAAGATCTTATGGAGCGCCTTTTCAAAAAAGTGGGAGAACTCTTGGGTTCTTCCGCGCCCATGTCACATGTGGCTGAGGGCGCGAAGTCTTTGGCGGGCCGTGTGGCTGAGGGCGCCAAAGGTATGGCGAAGACGCTGGTTGATGCCGCGAAAGATAAGGCGACCCAACACACTTGGTTCGTGCGAACGGCAGGGTTTGGAGTAGGAGCGTCACTCGCATACCTGAATGAAGAGGGCGCCAATATCGCCTCTGAGGTTATCACGAATACGATCACCATCGTCGGCCCTCACTTGTCTGCCATTGTGCTTCCCGGTGCGATCCACTTTATCATGATTTTTGTCAAGATTTTTGCCAAATTGTTCTGGCCAGATCAGGCTTCCTCGATGAAGGATATCGGGATACAATTCGCTTCCACTGGAGGCTCGCTGGTAATCGGTTTGGGTGTGACGAAGGTGGCTGGCGTGATCGCAGTGGCTGCCGGGATTCCACTAGTTGGGCACCTCTTGCCTTTTGTTGCCACAACCGTTTTAGCACCTTATCTTGTTAAGGCCTCCCAGATATATTGGGACAAGCTAACCAGTTCGCGGTCCGAGCTTGCTGTTTGCAAGGAACGGCTGGAGAAGGCCACCTTATCCGTAACCCTTTACGCGTTATACAACGAAATCCAATACAAAGACACAGACAAGTCTGTGTCGATGCTACCTCCCATGGAGCCGAATTGGAAAGGAGTGGTCGATTTATTGCTTGGTGGCCTTGCGGATGCGGCCTGTCGCAACTTTAACGAATTGAGAAGTGAAGTAGCAGGGTATGCGACGGATGGGCAGTTCTATAATGCTGCGGCTAATCAGACCCCCCATGTTAAGGGGCACCTTGACCGATTCGACTGGTTCAAGAACTTTCTGATGAATTCGCCACACGGCCTGGACGCTGTAAGCGGCAACTGGATAACGCAAAAAAAAGAGTACATGAGCAAATTGGATCGCGACGCCCGGAGCGATACACGGTTGGAGCATGCTTGGTCCAGGCGGTGGTATGACGCCATTGGAAGAAGTCTTGTGGAAAGTTTAGCTTTTTTCGAAGACCCCAACTGTAGTACTCCCCTGCACCGCACTTCGGTGGTATCCGCATTTTTCTCCGAGTACGCCCGTGCTCTTGCTCCTCCCAACATAAGTCCAGTCTCGTCTGGGGAGGAAACAAGGAGGACAACTTCTACAGGGGAATATGACGCTGCGGGAGTCATAGACAGCAACATCCTCAAGATCACCAAACTTTTCGCCGATGGAGGAAACGGCTTAGGTTCGTCGGTGAAGGGCAGGACGATAGTTCCAAGCGAACTATCTTGGCTTCACGATGACCTGGTTGACTCAGATTATTTTCGACATCGGGCTGTCTCTCAGGCAATCTGCACACTGCAGACTAAGGGAATGGACCCGCTGCCGTTTCTGGTGGGTGAGTTTCGGTATAAAATCCAAGGTGGTGGCGATGGCAGCATACCTTTACTCTGGAATATCCTGACGTCCCATTTTCCTTCAGAACAGGAACTTCAGATGTGCGCTGAAAACATCCGGACTCAGAAGCAAAACGACCTTTTCTTAGCGTCAGCCGCTGCCGCGAACAAGAAGAGGGAGCTAATATCTCTATCTTCATCATTTCTCCAATACCAAGAACAGAAGAAAGGAGTGTCGAGTTTTTTTCCTTTTGCATCTACGCTCGTAGACAGTCTGGAGGAGAAGTGGAAAGCTTGGGGAGAAGCCTTCACGACCCCAGAGGCGAAGATTGCAGCAGAGCGGGATGCACTTGTTCCCTTGCGTAAGGCGATAGCGGCTACTGGCGGTGACAGTTGTGAAACTTTGATCTGGATGAGGTTCAGCCGGGGAGTCAGGGAGTGGGTAGAACACCGGCAGAGGGAGCAGGCCCCTCGTTCCGAAAGCGCATGGGCCAAGCCGATCGCCAAGACCCCTGGCGCCTATTTGAATTGGGCTTTCATTAAAGCTGGGATCACCACAACCAGTGCGAAAGCGCAAGCGGATGTCCACACTGTAGCAGGGGATGTCAGCACAGCAGCAGGAGAAGTCCACGACGCATGGACATCTACAGCGAATGCCCTGGGGCACGCGAGCACCGCCGTACAACAGATCTTTGACGCTGCATCGATATTCAGTTGAAATAGTGCATCGCAGCACGACATACTCACACAGATGTATAATGAGTATGCACCTCAGGATACAGTATGTCTCTTGCTTTTCTTCAATCATCCACTTAGTAATAGTACATAATGAATTATATAAAAAGAATCAATACGTTTTTTCTCAACTACCTACAAGAACTACAAATAGAGCAACATTGATCTACAGTTATGACCTCAAACATACTGAATTCATTAAATTGTTACTTCTTCTCGAGAAGCATCCAAGCATGAGAACAACAGCAACAATCAAGGGACACCGCAAACAGTAGAAAAGAAAAAATATCATCTAAGAGCATTCTTGTTTCATCTGCAAAATATTTAATTAACAACATCGCTAATTATTTCTGCCATTATTTCTGACATTAGTTCTTACATTATCTATATGATTCAAATGAAATGTTATCCCTTTGCTTCTATGACTGTGATCTGGTCTTACTCTGAAGTCCCCCTGTTCTTTCCTCTTTTTTCTTGAACATGAATCTGTTGTCGGTCGGCACAAGCTACCTTTGGTAGTGGGAGATAGTTGTGCAAGAGGTGCTCATTCAGCTATCCCTGGCCTCCTTGTGCCTCTGTGTTTTTTCATCTTTGTTCTGCTACTCTCTACCCCTTCCCCCTGTTTTTTCTGTTAGTACACGATGGCTGCTTGCGGATCAGGTACTCTAATGTTAGAAGACCTTCACTTCTTCCAGCACTGTTCTCTTTGCCACAAGCTTAATTAAATTAAGAATCCGGCGGGACCGTACGCGTCGCCCGGAGCGCATCAAAACAAACAAACAAGAAAAGCAAAAGGGTTGGTCAGTAAGTATGTATTGCAACAATCAAGGGACAAGGGAAACAGAAGAAAAGAAAAAATATCGCTAACCGCTTTTTCGAAAATGCCAGAGGATCACGCGAGGCCTCCGTCTGCGTATTATCTATCAGCATGAAAAGTGTTCGAATTCAATGAGTCGCTACCGTCTTCTCGGACTGCAGGCTATGGGTGGCATTCTGGCCGTTAAGTACCTTCAGACAGGCTTTTCCCGTTAATCACCACAGGCGGCGCGGGCGCGGCAGAGGTCTTCCCCAGTTCCGCGACCTTACATGAACTGCTATATGCATGTAGTCTAGCTGGCGTGCTGGCACTCCATGCTGGCGTTGTGTGGCTTCGTAGACTACGGCCATGCGGAGACACGGAGCTAGCGAGACGAATTGAAGTGGGAAGTACTCAAGATTGCAGCAAATAATAAAGTGCTAGCAAGTAGTAAACGAGGGAAACCGAAATTGTTTCGATAATCGTTTTCTTGCTGTGTGTAGCTGATCGTCGCTTCTCAATGGGGTCCATCTCTCTGATCCCCAGGAAGGCCCTCCATCAGAAGGAGGCTGTTGCCATAGTGATTGTGTTCTTACATGAACGAAAACGATGGAGTCGGTTATACTATTCGGTTGTAGGCACGCCCACTCCATTAGGAGGTGTTTTGGACTAATACTGAGAATGTTGAGAATGTAAGGCACACATCGCTCGGTCGAAACCTCGTTGGCAGTTGGCATTATAGCACTTGTCGGGGTTCGCATGGAGCCTTGAATTGAGCAAATCTGTAAAACTGTTGCGTTGTCGGTTTTTCATCAGATACCAGTTGCTCCCCCTAGTGGTATGCCTACAACTTCAGTGATTCCATTGAGCAAGGATAATTGGATTAAATGAAAGGATGATTGAGCACGACGGCACCAAGACCCACATTTGCTGCCGGAAATGCAAAAAGTGGAAGTTGGAACTTGAAGAAAACAACACCACCCTACTGCAGAGATCAAAGCGGGTGGACATGATGAGGAATCACGAAAATAGATGCAAAAAGGCGAAGAAGTGAAAAAGTGGTGGAGATGCAACCTCTAATTAAAAGATCTTACACCCCACGAGTGGGTACATCTATCTATCTATCTACGGCAAACAAGCGTAAGGCTGTCCGAGGTTTTAAATATATGGGCATTTTCGCGCGCAAAGAGTGCCCAGGTAAAAACCCTAAGATGGTTGCCCAGCTCCCTGCTCCCCCTGCATGATCCTGTTGGCCCATCCAACAGGCTTGGCTTTTCTTGTATTCTTACGCACCGCAACAGAGTTTAGGATGTTGTCTCTGGACAATGAGGATGTTGCTTTTTTGTCTGACAAAGGCATATGCGGACTTTTTGAGCTAAATGGTCTTTGATACGTGCCTAGTCGGCGGAGCTATAGCTCAAATTGTTGTGCACGCAAAGTTCGACGGAGCGTGCTTTTCGGAGCTTGAGATCACGCCTCAGTACAACACCATTGGCAATCGCTCGGTGATAGCTAAAGTGATGGAGGAGATCAAGGTCCTTCCAGTTACGGGCAAGTCGATCCTGGGGAGCAAGGCGTCTGACGTGTCCGCTCATCATGAGATCTATTCATCATAGAAAAGAAAAGATCGACAGCAACGAACGATCAAGAGCACTTTTTCTTCTCACAGTGAACCGTTTTTGCTTGTCTGTTGTAAAGCCAATTGAGAGGAGCTTACCAGAGTGTGCGCAGCGAAGTGCTATTCTTATTTTGCAGGGAGCCCGCATCAAATAACTTGGATTTGTCTTTTGTCATTGTAAAACAAAAGCTCGGCCTGACTTTCTGTCACGTGTCAGTGCATGCATTCGTGCACAAGTACTGTTACACCTTGTGTAATTGCAGTATAAGAGCAATCACCACCACCAAAAAGTCTGGAGTTATATTACTACCCATCTAGGCCACTTCGGTAAAGTCTAGTTGGGACTAGCCACTAGCTGAACGCTTGTGTAAGTTGCTTAGGAGCTAGTTTTCTAGAACGGCATCGTAGGTATCGTAGGCACGACCACTGTCTTTTACGGTGAGATGGGTTAATATTGAGGTTGAAAATGGGGGAGGAAATCGATTTTCGTTTCCCGTGATTCGTTGCACGAGTCTAATTCATCCTGTTGAGGGAGATAAGGAAGTCAGTCTTTCTCCGTGAAAAATAAGCAATCGGTCATGCAAACGTCGGTTACTAGAATCGGTCTCATCCTGGTGCAAAGGTTGTCCTAGGTGTTCCTTAGGGGTTTTTTGTTGATGGTTTTTCACGTATCGACCACGGGAGGAAGCGTTGTGCAGATTGTGGGACACAGAGGAATTCAAAAATGGAATCTTCGCTGATGTGAAGGGGTTAGCGCCACGGCACACTATGGGTTCACGATGTATGCTGGCCAGGGTGATGGAGCTGGAGGAGGTGTTCGGATCTGCAAGGAATCGAGAGGGTCTGCACGGGATCGAAAGGGAGGGGCGTTCGGATCTGCAAGGAATCGAGAGGGTAACGCCGAGACTGGTTTTTGGTCGATATCGAAAAAAAAAAGCAAAGCAGCAACGACAGTGCAAGATCGTCCTCGCTCCGATTTTTGGAACAAGCTTGCAGCTCCAGTTGCGGTCATGAAAAAAGCATGTGGTTAGGGATACGTGGAGTTTGGAGAACTGGAGCGTATACGAGGTCTAGGTACTAGACGACTAACAAACGACTAACAAACAGGGGAGACAAGCTCCTGGTGGAGGCAAGTGAACGTCGGTGGAGAACAAGGGGCCAAGGAAGGATGATAGAAGAAATCACGCACTACACACTACTCACCAGGCATATTGGGCAATCTACTTCTGCTGGGCATTGTTTATGTGAAATGTGAAACAATCCTATAAGAAAAAGGCGAGCGCCGTCTCATTCCGAGCAGAAAAATCAATCTCCCGATCGATTAAGTTCGATCTAGTGGGAGCACCTTATTTCAATCGATTAAGTGCTGTTTTCGATCTAGTGGGAGCACCTTATTTCAGTTCCTGATCGTGTCCCTTTATCCCCCTCACTAGGCTTAGCAGTTCCACGGCCGCTCCTCGCGGTACGCTTGTGGAACTGTATGTTGTCAAACGGCGACAAGGACCCAAAGAGGGATGGCACAGTGCCCACAGCAGTAGCGGCGCCTCAACTTTGTGAGTGAGAGACAGAGTGGTGAGTAGAATGGTTCCACTTTGAGTACTCCAAATCGCTAGTTCTTATGCTCAAGGCGTGCATGTTGTACTTAAGTTCGCTACAGCTAGAAGCAGTATAAGGGTACTCGTTAATGATCAAATGAAGAACCAGTTCATCTAGCTCAAGTTTTTGAAGTAGAGACAGCAAGAGTCAAAATATGAGGAACAAGAACTCAAGATCTTCTCCTTCGCTTGCTGCATGCTTCTTGTTGTGGTTCTTTTCATCGGGTAGCTACTTTGTCGTCCACGTGATAGGATTAAGGCTTCCCCTAATCCATCCCTGTAGACATCCCTCAAACATATGCGCCCCAATACAAGGGAGATACTGACGCATATGCTTGAGGGATTTCCACAGGGATGAATAGGGGAGAGCTCTAATAGGAGGACAGGGAAGCGATGACGCGTACTTGCGCATACTTGACGAAGAAACCGAAGATCCTGGACGCAGATCATCTAGAGGATCTTCGGGTTCTTCGTCAAGTATCATCAGATCATCTGAGGAGCAGGAACATCAATCGGAGAAAGATGGTCCTCATGAGGATGATTCTAGTACAACACTGGGTACACTGGACCATGATCATGATTGTGAGCAGGAGGAGGAACATCAATACGGTCGTGAGGAGGAGGAGGACCAACTACTCCTACATGGAGAGGACGAAACGGTCGCTTTGCCGCATTTGATAATACCAGATTTAAGACTTGAAGAAATCCATCTTCACAGGGGAAGATTCTAGGATGCCGTTTCCAAGGGGGAGAAGGTTCTAGGATGCTTTTCAAGATGGATTTCTCTTAGTTCTAACAGATCCCGACTACGTCCACACCGGATCGATTTCATATTACCGCTTTGACCGGGAACAAACAAGCGCTGCGTCTTCACTGTACAAGCACAAGAATGCCCATGAAGTCCGCTTCACGTCGGCGCCGAACAAAGGGTCACGACCTCTGACGAGCAGGAGCGATGCCGCAAGGGGTCGTTCAATGAAATTGTGCAGAACAAAGACAAAGCAACAGCTGGAAGCTTCTGAAGCTTCTGTAGATGGAGGGGCTACAAAATCTGCAGACGAAAGTGCAACTCGTCCTGAATGGTCCGATCAATTAGCCATAGAAGAGAACAACAGAAACAGTCCTCCTGCACAACCAGTTCCTCCAGCACAACCAGTGCATTATTCCGCCAATCTCGCACGATACGCTTTTACGAAGAAGCAGGTGCTTCCTATGCTCTACGGATTGGCCGATGACCGATGGAGCCGACATCGGCGGACGATGAACAAATTACACTGTGCGCCTTTTGTGCTACAGGCGTTAGAGCTGTTTCGGAACATAACAGACTATTTTCTGGATCTTGGTGGCGACTTGGGCGATTGCTCTATGGCTGCTTTCTGGCGACAACTGACAAGGCGTGGAACAGTAAATATTGACGGCAGACCGCCAGTGCTACGAGCGTTTCGGCGAACGATGCAATTCTATCGTGGAAAAACAGCATCAAAAAGCCTTGGCGATGGCGGGAGGTCTAGTTTATGACTTGGAGTTTCCTCTCTCTCGCGATTCCCGTCGTGATCATGGCGGGTCTAGTTTAACTACTTAGCATCTCATCTTGAGATCATCTCGCAGTTGTTCCATTTCTTTGAAATTTGAGAAAAGCAGGTATCGAAACCTCTGTTGCAACAGCAATGTAGAGTCTTTATTTTTATCACGTAGTATCACTTCCGCTTCATGATCTTTGATATCTTGCTAGTTTTATTTTCCCTCGCCTTACGTTAATATGATGGTGTACTTGATACTACACCTCGACTTGCTTCAAATTCAATTTTTGGGGACAGACCTCGAAGATGTCGAAACTCCACTTTTCCTCTCAAGAACAAACGCTTTGGGAAGGGTACCATCGGAAACTACAAGTACTAGCTTGAAGATATTAACTACTACACCGCAGCCACTGCGTGTTGACCATCGGATGTGGCGCGCCCAGGCTGACTTCTCTCACCGCGCGAGTGGCTGGTCACGCGGCTTCCGATTTTTTTCGGTGGAGGACGAAGAGGTTCTTGCATCGGCTTTTTCCTCAAGAGACGAGGAAGTAGAGGCCCCATCCCGCTGGCTCGCAGAGCACTATGCCGACGGAGGTTCTGAAGACGTTGTCTTACCTAACGTCACATCAACTACACCAAGTTCTTCGTCTTCCTCTTCAAGCAAGAGGAACATGTTGCTGAAGCAAAACAGCTACGTCGTAGCAGGTGGCGCGTATATCCTGGGCAGTCGGGAGCTTGAGGGACAGTGGAGGCGCTTCCCAGCACCTGGAGAGTGCGGTAGCAGTAGTTATCAGGATGTCACCTGCCTAAAGGAAATGGCATGCGGGGAGACGGCGAACCGGTTTCATGGTACGTGCCCCTTAGACCGTTGGAAGAGGTGCGATGATGAAGCTGTCGGAACAAAAGATGATTAGGGGTTGGAAGTTGACCTATCGCTATCAGCTCTAAGTTGACCTATCGCTATCTTCATCTAAGGGCATCTCTACAGCTTCTTCAACTAGGAAAGGAATAGATATGCGAGCTAGAGGCGGCAACTTGCAATCCCTAAGATGAAGCCATAGCCCAGGACGAAGACCACAGACACAGGATGAGAACACTCGTTTCTGCTCTCCAAGACGACGACTGCGTAGAGGTTGCTTCGGTTCAAAGGATTGTAGAGAAGGTGTTAGCTGTTGAACAACGAGCAGTGGAGCCCTCAACAAAAGGATTTAGTATTGCAAGCACCTCCGGATTGACAAGCTTCGGTCTACGGCTGAAACTTACGGGGAGCAACATTGCTCCAATCATACGAGATTTGCCGTCTAGTCTGCTCAACTGCACTGCACTTAAGGCTTATACCTTAATTCAGCACACCACGATAATAAAGGATCATTTAAGAAGCATAATATTACTTAGGGGATCAACATTTATAATGATGGGGGTCGATAATTCATCTTAAGCAGCATCTCTGGCCTCTTTTGCAAGGGACACAGGCGTCAAAGATGCTTTTCCAGATGACTATAGGCAAGGTCTAATGCACACCACGATAATAAAGGATCATGCCTACGCTGGCTTTCATTGGAAGACGTATCGACGGGAAACAGAGAAGAATTCAAAGCCCTCGTGCGAAAGCTGTTCGTGGAGCAGGATTTTGTTTATGCTCTGTGCTGGCAGCCAACTAAGCTGTCAGGTTGTCCTAAGTGAAAGTTCGTTGTCTAAGTCTCTCGCTTAGGGCTAGTTCGTGTTAAGTTGTAACTTTTCACAACATACGTAACCGCGCCGCTTCTCCATTCCAGTCTTTGCGTGAGATAAGAGCATAAACAAAATCCTTCTCCGCGAACAGTCTGTGCGAAAGCTGTTCGTGGAGCAGGATTTTGTTTATGCTCTTGTTGAAGCGTATAGTATAGGACAACAACTTCTACTAAGGACCTCCACTATAGTTTCTTGGATCATCAACATTCATACTGAGTACATAGTTGGGGATGAGAAGAAGTTGAAGTAGTTTTTTTTGAAATTCGTAATTTGTTGTAAGTCAACGCAGGGACTACTTGTATTACTTTTAACAAATAGGTACAATTCTAAGTCCTCATCTTGCGACACCGAAGCGTGCGTGTGAGTGTGCCCAGTATGCCGTTACAGTGCAGCGCTGAGCGAGATCCCTCCAAGTGTGCTTTTCGTGATATCTTGGCGATCAACTGTGCTGATGCGATCTCGCCTGAAGCAAGTAGTATAGGAACAAGCAGTGCAACATCTGGATTTGCCAAATCTTCAAATAGAAGCAAAAATTGGGGTTTAGTAGCCAGCTCAGAAAAGCTTTTGCAGATAGCACAACAAAATGGTGCGAAACTACCGAAGCATGCACCGAACGCGACAGCTTTACAGCGATTGGCAGCGAGGGCGAAGGCGATACACAAACACGGCACAATTTCGAGTCAAGAAGAACTTCTTAGTACAGCAACCACGAATACTCAGCCAGAGTCATCGGTGGTAGACAGCACAATCTCAGAGTTCGATGATGTTTTCTCGAGCGCTGCTGAGGTCTTATGGAGTCGGTGCTTTCGCGCCATTCCTAGTCTTAGAGCCTTGAACCGTCTAGACTGGAAGGCAAAGAAGTCTCTTGTTCCATCGGCTCTTCCCGGAGACGTTTTTAGCTATGCGGGATTGCCTTTTGTTACTGTCTAGCCGCGCTTAGGAACCTGAAGTAGATATTATAACGATATTTTTAGGAGCTCCTGGTCCTGAGAAAAGTGTTCTCCTCGTGATGGTGAAGTAACCTTTTTGCTTCTCTTGGTATTGTCCCCTAGGATTGGCCGAGACGTAGCAGTGTTCCTCTTGAAGACGACGCCTTCTTAGCTGTTTTAGATTGATTGCACTATTTTTCATTCTCTTGAATTTGAACGAGTGAAGGAAGGCCACGAGAGCTGTGTCGACGAAGGCAAGACGGTGATTCACATCCGAAGCTCTGTCAATAATTATTACAACAGGACAAATCTCTGCTTCTCTAGTTCGTGAGACTTTGATTTCGGTGTTTCCCCATCCCTTTCCCGTCGATCTACCCACCTACAGACGAGAAGATTCTATTTCCGAAGTTGTTTCTTTCTTCTTTGTCTTTTGGGAAATGGTTGTTCTTGACAACATGACTTTCTTACTGTCATCTCTAACTTCTTTATAGCTGCTACTTACATCAAGTACAAGAAGTTCATCTCGCATTCGCTAGTACCTGTAAGAATAAGAAATAGAAGAAAGATTGTTCATACACGCTTCTAGTTTATTTCTCAGCCCTAAAACTAGATTCTTTGAGTTGCAGTCAGATGCCATAGCAGGCTGAAAAACAATGGCGCCAGTAACTTCACGTGACCTCCTTGGGGTGCACCAGGTGCACGTCGACGGCGCCCACTGGTTCAACGTTCGATGCGCCGAGGTTCCTGGAGTGTCTCTGACTTCGAAATTGGCCTACAATTGTTGTTCATCGCCTCTCGAATTCGAGTTTTTGCCCAAGCCGGGACAGCGAAAGCTTCCAACCTGGGTGTCAGACACGAGACCCGTGAAAAAAACGAAAATTCATCGATGGGGCAAGCCTTACACAGGAGCCTTTACCTGTGAGGTCGACGGAGATGCGTATTGTGCTTTTAAAACGAGCAAATCGTCGAAGCAAATTGACTGGAGGATGCCTGCTGACTTCGAAGAGATCTGCATATGGAAGCAAGGGACACAGAAAGATAAGGATTTATGGCATGAGGTACAGAAAATGAAAATACTATATTTTCTACTACAAGTCGTACTGTATGAATAAGTAGTAAGTACTTGGAAGATTCTTTCCTCTTCAAGATAGGTTGTTCCTACTGGTAGTTACTCGCCTCCCCAAACGTGGTGCGGCTTGTAAGCACATGGACACCAGGGCGATCCTCCTAGAAATCAACTCGCCTCTAACACCGGACGCAGCTAAAAAATGTTGGAAGAAATCAGCGAAGTCGTGGGAATGGGTTCCTAAGGATGGTGGTAAAGCCCCTGTGATGAAGCGAGTAGTGATGCAAATGAAGAGTAAAAAGGTGGTGAAGAAGAGTGGTGGCAAGTAAAAAGCTACACCTACTTATAGTCTTCACTGTGCAGAAGTAGATCCTTTGGATACTTACACAATTTTTGGCGCATAGAATGCTAGTGTGCAGAATGTTGACGGAGGCACTGCGCGTTATAACTTTAGCAGCGAGATTCCCACACTGGCACATTGGCTCACCATGGGACCAAGGGGGACGCTTATTGGACGACACTGAAGACCTCAAGCTTAACCAAGAATACATCGTAGTGGACAGGCAACTATGGAAACGAGAACTAGATGCGTATCATACCAACAAGTTCCCGGTATACAACCTCCAAGTCTGGCGCGCTACCGTACCACTGGACAAAACTAACCATCTTCAACTAATCAATTACATCCACGACGTTCCTCTGCTACAAGCACCGCCAACTACTACGCGCTGTCCGTCTCTTCCTCATAGGCTTTGGGCGATGGTTTTTGCCTATTTACATCCAGACTGGGAGCGTATGGGTGATGAAGACTTGATGATCTTAAATGCAGCACAGTTACTAGTTGGCTACCTAGTAGCCCACCAATACGAAGGTGACACGCTCCGCAGCGTGGCGAATAACTTCCTGGCGCAGCTACTTCTTATCCGTACTTATGTCCTGCAACACCCCCCGCTTACCAGAACCGTGGCGAAGCTGGCGCCACTGCTGATCCAGCCTGAGATTGGATCGCGAATTTTTCGCCAGACTTTTGGAGACTTCTCACTAGTTACACAACCAAGGAAACGAGCCCAAATTACAAACTACTATCCCTCTGGCTTCCTTGGTACGTCGGCAGACACTCCGCTCATCGATGCACTACTAGAAACCAAAGCAAAAATAGTAACCAGAAGATTCTATGAAGTTGAGAGCTGCTATGGGAGAGAATATGCACCAGAGACGAGGTTTGTCCTTCAAGGACATAGACTAACGATCAAGGAAAGGCCTAGACATAAACTTGCGTGTCAGTGTGGGCGTATCTTATATGGGGTAACCAAAGCCAAGTTTGCACACACGGGGGTCTCCCCTACCCAGGCCAGGTCTAAACATAGTACTACTTGGCACTTTGATTTCAATCAAATCTACCATATTAGTAGCTCTTTTGAAATTGCGAACCACCCTAGACAAAGCCAAGCCTGCACGTGGTGTAGGGTTGGTAATAACTATCTAGACAACAAGGAACAAATCATTACGAGAGCACGCTACATTGACGACGAAGTATATACTACAGAGATGAACTATAGGCCGATCACCTCCCCTTTTCTCAGTCTAGCACCTGAAACGAGGGGCAGATGGACAAGGGATTCAGTTACAATCCTCTAACTACTAGGCTAGCTGACGAGTCTACGTGAACCAGACTCTTTAAAATTACATACTCTTCGTGTAGGGCCTCCATAAGTTAGAAGTACTCTATTATTAATTTTCATCTACTTTTCATACACTATATAACACCAAAGTGCCTAGTTCCACATACAGTGACGTCTTCTGGCTCAAATAGTAGTCGTTTTATTGAAATACTTGCTAGTCTTATACCGCTGAAGTAGCGTGCTCGGCTCCTTAGCGTAAATGATCTTGCGTGTAATATATGCTTAAAGTAAGTATCTACGTTAAGTTCTTGCTACCTTCATTGATTCTGGTAGAGATATTAAAAAGGATGCTCGCCGTCATGAGAGCAAGTCGTCCGGCATGCCAGTCATATACTCAAATAATGGTCCTATAGAATTTGTTCCTGTACCACACACTAAAAGTTTTGTTAAAAGATGTACGGTTGAGTCAGCACATGCTTACACCATTCGAATTACATAGAGATTCTGGGTGTGCCTACCTACGACCTTTTTAGATACTCCACAGCTGTTTATTAACTTATAGTGTTTACATATATAACATACTTATTTTAGATCTTGACTTTATTATTGTTAAGGCATGGTCTACTTGTAGATAATTTTTTAAAAAATCTTCTAGTTATCGACTGTCACGAAGGCCTCGCGTGTTTAACCAGTTGTAGTATAGTTGTTAAAATTCATACATAACACTAACGTTAAATAGAGGGAAAAGTCAACCACATACAACCATATCCCACATACGTAGCATATAGGGTATATATAACAGGTGAGTACTAGTCTAAAGTTAGGTCTCGGTTACAAACAAGGGGCGACGACCTTGTTTGGCATTACTTCAATTTATTTTCAGGTTATTAATCATAATAGGTACACATGTCGCACAACCATAACATTAACATAAAGCACATAAACGTCTAGAGATCAGAATGAGAGAGACATTAGTTGTAAATCTTTCGTCAGAGATTCATATTTCTGTTTTGAGTGCTCCTATGAGTGTTCATGTCTGTCGAGCGATTCGTTTGTCTGTGGATTTTTCGTCGAGAGTGCATACTCCACTGAGAGTCATACCGTCTGTCCGAGAGTGGAGAGTTGAGTTTCTTCCTTTTATATATGTAAGACATCGCAACATTTTACTCATCTGGGGCCTTCACATATACTTGCTTTCAACCTCTAGGTTTAGCCAGCAGTGTGTCAGAACTCGTACTAGTCGACCGCAAATCAAGATTGGCTACTTTACAGTGGCTTAGGTCCAGCGACGCTCAAGGTCTTCTTAGGGAGGACTTGCTACCCTCCCTACACCGGTTCTGATAGGCTGACTGATGTAGTTTCTCGGGGTATAGGGTGTACACAGGTCTTCCCCTCTTCTGGCTGGGCTAGCCTTTTTTGAACTCTTTCCCCCTTGTTGGTTTAAGATTTCAAACATTTCCCTGACTATGTGACTCTCATCTGGTCTTGCTTACTCCAGCTCTTCTAGCGTGGTACTTTCTATTGAGTTTACACCTTACTATAATCACCAATACTAATGGTTGTTCCTTTAGCAGCAGGTCGTGATTTTTTTTTTGATTTAATGAAGTAGCTGCTCTAGCTACTAGGTGAAGATGTTCTTGTGCTTATGCATGAACTGAAAAGTTGCTGTACCGACAGATGAGCCGTTTAATATGCGTTGGTTTGCTACATTTAAGTACCCTATAATTAGGCTACCCTTTCGCTTTCACAAGAACATCTTCCAGATGCACAGTATCGCGGTACAGCTAGTTTTGTTTCTCGTCCGACTGCTACCTCCTGCACGTGCAGGTAGAGATATTTTTACCAGACCAGAGCCTCAAATGCTGATGCCTCCAGTAACATTCAACATGACTTGCAGTGTTGTCAGTGCATGCAGAGAGATTGCGCAAGAGAAAAAGCATTGACATGCATGGTACAAGAACTGCCTCTACAAGTTGTATTAACAGAGTCTACGCTGAGAGAAACGGAGAAATCAGATGAGATAGGAAGACATCATGAGAAGTACGCGCTCATGAGAAGATGAATAAGTTAGGACATTCCAAGGACGGAGATGAGCGGTTGATAGGACCATAAAAATTATGAATATGAACTCATTTTGTCGCGAACTAGCTTCTTCTGCTTTGTCTTTTTGTCACAAAGCTTGAGTGAGTGGAGCCACGAATAGTATTACTTCTCTACGGTTGACAAAGCAATTTCTAGTAGTACTGTACGGATGTTCATGTTGACAAAGCAATTTCTAGTAGTACTGTACGGATGTTGACAAAGCAATTTCTAGTAGTACTGTACGGATGTTGACAAAGCAATTTCTAGTAGTACTGTACGGATGTTGACAAAGCAATTTCTAGCACTGTACGGATGGCAAACTACACTAGTAGGTACTATCTATCATTTCTAGTACGGATGATAAACTACACTAGTAGGTACTATCTATCAACAACTCATGTCAACAACAAGAACTTATGTTGAGTAACTGCAACTTTGCGAAACGAACAGAAACGAATAAGAGCATTCGAAGGGCCTGGAGTGACACGGGCATTGGACATGGAGTTGCTACGGGACGACGGCTTTCGTGGAGCAATCATATCGCCAGATGAGGACGTATTTTTACTTACAACCAGGAGTCAACAATATTTTCAATTTCATGTCGTGGTCTACTGCTTAGATTTAGAATTGAAACTCGAAAAAGAAAAACTACCACGACTGCCTCCTAGTACTACTTAGGTATACTGGGTAGATCGTCCTCTGCTGAATCTAGCCATGTCTATACATTCAACCCTGTGAAAAATGATTTGCAAGTCTTAAATATCAGCAGGTTTCGTTCAGTCCGGAGGCTCCAGAGCCAGGAGCACCTGGAGATTTTGGCTCCAGAATGTTGCTCAGTGGCGGTGCCCAGTTAGGAACAGGAGGAGACGCTTCCTCAAGGCCCTTCACCTATTTTCCGATTTCGCGTACCCAAGTCCAAGAACTACGACTTGATCTAGAACTCTGTCGAGAAAAAGTGAGCAAGCTCGAGCTACCCTCTTCAAAGCATGCAACAGCAGCAGCAGCAGCAGCCAGGACGAGAAGAGCAGGAGGATCTTCAGTCGGCGTTTCACCCAGGATGGCTTCTCCTACCTCTTCAACATCCTCTACGAATTCTACGTCAGCTGCTGTTCATCTTTCACCGAATTTCACGCCTCTCGTTGCCACCTCACCGAAGTCAATGAGGTCTCAGTTGCAGCTTGTACAGCAAAGGAATACAGCATTTCTGTCGAAGCTTGACCTCTGCTTCGGTCCTTCAACAAGCACTAGTGGTTCTTCGCCTACAGGAGGCTCTCCTTCCGGCTGGGAGCAGGCTGAGCGTGCACTCCGCGAAGAAATTGAGTCAAGAACACAACTTAAAATACGACAACAAATTGCAACCTCTTCTGAAGCAGGAGGACCACAGGAAACAGCTAGTACGACATCTGCAGACCAATCCACTGACCATAAATGTTATGTTGAAGCTTCCCTAGCTGCCGCAAAGGAGATGCTCTTATGGTGAGGAAGAGTAAATTTATACCTTCACGTTTTGTTTTCTTTGTTTTTTACCCTTAAAGAGGTTTCACTCCACGACAATCATTAATATAGTTAGACAGAATCGGCATTTTTGCATCACTTTTAATAGACCTATCACAAGAATACTTCTAGACAGGAGTTCTAGTTCGATATCGTTTGCTCGTTAGGTGGAAAAAAAAGTGGGAGGTACTGCCTCGCCCTAATCGTCGACGAAGCGCGCAAAGACGATGCAGCGAAGGACCCAATGGACGCAGAGAACGACCCAGGAGGAAGTCGAGAAGACCTTCCTAGCAGAAAGGACAACACAAGTCCGACTACGCCGTCAATATCCTCTGGTGCGAGTTCAAGTTCAAGTACTACCTCTGGTAGTAAAGCTAGTAGTTCTTGTAGTACATCGTCATCCGAGGACACATCAGCTGGAAAGGGTCCAAAAAATGGCCCAAAAAATGCTGCTAGCACAACAACGCCATCGTTGTTGCAGCAATACGAACGAGAGCGGAAAAACGGTTTCCGAAGGGATCCTGCAGATATGCCGGGTTGGGTCGCTGAGAATTTTCCGCAGAAATTGGGGAAAATATACACCAAGAATCGCATAACACGTTCTGGGAAAACTGCCGGGGATACTAGTAATACTACTGCTGGAAGAGAACAAGAAGATGGTGGTGCTGCGGCTACAGTAGCTGCAACAAGGAGAAAAGACTACAGCAACACAGTAGAAGGAACTACTGCCCCCGCAACAGGAGATGGAGCTGCTAAGGTCAAAGCAGGAGAGGAGGTCAAAGCAGGAGAGGATGATGACGAAAGTGAAGATGAATTTGGGATGGAGATACTGGGAGCAACAGGTAAAGTAAAGAGTCTCTCTTAAGGCTTGAGGAAATCCATCTTTCCCACCATCTTTTGAGTTTTTGTTTGTGAAAGTAGGAACAAAAGAGGCACGAAAAAGCTGACCAAGATGGATTTCTACAAGGGCTAAACCTCGCAGTTTGCTCGCATTACCCTAGACCGAATCAAAATGCGGATGGACCGCGAAGGAGATTTGGGTATCCGAGAGCAGTTTTCAATCGAGAACTCTCAGCTTATACACAGACAATTTGGTCCTCTTACCAAGGCTGTTGCGCCAGAAAGAGCCTTTCCTTTGATGCTTATGCTGAAAAACAAATTTCTCATAAACCTGATCATAGTAAAAACAGCTGGTTAGTCTTTTCGAAAACTCAAAATAACCGAGTTACTGACTGAAATAAGGGAGGTAGCTTAACGTCAAGGCTACCTTTCCTTCTCATCAGTATCTCGGTTATTCTGATCAGTTACTCGCTTATTTCAGTTTTTCGAGGTACAACAAGGAGCTACTCCAACTCCTACTCTCTCGGTAGAGTGGTTTTCTTGTTCAACAGCTTGTTCCCTCAATCATATATAATCAAAATTATACCTTCAGCTCCAACTCCTACTTTCATAGCAGCCGAAGGACTGGCAAAAGATTCTACGCGATACATGCGGCCGGTGCAAGAGTACATGATGGTAGTGGACTATCATGTACAACGGAGGAAACAAGGTGGAGCAATGCGCACGAATACCTCGTCTTCCAAAGACAGCATCTCCGGTTCTACCACGACTCCTACAGGAGGATCGGGTACATCTGCATCAACACGTGGTGGAAGAACATCGGGTGGAACAAGTTCTGCATCATCTTCTCGTAGTGTTGCAGAGGCATCAAGATCTACTGGTACAACTACCTCCGCTGCGTACGTCGTGAGTCTGGGCTCGCCCCCTCCGGTTAACGGAGGACCTTCTTCATCGGAGTTCGGGGACGAAAACCAAAGTAGCGTGAGAAGTGGTGACGTCGATGACGTGACATCTTCTAGTTCCTCTACTTCCAAGGGCAGTTGTATTGAGGTACGAGCAGGTCCAGGTGCGACTGCAACCAAACCAACATTAAGCAGAGAACGATTGCGACAGATGAGCAGTGGTACGAAGGGCGCAACAACTGGAGGTGGTCACTTTCAACTTGAAAGACAAACAGCGACGTTATGTCAAACAGCGACGTTATGTCAAACAGCTACGTTAGCTTTTTCTGCGAGAGACAGCACTTCTCCCAGCTCTTTAGGTGCGAGCTCAGCCATCGAGGGAACCGCGTTGTCGAATTCCACTTCATGCAGTAGTAGAAAACCTGGAGTCCTCTATCGGGAATTCATGGCCGCAGGTAGAGAACACGGCGTCAGTCGAGGTGTCAACCGCGCTTCGCCAGCCGTGTCTACACCCAGTGTGTCTGAAAGTCGGAACAACAATGAGGGCGCCGCGCATGAATATGATAATTGTATACAACCAGCTGCACTGATGAGCGCGTATATTAATAAACCACTTGTTTCGTCCAAGAACAAGAAAAAGAATAACAGTAGACCTCCACAAAATGGGACCGGGATCAATAACAGTTGTACTGGTGCTGTTGGGATCAATAACAGTACTAGTTTCAATACTAGTGCAAACGCAGTAGGAGGTGGTGCGTTTCCTACGACTTCTACTACAACTACGACCACCGGAACAAATTTTATAGGTGGTGCACCGAGAACCACAACCGCGTCGCAACTTTACTTATGAAGCAGCGTCCTCACTGCAAGTGCAATTCGATCTCAATCAACTCAAAATTCGATCTCAACCTCTGGCTACCACCTTCGAGTTTCTAGCCCTTGTTCCGCCCGCCCTTTTTTACCTGTTTCTAAGCAATCCGAGCGAAGATGATGGCCATGGCATCTCTCCAACGTCGAATAGCATATCGCCAAAAGATATGAGTGGAGGCTTCAGAGGACTGGCGTCTCAGACATTCTTTAACCAGCAGCGTCCCCGTGCCCAGTCGGACATCGTTGGCACCTCCGCACAGAGCTCGCCACATGCATCGGCACATGGTTCTACTTCTTTTCTCTTAAAGTTTATCTGAACAAGATTGATTCTCATTTTGATGTTGATAGATGGATGACAATTTTGCTCATCTGGTGATCTAAAATCTGACAATCAGAACAAAGTAGTTCTATATCTTACTGTATAACATGAAGATAGACAAACTGGACTGTCTTTGTTGTATAAAAACCGCTTCATCAAGTAGTGATAAATGACTTGTAAATTCTGTTTCTGGTATCGACAACCCATCAGGTGGTGTGGCTATGAGTGCGAGTATGGCTGAGCGTTTTGGCCTCGGATCACCAGCTGCTGGCACGACCTCATCAACACCGTATATTAAGTCCTCGTCAGTGTCAGCACGAATCAATGCGCCGACCACTAGTGCAGGAGCCACCAGTGGACCTGCAAAACAACCTCTACAGCCACTACACTTGCAGCTTGTCGCACATCCTGCTGCATTAGAACGTGGACAAGGACCGGCGCCACCTGCTTCGTCATCTGGTGTCCTACTTGGAGAATCCCAATTACAGGCTAGCCAATTACAGGCTAGTGGCAGCCGTACCCCAACCGCTTCTGGCGCGCGAACACCGAGCATGGGAGGATGGGCGCAACTGCATCAGCCACTACACGCGAAGCCCATTGCGGGCTTGCCTCAAGGCCTAATTGGTGCACAGATGCCCTCCTTCCAAAATTTTGTTTACGAAGAACAACAGCGGCGACGGGGTAGCACTGGCACTGCGGATGACCCTCAGTTGAAGGCAGTTGTGATCAGTCAACATGTGAACCACGATACTTCTACTAGTCAGGATGAACATCGAGGAAACAATATTAATTAAGGCCTCACTTTTTAATCCATTTTTTAGTGCACCATCTGTGAGCTGTCTATGTCTTCGAGTCTAGAGAATAATTGGACACAGATGAGGCAAAAGATGGATTCTTGTAGTGAGCTCTAAAATAATAATTTTTCAACTAGCAACACTGTTTTTGCTGGTGTCCTGAAAGAACAAGATCCTCTTTCACAAGACGGCGCAGGCTCTCCAGCTGGAAGCAACTCCGCATCAGTCCGTCCTGGATTCGCTGGTGGCCTTGGTGAAGGTGCAGATAACAGAAACATCTTCCTACCCGCCCCAGGAGCATCAACTACACAAAACAAAATTTTTGGGGACCCTCCTACTCTGCAGATGCCATCCATCAAAAAAGTGAAAACCTCTAAGGGGACGAACGGTGCTGCTGCTGCTCATTCTTGAAGAATGAAGACTTCCTCGTCTCTGACAGGAGTAGGTGGTAATGACGTTGACTTTTTAGAGATTTGAGATAGACGTACTTACGAGTATTTAGCGCGCCGTGGGCGTAACGTTTAGTCCATAATTCATCATAAGTATTTTAGGTGACGAGGATATGAAACAAGTCGCATTTTTCAAGTCTTGGTGGTGTGAATTTCTTAAGCAGGACAAAGACAAACAGTCTTCTGTGTGTGCCTCAGGACGAGCCACTGGTGGAGATGTTTCCGACGTGCTTCTACGATTATTTTTTGATTAGTCACTGCATCAGCCCCATGAGCAGAGCTGAAAATTCCTCCAATGATTTCTTGTAGCCTGTGTGTGCTGGATTGTTCTTTCATGGATTGGTCATAGTTATGTCTTCTTGCAAATCAACACAGAACGACCGCTTGGGATGCACGTGCCTGGCGTTCGCTAAGTCGGAGGTGAGACGAATGAGTCTTTTTTGTCTACTTAGAAGATCCCTACTACAGTGGAGTTGGAGTCGTTCTACTACGGTGGAATCGACGTCGCCCAGAGGCAGGACCCCGCCTGTTTAGCACGAATCTATGCTATGAATGTGTTCATTCTGCTATCAATGGATCCTGTCATGCTATGTTGAACTGCTCTTCTCTGAGTCCGTTATTTCTATGTGAAACACTGTTAGAAGGTGCTCGCTGGATGATAATGTGATGTTGAGAGAAAGACAAGGCCGCGAAGATTTGAAGTGAGTCGGTGTCTTTCGTCAATGCGCATCAGCGTACATGCAGCACGGTGCGCGTCATTCCCGACGCAGAAAGCAATATGACGCTGCTTTTGCGTGGACCGACGATGGCTCTTTCGCCGTCGGACTTGCGGCACTCTCGTACTCCTGCTCACGCGATGAATGTGGCTGGCCACTGTGGTCTTCCCACTTTGATTCGTGCTCCGAGCTCGAAAAAACAACGTCGGTTGTCACTACGACATGGCGCCCTTCGGAATCTCTTGGCTCTACTTGTCTCCGCAGCGACGTGCGTCCAGAGAGCAGGTAGAATTTCGTTTTTCACCGCTGTTTCCGTGGCGACGTTTTTCCAAACCGCAAATGGGATTTCGTTTTTCACGGAATCCGTGGAAAGTTATCGGGAGATGGTCAATTTCTACCGCCATTCCGATTCCAAGGGAAACCTAAGGTTACCTGTGATCTACGATCTCGATGGCAAACGGTGTACTGAGCTGGTCGAAGTGGCCGCGCAGGCACATGAAAAAGCGGGCCACCACGAGAAAGCGAGTGAAGGACGGTCACAAGAAGCAGAACAAGCGGAAGACCAAGACCCTGGTAATGCAAATAGTGGAAGGGGCATCAATGGAGAAACTAATAAAAGTTATAGACGTGAGCGTGACAACACGGAACCGGGAGATGAAAACTACAACACAACTGCGGATGAAGTAGATGCTAAAAGCGGTCGTTTGGACATTCGGGAATGCGAGTGGAAATGCTACGTGAATCAGCAGTGTGACGCATGGCAATATCACAATGTCTCAAAGGCTCATGGTGTCTGCTACCACAGCAATACCGATGCAATGGCAAAAGAAGCGATTGTATGAAGCAAAGGCCATATGATAATTATGTCGGGTCAGTTTTACTAACTTGATTTCAACGCCAGCCGCCTCAGAGACTTGATTGAAGTCCTCTCTACATTCTAACTCCTTCGAAATACTGGTCTTAGAAAGTCCTAGGCTCATCTTATTACTTCAACATTGTTTTCTACTTGTGGCGGGTTGTCTTCGTACAAAGTACAACTAGCTATCATCATCATGTTGCACAGAACTAGGTCAAGCTCCTGCTAATCCCTGGCGCCGGTCCCATTACGTTTTCGACATGCGATGGCATTGTTAAGGCTACCGCTGAAGCATCCTCAGCACCATCCCTGGCTTCTTTTCCAAGGGGAAAAAGGGCTCAGGGAAGGACTCAAGGATGCGACGCGGTAGCTCCAACATTGGAGACTTCTACGATTGCTTGGAGCGCGTAGTCTTTCAGGGAGACCTGTCGGCTCTCGTGCGAAGCCTGGAAAGCGAAGTTCACGATAAAAAAGAAGAGATTATGAAGATAGTTGTCTCGTTGAAGAAGATAGTTGAATTTGGATTTGGAAGAGGGCTACTCAAAGTAAGCTCTTGTTCTGTTGTCACGATAAAACTTTGTGTCCACAAGGCCCACGTGGTGGAGTCAACGCAGAATTTTTGCATGTAATGAATGAATGAAACCACATGACTACTCGAAATCGTTTTCCAGTTACAGAGAGCAAGGTCGAAGGGTCATTACCCAAGCGATCGGTTCCAAGAGGACTGCGCACTTAAAAGCGAGCAGGTTTCTTGTCATGGAAAGTTCATCTTCATCTTTCTAACCTTCCTGAAAATAAATTGCAGGCAAAAACAAAATCATCTTCTAGCGAACAAGCTTCTTCGGAACCTCGCGTGACAGAGCAGATTGCGGAGGTCGAAAACCGTGGCGCGATTCTCAGTATAAATGCTGCGAAAATAGATGGCATCGGGAGTGGAGGACAGCAGCAACAGCAATCTTTTAGCTCTCTAGAAGAGCATGACGCGGTGGAAAATGCAGCATTGGCTCAGCTCCTCAGCCAAGAACAAATAAACTGGCTAGAGACAGTTTTTCTCCCATCGGCTGAGAGCACTTACTACGCACATGCACGGCGTAGGCGGCGACAGGAAGAAGAAGCGGAACAGGAAGCAGTGATTTCTAGTACTAGAGTTAAGGCTCAACTTTCATTGGTCATTGAGGTTGGTCACTGGCACGGAAGAGGGGACCCCTTGAGACAACAGGGGATGAAAACGAAGGGAAAGGGGAGTAGAGCTTTGTTGAAGCGGGTCTCTTCCGTTCAGAGTCATGATGACCAAGGAATGCCGAGCTTTAATATTAGAGGAAGTTCTGCCTTTGCAGCGATAGAAACAACGAACTCGGTAGCGGACCGAGACGGCCCTAGCCCTTTTAGAATACCTACTTCTGAGGGGGTCGTAGAAACAGATTCCAGAAGAAGTTCAGAGTCAGATCCCAGTGATGGAGGTAGAAAGGAAAAGGAAGACATAGGCAACTCGTTGAAGCAAGGCTGGTATAACGAGAAGCGGCGGCTATGGGAGCGCCGATCGGTCAAAAGATGGATTCTATCACAGCTCAACAAACTTGTCGACGGAAGATCAAACCGACACCCATTAAGGCTTACTGTCTAACGGTTGATCCTTTATTGCGCCAATCTTCTCCGCTGAGACGCACAGCCTAGATTTATATTTGAGAAGATTTTATTGGCTTCTACATCTACTTCTAGGAGGTGAATCAATTTTTAGAATTACAACTCTAGTACTGAGCAGATCATCATCTTCTAAACGTAAACCACTCGCCAGAGTCCACCGACATTAAACCATCTTCCAAACTTAAATTAGCCTTAGCCCCTTTGCAGCATTGCTTAACTTCGCGGAGCCACTTCAATAGACAGATTTTGGGCGCGCGGATGCGCTGGACGCAGCATTTAAAACAATCCAAGAGCTTGGAAACTGACAAGTTTGCGATGCGGTTTTATTCTTATGACTCTACATGAAAAGTACCTACAAGGAAGCACTTCTCATGAGTATTATGATCAGTTAGTGTTAAGGTCAGCGTCAGCTTTTATCCATCTTTCTCAGCATCTTGGTACCCTTTTCCCTTGTATTCTCATGAAATACAAGGCACACGGGGTCAAGATGAGGGGGCCGAGATGCAATCTAACAGACTCCAAGAGTGGTTTATCTACCTTCGTTATCACGACTATACAGGAGAGTCTGAACAGTTCGTATCTCATGATCTGAAGCTGAGCAGTTCTTACTTCATGAGTACCGGGCTAGCCTTCGTCGTGTATTTAACTTCGTCTTACGCACGACTATACAGGGTTGTCTGAGCCTGATCCCTATAATATGACTGTGGTAATGAATGGCTAAAAGCTCTTTTCTTGGCTGATCTTATCGCTAATTTGTCTATTAGGAGAAGATTGATGAAGTAGATACTTTTCTTCATCACACTCACCCATACTTTCATGATCCGTATCACGGTGTAATGGGCGGCGTGTGTTACAAGCAGCCTGGAGATACGGAGAATCTAGGTGCCGGAGAATTCTGTCATCACTCGCAGCAAATCGCAGAGCGACAGTTCCGAAGGAATCGCTTTCGGTATCGTATAGGCACCAGCGTGGACCAAAGGACCGTAGACTTCTGCTCAGACACGGAGGAACAAAGGTATGAGCATATGAGAAATGTATGTAGACTTCTGCTCAGACACGGAGGAACAAAGGTATGAGCATATGAGAAATGTAAACGTAGACTTTTGCTCAGACACGGAGGAACAAAGGTATGAGCATATGAGAAATGTATGTAGGCCTCTAGTGCGCAGACACGGACGAGCAAAGGTGTCTCTCATACCACTGAGCATATGAGACAGGATGTATGAGTATGGGTAGCATCAGAGGTGGGTCGAAAGAGCTGGTCAAACAGGGTTATAAAACTGATGGCGTTTTCTATCATGTGTTTTCTCGTAGTACCTTTAGCCTGTTGATCTCTAATCAAGAGCCGCAGTGGAGGCTACGCAGTATACCTGGAAAACAGTGGACGACCTGGGAGAAAAAAGCCTGTTACGACTACGCGCGGCGATACCTATGGAAATGCGCACCGGCCGTTACCTAAATTTCGGCACAGGTCATTGCGGAATGGCCGATCCTATGTTCTGGCTCTTCAAAAACAAACGGAACGACCATCGCGTTCAGCAGAACAAAAAGCGGAACGTGGCAGAGGTGAGTGGTGAAATATACGGCGAACTGGATAAAGTAGTGGGAGTGAGGAATGAGGATCAGAGGTCACCACGGAGGTCTGGTACGGATAAAGAGCAATCGGATGGAGATGAAAACAAGTCCACAGACCACGAGATGAAAGCAGCCTCTACAACTGCTACAACATTATCAAAGGGAGAAGTTGTCCCAGACATAGAAGGTGATCCTAACTTACCACCGTGGAACGGATTCGGATTTGAGCTTTATCGCTCTGTCGCGCAGAAGTGTCGATATCCTAACACAACGATCGTCCTTGCCAGCGTTGATCCTGAGACACTGCCTGCTATCCTTGCGCGCACCGGCTTTTTCCCTTCGATGTTGATCGAGACCGAAACGGAAGCGTTCCTGCGGAAAAACCCGCACTTAGACGCTCGTATTCTTACCGAGGCGCAGGAGGTGCACTTCGGGCAGAAAGACCGGTTTGAAGGCTACACACGGCCTGAGGTTGCGGCCATTGAGGCAGAAGTAGACACGCTGATGCCAGCAAGAGGACTGCATCCTAATGCGACGCTTGTGTACGTTAAGGCTTTAGACATGAAGATTTATCTTTGAGAGTTGAGAGAGTCATGTTTGTTCCTTCCTCGACCTGCTCGGGCTCTACTACAAGAAGATCAGGGACAACGACGGACATCGCTCTTACTTAATACATTGTGGATAGGTCTAAGTACGGGGATCGCAGTCCGAGCTTACTCCAGGACCGAGATGAGGTTGAGGAAGTAATCGAGAACCTTGGTGGCCGCGAAGCATTTTGGGAGTGGGATCGTGCAGTGGCGGAGCGCTCGTGGTCAGACCATTTCCAGGAGGGTGAGGATTTATTGGCAGAAAATAATAGCATAATAGTTCTTGGCGACCACAGCACAAAAGTTGACGGAAGAAGCACGAGGACTGGTGCGACTCTGCTAGATGCGCAACATCAGGCTAGGAGCACAAGCACAACAGCTAGTGCAGTTGATTCGGGAGAGGAGTCATTTTTCTTCGACGAAACTACTAGCAGTACTCCAAGTACGGAACAAGAAAGGTCAAGAACAACTGCAGATAGCACAGCCACAAGCACTTCCGCACTAGTAGTACAACATGATGCTCAGCGAGGTGAAACAAGTCCTCGCAGAGAGCAGTCTCCAGAGGAACACCTACCACCACCGACGTCGCCAGGACCGGACATAGAGCTCGTCGTTTTAGACCTTGACGGCTACGATTACCAAATCCTAGAGACGTTGGTCGCTTCGCGTCAGACAGTATTTTAAGGGTAGGCTAAAGGTGTTCCTATTACCATTTGTTATGCCTAAATCCCCTAAGCAGGGAGACAGGCATAACATACGGGACACAGAAACAAACGTCAAATAAGCCCTAAACCCTCTAATTCTTGGTTTACCGCGTCGAGGTAGCACAGCACTTTCCACCGCCGTATAAGTATGCGATGCTCTACCATGAGACGAAGGTCGATTTGTATTTATGACATAAGTATGGTGATGTGGATGTATGCGTTACTTTTCTTTGCAGGAAATAGAAATTGAAATATTTACTAGGAGGGCGCAACTGGTGACCACCCGATGCTGCATCTTTGACTTTCCTTTCCACGACCACACCAGCTGACCACTAATCTCACGCGATCACATGCGCTACGACAAGGACATGTATTTTTCACCGCTCTATGGCATGTCTCTTTCCGCCGCTTTGAATCTGCTGAAGGACACGCATTTCTTATTTTATGGTTGCCTTCTTTCACCTAATAGTCTGTCTCAGCGTCTCTCGCCTTTTTATTTTAGCTAATAGTCTGTCTCAGCGTCTCTCTGGTGTCCTTTTGTTCCCATGGAATACATATACCAGGGAAATAAAGGTACAAGAAAAGGAAAAAGGTACTACGTCCAAGATGGATTGAGTATACAGGTAAAACTGTGGATGGCGGATCAGATCTTTAGTCCTTAATCCTTAATTCAAGTACGGAGAGGGATTCAAGTACCGCGCTGCTCTAACTACCGTACCTGGAAGGAAAAACTGACGCCATTTTTGTGCATAAAAAGTTACGCAAATACGTGGAGAAGGCTTTCGATGTCAAACTTCCAGTAGACGAATTTCTCTGCTATCGCGCCTCGCATCTCTGGCACCAGATGAACCAGTTGTACTTATGGTCTAACTTTTGGAACTACGGTAGATATTTGGGGATGTCATTCAGTATATTGATACTCGTACACTTGACGAAATACGATGGGATTATCGAGAGACGACGTAAAAAATACTTCTACATGTTGTACTAGAAATTTTTGATTTTATTTTGTACACCCACAAGCAAGATGGATCATCAAGGACAACCCTCTTTTTTCTTGCCTGTTCATAACGCGTGCGGGCGTGGGCATTTAACGAGCCTGTGTATGAGGGGCTGCAGCACATCCACGACAATGTGACGCATTTCTCGCCTGTCCCTATCGAGGAGGGAAACGTACCTTTCATGCTATGGGTCTAGCATGCTTGTTTTGGGGGTAACTCTCTTGCAAATAGTCAAAACTAATGAAAGAAATACGCATATATAAATCTAAAGAACTAATCCTTATCCTACTACCACATTTACAACGATCTTCATCCTATCATCTAAGGAATGTCCACGGGCAAGTCAGGGATATCGTCAAAGAACCACACAAGATTTCCACTTGTTCTTCTCTACTTGTAACAAAAACACATTGAAAGCAAGCATGGCGCTCTACGCTTGGCAAAATAGAGCCGCGAACAGTGTCCCTTGGGAAAGCGAACCCCAAAGAAGTTTAGAAATAAAAGAACACAATACTTAAAAGAAATTTCCAAAAAAACGATTTTTGGACACACGACCAAAAAATATATTTTTGAACGCTCCAGAGGGCGAAACCTGGATCGGTCTCATAGCGGCCAGGATCTCCATAGACATAGATGCACGGGCCTGGCGTTCGCTAAGTCAGAGGTGAGACGAATGAGTCTCTTCTCATTTGTCGACAAGATCCCTACTACAGCGGAGTTGGAGTCGTTCTACGTTGGAATCGACGTCGCCCAGAGGCAGAAGTTCTAGGTCACAAGAGATCCATGATCCGAGACGTCCTGGTTAAGTAAGTAGTTGCGACAGCAAGACAATAGTATGGCGCTTTCTCGATCTGCACCCCTGAAGCTCCTCACAGGGTGTGCTCCTGCTGCTTCGTCCACATCTCAACTACGGCAAACATCTTCTCTATGCAAAAGCAAGAGGTTTGCGCGTCACTTTTCACTGTTTCATCGCACTAGAAGTACGGCTACGACTGCAGCTTTGATGAACCTCCGACGACCGCATAAACTACAGAGCAAGAGTTGTACTGCAGAGCCGGATGCCTGTTCTGCGATGCGCAAAGTCGAGTTGCCTTCAATGAATCTCAATAGTACCGCGTGCTCCAGTTCACCGTCATCTGGGTCATCGTGTTTATCAGCTGCGTCCTCTTCCCGTCACGTTGCTCCGCCAGGAAGACCAGTGCGATGTGGCAGAACTTTCAGCATAATAAGCCAGACCTCAGCAAGTCTGACCAAGATGTCAGCATTCAGGATGTCAGCATTCAAGCTAACGCCTGTGCATTCATTCGTCCCATCAACGTCACCGCTACAGCATACTTGCCACAGCATTCAAGCTCGCCTAGTATTGCAACAACCACATCACAGTCATGTACAAGCAAACTCAGCCTTGTCAACAGCATCACCACTTCTACAACCACAACTCATTCATCATAAACAGACTAGCACATTACAACAACCCCATCACAGTCATGTACAAGCAAACTTGTCAGCATCACCACTTCTACAGTACCATAAACAGAATCATTATAAACAGACTAGCACATCATTACAAATACAAATTCGCCTGTTCTCCCGATGTCAAAGAATTGACAGGCTGAGAATTGAGAGGAAGTGGCGAGCTGAAAAAATGGTTCACAGGTGGAAGAGTCCTGATGTCCATTACGGCATGTTGAACAAGCTGAGGCTTACCAGGTTCGGGTTTATGGACGACATAAAAAACTCAGTGAAGGAATAAGAACAACAACTTCCAAAGACGAAGGAATAAGAACAAAAACAGTGTGACTCACCACCTCATGCTAGGCACATTCATTCACTCAGAACAACAACAGGAGTGTCAGTGTGTGTGACTGGATCTAAATGTCTTGTCTTTGATATACTATCCTAGTAGTAGTTGCTTCACCCTTACTTTCTCGTGTTCAAGAAGCGGTCCTTTAAATAGTGAGCATCACGGGTATTCTCCACGTCCACCAGAAAGTATCTATACATGGGATAAAAAGAGTATACTACAACGAGGACCTCCAAAAGTTGTTCTCTCTAAAATGTGGCAGTATCGTGCTCAGGGTGCGCATGCAAGCGATCGTCGACGCCTCGATCAGGGTGCCGTAAAACGGAGGCGGATGTTGCGGTATCTTGAGCGCAGCGAAATGAGGATAGTAAGACGCGCGTGCCCGACTTTGACACTGAGATTTCGAGACCCACCGATAGACCACAATCCAAACGCGAAGCAGTGCAGACAAATAATCAATCGGTTCTTTGGGTGAAGATCCTTCTAGTATGTTGTTGCTTCTAGTACAAGAAGTGTGGATGTTGACGTTGACAAGAATGAACATGACGTTGACAAGAATGAACATGGTAGTTAAAAGGGATCTGCATTTCCCGGCTGGGCTAGTATCGGAGTTGGCGAATAACAGAGGCACACACATGACCATGAGGACTTTGTACTTTCGCACGCAAGACCATTCGCGCAACATCAACACTAAAGTGGTACTAGACAGTCTCGCTGCAATGCGATTCAGCATGAAGAAGATACTCACAACTAGATACACAACTGACGCTGTATGAAATCTAAAGTCTGGCTAACACCATCTGACGACTCAGCCGTTGCATCATCTGCCATGGTGATTCTGAAGAAATGCAAGTCTAAAATCACTTTGATCATGTTGTATGCAGTCGCGAGGCTCTTCTGAACGATCATCTCAGCTTATCTTCGAGCGCATCGGTCCTAGCTGTAGCTTGTGCCAAAAAGGGCAACGTGATTAAATCTTCAGACCTCCTCGAGGACAAACGTTAGTCTTTTTTGTGACAACTACCCTACTAGTGAAACCGCTTCCTGCTGACGACCACGATGTTGCTCGATGAATCTAACGAAAGAAACGTCCGCAGGCAATTTTTTGTGTCTTTAGAAAATAATGAATAGAAAACTAGTACTGGACCCCAGCCAGAGCGCACATATGGAACGAGATTAAGTAAGTAGAGAAAAAATGAAAAATTATAACTGAAGTGGTCAAGAATACTTTGACTTTTGTTATACAAAGCAGTCGCCAACAAAATAAGAGCAGTTGTGCCTACCATACTAATTACAAGCCCTCCTCCACAAAATGTCGCGTCTCGTGAAGGTTGGTACGTGCAATCTGAACCAGTGGGCCCTGGATTTCGATGGGAATCTAGAAAGAATCAAAGAGTCTATCCGAATCGCCAAGGACCAAGGGTGCCGTCTTCGTCTCGGACCCGAGTTGGAGATTCCTGGGTGAGCCTCAAAAGTTCGACTTGATCTTCATAGAAGATGAAATTTTCTTCAAACTTGTTCTGAGTTCATCTAGGCTCAGAAAGATTCTGTTTGTTTGAAAAGATATCAAGTTCTTTCGTATTCCGAGGTCCAATTCACAACATTCAAATAGGTATGGTTGCGAAGACCACTTTCTGGAGCTCGACACGATCCGACACAGCTGGGAGTGCCTTGCGGATCTCCTCTGTAGTCCCGAAAACCTGACCGATGACATTTAAGGCGTGATGGTTTTTCGATATATATATGCAACGTTGGTTTGTGTCATGTTGTAACGTCTGCCTACTATGTCTTCACCCGATAGGAAGCCGATGTTGACGGCTTGTTTGTGATATTCCTGTCCTAAGAGGGCAAATGGCAAACATGGCTCGACCATGAATAGTTCTCAGTCAGCATAATCTTAAACTTGTTCACGACTATGTGATCATTACATCGTCTAAACTTACCTCTGTGATTTCGGTCTGCCAGCTCTTCACCGCGATGTGGTGTACAACTGTCGCGTCTACTGCCTCAATGGGCAGGTCTTGGCAGTGCGGCCAAAAATGTACCTCGCAAACGATGGAAACTACCGAGAAACCCGGTTCTTCACAGAGTGGCATTATGGCCTCAAGAGGAGCACTATTTTTCAATATATAGGGCTGTTGGACGACATGCGACGCCTAGAGTAGACGGATCCTACTTAGCATGGCCATTACTAACGATTCTGTACTTATATATCTTTTACCTACTATCCTTCAGGGGGAAAAGAATAGAGGGATGAACTGGAAGATGCACAACTAATTAAATCTTCTGTAATACCCCACGAATGGGTACACTACTACTACTACTACTTCCTTTTTCTTTTCCTAGTTAGGTGTGCTCCACCGATAATATTGATATTCCTGTTCACGACAGTCAGGGCTGTGTATGTTCTACAAAAGAACTTTCATCACTATCTTCGCTTATTTGTAGCAACGATAGAAGAAACTTGTACAAAATTTCTTGTTTGGTTCTTCCCCTTGTTCGTTCGATACAACAAGGAGGGATTGTACACATCGGTGTCGTACTCGTAGCTCTCGTCCACTAAGGAGGTACTACAACGCTGATGTTGGGCCTCACAGATAGACACCTACTTACTTCACGCTGATGGGCCACCTCACAGATAGACACCTCCTTCTATTCTCACACTATTTCTATTCTCACACTATTTCAACAATCGCAAGACTTGTTGTTGTCCTTCATTCTGGCACTGACGGCGTAGAGACGTTCTATCTGCCGGACTATTTTTTGGACCGCATGAACCAGCTGACAGACAAGGTTCACACGGAGCGGGTCCACAATGTGCGAGTGACTTCTTTTCAGTCTACTACTTTGAACAGCATCCTGTCGAAGGGCAGCACCGGTCCAGGCGGTTACGAAAGGAGACCCTCACCGGGGACGCAGGGACGTGCGACTTCAGGAGCCACCACTGTTGCTGGTGATGTCACTGCGACCACAGGATCTTCGCAACAGAGTCTTCTGTTTACGGTGATTGAGAAGATGAACAAAAGATCCATTACAACCAGGGATGAACAACAACCAATTACTTATTATAATCCATCTCCAGAAGCAAAAGCATTTAATTCTTGGCCTTTTACTTTTTCATAAGCAGGGGAAATAAACGGCTTCAAGATAGATTAAAATTTCAGAATAGATTAAAATTTCAGTGAGCTCTAATCTGTCGCACCATGGTGTCAACCTACCTGGTGCCGAAGCCTTGTACCAAAGGAGTACTGGTCGTTCGGCATCCGCCTTATACACCGCAGCTGGCATGAAGGAGGTTCCACCACCACTCCTGCATCCATCCACAGTACCTTAAGGATCAACACGAACACAACTCATTTCATCTACAATATGTCCATTAGAAGAACACTCTGGTATCATAGAAATACTATCAGACCACGTCTCTACGGTCTAGTTGCAACCCTTGAAGTTAGAAACGTTCTATCTGCCAGACTAGAAGAACGCCTAGGATCCCACATGTGTATACTGGTAGGGGAACACGGTGACCACGTTAACGCGTAGCATCATAGAAATACTGTCAGACCACGTCTCTACGGTAACGCAAGAGATGAATTGCTTTGGGCTCTAAGTACCCATTGGCATCATCGTGTTGCGCCTCAGGGACTGCGTTATCGGCAGCGAGACTTGCGAGGAGCTTTTCACACCGAACTCGCCGCATATAACTTTATGCTTCTAGGAGTAGTTCCAACTTCTCACAGTCACAACTTGTAGTTCTTACGTACTTGTCAACGTCTTCTTTTTCGTTCTTTCTTCAATACGTTCTTACAGTACTTCTATCTCTTCCGGAGAGCCTCTTCCTTACTTCTATCTCTTTTCTCACAATACTTCGATCTCTTCCGGAGAGCCTCTTTCTTACTTCTATCTCTTCCTCGTGCCTCCCTGTCTAATACTCATGTCCTTAGACGGCGTGCATATTATCACGAATGGAAGCGGGTCGCACCATGAACTGAGGAAACTGAGGCAGCGCGTGGACCTGATCCAGTCCGCTACCGCGAAGAGTGGAGGAATTTACCTCTATGCGAACCAGCTAGGATGCGATGGGGGACGCTGCTTCTACGACGGCTGCTCGATGATATGGGAAAACGGGAAATTAGTTGCACAGGGCAGTCAATTTGTTAAGGCTTTTATTTACATTTTCCCCGTTTCAGTGAGGTGTGCTGCAAATCTTGATTGGCTTCTTCCTTTCTATAAGGTTGAGGCTTAGGCCCAGCGGCGCTCAAAGCACTAAATAAAACAGCCGGTTCGTTTTTACCTCTAGCGTGTAGCCCTTCCGACAATTTATAACTTCTGCTCTCCAAAGACTGAGTATTCGTACTATTGCTTGTCTCAGTTAATAAATACGTCCTTCTTGGATTCATTCGGGGACTATGAACTACGTACAGAACAGGATGAATTAGATTGGTGTGAGCTCTAAACTCGGTCTTGAGGAGGTGGAGGTAGTGACTGGCGTTGTCGATTTGTCAGCGGTGAGCTCCTTTCGCGCGTCTTTCAAGAGTCGGAGTAATCAAGCTTCGATGACCACGACGAAGTACCCTAGATTAAGGGTTACCACATTGCCTTCTTCACTACCATCCTTGACTTTTTTTCCGTGCCGCTTCGCTGTTACATTCTTTGCGTGAGATCCATCGTGAAGACCATCTACTTGACGCCCTTAAGGCAGTCTGCACTGAACTTTGTGCGAGATTAATTGTACTTATTGTATTATATCGCATTGTATTAAGGGGGGCGTTGATGAGCAGGATTCACAACCTAACCTACTTAACCAGGAGAATGCCTTAACCAGGAGACTGCCACCAAATGTCGCAACCTCTAACTAGAGTTGAGGTCGATTTCGAGCTGGGAGGGGGCTCATCGTCGACTTGGGGATTCGGAGGCCTGGTGAAAAGCGAATTCCGTAACGTTAGAATCCCCGACCCCATGGAGGAAATCGCCTACGGTCCGTCGGCCTGGCTCTGGGACTAGTATGGCTAGTGGTTGTGCCATGGTGATAATGATGATGATGTTGCTTTTGATACTACTACGCACATCGAGAGTTATATCTTCTAGTGGTGCTAGTATGGTGATGATAGACCATGTTGCTTTTGATACTAAGTACTACGCACGTCGAGAGTTATATCTTCTAGTACTGCTCTAAAAGTTGTACTCGAAAACTGAAAATAACCGAGTTACTGACTGAAATAAGGGAGGTAGCTTTGACAGGGCTACTCTTCCTTGTTCAGTATCTCGCTTATTTCAGTTTTTCGAATAGGAGAATAATAAGTCTAAGAAATCGATATCGAGTCTATTAGACATACATTTGGGACTATATTAAGCCGTGTAGTATCGTGACTTCTTCAACAGGAAGCCTGGTTCTTCACAACTCCTTGCACATGACAGATTGGTAGAATTCAGTTGGATTCACATTGCCTAACGACTGAAGAACATGAAGGACAGCAGCACATAGACATAGACATAGTTCTAAGTCTAACAGCCATAGACATAGTTCTAACAGCCATAGACATAGTTCTAACAGACAGTAAGGAACAGCCATAGACATAGTTCTAACAGCCACATAGACATAGTTCTAACAGCCACATAGACATAGTTCTAACAGACATTAAGGAACAGCCATAGACATAGTTCTAACACAGCCACAGACATAGTTCTAAGTACCTCTAAAGGACAGCCATAGACATAGTTCTAACAGACATTAAGGAACAGCCATAGACATAGTTCTAACAGCCATAGACATAGTTCTAACAGACATTAAGGAACAGCCACAGACATAGTTCTAACAGCCATAGACATAGTTCTAACAGCCATAGACATAGTTCTAACACAGCCACAGACATAGTTCTAACACAGCCACAGACATAGTTCTAACAGCCATAGACATAGTTCTAACAGCCATAGACATAGTTCTAACAGCCATAGACATAGTTCTAACAGCCATAGACATAGTTCTAACAGCCATAGACATAGTTCTAACAGCCATAGACATAGTTCTAAGTACCTCTAAAGGACAGCCATAGACATAGTTCTAACACCGCTTACGTCGAAGCGGACAGCGTGGATACTTTTTGCCGTTGTCTGGTGGCATGGATTCGTCGTCAACCGCAATGTTAGTCGGGATTATGTGCCACCGTGTCTACGAGTTAATCGCGAATGGGACAGATCCAGGTGCCGGAGGTAGTAGTAGCTTCACACGTACTTATGCCTTCTTGCATGCAACTTGACTTAATATCTATGAGCATGAGCATGCCTTGACTCAGTCAGTGTTAAAATGATCTATGTTACTTATGCCTTGACTCAGTCAGTGTTAAAATGACGTCCTTTGAATAGCTTCCAACGTACTTGCAACTTGACTTATCTATGAGCATGAGCATGTCTATGACGGTTTGAAAACATATTTGTACGTAGATTCTAGGTGAGTCGTCCCTCCAAACAACATATCTATGACGCTGAAAAGAAGAGAAGGCATAGAAGAGGTGCGACGTAGATAGGTCGACTTGTTGTTGACACCCCTAAGTTACTACGCACCGAGCTCCCAGTAAGCACAGTCCTAGGAGAGACAGTAAAGCACTTCCAGCAGGATCTTCTGGGTCGCCTGGAAAAACGTCCAGTCCTCCTGCGAGAGTGCCTGAGGTTCCGCTTGCCTTGCGGGATCTCAGAGTTAAGGCTAGTTTTTCACTATCCCGCGTGCAATTATATGCTGACTGGGTTCATCCCTAGGATTTAACAAGGGGAAGGTAAGGGGAAAAGGGGTAACCCACTCCACACCGGCTAGGGAAAAACTAGCGCTAATAGAGGGATTCTCAAGGATCCGATGTACGTGCCGACGTCGGGCCAAGACATCTGTAAGAGGCTCTTCTTCACCTGCTACATGGCGAGCGAGTTTTCGGGTGCGGAAACACGACGAAGAGCGAAGATGGTCAGCGAACTGATCGGCGCTGCTCATACGAGCATCTTCATAGACAAGGTCACAGACGCAGTGAAGAATGTTTTTTCGGAGATGAGTGTCGTATCGATGGGCGGCGAAAAAGAAACAAAGCCAGAACTAGATTCTGGTATTCTTTGCAGTTTTGGACATTTTCGTATCTTTTGTGCATGTCATAGACTTTGCATGAAGTCAACTTACTACTGTTGTGCAGCTCAAGAATGTCTCTGATGACCACCACTCAATCTACTAAAAACTCAGATATGCGTGCCACGACACAGTCGAACGGCGTTGCGCATATCTCCTCAGGAGCAAGCACTGGCAGTTCTGCCCCAACGACAATGTTGATGAAGACTCCAGACATTATGGCTTCGTCCCCTAATCCATCTACGGGAGCCTCTGCTTACTAGGCACATACCTCTTGTTAGGCACATTCATTCATTCATTCATTCATTCGTCCCATAATTATAGAGGGACAACAGCTCCACCAAGATCGATGAAAAATCCCAGATCAATGGATTTAGGTGAGCTCTAAAGACATAAACGGCAGTGGTGTAGAAAACATAGCATTGCAGAACATCCAGGCACGATCCAGGATGGTCATGTCCTATTTCCTTGCGCAGCTACTACCATGGCAATTCTCAGATGGACGCGATCAGTGGCCAGGACAACTGCTCTTATGAATGACAATAATCTTTTTCAAATTTTCCTGAGTTCTTGGGAAGTATTCATCTTACAACTAGTTTAGTTTCTTTTTCCACTTACTTTGTGTAAAGAAATAGATAGAAAAGACCGAAACCGTTGTTGATCCGTCTTTTCTCTGGTTACCTGTTCTTAGGAGCCTAATTATTACGTGTCATAACCCTAAGCCTAATCAATGAAAATGATTATGACACATGTTGCCTATTTGCTTAAGATCCTTGACCCATTTGTTTCATCTTTCGTACTGGGCTCTGCCAACGTAGACGAAGCCTTGCGTGGGTATTATACGAAGTACGACTGCTCAGCTGCCGACATCAACCCCATAGGAGGCATCAGAAAGGTGGATCTGAAGCAGTTTTTGCTCTGGGGAGACCAAAACTACGGCAAACCGATGCAGAACAGCGTTTTGTACGATACGGCGACGGCAGAACCGAGTGCGGAACTCACAGATATGGCTACTAGGGTTGTAACTGACCCAATTCGTGATCACAAATCAGTGAGAACAACCTGTAGAGGTCTACTTTTTATATATATGATTCTGACATGATTCTTCGACCTCATCTTACCCCATAGCAGTTACATATGTCAAGGACCAAATGCTGCTCACATTGTGAAACTACAACAAAATTTCAAAACCCTACTCTAACGGCAGCAGTGAAGGTAACCAAAAAGATGAGGATGATATGGGAATGTCCTATGCTGAACTGGCAGAACTGGGCCAAGCGCGAAAGTGCGATCGCGGCGGACCTTACTCTGTCTTCACCAATCTCCTGCAGCGATGGACGGAACAAAAACGGACGCTGACAGGCAGCAAGCGCTGTCCAGCCAAGGATCTGCCAGCTAAAGGCGGAAAAAACTCGACACCGGGACCTAATGGTACACTGAAAATTTCAAGTTCGACCATGTTGATGACTTTTTACTCCACTTATTTGATAGTGGTGATGATACCAAAACATCTAACATGAATCATCTACGACAGCCGCCTACGCAGATCAAGTTGGACAGAAAGTGAAGGATTTTTTCTTCTACAACGCGATCAATCGGCACAAGATGACCACACTAACACCGGCTTATCATGCAGAGAATTATTCCCCAGAGGATAATCGATTTGACCTGCGTCCGTTCCTCTACCCCGCGACCTTTTCGAGGCAGTTTCGAGCCATCGATGATGCTGTAGCCGCCTTGCGGCACAAGGAGCAAAGAAAGACAGCAGAAGCGAGGGAAGCGTCAAGAGGAACCTTTGTGCCTGGCGGTCGCTCGACTAAGCAATGATGTTGTCTCTGAACGCGACCACTTTCATCCAGTTGTAGGGTCGTTCTTGCGGAGTAGTGGAAGCTCAAAAAGGCTCTCGTGGTGCCCTTTGGGCAGCTTCTTGCTACTCTCGATTTGCGCTTTTATGGGTTACATCTAGACTTTAGTTCTTAGTTATCTAACGCCGCAATAAAAAAATGAGGGCATAACTCATTCTTACTCAACGGTCCATGACAATGATACCCATTCTTACGACAACGGGCTTCTCGTAAAAAGGATTGAAGATGAGTTCTTTCTAGATGCTTCTACGTACTTCGCTTCGGTCTCACAGACCTCCCATTCAGATCAAAGAATCTAGATTTATAACACGGTAAGTATAATCTTCATCTTCATTATACGAGACCGAACTTGGGCTGAGAATAACAGCACGAGTCGCATGAAGGCCAATCCAGGAGTAAATAAGAAGATGATCAATAAGTGTTCGTTTTTTTGAACGAGATCCTTCTGAATTTCCAATTATAATCATCAGCTTCAAGCCTTGTCAACATGTCGCACTACTACCGTGAATCGGTCGTTGAGCTCGTGCTCGAGAAGGCATATATGGAGGTGCCACGATTTATCATGATGCTTCACCGTATTTCCTCTCTGATGCATTGATTGATTCACATGAAGAATCGTCGAGTTCGAAGATTCGAACTCGGCATTGTAGTGCAGAAGCAGATGAAATTGATAAAAATTTTCTCTACAGATCCCAGCAGGAAGATAATCGAAGTCTCGAAAATCCATATTTCCCCACGTTCCACTAAGATCTCCCGTTCGTGCTTGACGAACTGCTCAACTAAATGGTGCTTTCATCTTCACGTCAACACTTCACGTCAACATTCGGATCAGATCGCAACTTGTGGCAAGAATTGCTTTCGTCTAATGGTTGAATCCTCAAGAAAACGCACATTCATTATCTTCATGCCAACATGAATATCTTCTTCGCAGGAATGGGTTTTTGGTGATTGAAAAGAAGCCATTTCATTTGCATTTGACTATCGACGAAACAACTACATCAATTGACTAGTTCAGTTTCGCAAAGGCCATAATATATCGAAATTGAATAAATATCTAAGCAACTTGTATTCTTCATTTGATTTTTAAGACCACTATTTTTATTTCTGAATCTTCTTAGACCACTAGACAAAATGCCGAAGGTGAAAGGAAAGGGAGGCAAGAAGAACAAGCGCGCTAAGGGCAACACCGAGTTCGCCAAGCGTGAGCTTGTTTTCAAGGAAGATGGCCAGGAGTACGGCCAGGTGTTGAAGATGCTTGGTAATGGACGTTGCGACGTCCAGTGCTTTGATGGAACAAAACGACTTGCACATATTTGCGGAAAGATGAGGAAGAGGGTAAATATAAGTAGATGCAACTGGTAGTAGAACAATGAGTGTCTTAGTAGAACAATGAATATCAATATGTCTCTTACAACTAGTAGAAGTGTCTCATGCAACTTACGACAACAAAGAACAAGAATGCAACTAGAACAACAACAAGAATGCAACTAGAACAACAACAAGAACAAAAATGAATGTCTATTAACAGTATGTCTCACAACAACAGTGTCTCTGAGAGAGTCTGCAGCATGTAGTCTTCTATGTCAACATCTCTGAAGTATGCTCTGTAACAAATCTTTCCTCTCCTTGTTACAACTCTAGGTCTGGGTCATGGTCGGAGACATCGTTCTTGTATCTTTGCGTGATTTCCAGGATGAAAAGGGAGACATTATCCTCAAATACAACGCTGATGAAGCTAAGAATTTGAAGACATACGGCGAACTTCCGGAGAACACCAAGATTAACGAAACAGATCTGGCCAATGAAGACGACGATGGCGATGATATCGAGTTCAACGACAACGAAGAGATAGTCGACCTGGCGGATATCTAGACTCTAAAAGGTACTACTCCTACTACTACTGCTCCTACTACTACTGCTCCTACTACTACTCCTACTACATACTACTACTACTACTCCTCCTACTACTCCTACTACTACTCCTACTACTACTACTCCAACTACATACTACTACTACTCCTACTACATACTACTCCTACTACATACTACTACTACTCCTACTACATACTACTCCAACTACTTGCTATGAGTTGTACTTTGTTGAATTTCTTCTATGCAGTACTAAATATGATAGAAATTTGTTACGGTTCAGTTCAATTTCGTTACCATCAGGATAGTTATTACGCGAATGTTGGCGGGACTTCCTAGCAAGAGCAGAACAAATGTAACTTGATAGGAAATAGAAATAGCACTTGTAGCATGGATCATTATCTCCAGCATTATAACATCAATCTAGGCTAGTTATAAGCTGCTCAGCTCATAGCATTTTCACGTGTCCAAACGGAAACTAAACACAGGTTGACGCAGCAAATATGAGTCTCCCCCGGCTCGTTTGTGGTTTTAGCGGACGCGTGCTGACGACACCCGATTCCCTGGACGCAAAGACGTGCAATTTGTTTCACAGCGACAATTTACTATAGCTTCTCTCAAAACTTCTCAACTTAAGTATTCTGACTAGTTATAACTCTCTTGCTTCTGGACACTGATGTATTAGATAATTGCAAAAAAAACGTAAGCGGGTATGAAAATAAGAAATTCTTGAATTATGGAAAAATTGGTGGTGGACGACGACGACTAAGAAGTGCAGCTGTGTCGTGGCATGTAGTAGCGCAAACAACTTGTGGAAGACAAGGCGTCTTCTGCTACATCTCCCCCCTAGGAATACTAGGATCTTATCTTAAGGATATTACGCTACAGTCGCGCCAGTTGCATCAACATGACCGCATTGCAAACTTTGGACTGCACCAAGACATTGTTGTTATTATAAGCGTCCTCCAACGTACGTTGGAGGGCATCAGTTGGACTAAAACATGATATGAAAAAAGTCGTGTGGTGCAACGCAGAGAATGCCTTTGCCGTGCCCTCCCAGACTGGGGAGCTCGGACCATTCACAGCACACGTGAGCTACTTTTTGAATGGACAGATAGAGCCACACCTTTGCCAGGCGTATATGGTTCACGCGAGTTATTGACTCTACCCAAGTAGCAGAAGACGAGAGATATCGTCCGACTATCATCAATCGTAGCGCGAGTGACTCGATGCACAATTCGGCTTCTGTTGAGAGATTCTAAGGGTCTGCTCCTAAGAGCGTCCAGAAGGTGGGACACGCCTTCGCTGAGAGGTGCGCCTCTCTTGAGGCTTCAACGCTGGCGATGGCAGAAATACTGCATAACGTGAATCCTGCGAGTTTGAAAATCAACATGTAAGTCTATCTAAGTTGTTGAGCTGCAGGCGCTCTGTGTCATATCAGACGGCTCGAAAGAAGGCTAATTTGCTTCCCTTCTGGAGGATACGAACATATTGCAACAAAATAGGAGGATTTGTGGAAGACATGCTGGGGAAGTGAAGTGCAGACATGTTGGAGAAAGGAGCATAGTTGACTACAACCCTCCTACATGTCTACCAGGATATTTGTGGAGTTTTCGGAGAACGAGTAGCTATGCGAGATAGCGAATTTTGAAAGATCATGGCTCTATATCTTTTTCTAAATCTTCTAAAAACATTCTCAGGCGAAGAGCCGTTCTGTCAAGCACTGCTTGCGCATCAGTCACGTATGAAGATGAATACAAAAACGGCCCGTGCCCCCTAGGACATGAAAAGCCTACACCTAGCTGGGCCGTGGTCGTATCCGGACTGTGGCTCCCTTTTTGAACAGGAGGGATGATGACAGTGCTCAGAGTCGGGAATTGTGAACGGCGAAAGTGGGGACTCTCACACTCACGCTCAGTTGGCGCCCGTCAAGGTGATCAGCAACTACCAGGATGATCTCTATAATGCTGCTCCTTTTACTAGACGATGGCCTAGCTCTTCGTGTTGTGTAACTGATGAATCGCGAGCTGGAAGTTAAAACTGAAGGCTCAAACAAAATCTACTAGACGATGAACAACCAGCATGCATTGTTGGCATGGGGCCACTATTTCCAGTTGTAGTTGCGTTTATCATTGATAGGTGGAGTGAGTCCTTGTTGTATGGGATACGAGAGATTCTGAAGAGTTCCCACACGAAGAAAATGATGATGTTGCCGCGCAGAAGTTGCTGGGCGTACACGTGCGTTCTGTTGGTGCTCTTCCCCCCTTGTCGCGGTATTAGTCGCCAGCAGGAGAAGAAGGTTGTGGTGGACTGGGACGGGGAGCCGAGCGAGGTCCAACCGACGGCCCTTATCGAAGAGAAGACAGCGAAGCAGACCGCCATCTCAGGTATAGCAGACAGCTAAAATCTGATTTAAGTACCTTAGACTATGAAGATTCGCGGATGACGTTACGAATCAATTAAGTAGCAGTAGCAAGAAAGCGTTGCTGAGCTTGTTGAGTCGATGTCTACGGTCCGTAATGTAGTTGCATAAGTCGCGACTACCGTGAGACCCACTCATTGTAGTTGTGTCCTTTATTCGCACGCATATCAATCGAATCAGATGCTTTGCGGGAAGCGGTGGCAGAATTGAAGCGGGAAGTGGCTGCTAGCCAGGATGGGCTCCGCGTCCTGGAGCAACTGGAGTCACTGCTGGATGATGAGCTCAACGCGGAACTGAAGAAAGTAGTGGTGGAGAAAATAGACAATGCGAAAAGTTTGAACAACATTCTGGAGGCTGCATTGTCGAATATTATCCAACTCAATCTGATACTTTTGTCCGGTGATTCCATCGCGCAGGTAGTAATCTCGAGGCAGTCGACAATAGCGGATGTGAAGAAGCTAGTAGTTTCGAAGTTCAAGCTCGAAGGTAAATCCACAAAAGAATTTCAACTAGTTCACGGCACCAGCTTACTATCAGAAGAGACGAAACTATCCGTGCTCGAGGCGGAAAGCAGCGAGACTTTGGAGCTGAGTGTAGTGCTGGATTCCTCAGGAGGTACTGAAAAGAAGTGCTTTGCTTTGGTTGACGAGATGCTGGAACAAGCCAAAACTTCCGTTTAACAGGAATTATTGTATTAGCTATTCGTATTCGGTACGCAGACGCTGTCGTAAAAGTTGCAGCCCTTCTTGAACAACGTCGTCACTTCATGAATACAAGGGCTATACATAGTAGCCTTTCTCATTCTATCCAGAAATCTTCTCGCTCCTCACTCTTTTTAGTCACTGCTCCTCCTGATGAAGTTTATGGTGGGTAAGCAAAGAAGCTGCTTGATCTCTATTGATCGGGTACGTGATGGAACAAGGAAATCTCTACCCCTCCGTCATATGACTGAAAAGCTCAGGTGTAACACCGTACCCCGCTCCTGAAGACATGCAGCAACTTATGGAGGACCGCGCGCAGGACATTGCTGGGCACCTGCCTGCGGGAGCTCCTGACGAGGACAAGGCGCTCGCTCCCTCGATTGTTCGGATGGTTTGGTCACAATTTGACGTACAGAAGGATGCTGCGGCAAAGTCCTTCAGCCTTCGTGGCGATCTTCCTGGGCAACTTGTTGGAGGCTATGTCGCGATCGTCCCAGACTGCGACGCCGATTTTTCTCCTGTTGGTGCGGAGAGGGACAGCAAATGGGCCACAGCAATGGAGAATCTTGTAGCCCTGAAGACAGAGGAGCAGCAGGGCCCAGAAAACATGAAGTGGGTAGCGGTTCGATACGTACCAGATCAGCATCCAACAATTCCAGCAAGCGAGGGCACTTTGTTGATGTTGGTTCTCGTCACCAAAGTGAGACCATCGGATGCCGAGGTTGTCAAGGTTTTGGGGGTCATTGTCTAATTGATTGAGACCACGTATCTTTAGATCCGAGGTCTGAGGGACATATGTCTAATTAATTGAGACCAAGTATTTTTAGATCCGAGGTCTAAGGGACATATGTCTAATTAATTGAGACCAAGTATTTTTAGATCCGACTCCGAGGTCTGAGGGACATACACATGGCCACTTGTTCATCACTGTACAGATTCGAAACGACATTCACGCTCCTCATAATGAATCGTGCATAGATTTTGTTTTTTTTTCTGCATGAAGAATTCAGAACACATGACCTAGTACAGATGTAGTTTTTTCTTTTTTCCTTGATTGATGACACTCACCTTTCAGATTTAGAGTATGACCTCGATTGCAGATTAGTTGGAGATGGGTTTTAGAAATTGACTGCGGGGTATCTCTATACCTCCACATGAGACTGGGAATGAGCAAGAGAAGAGTGGTATGCCTGTGTGTGATCCACTGCTGTCCCTTCTCCGAAGGGCGCCACGACGTCGAGTGGCCGCGGAGGTGGGTCCGAAATGCCACTCCTCGTGTTCACAGAGAAAGTCGTGATGTTCATCTCTGTGTGCAATCTGTGCATCAGGTGAGGTATTCAGGCATGCTGTGTGTGGTGGTGATATTCGGCGCCAAGTTTGAACGCGTTTACCACAGTGAATGAGCAAAACATTGCAAGAGTAGAGAGTTGTCTTGATGGAAGGAAAGCTGCACAGACTGATTTTGATAGTTGAGAAAATATTGATAGATAGTTTGATAGCTGGATTGCGGTATGAGACTGAGAGAACAAACAAGAAAACCATATCTACGAGGAGAATGTGGACCTAGGTAGATGTAGTAGAGCTGTGAGAAGTGTTGATGTCCTATGACTATAATGCTCTATTGAACGGAAATGATGGTGAACTGCAACATGCTAATACATACATGTACTATGACTATGCACAGATGATAGAAACTAGGCAATATAAAAAGTATTAAGGTTCCCCGATGTAAACGATGCGACCTCGACATGCTGCAGCGTCACTAAGCCACGGGCTCCGTCTTCATGTTGGCATGCACATAAAAATGAAGCGCGAAATGCTGATGCTCATCGCAAAAAAGCAGCAATCTGCGGCAAAGCGCAGCAGGAGGCTCGTCATGGGTGCTGCGACCTCATCGAACTCAGCGTCGTCATCGAACTCAGCGTCGTCAGCGAACTCAGCGTCGGCATCGAACTCGAAGATGTCCTCATCCTCGTCTGCTTCCAGAGTTGGATATGGCACAGCAGAAATAGCGAAGGGTATGGCGCGGAGAAGTCGCATTATGCAAGGCCAACAAGCTATGCGAGCCAAGTCGTTAGTTCAGCAAACTCCTTGTGCTCTCTCGACGCAGCCGTCTTCCTCACTCGCACCGGTTGCTAGCATCGCCGCGTCGGCTGCTCTCTGTGCTGGAGGACTTGCCGCGCTTCCGAAGCAACACGTGAATCCCTTGCCCAGCTCGGATGCAGTCGCTATTCCTGATATCCAACCTCCGTCGAGCGATATCTCGTGTACAAATACAACTGAACCTGAACTCCACTCGAATACGAAAGAAGTTGTTAAGAAGAAAAAGTCCACGAAGGCGACTGCGTCAGCTTCAAAGAGCGATGGCGCAGATGAAGCTTCAGTAAAGAAGAAAGCATCTTCATCTTCTAGCAGGACAAAGAAAGGAGCTCAGGCATCTGAAGAGCACTCTACCTCTACTTCCGTGAAAAAATCAGCGAGCAGTACCAAGAAGAAAGATAAGGAGGCTACTAGCTGCTCCACCAGCACAAAACCGAAGGTTCCAAGGAAGAAACCCAAAAAGCGCGAAGGCCACACTTGGTATTGGGACTACGGGACAAAGAATTGGGTATGGCAAGCAGGCAGTAGGAAATTCGATTTTTTCAAGAAGCGACCACCCAAGCCGACAGAACCACCTGCAGATGCCAGTATGGTCAAGAGCAAGAGCAAATCAGCCACATCTTCAATGTCATCCTCTGCTGATCATGACAAGAGCAAAAAAAAACCTAGTACTTCTACAACAAGCTCGTCTTCTAGTTCTAGCAGTAGTCCTTCTGACCAGACCGGATTCGCCAGAAGGAATAAGTCTTCTTCGTGGTCTTCTCAATATAACTACCGAGGCGGATCAGGAGGTTTCTCCAAGTGGACTCCTAAGAAACCGTATAACTGGCCAGTATTAGGCTTTTCCCCTGGTCATGACTCCATCCATTGGTTCCCAAAGAAGGATAATTTGCTTAGCCACACCCCCTCCTGGGCCAGCGAAGGCAAGTTTCTAGTAGCTAGCGGATACCTCATCTACGACAAAAAGAAAGAAAAAACATTGCTTGCAGAAGCTGCAGTTGCTGCAAAGAATAGCCCTGCTGGTGCGAATACAGTATCCTCATCCATCTCTAATACACAACAGCCCACATCATCTTCGTTCAAGCCTTCAGCCCAATCGAGTAGTTGTTCTGTCGAAAAATCTCCAGACGTCACTAGCAGTACCTCAAGTGCTAACTCAGACGATATTAAGAATGCTGTTGAACAAGCAACTACACCATCATCTTCAACCAGCACATCATCTTCATCTAATGCTGTTGAACAAGCAACTGCACCATCATCTTCAACCAGCACATCATCTGTGCGTCCAATGCGAAAAACGTTGAAGTACGGATGTGTCGAGAGTCACAACCAGTTGCGGCGTGTAGCGGAGAAGGACAGGCTGCACAACCTTCATGAAGTGATGTCCGAGGAGCAGCCACGGTGCCTCTACTTCGATATCGACTGCAAGGACGTTTCCAGAAGAGCAGAGCATGACGCTCTCATGCTGCAACTCGCGACGGTCGTCTACCGCACACTCGGGATTGAAGACGTAATTTTAGAGAGATTAAGGGTAGGTTAAAGGTGCTTTTCTTACCGCTTTTTATGCCTCTCTCCCTTAGGATGAGAAAGGCATAAAAAGCGGGGTAAGCGAGCACCAAAAACCTACCTCTAAAGAGAGCCATGGCGAAGAAGAAGCACGCTGAAAGCAGAGTATTAAATGGAGGTGGAGGACATGGAAGTGCTGGTGACAGGACAAGAACTAATTGTAGTAGTAGTGGTTTTGACGGCGTCGGAGACCGAGAATCCGGATTACTAGCTTCTAGTGGTGTGGTCGAGGTCGGAGGTGGAGGAATACTGACCAGGACGAATGGGCACGCTGATCCAGGCGGAGGTGCTATTAGCAGTAGTAGTGATAGAAGACCTGCTTTTAGTGCTGTTCCTGTGCGGAATGAAAATGACACCGTACTACAACATGTCGACAATGTTGTTGCACCTGTCGTCATGGAGACCTCATCTTCATCAAAGATCGATGATAGTCACAACTTGCAAAGCCAAAGCTCAGCGTCGTCCTCCCCTAGCAATGGTCCAGATAAGTGTTCTCTGGCGCACGAAAGCAAAGCTGTTTCTAGCTCGACGACGACAGCCGAACGTAGCTGCGACGAAACGTTACGTGCTGCTGAAGTTAGCGGTTACAAAGCGCCACACGCCTCGCTACCCAACAGTGACGACAGTGCTGCAGACGACGTAAAAAGCAGTAGCCTAGAACATCAAAGCACGAATTTCGAAGCTACATCAATGTCTCCTGACGACCGAGGGGGAAATGGACCCCAGGGGAAAACCGCTATCGAAGAAGTAGACAGAGAAGTGCATAGTACAACTCTGAGCCAGGAGGAAGCAGATCGAATACGACGGAAAGGCTGCGTTGTACTCACCTCACAGGACCCGAAGAAGTACTCGGTCCATGTTGTTTATGATAACATGCTCTAGACGTAGACATTAATCATTCGTGTAGTTGGCAAGAACTTCTTAGACGTTCATTCTGAATTGATAGAGTTGTGCTTGATTAGTACTATACTAAATATAAGTTCGCACCAAAGTCGTGACTTCCTCCTTCATGGTTCGTTTCCGCAGATCCAGTTCGATTCTCGAGATGCGCAGAAAGACTACATGATCCTCCTCCAGTACGCAATGCCTCCCTCCTTGAGCGACATCGTGGATCTTCAGGTTTACTCCTGTTTTCAGTTGTACCGAACTGCCTTTGCCGCGAAGATTTGCACCGAAACGGGGAAGCTAAGGCCAGACACGCAGCTTATTCCACAAAACTACTTCGAGGATGACGAGGCGACAGCATATCCGACCTACGTCAACCGCTTGTACAGGGTACTTCATCATGTTGCTCATTTATCAAGATATTGCTCAAAAAGAAAGCAACTATTGCGGTACCCTTCGATTAGAAACTTGATATCGGAAAGATCTTTCTACATTCTCATAATTGCAGTAGAATTTCCACAGAAAGTGACGACTTTGCTACTCTCGGCCTTTATCTTTCAGCTGGGTCCTTAGAAGAGATCCATTCCTTTCCCTCAAGCAGTAATATCATCCCTGATCAGAGACTACACGGGGAGTACTACTCATATCTACACTTTTTCAGAATTTTTATTTTTCGCTTGCTTCAGATTCCATTACGCCCAGCAGAGGAGCTCCGCACCTTGCCCTGCAACGAAGAAATGCGGGAAAGAATACGGGAAAGGGAGCTGCAGCTTCAGAAGTCATTTTATGGCTGTCAGTTTTGCATACGCATCTATATACATAGATTGTAAGGACAATCAGGAGACGAGAAAGGGCCGCAAATCTAGTGGCGCGCTTTCGGGCCCCCCCCTGCGCGGTATCGATACTCCGCCCCCCGTGCCTAGGGCGGGGCTGCAACGTAGGGGCGAAACATGGACAGCGGCCGGGCGCCAGGGCTCTTGCGCTTCGGCTGCGCTTATACACCGGAAAAGATCGACCGGTCAGGGCGCCAACACTTTGGAAACACTGCAGCCCCGACACAATGGGGAACCCCATAGACTTCGCCCCCCTCGAGTGCTCGAACCGTGAGAGAAGCAGCGGCCAAGTGGCAGCCTGTGGGGCTTCTCTCTGGTGTTTTCTCGGCGGGGTTAAGTTAATTATAGGCCCCACAGGTGTACCGAATAGCAACACCCACGCACGCGCGCGGGCATGTGAGGAACACTGGCGCGGGTGACTGCGTAGCGGTGCGAAGGTGTTTCCACACCAAGTGAAGGACGCCATCGGCGACGGGTATCGGTGCGCTGTAGAGTAGGGGGGGCGCTTGTCTTCGTGTCTTTCATGTCAGACAACGGCGGGCCGCGCACCTGTTGCAGCGGGCGCCGTCTCAAAAGCTGCGGGCATGGACCAGGTGAGCAGGCTGCCTGTGGCGGAACTGAGTGCTGGGAACTTGTCGGGGCCGCATGGTGCCACGATGTGACGCCTGAGCTTGGCGGCCTCATAGACCGCGCGCGCACTGACACAACAGGACGAGAGAACGCAGAGAGACCCACCAAGTGGCAAGGCCGCGCCATCTTTTCCGTCTGCGGGCTCCCACTCATTTGGGGGGGGCTTGAACCGTGTGAGGCTTTGCGACTCTGGCGGTGAAGTTGCACAGGATGGGCCGGGCGCAGCTGCTTCTGATGAGCGCGCGGACATGGCTACACTGACACGCCAGACGAAAGTCGCGGCGCATCTGATAGCGACGCGCAAAGAGGACGACTCCGAGCGCTTAAGCGGCAACAACAATAATTGTGGTGACATTGGTGGAGGCGATAGCAATAACAAAGACGATCAATTGAAGGCGGCTAGTGAAGGAGAAGGCCCCCCTATCAACATTTTCAACACCGCCGACAGCGACGAGACTGCGACTGCTGGCCCCGGGGCAGATTTCTACATCATCCAGGAGGGGTCTAAGATCACGAAAACAACAAAAGCGCCGAGCTTACAGATGAAGAAGATGGAGAGTGGGACGCAGTGACTTCAAAAGGCCCCGGCCGGCCATGAAGGCGATCTTCTGCGACATGCAGGGCAATCAAGCCGCAGCATGATCTTAAGCAAAGGCCGCGCCCGGCTGGAAAAGGAGAGGGAGCCGATAGCGTGTGAGCGATGTGGGGCCGCTTCTGATGTTTATTCGTGCCAGACTCGCCGGCGCCTCTCAGTGGCTCGGACTTGCGGGGGCGCGTTGTTATCTCCAAGAAATTCATTCCCGAGACGGAGCCTGTCTTCTTAGCAAAGACGAGCACAGGGACAACGCTAAACCTTCACCGGAAGGCCAGGGAGTTGCGGTTGTCAGGTCGTGCGTTAAGTCTCGCGGGGTCAACTCGACTAAGGAAAACGCCGCCGCTGGTGTTCGAGGTTGTCTGTGTGTAGCTTCACGCCTTCGAAACTGTGAGGAGGGCGCTCCAGAGCGAGGACCCAGCCAAGCTGCTGGAGAAAATCGCTCCGGTCGCAGGTTGTGGCGCTCGTTGTGTCTTTTCCAGAGCAGCCGTCAGGTGCTCAAAATATACGGACGAGCGGCAAAGGGTCGCCTCTGCTTCTTATAGCTGAGGAATGGGGTGCGCGGGGTTAGTCTGTCTTGCTTCTGGTGGAGAGTCAGTGGGAGCAAGGAGTGGGCTGCAGGTCTTCGCGTGTGGTTGCCATGTGTTCCGCGGCTGGGGCTCTTCGATCGTTGCTCGTTGGTGTGGTCGGTTGCTCCTTGGTGTGGGCTGATCTTGGTCGCAATCCTTAGAGAACCAGGCAGGGGCGAGCAATAGTTAGGGCTGCATGCATCTAATTGCTTGATGTGGATTGACTGGGGCACCACGTGCATGAGAGGGCTGAGCCACATGGAGGAACGGGACGACACTAAGAAAGAGTGACCATCCTCGCGCACTTTTTTTTCTAACATACTCGACGACGAAAAAAGCGGTCAGGTGACGAAGAAAGTTCTCGGATCGGCGAGCTGGCGAATGACATGGCGCTTTTCCACCAAGATTTCGTTGTAGAGGCGACCCAACATGAGCCGACAACCACTTCCAAGAAGAGGATCACTCCCTGCACGGCTGTCGAAGGGACTTTGGCTTCAATTACTACTACTGCGCCAGAATATGAAAACGAAAGTGTAATCGACGCTTCAGAGAAAATTACGTTCAACAAAGGCAGAACAAGCCATGCTGATGATACCTGCAATCACGACGGCGCAGCGAGAGCAGATCGACACGGAGACGTGGCAATCGAGAACTCAGGCGTTTCAAGAGGAGAAGTAGTTCTGCAATCAAACAGCGCCAGCGTCAAGAATGGTCCTGAAAGCGTGTCATGTGTCTCCCTCAATCCTCATCGCAGCAGCGAACAAGAAGCTACAACGTGTTCTCAAAATTCTTCGGATAACGACATCAAAACCAGAGTTCTTGACCTACGAGCACTTCGGACCCCTTCAGAGCGCCTTCGCGTTGCCCTCGCACACATATCCCCGAAACGAGCTGAGCAATTTTGGAGCTGGTTTCGCTTATCCGGTGTCGTCTCCACAATGGTCGACGAGCTAAGCACCTCAGCAGGAGGACATCTTCCTTTTCCGACGATGCAGGAAATGCTAGTAGAGCGGCAAGCTTCTAAGGCTGTGAAGAGCAGAATACGCGAAGTGTCACCAGCAGCGCAACTCCTTAGAATGGCCAAATCTCCTGCTTCAGTTCCTGCTTCAGGTTCAACAGATGAGGCACAAGCAGCAGCGACATTAGCATCCCCTGAGGACCCGGACGTCGCAGACGCACCTTCTACAACTACACCTTCTAGTACGACTACAACTACACCTTCTACTTCTGAATCGTGGCAGTTCTACAAGGAAGAGCAGAAGCGAATCTTGGAGGTTTGGCAGGAATGGTCCCGCAATAATTATCCAGAGCATGATGACGCAGAGAATTTGTATCAATTAAGGCAAGTTCTTCAGGGAAATTGTGATTACTGTTAATGTTCTTTAGGGAAATTGTGATTTACTGAATTGAGACAGAGTCATCACTGTTTTTAAGGTCCTTAGCTCCTGACTTCCTTCTTATGTAGAAGACTTAAGTAGAGAAATCATGCTCTCTAGTACACCTCATCTCATTTATTTATCTCACGTATAAGTGTTTAACCTTAACCTTCTCCTCCACTTTATCTCTCAGTTTTCTCAGGCACTTATCTCACGCTTACCACGTTATTACTAGAGTCGTCTGGAATATGAGAAAACAAAGTGAAAAAACGAGTCTCCAGATGACTCCTTCGTAAATAGGAACTTCGTAAATAGGAACATCGTAGTATTAGTACACCTCTAAAACATATTGAAGAGGGCATCGCGCGCCGACGGGAGGGAAGACGGATTAGTGGTTTTGGGCTCCTCGTCACTTGCATTCGACACGACAATCCATCCTTAGAAGTGATAACCGGCTGTCGATGGGTGCCGGACGATGCGAATTCACCACCTGAGACTCTTCAATCTGGAAACACTTCGAGTAGTACACAACAACTACATGTTATGATGAAAGGGAAAAATTTACTCAGCTGCATACTCAAAAGATTATAGATCGTAGGTTCCACGAAGGAAGCTGCCTCTCTTCGTGAGTATGAGTACTACACTTTATCCTTTCATAGAACAGCCGCAGGAAGAGCAAAAGGATCGAACAGATGGAAGTAGTTCTAGTTCCAGCACAGGAAGAGCAGGGGCAGCGTACGTAGCTGCAGACCATGGCAGTGCAGAAGACGGCGCAAGAATTATCAAGCATGTGAATAGAAGGCCATCCAATTGGGAGCCGGGTCATTGGGAGGTAGAAAATGCGAGTCATGATCTCCTCGCGTGTGATGTATCTACACCTTCTGAAGAGCAGCAGCAAGGCTATAATCACGGAAAGACTCACCAACATCATGCAGATAGCTTTAGTACGACCAACATGAGCAGCAAACAAGATCAAGAAGACACTCATTCGCATGTTGACCTAGAATCTAGCGTGAAGCAATCTCAACCCAGCTCCTCTTCTACGCCCAGTACCTCTCCAGAATCGATATCGATGTGCGTCAACACGGCCGCCGAGAAATGCACCTATTTTAATAAACTACCTCTAGCTCGTGCAGGTACATCAAGAGAAGGAGAAAAACCTATCATGTCTACTCCTCCTGATGAAGCTGATTCATTGGGGGCGTCGACATCAACAGCTACTTCTGGCACCAATAAGGCAGACGAGGAGGAGTTGCAAAGGCGTCGGATGGTCGCAGTTGCAAAAGCAGTATGAGGTGGATCTGGACTCATCACGGTGTATTAAATAGGTAGTCTAAGTAAGTTATTCAGTGTTGATGTATGTGTGAAAAGAAAGAGGCAGAGAAATGCTCTGCTACTGCTAGTACATGTAGATATTGTGGATAGAATAGATGAATACTAATACTTTTTGGACAGTCAACGCATCAATTCTCCGTTTTTATTCTCGTACATCACTTCTAACCGATAAAAAAATTCTAGCAAACTGTTTCTTTCGTCGTGATGACTCTTGGTTGTGGTCCTCATTATTGTTGCCGTTTCCGTTGTAATATTTCTGCTCCTCATTGTATCAGTTTTTTTTTGAAACGACAGTTAGTTTCAGTCTCGGATGCAGTGACTGTTGCTGGTATCATATCTTTGGACATCAAGTTGGTTTTGCTATAGCAATAAGCTGTTCGTCGTCGTGCGTAGATGTATCTCGTTGTTTCCGTTGGCATATCTAAGATAGATTTTTTGTTGCACAGAAAGACTGTTTCGTCATTTGTGTTGCTGGATGAGAGACTATGAATTGGTTACACAATCTGAAATCTGTTCGTTTCTGTGTAGTTTTCCACTTGAATAGTAGACCTTGGTGAAAGAAGTAGACTACTTGATATTAAAATACAACTCGGTCGTAAGAAGTATCATCCAGAACCGGGTACAGATGGTAAAACCTCCACAGAAGAAAGATCAGAAACACGTAAAGTACGTATACTGAATGTAGGTGTTGCACAGATCTCCACTTTGATGACGTCAAAATTTTCAGCGTTTCTGCAGCAAGGTCGTCAATAGTACCAGCTTCGTCTGAGAAAGCTCGAACTCAAATCAAGTTCCAGTAGAAACTGTCCCACGAAAAAAGAAAATTGTGCAGAATGAAGATGGATGAAAACATCGATCAGGATGAAAATGTATCACGTTTTATTTTCTTCTAGAGGGTCACGAGAAAGTCTTCACGAGAAAGAAAGTAGTCCCAAGAAGCTGAAAATCCAACAATATCTGGAAGAAGACCTTTACGCATGAGGCCGAATCGACGAATCGATGAATTGTCATCAAATCTCAACTCAAAAACCATCACGACCTCCTGTCTCAAACAGTCCGCATTTAGCCTGGAAAACAAGGATGTAGTGATGAGCCAAGTGACTTTTTACATTGTCAGGAGATACTACTGTTAGTTGCAGTGATTTTCATCCGTACTACAGATACATTCATAAGAGGTCGTCTAAATGATCATACAAAATCATGGGTGAAAAAACACAGCCGACTCAGGAGCCGGAAAATCCTTCGGCGGATAACGTTGCAGCGGTGAGCAAGACCTCCTTTGAAGATAATAACTCTGGTGCACCTGAACAAGTAGAACCCGTTAATAAAGCAAAAGCCACCATGGAAAAAGATGCTAAGATTGAAGATGACGACGAGGGACAGGGTGGCGCCGAAGACATTCTCTTGCAGGCGGCATTAGCAGCCAGTCTTTCCGGCGAAAGCGGCGATCTCCACGCCCTTCTCAGTAATGCTGCCATGACGGCTATGGGGGGTGGAGCTCCATCGTCTTCGTCAGGTGGAGCCCCAGGACAAGGAACATCTTCTTCATCGGCATTGTCCGGATTACTAGGAGGACAAGCAGGCGAAGCAGTCGACCCTGGCGAGCTAGATGCGCAGCAGCTAGCAATGCAGCTGGCCGTCCAACGGATTCAGCGCCAGCTTTTTGGCCACAGTCTGCGTCCTGGTGCCGAAGATAAAGTCGCTCCTGAAGAACGTTTTCGCTTCTTCCGCATGGCACAGTCGCTGTATCATAAGCACATGCAGTCGTTGGTGCATCACAAGGCAACTTCTCTCTGTTGGTGGAAAAAGCCCACGCCTACGCCTAGTACAACTAGTACAGGCAAGAACAACAAAGTTGTCTCAACTACATCAACGTCAAGTAGTAGCAGCTCATCTAGTACGAATGTAGTTGGTCATCAAGCACCAGTCGTAGCTGAGGGGCCCCTCGCAGGTGACGTCTCTCTTTTCGTAGGGACTGCTCCGGTGCTCGTCATATCGAACGGCGAAGCGCACGATGACGACGCTGCCTATCTGCATAAGGTGACCATTGCACCGGATTTCTTTGAGTCAGAGGACGCAGACCCACGAGATAAGATGCTGCGGACTGTTGCCGTGACCGGAGACGGGCCCACGGGGGCACGCGTTTTACACTCTTTTGGGCTCGAGGAACCTTTCACGACGCTTTCACTCGGCATGCGACCGGACTCAAATCTTATGTTCTGAAGCTCAGTGGACTAACAAACAATCGATGCGAGTTTCAGATTCAGTTGTTCTTGTTCTTGTACACATATGCGCTATCCGTTTTTATTCGTACAGATTTCGAAGTTGTACTTCGAGTTCCACGTTGTACATGAACATTAAGATTGATCTTGATGATTGACATTTGAACATCTCTAATTCCGCTCCCGATGCAAAGAAGATCCAGGATTTTCTTGGTGGGCAGAGTGCCGCGAACGGGAAGAAAGCAGCGACGCTAGCGCCGGTGCTTGAGGATGAGGAGCTTGGTGGAGGTCTTGGTGAGAAGGACGAAGAGGATATCGACATCGCTGACGCAGCTGCCTTTCTCGGCACCGGCAAGCAGGACGTCCGACATTTGTGGGAGGTTACGGATTCCTCCGCTCAGGAGGGTGAGGTCGTCCGTGCTTGCATGGTGAAAGTGCCCTTGCCACTAGCCGTTGCCACGGACTCTTGCCAATCTGTGGACTACGTGGTGACGCCAGACAACGACGGCCCACTGCGCGCACGACAGCTGTGCCCCGAAACGGGCAATTTCGTCGATTTCCTCGACCTCCTCTTCCATACGGAGGACTGCTTCGCGCTTTGCTCGAACAACGAAAGCGTGCTGTATTCGGGGGACAACACGGGAGCGGTCGCACGCTGGGACTTTCAGGAGCTCGTAAACGGCACTTTGATGACAACATCTAGAACTACAGGAGAAAGGGAAACTACATCATCTTCCAGCTCCACGACCACTTCTACCCCGTTCCGTCCCCATGCTTCTGCAAACATGGGTGACGCAGTGAATGACCTGTGTTTTGGCGGTGTATTACCCTCAACATCCGAGGACGTTGTTGAAATCGTGTACGGGACCAGCGAAAAGGTCCCTCTGTTTGAGCTGCGCTTCACCATTCCAAAAGGTGCTAGTAGCATGATAAGAGCCGAAGTAACAACGTTGATCGATCTCGACGCGTGGACGCGGTTTAAAGAAGCGGAAAGTGGAGACAGCGGAACGAGCACAGAGAAAAAAGAAGATGAGTCCGGTTTTCAGCTCTTTTCTGTAGATTATTTCGAAGATAAGTTCCTCCTCGGTTGCGAAGATGGCGGAGTCTACGTCCTAGACAAGAACAAGAGACGGGCATCGACGTCTAACAACAGTGCTGGTGTGAAAACAACAGGAATAGCCGCGAAGCAGCTGAACCTAGAACAAGCGGTTTTGCTGTCTATGCCAGGCGTGCATGTAGGCGGCGTCGAGAGGGTGAAATGGAAGAAGTTCGCTTCCGGTGACGTAATGTTCGGAAGTTGTGGCCGCACAGACGGCTGCGTGAATTTGTACGACTTGAACCGCGAAGAAGACGAGGAGGGAGATCCGTTGCAAGGGGGTCTTCGGGAGGAAGTCGGGCACCTTCAGGAACAGGAGGAAGGCGGGGAGAACGATGAATCTCCCATGAACATGATGGGAGAAGGGGATTTCGAATCTTCCATAATGGCACAGTTCCTGCAGGATGGTGGAAAGGTAAAGGATAAGGATAATCGAGAGAAAAACGACCAGATGATCCAGGCAAGTGGTACTGCTCAACAAGAACAGGAAGAAGAGCCGGGTTTAGGTCTAGAAGAGGTTCAACAACTTCTTCTTCGAGTTCAACAGGAACAGGAAGAGGCCGCTGAAGAAGAGGACGCGCTCCCGAAGGAGCTGTTCTTCCAACACCGCGGTCACAAGGGGGATTTAAGGGATTTCGCCTTCTGTCCCTACTGCGACTTGGCCGTCGCCTCCATCAGCACGCACGGCGAGGTCCAACTTTGGCGAGTGAATTCCTGCGTAATCCGCGATGAAGAGGAAGACGAGAGCGCCGTAATCCTTAAGACAACTCACAATGAACAATTGTCTAATTCATCATATACATATTCTTGATCTTCACAGAGTCTGTGAAGATCAAGAATATTGGTTTCAGTTCTTTTCTTCATAGTGTATCAGTATCTATTATTTGTTCTCGCAATACTTGTCTCCTTCTTGGAGGATTCATTTGAGAATCAATATGAAGGTAGTCGTACTAGCAGTAGATGTTGCATTAGTGATATTGATTTAATGATATTGTAACCTTTACCTTCTCTAACATTCGGGATAACTCCGAGTTCAGCGCAAAACGCTTAGCGGAACTCAACAAGGAGGAATTCGAGTCCGTCCCTGTGAAGCGGAGAAAGTAGATCTTCTGGATGGGCGAAGGAGAATGCGCCTACCAGTAGCAACGTTCTTGGATTTTGGAGCAACATTGGATTTTCTGTCTTCTCTGCTATGTTGGCTCTCGCTTCTTCTCTGCTGTATCCCTTCATCAGCTATACATATCCCTTCATCAGAACGAGGAGAAAGTGACAGTTGACTTGTTACATTTTGGTTAAAAACCCAGGTCCATGACTACATTACAACTCCCCTCTGCGTGACATGATGAACTGTTTGTTCCACCCCATCACTTCTTTCCAGCAAAGAAAAAGAGCCTCCCGTATACTTATATTCGAGTAAGGTAAATAGCGGGCTTCTAGTTGCAGCGAGTTGCTCGAGTTGCGAAGGGCTGCAACTCCCACCATTTCTTCCCTTTTGGCAGTGAAGACGAGCCTCCCGTATGGTTATAAATATCTTCTTTTTATGAATGTGGAAATGGAATCAATGACCTTAACTTGAAATTGTCGAAACAAAGTATTGAAGAAATCTGACGAGGTCTACGAACATGAATGGTTTGAGACAGACCATCTCTGCAGTGCTACAACATTCGTGTTCAAATGTTCCTGTAACAAAATCGGTGATCAGTGTTAGTATCACGTGCAAGTACACGAGCCCAAGTTCACAGTTTGAGTGACAGGATAAAGCTACTGCTTCAGAGTCAAATTTGAAGACCTGTGTGGAAGAATCCTTTGGAAAAAGTAAAATTAGCGAAGACGAGGGCGCCATTCTTTCACATGCTGTTGATGAAGCAAAAGACAAAGCGGAGCGAAAAAGAAAAAGTGGCAGGCACTAGCCAAAGACTTCTAACTAAACTTTAGGATCGTGGCTCGTGCTTCTGGTGATCTCCATTTGGTTAGATGATCTATGCGTGAAAGTTTGAAGTAAAAGTAGATTGTTAGTCATCAACAATAAAGTTGCACCTTTTAGAAGTACTCTCTCCTTTGTCCTCCTTTCATAGCTTTTCTTGAGTACTATCTAGTATAAGGTCGACAAGGTTCTTATTGCATCAGTGACTACGACGTCGAGGAAAGAGGGCACTCAGCTTTCTTAACGACTTTCTTAACCTGCGAGTGAAGACTCAAAGATGTCAGATCTCGCCGCTCTGCTGCGCGATTCGGCGCCGAATAGCGTGAGGAGTAGCCTGGCTTCTCTGCGGGACCCGATTAGTCCCATGGCCGTACCCACACGAGACCGTGTTGACACTCGTGGGTACTACAGTTATGAGCTCCCGTACAACTCCAGTGATGCTGGTAGAGCACAAGTAGGTACTGTTTCTGTCATATTAAAACCAACCCTGTTTCTCGTGGTTGTGGGTTCTAGTACAGTGATGAAATTGTGATAAGTGAACAGGCCAACGCATTTCTCAATGCATAGACAAGGAACAATTGTTGAAAAAAACTACGATCTCTTCTAATGTAAATCCGGCAAGCACGACACGACGCACCATGCAGATTCGACGCCGCCTCAAGACTCACCGATGGAGGTCGAAGGAAGCGTCGCCAGTACAAGCTGCCTGTTGGAGGAAGAGGTAGAGATCGTAGAGTATCGTTTCTACGATTATACAGTTGCTTGGAAAAGAAAAAGTAGTGAAGACCACAGGTTGAAGAATCTTCGTTGTAAACAATAACAAAGAAATACTTAAAAAGAACTACTTCCTAATTATATCGCAGTTGAGATCAATTCCTTTCTCTTTTTCCTTGTTTTTCAGGAACATGAGTTTTCGGCCGACATTGCTTCCGCAGTCCAGAAAAGAGATCCGTGTATCATCAAGAAGCCGACGGAAAAGAGATCATCTGCGGTACACCGTCAACAGCACGAGGATTCGCCATCGGATAATTTTGCGCTCGCCTTCCAGAAGTACGAGTTCTCCTTCCAGAATAAATTCGAAAGTCTTCTGACAGAAACCGTAGCGAACTTCAAACAGCAAGCCGTTCGCGACTACGGTAATGCAGAAAAGACGCTGAATCAAGCCTTTCAGGTATAATATTTAAGAACTTCTACTAGGTATATATGATATAAGAACTTGTTCTAGGTGGTCAATACTTACCACTGGTATATTTTTCTTGGATCGATGGATTGTAGTATCTGTAACTCTCCTCGACCTACTAGCGCTACAACAGACCCGCTTCGAACGCGAGAAATTGAAGTTCGAAGCTGAACTCGCAGAGAAGAACATGCAAATTGAGACGCTGCTAGCATCGCAGTCAGACTTATTGCGACAAAACGAAACTGCGAGCAAGATTATGACATATTAGATGTTGGATACAAGTTCGTTCCTATGTATAATAAGAAGATAGATGGATCTATAATTTTGTTCTTGTTGTAAAATATTACTAGGTACATTACAGTTACACTAGGTACATATTTTAGTTCTTAGGTACCCACTACTACTAATCTAGAATAGTTCTTGTCACTAGGTACTGTACCCTTTGAACAGTAAAGTAGACTCCCAGGAGTCGGTATCTCTAAGCTTCGAATCAAGGGCCTGGCGAATTTAGGGTACAAGAGGACGCAGAACGTCGATCGGAATTCCTTTTTGGCAAAGATCTTTTTGCGTTGGAGGATGTTCAGACGGATGAACCGAGATGGGAAAGTCAAGTACACCATGGCAAGACGCTTTCGAGAAAAACGACTAGAGGTTGGTTCTCTTTGTTTCTATTCGTCTGGGCAGAATTTGTATTGAATGAATATGCGACGTTCAACAACTACAACATGATCAAGAAATCGTTCCTGCGATCATACGTGGTATACTTCCACCATTTAATATGATTTGTGTCCTGCACTAGATGATGTAAGTTGTAGTTATGCTTCTATACCTCACGACCACCAGCACTAGGTTCTTGCCTATCGTAGATGGTTTATGGCAGCCACCTACATCCGACTGGAGCGAGAAGATGCGCAAAAGCAAGCCAAGAACGAACTTGAGAGATCGCAACTAGTAGCAGAGGCGAATCTTGGCAAGGAGAAGCTAATGGAAGTACTTATTCATTTACTGTATGCTTAGTATACGATTATGCTTTTCGATTTCGTTGTAAATCGGAGGTACTTTCTTACTTAAAGGACGACTATGCTTTTCTTTGTGAAAGAGCACGATTGAGTATCTCAACAGTATTTTCTTTTAGTACATGTTCATCTTGATGTTTCTCTACTTGTACTTGTTGGACATGGAGAACGCTCTTCAAAGCCGACTGTACCAGAATCTGAATCGCCTAAACTTCTAGTCCCACATCCGCTTTCGTCAGGAAAACGCCTCATTAGAGGACCAACTTGCGGTAGAGACCGCGGCTAAAGCGAATCTTCAAGCGAACCTGAAACGCGTCTTTATGCGAGGTGTCTGCCAATTAAATTTTGAGGCTATGAACCTGCTTGGAGGTGGCGCGGGAGGTGCGGTAGGAGGAGCTCCTTTTGGTACTCTTTAGTTACAAAATTCGTATTTTCGATGTGTCTCCTCGTTTGGACGTGTACAAATCGTTGGCGAGATCATACAGCAGCTGCACTCACCTTTAGCAATTCCGACAATGAACAACCTGACCACTCAAACCTATTACTAGATCTAGACGCACTATTGGGGCAAGCGAGCGCCGGCGACATTGCAGGCGCTCCTCTGCCAGGAGATGTAGCGGAGTCAAGCGGCATTTCTCCGCTTTTGGTCGGTGCCGGTGCATCGAGTTCATCAACAATGATGGCTCCTGGAGGCCAACCTAGTATGGATGCGACGTCAGCTTTCGCATCTCCTAGTGCACCATCTATTGCGCCGGGTATGGGTGCGGGTGTCGGAGGCGTGACGGCACTAGGAGCGTCAAGTACTTCTTCTATTCCGACATCTACGTCATCTACAGCGGCAGCAAACATGCCAATGACAAGAGGTACTTTCAATGCACCCCCTCGAGGTTCATCAGTTGTCGCAACCCCAGATCCTTCAACCACATTATTAAGGGTTTCGACATGGCATTCTGCACTACCATCCTTCACTCGTTTTCCAGTAGGAAAAGGGTCAAGTAGGACGTTCTGAAGAATGTAATGCCGTAACCTCTAACATTATCAAGTGTCTTCAACGCAGGAGCTCCAAGAGGACAACGAACTATGCCGAACACGACAATAAGCGCCTCCACTTCTTCCTCCAAAATGGTAGGAGGTGTAGAGCAGGTAGCAGAACTACATCATTTAAGGGTAGGTTAAAGGTGCTTTTCTTACCGCTTTTTATGCCTCTCCTAAGGGAGAAAGGCATAACAAGCGGGGTAAGCGAGCACCAAAAACCTACCTCTAAATCATCTTCAAAGTCACGCCTCTAGTGCGACTCGCGTACAGACCGGCGCAGCATCGCGAATGAAGGATCATTTTGAGGGGCTAGACGAGTCCCGGACTCCACCAGACCCTATGCCCTTTGCCTCGTCATCAACTTTGGGAGGTGGACAAGTAGCTAACGCGACTTTAAGGCTGCGGATAGTCTCTGACTTTAGGTTTAACTAATTAGGATTAGATGATAAAAACGTACAACTACTAGCTCGAGAAAACCAAAGATCAAGTCATGGAGTCGCGAGCGTTCAACATTTTAAACCTTCGCGCTTACAGTATAATACTTCTAACTCTCTGACTTATTTCAGGATCAACATGATCTAGCGTCTAGGTCTAATTTTTACTGTCAACATCCTCATGTTAGTACGAGGATCCGCTTTATTATGGGTCATATATGACGGACTCTAACATCTGCAGCGGCGGCGGGAAGCAAATCGCGCAAATGGCAGCAAGCAAATCATAGAGTCTAAGGACGACTCCTCGCAAACTGACACATCCAGTTTTAGAGTGGTCTAAGGAGGCCATTTGTGGAGTCTCAAGAGCAAGCCACTATGATGAGTGCAATGGAGCACATCATGAGACTACTACAACCTTTGGTTCTTCAGAATTGGAGGGACCGAGTATTAGGTCACAATTCTACAACTACGACCTCATTGAGGATTATCTAATAATGTTTGAATTTGATTATACTGATTTGTCGCAGCTATCTTTGTAGTAGATTAGAATCGAGATGTTGGATGATTTGTATCTTCACTGTTGGCATAATAAAGATTACGATACGCGGTATTTTCTCCTCTATTACTTACACAGTTATTCAAATTTGATCATCAGGCCCAAAGCGGCTTACGGTATGATTGGAAGCAAACTTGTTACTAGTCTATTAAGCAATATGGAATCTCTTTTTTCGATTTGAATTCCAGTACTTTTTTTCGAAAATTATAAGGGATTTGGATCAAGCGGCTTTTGTTGAAACTGAGTTTGTTTGTAGTCTTTTTCTCGTTTGACCAATGACTTCTTTGAAAAATGTTGACAGGAGGAGAAGGAGAAAAAGAGGGGAGAAGGAGAAGGAGATTTGTGTCATTATGGACATTGCTATTTCTCATAATCGAGAGATGATATGAAGAACCGAACTTTGATATTGCTCGCACGTGAGATGGTTTCTCAGCGGTACAACAGGAACTCGTATGTATCTATCATGTATGATTGGATACAAGCGATATTGAATAAAACTGAGCAATTGAGATAGAATTCACAAACACAATGAATGGTGATCATTGCTGACACGTGTACGGCCCTGCGCACAGAAAAAGACCAATAACAGACAATACCGTAGTTGTTCTGCTCACAGAATCCGCGACGAGGCTCTGTCTGGACGACATGCGTCTGAAGCCAACCTGGAGGAGAAGCGCGAGTATTTTGAATGGCAGTTCTTTCGTAACAATCTATTCCTATGGAATTTAGCTTTATGGCGCTTTGCTGAGTCTGTACTTTTTAATGATGTAGTTACTTAGATAGCTGTGGTTGATGATGTAGCTTCACACATTGTTGGTGTATAAGACTAGAGATCAAGATCATCTTCGATAAACAGCATGTAACCCTAGGACTAACAGTCGACGGACACCTATTATATGTGGCCCCTGACTTGATGATAGTAGCAAGGTGGGAGCTCCAGCAGAAACTGGATTGATGTAGACCATTAATCTTAGACAGTACCTCATTCTAGGTAAATGAATGAGTGAATCTTCTATATGTGGCCACTCGATAGTAAGGAAGAGAGAGAAAAAAAAATGCAGCAAGGTCTACTAGATCCGCGTGCTGTCCGCACGCCGGACGCCAGTGCTCCACCAGAGTCTCCTGCACAGGTGACTATGTCCGTCACTACCACCTCCATGGTCATGCCGACTGGAGTGGTGATGCAGCCTGGTGGCCAGACGAATATGATGCAACCTTTATGCCGAGACACACAGGGGAGTCTACAGGGTTTAGGGTTACAGGGGAGTCTTCAGATGCAGGAGGCATCATTTCAGCAGCTTCCTACTTTGGTTACTTAAAAAGACATGATAGATATCAATACTTAGAAGGTCGCTATTCTCTAGTTGAAGTAGTAGAACTTGGTTATCGCTGCATGTGCGACCTCCTAGATGTTGTAGGGTCGCGGCGGCCTTTTGAGTCTTTCATTCGAACCGGACGCGTCGCAGGTGGTAATGGTTCCACCAGGAACGATGATGCCAGGGCCATCGCAGCAACCGGAAATGATGCCATCGCAGCAACCAGGAATGGCCCCGATGGTGATGCCTCAAGTTCCTGTGCCACAAATGATCGCTCCTGCAGTGCCGCGGCCATATGCTTAAGACTGTATAGTCATCAGAATTTCGCTTCGTTATTACGATGGATGGGATCAGATCGCGCTTGGCGTTGGCGCAGTTCTTGCTGTCTTGCTAAAGGAGCAACGAGGAACGCAGGTGTTTCTTTTTCATGCATCGATCTAATCTCACATTCCTGGCAACGGTTATCAGTTGCTCTCTTCGTTGCAGAGAATCGTCATCAAGGAAAAGGTGCGCTTGTCCCAGTTACTTCTCGGTTGGGATCGCCCAAATGTCTACCGCATCGTTTAAGGCTTCCACGAGTTCATCTTTCTATTTCTTAAGAAGCGTGTTGGAGAACGAAAAGGCTGTCGTGTCAAGGAAAAACGCCAGTGATTTATTTATGCAGCATGCTTCTCAAGAAAAAGGTGGATTTAGGTATCATTTCTAAAGTCTCGACGCGAATCCGTTTTCGTCTGCGCCACACCTTGCCGACGGGCCGACCTTGATGTTCGCACGAGAGCGATCCGACTGCTGTTCAAGGCAGTGCTGTCCTAGTGGTGTTCGTGGCTGGGAAATGGAATTAACGCTAGCCAATTCTGGCGGCGGCCGCTACGACGATGCTGCGGGCGAGACGCCCTATTTTAAGGGTTTCCGAGTCACATCCTGCACTGCCATCCTTGGGTTTTTCTCTAGCAGAAAAGAAGCCCCAGGGATGTGCTGAGGAATGCAATTCCGTAAAGCATCTAAGTTTTTGTACTTCAAAAAGCCCCTCGCGTGTGCCTGCTGTTGCCTTTGCAGACCCGAATTGGAAATGTTCGACATGGAAACACGACAGCTAGCTGGAGTAATCACAAACCCATTCTCCTGCTGTGGCATGCGGTACATCATCCACGATAACATGCGGAACCCGGTTTTTTAAGGAGAAGAAGACGAGTGTTGTTCAATAAATTGATCCCAGAAGACCATGATCTACTTCTAATTCCCAGAGGTCCGAGGTAGCGTGTGTCAGTGCGGCATGTGCTGTAGATGTCCCTGCGATCCTTGCAAGACTGTCACCTTTGACATTGTAGACTTCAACACAAAGGAAAAGGTAGGCGCCATAATGCGGCAGTGGGGTGGCTTTATGCGAGATTGCTTTGCAGGAGGAGACGCAGGCGTCTTTGATTAAGAATGGTGGACGACTAAGTAACAATTTTTGTCCAATCATAATATTCCATGAACGATGATAACAGGGACAACAGCATGCATGGTCCAATCAAATCATAGTGTCTATTAGACAAGTTGTAACTATAATACGGCTCAGTGATCGATACAGTTTCAATGCGTCTTTGATGATCAAGAATCGACGATATGAGTTAGATTTCTATCGAAGAAACATCGATCATAGGCATCGTAGTACTCAAGCAGGTCAGTGTCTTCATGCAGCTAGTACCGAACAACAGTCCCCTTCTAGTCCCCTTCTAGAAGTGTGACCATAGAAATACAGTTATGGTGCAGAACTATGGAAGTCCCCGCGGTCCTGTCTAATGTAAAGTGGAATTCGGACGGATTGCACATCCGCAATTCAAGGGTTTACTGATAGCCTGCGCGCTGTTTTTGAGTGAGGAATATTTCACCCGGGGAGGCGAGGAACAGCGGGATGCCAGTGTACTAGGAGGTCTTGCTGGGCTCTTATCTTAAGTGTAGTCATGAATATAAAGGTAAAACTAGGATCGTATAAACTGTTAAGTAAACGTTAATTGTCAACCACCATCTTACTGTTTTGAAGCATGTTGAACTTTTTATAATACCGCTGAGCTCTTAGAACGGCCATATCTTGGGTGCTATTTAAATGAATTCTCCTCATAGAAGATTTGAATTTTTGTCGTGGGCATGTATAAATCCGCGAACCTGGTGGCGCGATAGCGAGATAGGGCTTCCGAGAAACCATCACCTGTCTGATGTACTTCTGAGTATGATCATGCTGTTCTTAGATCCCTCTACGAAAAAGAACATGAAAATGCGCGAAGCAATTTCACTCGTCTATGTCTGTCAACTATGCGAGAAGATGCGTACCACGAAAGTCGGTGTAGGAGCTGCGGCATCTGTGCATCCGCGAGAGAGACCAAGTTTGTGTAGCCGCAAGAGACATCTTCACCATAAAACGTATTTGGTGACCCATTTGATCTGTGTAATGTGAGAAGGCATCTCTCTGTCCAACCTCTGTCCCGAGAGTGAAGGTCCTTGACGGTTAGCTTAGATTTTGCAAGCCACTTCCTAAGACTCTACTCGTAGCATTTTGCAAGCACTATCTTCCGCATTTATTTGCAAGCTACTTCTTAAGACTCTTGTAGATACTGATACTTCTTGAGCTTGTGACTTTTTGTCTATTGGATCACGTGCAGAGGTACAAGACATAGACAGATCATGTTTGTTGTCGCACTGTTGTCTCTCGAACTGTTGTCTCTCTCCTTCTTTCCTCTACTTTCCTCTACTAAGTAGGTGGGCAACATGTACTTAGCTGTAGGAGTAGGTATAATCATACAGACTGAAACTTATAAACTAAAATCACCAGAAGATATATCACCAGAAATCACCATCAAAAGTTGAAATATGTAGAAGTCCACAAACTCAAAAGAAGATGGGAGGCGACAACGTTGAGATCAATTTGAGCGAGCCTCATGTGCTTTCTGGGGCTACAGCTTCGGACCTGGACAAGGCTGAGAACCATTTGGCGGGATACAATGACAGAGTCATAGCGGTTTGGAAGGTCAGCGCTGACAGCATAGAGAAAGTGACGGATTTCTGGAGGTATTTCCCTAAAGGTTGCTTGCTTCTTCCGTGTTGCTGGCCGTTGTTGATCTTGTGTTTGCCGTGTACGATTCGTACTATTTTTCGGGCACAGGCGGGGCAGACGGGGGCCCTTCGAACTCAAATGGAAGGCACCCTTTACATTCTAGGCACCAAAAATCTCTACCGATTGGTCGATCTTCCCGCACAAGAGCTTCCATCTGAAAGAAGGAAGAAAAAGAGCAAAAAGAAAAGGAACGAAACTGCCAATCTGAGGTTCACGAGGGATCAGAGCGGTTTTCAACCTTTGGAAACGATTACATCGGCAACCGTGGACGACGCAGGAACAACGTGCATACCCACATTCGGGATGCCACCAGTCCCTAGTGTCAACGTTGGGCTTCCACCGGGAGCAGCGCTCGCCGAACCTCCACGACGAATGATTAGCGCGCCAGGTGGAATGATCTCGATGAGGCAAATGCGAATGTACGTAGATGACCCAGAAGAAGCCTGCAACTTGATCATGGCGGCAAAAAAGAAATGCGTGGAAGAGGTAGCGCTCACTACAACCATGTCAGTTCCCCCACAGATGCAAGAAATGGTCGCGGCTCCTGATAGTCCTCCGACAGCTGATACAGCTGAACAAAACGGTGAGACAGATATAGTTAGAGACGAAACCGCTGCTGGTCATATTGGACAAGCGGCTGGTGCAGTTGCTGGCAACGATCGCAACAAAAAAGGCGAGAAGGGACCCAGGGGCAGTGCCAGCGGCCCGGCGAAGGGGAAGAAAGGCAAGGGCAAGCAGGCGCGTGGTGGCAAATGAGGAGATGTCTAGTCAAAGAAACCAACATCATCATCTTCACGGTCAAGGTTGATGAGGAGTCGACCGTGAAGATGATTACGTTGGTTTTCTATTTTTAACAATAAGTTGACGCCCATTATTCTCTGACCTCAACAAGTGTGGACCTGTGTTGGAGATCCACAGAGTGTACTCCTGACTTACTGTCTGCATGGCAGTTCCCCCCGGTAATGCGGGCACTTTGTTTCTGTCCCACATCTCAACATTGAGAGCAAAAAATGGGTATCCCCCTCCCGCTAACCCGATGAGCACTTTTGATGTAAGGAGAACCCACAAATATGGACGCGGAATCCGAGTCGATGGCAAAAACATAAAGAAAACTACTGATAGATTCTTTCTGGAGGTAGTGGTCTTCCAATGAAAAATTTTCAACCACAGAATGCCACTCTTGTTCAGGTTCATAAAAGCTTCAGTCGAGAAGCATGGCAAACAACAACTATGATGTTCATGTTGGATCTCTGATACGCTTTTGATCTTGTGAGAGAAAAGACTGAAGAAAAGAGAGATCCACCTATAGTTTGTGCTTGTAACGAGCGATATTATTATTATAACGTTGTATGCGTCATTAAGGATCTGTAGACCTGTCCATGTTTCTGAGCAATCTGTGAAACGCAAGGTCACAAAATTTTCTGTTGGTACTCTATCTGTTTGTTGAAGCCCCGCGATCTTTCGCTTGGTACTCTATCAAAAGGAAAAGCCCCCGCTGTCCATATTTTAGTGCCGCCAAAAAAGAAACTACCTCCAGGAGAGACGGTCGGAGAGTCAGCCGTGTCAGTCTTCTCATCTATTTCGTAGAAGATGATTGACGTGGAAGCCTGTGCCGTATGATCCTCGATGAATTCGTCACTGAAGGACCATGACCTCGTCACCGAATGAAATGACCCAGGCATCGCCATGCCATTCGTTGGTCTGCATCCGTGACGTGAGCACGCCACCAGATGCTTGCTTTTGCCTCCCGTCTTTCGATCGCAGCTTCGCTGCCTTTGGTCTTGGCGGTTGTAACCTCCTCCAGGCGGATGGTCCTAAGCATAGCGATTCTAGCCATAAGGGTGGGGGAATACAACCCCAGGAGGACCCGCAGGAGGAACGTTTCCTGCAGTTATGACTTCAACCCTTTTTTGTATTTTCCTTTCCTGTACTGGGTTTAGGGCTCGCTTGTTTCTCACAATCAATAAAAGTTACAAATCCATTCGTGCTGAGGTGGACGTGGACTTGGACAGCAGTGATGACAGACTATTGAAAATTGTATTCCATTCGTACTAAGGTGAACAGCAGTTCTCGTCTGGGAAATCTTAGGCAGCTCGCCGAATAGATTCAATTCATCAAGGTGAACAGCAGTTGCGATAACTATTGAAAATAGTTAGAGTCTTCAGGTCGTTAAGACTTTTTATCGCCTGATTGTTGGGCATGGCTAAGAACTGAAAGTAGACTGCTTGAAAACCTGCTCTAAGAAGACAGCCCGCACAGGTGATCGAGATTCAGAGCTTGCTCGTGTCCTCGAAACAAAACACGGACGGACCGGTAATAGCACGCTGGCACTTGACAAATGCTGCTTCTACGAGATCTGGCAAGCGAGACCGAGATTCGCTTTTGCTGTGGGCGCACATTGAAACCGGTCATCAGTGTCTCGTTTATCTTCGGAAAGGCGAAAGACAGCTACAAATTGTGAGGCTTCGTCGCTCATCAGGATCGACGTCAAGGTGTTGGGCTTGGGATCCGATCAATAAAGCGGCAGAAAGTGTAATAATTCGAGAAGAAAACAACTACAATACAGCGTCAACGTCCAAGACAACAGGTGGACCTTCCTCCACGAGTAGCCGTGCTGAGGATCTTCATGCCAGTGCCTCCCTGATTAAGGGTTCTTTCTAAATTGCATTCTGCCCTTGGGCCTTTTCTCAAGTGGGAAATGGGTCAAGGATGTGCCGAAGAATGTAATGCGGAAAGCTCTAACCTAAAGGATCTCAGACTGCAAGCTTGGTGTGATCGAACGCGCATTAGCGAGAACGACACCCTTTCGTCTTTGGATGCGTCGAAGACGGGCTGTCCTCCTCCTTCACATGATGCTGTTGTTGGTCCCCCTTCTCCTCCTCTGACGATAATTAAGGCTCAACTTTCAATGGTCATCATTTAGATTGGAGTCACTGAGATCGAAGAAGCGACCCCTTCTTGAGAGAACCAACAGGGGAAATATACGAAGGGAAAGGGGAGACCTTTGAAGGGGGTATCTTCCGTTCAGAGTCATGATGACCAATGAGTGCTGAGCTTTAAGATAAGCTCCGATTTGAAGCCGCAGTTCCTTCTCAGTGTGGAAGAGGAAGAGCTACTCCGGTTAGATGGTTCTGCAGCGAAAGGACCCACGACCAGCACATCAAGTTCCTGCACTACAAGTGGCAGGACGAGTGCGCCTTCAACGACCACTGTTGGCAGGCATTTTCGTAGATGGTCTACGAGATCGACGGGAACCGTTCCTTTGCTTAAAGAAGGAAATACTAGTAGAGGACCTGCTTCTACTAGAGCGACCACCGGAAAGACGAGGACACTACTATCACGAGGACGAGGGCAGCACGTAGACGTTTTTCATGAAGCGATAAGGATCGAAGAGTTTGTGGACACAGGCTTGGCTGCTTCCAGATCGACACACAGAACTCATATGACCGAAGAGAGCACGTATCAAGATGATGTTGCTCAACAAAGACCACAACAGGAGGCAGACGAGGATGCGTTTTTGCTTTCAAATACAGCGAACAGCTTCGTCCTTGTGCTTGGGAGTGTTCACTGCCTTGTGTTTGAGGTCACCGGAGAAGGCATCACACTAACAGCTCGCTTCAAGCTTCAGGATGAGGAGACGCGATTTTCGACTGTCGTTGCCGGAGAAGATACGGAGCGCAGAAGAAAAAGCCCAGGTAAAAAGAACAGAAGGAAGAAAACTTTATTTGTTGGGTCAATTGTAACTACCACTTGTTGTGTCAATTGTAACTAGCGCGGAAAAAAAATATTCCAAAGCTGTAGCAGGCATGCACGCATTGTGATCGTCACGTATAAACGTTCTGTCTCGTCTGTCTTGATCTAATCCATCGTGCAACATCATGCATGCACCATGATAAAGATATGCAGGAGCATGATATTACCAACCGACGGAAAAGAAAGTTGGGTTCTTTTCGGCATATTGGGCAGAAATAGTTGAAAATTGAGTGGAATTATAGCACCAAAAAACATCATCTGTACTTATTTCACCTCCAGAATCCCGTTTTTTGGACATGCAAGCGGAGAGCGGATGGCTTTTTGGTTTACTGCCTAGAGAGGTGCTCATCTGGAATTTAATGGGTGTTGCGTGTCTCCGCTTGACATTCGAAGGCCGATTTTGGCGACCGGTAAATCGTATGCGCGTGGCGTCAGACAAAAAGATACTCGCTCTATGGTCGTACCAAGTCCAAGATGAAGAGGGCACCTGCTCCTCCAAAGATATGAACAAAAATCTTCCCTCCACAAAAACATCATCTAGTTCATCTAGTAAAGGTGTGACCACATCACGCAGGATGCTGTATAACAAGTCGCTGACGGCGAATTGTAACAACTCATCTTCGCCTAGTAGTGCATCTGCTGACCCGAGCAGAACAAGTCGGCTCTTGTTGCTGAATCTAGACGAAATTTTCCTCGCGAAAGAGTGTTACGACTGGGACGTGGCGCGTGAGCGATACCGTGTAATGCAGAGTACACCCTCCTTCGATCTGGAATACGAAGACATGAAAACGTATTGCATGTTCCCCACCGCTTTTCACGCATGCACTCTACAATACGTCTCCGGTTCAAGCCCTGCCTCTGGGGAAGGCGCAGAAGATAACTCGGAGGCTAGTATGCTCTTTATGTGATGAAGTTGATAACTCGGAGGCTAGCATGCTCTTTGTGATGTGTGTAGTTGATATTGCTTCTGTTTTCGACAAAAGCGAACAGGAGGTGGACGAGGAGTGTTTAACAGCATGGTAGCTTAATGGAATAACAAACATCATTTCTCGTCTTTTTAGGCCAAGCATTTATACAACTGTAGGTAATTCTCACTCATTCTAGACTTTATGAGTCCACCAACGTCTTCATCCGCTAACACAATAGAGTCCGTTGTCTTCTAATTCTGTAAACGAGACTCAGCGAAGAAACAGCTTGGTGGAGGGTACAAGATGCGCAGCAGCGCGGCGACTTGTTAGTGTGCAACCGAGAAGTAGGATAACCTCACAGACAGGCTTCCTGGTGCCGCCCACTTGCGACGGGCGAGCAAATGGTCAGAGCGACTCGATCTTGGACGCTATCTCTGACGACGACGACGAACATAATCGTAACCATTCTCACTCGAGACAGCGAGCGCCACTTCAGCGCGGTCACTCGGAAGCTCGTGGATACGGGTAGTATGGCAACAAGACGAGAACTAGTAAATTAGACTCATTTTGATAGAAACTAGGAGTTATTAGGTATTCTTACTTGTAGCAGTAGCTCTCCTTTTTAGGGGGTACTATAACTATGGTATTGAGTGTGTGACCTCAAGGATAGACATTTATAGCTACAAAAGAGATGTCATGACATGGCATAACACTGTCCTCTGTACCTCTCTCTAATACTGTGACGGGCGTAGCATGAACTTCGCTTTCGGGTATCACTCGTGGTCGGACTGTTTTGCCAATGAAAACGCGGCAGCTTTGGTATTGGAAGGCGGTCTATCGCGGACTAGTTGTGGACTCTTTGCACCAGCATCCAACACGACAGCACACAGCTTTTCGGCAAATTTCAAATACAGCAGCAGCAGCAGTACTATCTTCAATGTGAGCGGAGGCGACCAAAATGTGCAGGACGACGCCTGGCTGCAGCAAGTGACATCGACTGCGGTACAGGCAAACGGGTTCGTTTTCGCCAACCACACTGCAGTTAAGGCTTTCCCTAATCCATCCTCTGAAGCATCTTGCACACGTTGGCAAGGGGAGAACGGTCTCGGGATGCATCTCAGGATGGACCAGAGAGGCTCTAACGCAGGACTTCCACGTGGTCGCGAGGGCATGGATCTCTTCTCATTTATCGGGGAAGAACCAAGTGCTCCACAGAGCACCAGGACAAGAACTACGACACAGATGAATCCTCGGACGCCGCAACGCGTGTTCGAGCGACCGGGGCTGGGAGCTCAAGGCCAGACAGGAGGAACATCAAGAAGGAGCCCATCTTCCGGTGCGGGCAGCCTACCCAGTGGAAGCAGTAGCTCTACTGGCGGCTCCCCTGACCAGGATACAGCTACAAGTCAGAGCAGACGTTCTGGGTACCATTTGACAGG